AAAATTTCCTCCTTCTTTTGTCCCTATAAATTCCTCTTAGATTAAAGAACCCTAAATGAGCAAATGAACGATATATTGTGCCAAATCAAATTTTCTACTGATTTTTTTGACGCTTAATCAACGGCCATTTTGAAAACGTTCCGATCAAGGTCGCGTGAAATGATACGTCACACTCGCGTAGGCAACAAAACTGAGTGAAAACATCATCCTTAACGTACTAGTAAAAATGGATGATACTTTACGTTCCAGTGCGTACTAAAGTATGTTTTTAGTTCAAAACATGCGTATCGTTAATGCATACGGACTGGCATCCCGTCGGATGTTTCTTTTGACCAAGGGAAAATGGGCAAGAATTTAGTTTAATGTCTGGAGAATGGTCGTTTTGAACCTTTTCCGCGATAGTCGAACACCGCTTGATTCAATAAGAGACAAACTTGTGACACTAATTTTTTTTGTCATTGTTCAATGCCCGAGTGTTGGGACGACGTGGTACAGTGCGAGTTGTGCGAGGAATGGTTACACATGAGCTGCGAGGGATTTAAGACTGCCCCGGAGGGCGAGTGGCTGTGCATTGTCTGCAGATTGCCAGACTCTAGATATCTTCGTAATTGTTAAGGTGTTATTTCGGATCCCTCAACAGTTAATAATCGTTAAAGTTAGAAAATAAGATTGAGGTCGATGTAATAGTCTCCACTTTTGTTAAGACGTTGACATTAATGTTGATTTGCATCCTAAAATAAGCTGAGAGTTCCAATAGTTCTAATTGAAATATTTTTACTTATCATAGGCTTTACGAACGACTTGTAATAGGAGTAGTTTCTTCGTTCTTGTTCAAAAACTTTTTGATGTTATTATTTTAGAAAATCAGACTGAGTTATTGTTGTGACTGGACGCAATAGTCTCCACTATTGTTATGACGTTTCGTACCAATGTTGATTCGCATCAGAAGAAGCAAAGATTTATTGTAACAATTTCAATAATTCGAATAGAGTAGTTTGTTCACATCTAATTCTTGCGTATACTGAACGACTTGCTATAACAAATGCGGTAGAAGTGGAACGAAATGGCTGGTTTTTTTTTGTTTTTTTTTACCTTTATTGAGTAATGTTGTATTGTGATTGAAAAGAACATCGACAAAAAAGCTTGCAAATAGAATTAGTTACCAAATATGATACAAAGAATGCTTACAAGGAAAGTTTGGTAGGAGGTCCAAATCTGCGAAGGGGGGTCCATATCCGCTAGCGGATTTGGATGGGGGGGGTCCAAATCCGCTGTGACACGGGCAGTTTCCACACTGACACCTTGATAAAAGAATCAGTACAGTACATATTTTTATCACGATGTTGAATTAAGAAGAAATAGAGAACACAAGTTGTGTGATTGGTTTCATCAAAATAAACAGTTATCAGCGCTGTAACTGTCACAAACGTCAGAGATTATTCAAAATTTAGGTTATAAACAAGGTACAAAGACCACAAAAAAAGAAAACTAAGTTAATTATAAATTAATATTAAGAGGATGTTCATTTCTACACGTACGAATGTTACTTTTGCTGCATTGTACCTAACAGTAAAAGCCGAGAAATCTTGAATCGTTCGTCAAATTCAATACAAGAAAACTTAAAACCGTTACAAAACGCGTTGAAAAGTGTGTAATTTGTAAAACCACCCTCAAAAATTAATCCGTCCAATGCACCTTCAAAAGCGTGTATGTTTATATTTCACAGTGCGTGAAAAATAAGCTTGGGACGGTGTATGTGCGTAGCACAAAAGCTCTTCGCTCCCATGGAATTCAAGAGTCTGCTCATTTGGTTTCTTTACTTGATCGCTCCTCTATTTAAGAAGCGACTGATTTTCAGATACTTTATTTACAAGCGTAATGCACTCACCATTCGTCGCTTTCTTGATTGAGGCGGCTGCGGTGCACGGGCTCTTAATACTAATGTGACTCTCGCAGTTTATTTTCGGTTCGTCCTGGTGGTTCAAATCGCCAGGGCCTGATTTAACCAACAGCCTCATAAGTCCTATCATTATTTCCACTAAAAACGAGGCCTCAAAATCCAAATAATCAGACCACGATATCGAACTGCTCTCACTTAAACTACTATCCGCCATATTTACTTTGCTAAGTGTACACACATGTGACCTATCAGGTCAAATTCAAATTCGAAGCGTGTGCAGTGGATGACTTACGATGCCGCATTTAGGACAGTTTTCTGAGCGGAAAAAGGCACGAAGAGGCGTTCGAAGTACTATTTCAATATGTTAACTGAGGCCTTTGGACAGTATCCCGAAAAAGTTACTTTTAGCCGTCAGTTACCGTTTAAAGAGGGTCAAGAGTAGGGTACAGTTTCAGGATGCCTATCATCTACACACAGTTATATTTAGTTACCGTATCATTTCTCAGCTTAAAGAATAATAACCAATCCAGAATGCTATTATTCACACATGGCCTCAGACAGAACTTTTCAGATTATATTTAATTGTCTGCTCCAGATCTGATGTAAGATTAAGGAAAGTAATTGTTATTTCTGTCAAGACTAAGTCTGGGAATTTTGAAGAGCATGCAGGCATGTTTTTTTGAGTCGTCTGGTTTGTTTGTTTTTTTTTTGGTTTGTTTTTTTGGTGCATCTTTTAATCAAGCATAAGTAAGCGTAAGGTGAGCGCTATGGACGGAATAGAAGTTATTCCTGCTCTATCGCGTGCTCTATCGCATGAAAAGCATCATTCAGAGTGGACATGTTCATTTCAAAACGGAAATTGAACAATGCTGAGGGTATTGTCCAGATTAAAAGGGAAATTTCCCTTGCTAAGGCGTGTTTGACCTGTAAATATCACGCCACATTTCTCGAGAACCATGGACTCTCGAGAGCGGCGTTTAAATCGAGTAAATACGGCAAACACACACACACATAACCCACAATTTCTCCAGTCGCTCTTATGAAGGGCTAACGCTCGAAGCGTCAGCTTTGAAACTATTGATGGTGGCCAATTTACGTTATCAACTCAGTTAATAAGACTAAAAGACCATATAAAAGCCAAATTGACCATATTAGATGTCCCATTATTTGACAGTGCTCATTCAGATAACATACCTGTGGGCAGAGTACATTTACAACGGATAACACATTTTGTTGAGATGTGATCAGTCATATTGTGCATTTGGTTAAAGTTTGGAATAAAAAATTTCTTTAAGTCTAAGGTGCACTGCTAAGATGAAATATTTATACAGACAGCAATCTTTATGTACCAGTCCTTATTATTAGCCCTAGATCCACTGGGGTAAAAAGAAAAAAAATAAGTCGTAGTGTAACATTTATATGTACAAATAAATTTGACAAAGACTATGAAAATAGTCTTAACAGATAGTTGTGTTGATTATAGGTTTCACTGTTTTTATTTAGTTTCTTGAGAGTTGCACTTAAGTTAATGAGACTCATTTTAGTCTTGTAATAGGCATCATGAAACTGTGCCCCACTCCTGATCCACTTTAGCGGAAGCAATTATTATTCTTTAAAATGAGAAGTGATCTGGTAACTAAAAAAAACTAGAAGAAAAAAATCCAAGCCTTGTGACCTCATCAGTTTTAACTAAAAATAACTGTGTGTTTTTCTAGCGAGCACGAGCCGAGCGTGGGTCGAACCAGAAACGCACAAAGCGTGGAGGGAGTTGGCTACACAGCAGTGCTTACAGGGAGTTGAGGTAATCAAATGTTACTTATTACTAATGTGGTACAGACGCAAAATATAAGACTCCCAAGCAACAAAAAACAAAAAAAAATTGGAGCGTGAAGAATAATAATTGCTTGCATCAAAGAGGATCAAGAGTGGGGTACAGTTTCATGATTCCTATCATTTACACACAGTTATTTTTAGTTACCATGTCACTTCTCATTTTAACGAATAATAACCTATCCAGAATGCTATCAGTCAAACATTTCTATCAAGACTAAGTCGGGGAATTTTAAAGAGCAGGCGTGTTTGTGAGTCGTCTTGTCTGGTTTTTTTTAAATATAATGCAAGGTGTATTGACGAAATAGAACAAAAACAGAATATGGATGAAGGTCTGAGAAACTCTAAACTTTGGTGGACTTGGCACGACACTCAATTTCTGATCACTGCTGTCAGTAACATAATTTGACGTTGGCATTTGACGTTTTGTAGTCATCATCTTACGTACAGGAAATGGAAAAGTTTTAATCCGCTTTCAGCATAATTGAATTTCTTGCCATCATAAAATGCGCAATAATTTGTTTCTTCGTGCCTCTTGTTCGTGCCAAGCAAGTTCGTAATCTCACTCTTTTAGGATGTCTTGTAGGAGGTTACAACAGAAAATATGAATTCTTTGGAAACTTGAAAGAGTTTTGAAGTTTCATAAACATGTAAATCAAAATACCGCGAAAGTATCATATTAAAGACGTGAAATTATTTCAAACTGTTTGCTGGCAAAGAAAACTCGGTATCAATAAAGTGGCGTTTAGGTTTGGAAAAAAAATAGGTTTTGATGCTATACCACGTTTATTGAAGCGAAGTTCTTGAAGTACTTTAAGTTCTAAGGTGCACATTCATCCTATGGCTTCACAGTGTTCGATTTCTCGGTTGCCGCCTTTTAATGACACACAACATTGAACCTCGAGAGGAAACTATTTTTGATATAATTACAAAGTCCTGGGACTTGGCATCCACACAGAAAGCAGAGTCAAGGTGTACATCGTTATTCTAATATAAAGTAGGAGATGAGTTTTCACTTTGTCTCAGGTTAACTTAGTTTTGTAGCCATTTACCGCATCCATGCCGTCTAGCACAATTGATAGAGCCAGTGCGCATTTGCGATAAACGATTCATTAAACAGAGAATCACATGTCGAAAAAACGTTTTTCCTTTTCCCCCTCACATAAATCAATCACTTTTCAATTTCTCTTAGACGTATGTATGCTTCAACAAATTGAATCTCTTTCAGGGTTTTGGTCGACGATAGCTATCTCCTGAAATAAAGCCGAGTATGGCTCTACAGCCTTTTACGAACGAGCAGCTGAATTACTTTAAATTCGCCTCCATTGTACTCAATGAATTCGCCTTTGCTTTGCGGCAGACGTTCAAATCCATGTGGGACAACATATTTGGACATCGTCCCGGGTATCAACCGTGGGATAACTCCATGGTAGTAAGAAATTTGTTTCTCGCTGAAGAAGGTGGAAAAACGAAAGTTCCTACACACATCTCCTATGAAGAATGGGATTGTACCGCTCTGTTCCAGGCCACCATCTATGCAAGGTCCTTCGCTACGCCAGCTAGCAAAGGTCATTACAAGACACTCAGTGAAATGTACGTAAAGCACCATAAAGTACCTCCCGGAAAGTTCCATCCATCTGTTGTGAGTCCAAGTGGAAATACCGCCGAAACCTTCGCTCTTGCGATTGATCAACTTCGACTTTTACGAAACTCGCTTTGTCACGCAGACAGGTCAGAGATTGATAAACCAACCTTTGACCAATACGTGAAGCTTGCTAAAGAAGCATTCAAAGCTCTTGGAATCATAACAGATCCCATTGATGCCATCGGTGGACTGACAGAGTCTGACTTTCCCACCAAAGAAGTTCGCAAATTGGAAGAAAGTCTTAGACAGGAGACCAGATCATACATCGAGTGTCTCGAAGAACTAAGATCAGGTGTGGAATGTCTCGAAGAAGTGAAATCAGGTGTCGACAAATTAATAGCACAGGGGAATGCGATAAAAGAAAAAGTTGATGACCTCGCTTTGTTGAAGGGAGAAATAGATGATTTGAAACTAAACATGGATGAAGATCAAACAGGTATAAACTGATTAAAAGCTTTACATAATTTTTTGATTATCAACAATTTAAGATGTACTATGGCAGTCTTATAACCATTAGTTTGACAGGGAGGAACTGAAAAGAAATAGCAGCGTTTCTGCTCTTTACTCTAGTAATAATAGTTCAACGGGGCAACTTCCAGTTTTCGCAAAAGTGCTTCGTACATGTCTTGAAAATCCTGTCTTCTTCCCTAAGATGAATTTATTCTATAATCAGAATACCACCCAGGGGTGGATCCAGGGTAGTTTACCTGATTTCCGGAACTCACTCAAATTTTTTCCGACCTAGTTAAATGTTGATAAAAGTACTTTTGGAAAACACTCTAATTTCCCTTTGGAAACTACTGATACTTTTGTGGAAATCACTAAACGTCTTCCAGAAATAAACCATCTTCCTGTTTTACAGTTATTTATTAAAGAAAATACGTTTAGAATGACTAATTTCGTTATAATTGCGGTCATGAGGCGTTCGGGAGCGCTCCGGATCACGCGCTGGCCTTTCGAGCTTCGATTACACCTCGGAAACCGTCGGAAGCCGTCGGAAAATGTTCGTGGAGCCAATCTTTACGCAACCGGTGGGTGTAAGTCCTTGTTATTTGGTGACAATAACAGGCGGAACACAGTCAAAACCCCTCACGATTGGCTAGCAAAGATTTCGTCATCGGAACTCACTCAAAACACTCTTCTGATTGGCTAGTTGTGTTTGGAAACTACCTTGGAAACTACTGACAAAGTATAAAACGGGCAGTTCCTCCCCCAGCGGGTCTCTTTCGTTGCTCCTACAATACTAGTGTTATGACTCGCGGAGATCCTGTTTGTCGGAGGGAGAATTGTTCTCCCTTCGACATTGGCCTAGTTTTCGACGAGATCCACAACTACTCGCCGCATCAGAAGCTGGAGTTCGTCGAAAACGTGTGGAAACCAGGTGAGCTTTTTGATTTCCCCGTGTCAATGGAAAATGGAAAATCTCGTAAGTTTGTCTCGGGCTGGCTGAAAAGATTTCCATGGCTAACTTACTCCAAATATTTCGATGGAGCATTTTGTTTAGCTTGTGTTTGTTTTGGAGTTCAGTGTGGGCGAAACGCCAATAAGTTAGACAAATTGTTGAAGTCTCCTCTCACAAATTGGACTTCGGCCGCTTCTCGCTTAACCAAACACTCGCTAGGAAATTGTGAAATTCACAATTTTTCTATGACTGCTATGAATGATTTCAAGAGAATGATGCAAAGAGGAGCTGTCCCAATTGACCAGCAGTTAAATAACATAGTTCAACAGCAAATCGCGAGAAATCGGGAGATTCTAAAGTCCCTTTTCAAAACTATTATTTTCTGTGGGAAAAACAACATCCCACTCAGGGGCGGAGAGATGATGATCAATCTCACTAGAGTTTTCTTGACCATGTACTCCAGCAGCTCAACACCAGATTCCAGGATGATGTATTTGTTTGCTATAAAGGTATTTCGATTATTCCCTCTGTTTTACTAGCTACTGACCCTGCCTGGAAGGCCAATGTTTTGGAATTTTGTAACCATTACAGACAGGACATACCAAATTATGCAGGATTACAGGCAGAGCTTTTGTTATGGGAGAGATTGTGGAGGGAGGGATAACAGAGGAGATATTATTCCTGACAGTTTGGAGGTTACACTGAAGGATATTGACAAAGATGCATATGTCAACATCTATTTCATGCTGAAAGTCCTGATCACAATTCCAATTTCATCTGCATCTTGTGAGAGATCCATATCATCCCTTCGAATCTTAAGAACTATTTGAGAAATACAATGACCCAGAACAGACTGAATGGATTGGCACTGATGCATGCCCACAGAGACATGGATTTTGACCTTGAACGTATAATAGATTTATTTGCTGAGTTACATCCTAGGAGAATGAGAATGGCAAACATTTTGTAATAATTTTTTGCACCAGCTGTTTCTAGAGTACTTGTGAGTTATGTTCTGTCTGGGTTATGGCCTTTAAGTCTCATAATCCTTAAACTGATGGAGAACAGTACAGAAGCTCAAACTGGTGCCTGTATAACTTTTTTTTCAACTCATTTCAAGGTTATTTTCTATTTTGTTTTACTTGTGATGATTTTCCATTGACATTGACATTGGGTTTTCATGTTAAGCTTAAATGGTTAACAAACATTTTCACTGAACTCAACCAGCTTCACAGCAATTCCCAAGGATGAAGAAAGGCTAGTATTATTTCAAATTATCATTTTACTTCAATTTGTGTATCATTTTATGATTCTTATAATTTATATTTTTCTAATAATTGTTTTATTTTTTTTGAATTCCAGCTCCCAACACAGGCTAACCATCCATAAAGCCCTTCTCTCTCTCTCAAATTCTTTTTCTGTGTTGTGCTCCTATATATGAAATGAATAAAAAGCCAGCTCAGGAAATGTTGTTTTTAGTGTTGCTAAACATTTGGATTTATTGAGCCTGGCTTTCATTCATTTCATTCATTATAGGAGCACAACACAGAAGAAATTTGAGAGAGAGAAGGGCTTTATGGATGGTAAGCCTGTGGTCCCAAGGATGAAAAAGGCAAGTAGATTTTTATTATCAATCTTTAAACTATATCATCAATTGTGCTTGTTTTTCTTTTGTTATCAAAAACACTAACACTTGGTTCGTTTTTTTTTCTCCACATCTTGATTTTCCTGACTGGGAGGTGATGTTTTCCAGTGTGAAAAGTCTTGGTGATGACTTGGCCTTCCTGAAAACACTATATACACTGGTTTGCACAGTAGCTAAAGGTGGAATATTTGTAAATCAGAGTGTTTCCTGTAGTACTTTCAAGAAAAATAAATGTTTTTTGCCTTTTTGATTACATGCTTTTTTAGTCTTTTGGGGGCAATTAAATTTTCTAAAAATGCATGAAATGGCCTTTAGAGAGCTCCAAATTTCAAATTTTCTCGGGGGGGCATGCCCCCGAACCCCCCTAGCAGGAGTGGGTCCTCGGGTGGAAACTACTCACTCAAAATCCTGGATCCACCCCTGCCACCTTAAACAATCTGTTATCTTTTATTTTAAAACGATTTGTTTAAGAAGTAAGCCGCAGCCACTATATTTACCGGCATCGTAACTCTTGTGGGATGTTGTTAAGATTACAACCTCACGGAAAGAGCAAGAAGCTTATGATTAAAGCTGTGTCCCTAAAACATGATTTCCACATTTTTAATGGTACAGTAAAATGTACTATTTATTATCATCGTTATTTTTCTCTTCAAACTACCGACATGAGCTCTTTCATGATTGCATCAATTTTTTCCTTTTAAGATTCAAAGCCATTCCTTCCACCATCAAATCTTCCCTCAAGGGTTCCACACTTCACTGGCCGTCAGAGAGAATGTGAAGACATCAGGCGTCACTTAACTTCCAAAAGTACTCGGATCGTGTCCATATGGGGCTCGCCTGGTTTTGGTAAGACTTCTGTGGCAACTGAAGTCGGACATCAACTCCAAACTGGTGGACTTCCCGTATACTTCTTCTCTATGCGACGACTTCTTTCAAAAGCCGATCTGACTATGCAGCTTCTGAGCTTCTTTAAAAGACACTCCACAAAAGATCAAATGCCTCAGCGGATGTCCCTTGAAGACGAACTTTCCCTCTTTCTAAGTAATATTTCAGGTGAATTTGTGATAATTCTTGACAATGCCGATGACTTGCTCGAAAGTGGAACACCCAATGTGAAGGACGATTTCATAAACCTTCTGAAAGTCATTCTTTGTCAATTCAAAAACTTAACATTTCTTCTTACCACAAGGCAATCTCTTCAATTTATGGATATGAATTTTCAAGGCCATCAAGCATTAAGAATAGAGCCATTACACAAGTCCTTCTCTGAAACGTTAGTCGGCGGATTACTCCCAAAAGCGACCGCGTCTGACTGCTCAAATATTGCAAAACTCTGCGGGTTCGTACCTTTGGCCATGAAACTGTTCTGTTCCTCTATTGCTGAAGATAATGCTCAGCCGACTCAATTTTTAGTTAGCTTCAAGGAATCTATAGAAGATAACCTTTTGGAGCTGTTGGACGATTCAGATTATCCAAGCGATCTGCGATTGAAGTTCCTACTTGAATCCTCTTTTCAGAGACTCTCTCTATCAGACAAAGAAGCCCTGGTATCACTTAGTGTTCTTTCTGGAGATTTTAACCACTCAGTTGCTGCAGCTGTCATGGGTGTAAAAACAACTCTGGAGGCTAAGAAAATCTTGCATAGGCTTCGGAAAAAATCCTTCCTCGACTCTAGCTTCAAACCTGAGTCATTTTCGATGCATAAGTTGATTCTGTCATTTGTAAAGAAAAGAGGTCAAGATGAAATGAAAGAAACCATGCTGAACTCCAAAGCACGTTTGTCTGCATTTTACGTCTCTCTTTTCGAGCAGCTAAATCAACAGTTTTTGACAGGACAATCCATGCAAGCATTTATTGATTTCTATGAAGAGAAGCAGAATATTATTGAGAGTCTTAAGGAGAGCTGCTCTGATCCTAAGACATGTGACGTCGCATTTGGTGTCCTGACAAAAGCAGAAATCTTTCTAGATTCCCTTTTCTGGTGCGAAGGGAAAATCATGAACAAAATTTACGATCACGCAACTAAAGAAGCTCAGGCGTTTGGAAAAAGCGTATTCTACAGTCAGTTACTGGTGTCCTTGGCATTCACCGAACTGACTTGGGGGATAGGTGGAAGATCGATGACGATGCTCTCTAAAGCTGAAGGCCTTTCGTTGCCGGTAGATGATAAAAGAAAAATCCTGTGTTATAAAGGCATCTGTCAACTGGTTTCAGGCAAAATAGACGACGGAGCTCAGAACTTGCAAGAAGCTCTTTGCTTGATGAGTGACAGCCCGGAACAGCGAATTCTCAGCATAACTGCACTGCAAATTCTTGTTACTTACTTTCTTTTCAATAAAAAGAAAGCAACTTCACTAGAGTTTTATACCAAAGCTTTACATGAATGCAGAGCATTAGGAGACACAAGTCTTCTTATTATTCCTCCGGTGAATAACAAAGAATTGACAATGATCGAGGCAGATATGCCGGAACCAGATGTTATAACCACTGAACCACTTAGATTAGAAACTATTTGCGTTGTTAGCAAAGCAACAGAAATGTTCTCTGATTACGTAACAAAGCAAGCAATAAGCAGATCTGTGCTATGGATGTCAAATCAAACAAAAACACAGATCCTCCCACATTCCATTGGTTCATGGACCTTCCAGCGCAACATCAATTTGACACTTAAAAATGTACTGAATAATCCCGAGGAAGCATCAAAGTTGTGTGACACACAGATCACTTATCATAAAAAGACCTTAAAACAAAGTGGAAAAGTTAACGCAGGAGATAGAGCTAAACCCAACAAAAAGATTGATTTCAATTTGCATCAAGAAGAATTATATAAAAGCTATCTGGACCAAGGCCACACTCTTCTTCAGATGCAAAACTATCCTAAAGCCATTCAGTCCTTAGAATATGCCCTAAACATCGCAAGAGGACTGTTCGGGGAGGAACACCCAGACATAGGTCAGAGTTACTTTTCTATCGGAGTCACACAACATGCTTTAGGCAATTTCTCCTCAGCACTTCAGTCCGAACAGCGTGCTCTTGACATAAGAGTTAAACTCTTCGGGGAAGAACATCGAGACACAGCCAAAAGTTACTTTTCTATCGGAGTAACACTACATGCTTTAGGCAATTTCTCGTCAGCACTTCAGTCCCATCAGCGTGCTCTTGACATAAGAGTTAAACTCTTCGGCGAAGAACACCCAGACACAGCCGAAAGCTACTTTAATCTTGGAGTAACACAACATGCTTTAGGCAATTTCTCGTCAGCACTTCAGTCCAAACAGCGTGCTCTTGACATAAGAGTTAAACTCTTCGGGGAAGAACATCGAGACACAGCCAAAAGTTACTTTTCTATCGGAGTAACACTACATGCTTTAGGCAATTTCTCGTCAGCACTTCAGTCCCATCAGCGTGCTCTTGACATAAGAGTTAAACTCTTCGGCGAAGAACACCCAGACACAGCCGAAAGCTACTTTAATCTTGGAGTAACACAACATGCTTTAGGCAATTTCTCGTCAGCACTTCAGTCCAAACAGCGTGCTCTTGACATAAGAGTTAAACTCTTCGGGGAAGAACATCGAGACACAGCCCGTAGTTACTTTTCTATCGGAATAACACAACATGCTTTAGGCAATTTCTCGTCAGCACTTCAGTCCGAACAGCGTCCTCTTGACATAAGAGTTAAACTCTTCGGGGAAGGACACCGAGACACAGCCCAAAGTTACTTTTCTATCGGAGTAACACAATATGATTTAGGCAATTTCTCGTCAGCACTTCAGTCCAAACAGCGTGCTCTTGACATAAGAGTTAAACTCTTCGGCGAAGAACACCCAGACACAGCCGAAAGCTACTTTAATCTTGGAGTAACACAATATGCTTTAGGCAATTTCTCGTCAGCACTTCAGTCCCATCAGCGTGCTCTTGACATAAGAGTTAAACTCTTCGGCGAAGAACACCCAGACACAGCCGAAAGCTACTTCAATCTTGGAGTAACACAACATGCTTTAGGCAATTTCTCGTCAGCACTTCAGTCCAAACAGCGTGCTCTTGACATAAGAGTTAAACTCTTCGGGGAAGAACATCGAGACACAGCCCGTAGTTACTTTTCTATCGGAATAACACAACATGCTTTAGGCAATTTCTCGTCAGCACTTCAGTCCGAACAGCGTGCTCTTGACATAAGAGTTAAACTCTTCGGGGAAGGACACCGAGACACAGCCCAAAGTTACTTTTCTATCGGAGTAACACAATATGATTTAGGCAATTTCTCGTCAGCACTTCAGTCCAAACAGCGTGCTCTTGACATAAGAGTTAAACTCTTCGGCGAAGAACACCCAGACACAGCCGAAAGCTACTTTAATCTTGGAGTAACACAATATGCTTTAGGCAATTTCTCGTCAGCACTTCAGTCCAAACAGCGTGCTCTTGACATAAGAGTTAAACTCTTCGGCGAAGAACACCCAGACACAGCCGAAAGCTACTTTAATCTCGGAGTAACACAACATGCTTTAGGCAATTTCTCGTCAGCACTTCAGTCCAAACAGCGTGCTCTTGACATAAGAGTTAAACTCTTCGGCGAAGAACACCCAGACACAGCCGAAAGTTACTTTTCTATCGCAGTAACACAACATGCTTTAGGCAATTTCTCGTCATCACTTCAGTCCCTTCAGCGTGCTCTTGACATAAGAGTTAAACTCTTCGGGGAAGAACATCGAGACACAGCCCAAAGTTACTTTTCTATCGGAGTAACACAACATGATTTAGGCAATTTCTCGTCAGCACTTCAGTCCAAACAGCGTGCTCTTGACATAAGAGTTAAACTCTTCGGCGAAGAACACCCAGATACAGCCAAAAGTTACTCTTCTATCGCAGTAACACAACATGTTTTAGGCAATTTGTCGTCAGCACTTCAGTCCGAACAGCGTGCTCTTGACATAAGAGTTAAACTCTTCGGCGAAGAACACCCAGACACAGCCGAAAGTTACTTTTCTATCGGAGTAATACAACATGCTTTAGGCAATTTCTCGTCAGCACTTCAGTCCGACCAGCGTGCCCTTGACATAAGAGTTAAACTCTTCGGGGAAGAACATCGAGACACAGCCGAAAGTTACTTCTCTATCGGAGTAACACAACATGCTTTAGGCAATTTTTCGTCAGCACTTCAGTCCAAACAGCGTGCTCGCGACATAAGAGTTAAACTCTTCGGGGAAGAACACTGAGACACAGCCGAAGGTTACTTTTCTATCGGACTAACACAACATGCTTTAGGAAATTTCTCGTCAGCACTTCAGTCCCATCAGCGTGCTCTTGACATAAGAGTTAAACTCTTTGGGGAAGAACACCGAGACACAGCCGAAAGTTACTTTTCTATCGGAGTAACACAACATGCTTTAGGCAATTTCTCGTCAGCTTTTCAGTCCCATCAGCGCGCTCTTGACATAACAGTTAAACTCTTCAAGGAAGAACACCCTGACACAGCAAAAAGCTACTTTAATCTTGTAGTAACACAACATGCCTTAGGCAATTTCTCGTGAGCACTTCAGTCTCAACAGCGTGCTCTTGACATAAGACTCTCCGGGGAAGAACACTCACATACAGCAGACAGTTACTTTAATCTCGGAGTAACACAACATGCCTTGGGAAACTTTTTATCAGCACTTCAGTCCGATCAGCGTGCTCTTGACATAAGAGTTAAACTCTTCGGCGAAGAACACCAGGATACAGCTCAGAGTTACTTTTCTATCGGAGTAACACAACATGCTGTAGGCAATATCTCGTCAGCACATCAGTCCAAACAGCGCGCTCTTGACATAAGAGTTAAACTCTTCGGGGAAGAACACCCAGACACAGCAGAGAGTTATACTAATCTCGGAGTAACACAACATGCCTCAGGAGACATTTTATCAGCACTTAAGTACAAACAGGGTGCTCTTGACATAAGAGTTAAACTCTTTGGCAAAGAACACCAAGACACAGCTCAGAGTTACTCTTCTATCGTAGTAACACAACATGCTTTATGCAATTTTTCTTCAGCACTTCAGTCCAAACAGCCTGCTCTTGACATAAGGGTTAAACTCTTCGGGAAGAACACCCAGACACAGCAGAGAGTTACGCTAATCTCGGAGTAACACAACATGCCTCGGGAGACTTTTTATCAGGACTTCAGTCCGATCAGCTTGCTCTTGACATAAGAGTTAAACTTTTCGGAGAAAAACACCCAGACACAGGTCATAGTTATCTTAATCTCGGAGTAACATAACATACTTTGGGCAATTTTACGGCAGCACTTTAGTCCGATCAGCGTGCTCTTGACATAAGAGTTAAACTCTTCGGGAAAGAACACCCAGACACAGCCTAAAGTTACTTTAACCTCTTAGTTACAGAACAAGCTTTAGGCAAATCGCTCTGACGAAGGGCCAACGCTCGAAACGTCAGCTTTTTTACTCTCTACGGTGGCCAATTGACGTTTTCAACTCAGTTGTTAACATTAAATTACAATTTAAATTAAGGTTACTTTTCACTCAGAGGCCGAAAAATCCCTTTTTGTTGATATTTGAGTAAACTGAATTCAAACATTTAACCTAACGTTTCCACTAAAGAGATTTCTAATATTTTTAAAAGCACCCGAGTTATTTAGAAAAACGTACTTTCAAAAAAAGTTAATAAATCAGGAGGGTGTCGTAATCTTGGACCTTGAATCTGCTGGGGGAATTTTCGCGGCAACCACTCATCTTGGGGCTCGTTTTCCATGTTATTTCCATAGTTTGTTTACGTCGCACACTTGACAAAATTCACAATGCGAAGTTCTTTGCTCACGGAAAAACCTTTACTCATCGAAAAATCAAAAGCGGAAGAAAGTCCTTGGTAAAAAAAAAAAAAAAAAAAAAGAGCTCTAGGCTAGCGTCCATATTTCGAACAAGGAGGTCATCGTCAAACAAAAATTTGCCATACATAATGTTAAAAACAAGGTCTCCTTTTATTTATGCAAGTACCAGCCTTGATACAAATCGTAATTTTGAAAGGTGTCTGTCGATCCGTTGTCTTGCTCCTCAGCACATTTTCCTGTTTTTCCATCTTAGCCTTTGGCGACTCTGCCCATTATTACGTCGTCCTCCTCAAAGTTCCACTGAGCGATCGAGTCTGCAATGGATTTCTTTTCCCGGGAAATCTTGATCCATCGTCATTGACACAGGGAGGTCCCGTTGTCCCATTGGTTTGCGGTTTCAGGAGGCGAGTTAAACTTCTAGCGCAGCGCCAGTTGTTTGCAAACCTTCATTAGCTAAAATCTCGCAATCGTCAGATTTCGCCAAAAATTTCAGGAATATTGACAAACGGAAGTGTGTCGGCAAACTTTGATATTTGAAATATTTGTCTCGCGTTGTCCATTTACGCAACACACCTCGAAAATTTTTAGCTACTCCAAGTTTAGATGCTGATATCTTGACAACCAATCAGAATATCAAAAAAGCCGAACACACTCTTGTTGATTGGTGCCTTGTGAACAAGACTGTGCAGCCGTTTTGTTCGTGCTGCGACATCCGATACCTGATAGATTCAATAGAAGAACCATCGGTCGTTTTATTGTAAACTGCAGTTCGTAAGCTTTCTTCTGATGTATAGTTTGCTAGGATTATGGTGAAACTAGCACTCCAACGATTTTTTTTTCCCGAAGGACACCCGCGAAGGTGGGAAGTAACCTGAACAACTCAGTTGATAAAACCAAATTATCTTGCTATACTCTCCCACTGACGCAGCACCACAGTTTATTTAGAAACTCCCTCCCTTTAATGATAAAACCCAGTTGAAGGACTCCTTCCCTTTTAAGCTATGTAGAAGAGTAAACCCCGGTCACTCTGGGAAGAAAAGTGACTTGGATTTGCAGAAAAATTAAACGATTTTGGGAAAACTTGAAGGAACCATTTAGTCTTGTTTTTTTTCTTTAACTAAAATAAAAGATTTTTAACTTCACCTCAATGTTTCTTTTCAGAAACTTCATTAAAAAACATTTCCTGTCTAAATCTGAGTTTACTCGAGATAAAAATGTCATTTTTGACGTTTAAGTGACATGGGAACGAATTAGTTGAAGAGGTTCGCGTGGCATCATGGAAGTTTCGGGTTACTCATTCGTTTCGCGGGAAAATTAAGTCATTGTAGGTCGGTCAGTCTCATGTTTGACCACTTTCTTTTCTGTATTTTTTGTAATTTTGGTATTCCAGCTCCCTGTAAAATATTACAATCATTGATTTTTCTTCCTTAGTACTAGAAGACTGACTGGCTCATCCTGAATAAACTTTTCACATTGAATTTATCGTGTGAGTGTTGTCAGGATGACAACTTTACATTCACTCTAGAATATGAAAAAATAAATAAGTCCCTACCTCTCAGACCCTGTCTCAACCTGTAAAATTTTTTCTTATTTAAAATTTTAAAAAATGCACCTTAGGTTGAGGACATGAAAGATGTGAGAATGCTTTTTCTTTACAAGCTGCATCAACTGCGTGCAAACGAAGATTTCGACGAGGACTGAAAAAGACGGTTTCTCGCTTGCGGTGTTCGGTTCAAGATTAGAACAAAGCACTCCCGTTACTGAATGATTAGTTAATTGCCTTCCTGTTTTGTTTTCTATGGCGAAATCTATGGTAATAATGGGTAGCTGTGTTCGTTTCTGTTTACATAACATGTTATTCCTTATTTCTTTGGTTAATGCTCCAGAGTTTCGTTGCTGTAGAGTAATTTCCTTGGCAAACCAAAAGCTAACTTTTGACGAAATAATCAGCTGCACGATGATTTTTCGCCTAGAAGTGATCGGGCAGTTTCACTGCAAACTGCTCCTTTCCTCAGAGATTGTAAAGGCAGAGGCCGGCGTCGTCGAACCGGTCAAACGAAAAACGAGTGAGTTTAAAGTCATCTGATTCAAGTTAATCTCAAATAGGGATTTTAATACAGAAAAACCTTCTTTAGTTTAAGTGTGGCATTGCCATGCGACCCATTTCGCACAACACTTGGATTCGCTACCATGCATCTAATTCAATAATATTTGCGTTTCTTTAATTATCTCATTGCAGTGCTGTTATCACAATGATATTGCTACTGTTGCTACTTTTAGTTTCTTGAGGGCTCGTGGGATGGATTTTCGGAAACTTAAGTTAGGAGAATACACGGACCCTTCGAGCTTGTGTTTATGCCAGTATCCGCCAGAGGTTCACGCCACAGGATATCGGTCAGCTCAGGAAACGGCTTGAACTTTATCACAAATGATGCATTTCTGTTATTGAAATACGACATAAACTAAAATTGGTAGGATTTTCATACGATAAGAGAAAAAAGCGCAAATGTAGTCGTGTGGAAAGACAGAGTATGAGTACATCTCAAGCGCGTGAAATAAGGAGCTCACTATTCTTCGCTTGCGAAATGTCAGCCGAAAAGAATGTTGAACAATCGTGTACGGTGTGGGAACAGGCTACTTAATCAGCATCCTCTTTAGCTGAATTCTTTGATTATCTTGCCCTGATTTAACTCAGTAGTTATATGTGTTTGTAACAGGCGTCTTCGAAGCCGTTACGGAGCAGACGGCCAACGACATTGAAGAGTAAAATCTCCTCGATGTCGACGATCTAGACACGCATTACGTCCGTCCTTCTTTCCAGATTTTTCCTTTCTCCACCATAACTGCCGACGTGTCTTCACATTTTTCTACGTCACAGCTATAACTTAATCATTTTTGGCCGCGCGCTTTATGGAGACACTTTTTGAACGCTAAATCGTACGTACGTATACATTCCTTTTAGGTTAGAGAATCCTAAATGAGCAAATAAACGACATATTATTCGAAGCCAAATTTTCTACAGTTTTTTTTGACACTTAATCGACGGCCATTTTTGAAAACGTTCCGATCCAGGTTACGTGATTGATACACCACACGTGTATAAGGCAGTGAAAAGGGTAGCCTGAAAAACAGGCTTAAGTTTGGCGAGCGAGTGGTATGTATTTTCTGAATGAAAATTATGGCCGCTATCTTTGATTTTAATGGTAGCGGAAGGCTTAGGGAGAGAAAGAAATTTGTACTACGGGGGCGGTCGACGGTCAAAAATAAGAAGAAGAAGGGTAGGGGTGGAGGAGTGAAGATTCTCGCCCCGTACCCCCACTGTTTACTCTGACTCCAAATCAAACATGGCCGGTCGGATAAACGAACGCGAGCTTATAACGTTAGCTCCCACTAATAAGAAACCTACACTGCAGGCTATGAAAAGGGTCATGCTAAGACCTGAAAGTAACAACTTCGCCCTCGCTCTTCAACCGCTACCGAGCGGAAAAAAATGTATTTGTTCCATTTTGATACAAGCCACCATTTAGAGACTATGAAATACGAAGCGAGAAATACGGATCGCGTATCTGTATTCAGAGCCACGGGTAAATTACATGCCATACCAAACAGAGATAAAAAAATAGTTATATATATTATTTTTTCCTCTTGACCATGATCGAGACTGTTACTTATAGAAATATTTTTTAGTCCACGCCGAAAAGTATCAAAGTTAAGATTTTGTCCGGTGTATATCACTGTGACCTCAAGCCCATCGATTCTGGAATGAGCGTAACATAAGAGCAAAGTGTCGTCACGTATTATGGGAGGTCTTGATCTGGTTTTGTGAACGAAGCTCTTCTTCCAGGTTCCGAAAATATACAAGATTTATACTTTCTGTATCTTTTTTTAACGGAGACCAGTGAGCAGCACAAAGAAAGACTACTTGGTGTTGTAACTTTTTGTTAATTTTTTCCGACGCATTTTGTTTGAGACTTCTTCAGGGATGAGTACAATTAACATTGAACACTATACATAGCACATTCGTGTCCGTAAGTATGACTTCCAGCGGAAGTGAATAATAACAGAAACATGTTGTAAACCGACGTAACAAGAGACGTCTTGTTATCAGCGCTACACTCAAGCATTGTTTCTCATTTGCAACCGGAAAATATGATGAAATAAATCTTGTCTGCAATGTTACTCGTTTCAAAAATGTACCACTGTCAGCTGAGTGAACAGTAAATTACTCACGCTCGTTTATCGTAAATAAAACAGGCCGACAGCCTGAGAGAGGAAGCCATGAAAGCACATGTCATGAGACTGCCTAGCACCCACAATATTAAACGCAATATCTTGGTTAAGAAAACGAACCGAGTAAGCGACCCAATCGTGTGACGGAAATAACAAGCTCGTAATAAGGTAAGATTGAGGAAAGGAGTGGTTATTTCTGTTAAGACTAAGTCAGGGAATTTTGAAGAGCAGGCGTGTTTGTGAGTCGTCCATTCTGTTTTTTTTTTTTTTTTTTTTTTTTTGCACCTTTTAAGTAAGTAGAAGTAAGCGTTAGGTGAGCGCTATGGATGAAAAAGAAGTTATTCCTGCTCTATCGCGTGTTTTGAAGAGCATTGCTCAGGGGCCATGTTTATTTCAAAAAGGAAATGGAGCAATGCTGAGTGTATTGACCAGATTCAAAGGGGAATTTCCCTTTCTAAGGCGCGTTTGACCCGTAAACATCACGCCACATTTCTTAAAAACAATGAATTCTTCATTGCTTAGGCATTTAGCGTATTAAGGGTTAGTTTAGAATTTCTGTGTGGTATGAATAGCAAGTCATAACACAGCCACTCTCCGGATAAATTTCGAGTTGCATTCTCGCAGTTCGTCCAATAATCATTCAGATACTCAGTTTGTGCGTCTGCCATCATGATATTTCGCGCTCTAACTTGAAATTCGAGGTAGGTGAGTAACAGTTTTCTTCAACTACACCTTAAGTTGTTCATTATCGCCACTGTGTGTTTGTCGACGAATCCGGTGACAACTTTTGGACGGCCAGAAGTCACGGTAAAGCGCAGTAGGGAGAATCTGATTTACGCGCAGATGATCGCTTTTTGTCGCTTATGAATGTGACTTCACGCAATTGTTCGCATTTTCAAAGAAATGAATGCGTATTTTCTCGTAATGAACAGCAAAAGGTTTATTAACGAACGTTTTGAGCCGCTTTTAGCAGGAATTAAAACGCAATCTTTTGTACCCTTCAATTTCCTGTTATCATCAATTGCGCAATAATTTGTTTCTTCGTGCTTGTCGTTCATGCCATGCAAGTTCGTAATCCCATTTATTTAGGATATCTTGTCGGAAGTTAATACTTTGAAAACTTGAAAGAGATTTGAAATTTCATAAACATGTAAATAAAAATACCGTGATATTATGATATCAAACGTGAAATTATTTCAAACTGTTTGCTGGCAAAGAAAAGTTTGTATCAATAAAGTGGAGTTGAGGTTTGAGAAAAACTAGATTTTGACGCTATACCAAGCTTATTGAAGTGAATTTTTTTGAAGGACTTTAAGTTCTAAGATGCACATTCATCCTATAGCGTCACAATCTTGGATTTCTCGGTTTCCGCATTGTAATAAGATACAATTGTTTCGGTTGAACCTCGAGGGAGAAATCTTTTGGTTTCAATTACAAAGTGCGAGGACTTGGCATCCAAACAGGAAGCAGATTCAAAGCGTAAATCTTTATTCTAATTAGAGTTGAGTTTTCACCTTTTCTCAAGTCAATTTAGCTGTGTAGCCACTTTCCGTATCCGTGCCGTTATGCGCAATTGATAGAGCCAGTGCGCATGTGCGATTAAGTATTTATTAAAACGAGAATAGCATGACGAAAGAATATTTTACCTTTTCCTCTCACATATATCAATCGCTGTTTCATTTCACTTAATATGTATCTATGCTTGAACAAATTGAATCTTTCTCAGGATTTAGGTCGAGGATAGCTGTCTCCAGTGCTAACGCCGAGAATGGCTTTACAGCCTTTTACAAACAAGCAGCTGAATTACTTCAAATTTGCCTCAGTTGTAGTAAATGAATTCGCCACTGCTTTGCGTCAGACGTTCAAATCCATGTGGGACAATAGATTTGGACATCGTCCCGGATATCAACTGTGGGATAACTCCACGGTAGTAAGAAATTTGTTTCTCGCTGAAGAAGGTGGAAAAAGCAAAGTTCCTACACACATCTCCTATGAAGAATGGGATTGTACCGCTCTGTTCCAGGCCACCATCTATGCAAGGTCCTTCGCTACGCCAGATAGCAAAGGTCATTACAAGACACTCAGTGAAATGTACGTAAGGCACCATAAAGTACCTCCCGGAAAGTTCCATCCATCTGTTGTGAGTCCAAGTGGAAATACCGTCGAAACCTTCGCTCTTGCGATTGATCAGCTTCGACTTTTACGAAACTTCCTTTGTCACGCAGACAGGTCAGAGATTGATAAACCAACCTTTGACCAATACGTGAAGCTTGCTAAAGAAGCATTCAAAGCTCTTGGAATCATAACAGATCCAATTGATGCCACCGGTGGACTGACAGAGTCTGACTTTCCCACCAAAGAAGTTCGCAAATTGGAAGAAAGTCTTAGACAGGAGACCAGATCATACATCGAGTGTCTCGAAGAACTAAGATCAGGTGTCGAGTGTCTCGAAGAAGTGAAATCAGGTGTCGACAAATTAATAGCACAGGGGAATGCGATAAAAGAAAAAGTTGATGACCTCGCTTTGTTGAAGGGAGAAATAGATGATTTGAAACTTAACATGGATGAAGATCAAACAGGTATAAACTGATTAAAAGCTTTACAGAATTTTTTGATTAACAACAATTTAAGATGTAATATGGCAGTCTTATAACCATTAGTTTGGCAGGGAGGAACTGAAATGAAATAGCAGCGTTTCTGCTCTTTCTCTAGTAATAATAGTTCAACGGGGCAACTTCCAGTTTTCGCAAAAGTGCTTCGTACATGTCTTGAAAATCCTGTCTTCGTCCCTAAAATGATTTTATTCTATAATCAGAATACCACCTTAAACTATCTGTTATCTTTTATTTTAAAACAATTTGTTCAAGAAGTAAGCCGCAGCCACTATATTTACCGGCATCGTGACTCTTGTGGGATGTTGTTAAGATTACAACCTCACGGAAAGAGTAAGAAGCTCATGATTAAAGCTGTGTCCCTAAAACATGATTTCCACATTTTTAATGGTACAGTAAAATGTACTATTTATTATCATCGTTATTTTTCTCTCCAAACTACCGACATGAGCTCTTTCATAATTGCATCAATTTGCTTCTTTTAAGATTCAAAGCCGTTCCTTCCACCATCAAATCTTCCTTCAAAGGTTCCACACTTCACTGGCCGTCAGAGAGAATGTGAAGACATCAGCAGTCACTTAACTTCCAAACGTTCCCGGATCGTGTCGGTATGGGGCTCGCCTGGTTTTGGTAAGACTTCTGTGGCAACTGAAGTCGGACATCGACTTCAAACTGGTGGACTTCTCGTATACTTCTTCTCCATGAGAGGGCTTCTTTCAAAGGCCGATCTGACCACGCAGCTTCTGAGCTTCTTTAGAAGACTCTCCACAAGAGATCAAATTCCTCAGCAGATGTCCATAGAAGAAGAACTTTTTCTCTTTCTAAGAGACATTTCAGGTGAATTTGTGATGATTCTTGACAATGCCGATGAGTTACTCGAAAGTGGAGCACCGAATGTGAAGGAGGATTTCATCAACCTTCTGGAAGTCATTCTTAGTCAATTCAAAAATTTAACATTTCTTCTTACCACAAGGGAATCTCTTGAATTTATGAATGTGCATTTTGAAGGCCATCAAGCAGTAAGAATAGGGCCATTACACGAGTCCTTCTCTCAAACCTTAGTCGGCGGATTACTTCCTAAAGCGACCGCGTCTGACTGCTCGAAAATTGCGAAAATCTGCGGGTTCGTACCTTTGGCCATGAAACTGTTGTGTTCCTCCATTACTGAAGATAATGCTCAGCCGAGTCAATTTTTAGATACCTTCAAGGAATCAATAGAAAGTAGCCTTTTCGAGCTATTGGACAATCCAGATTATCCAAGCTATCTGCGATTAAAGTTCCTATTTGAATCCTCTTTTCAGAGACTCTCTTTATCTGAAAAAGAAGCGTTGGCATCACTTAGTGTTCTTTCTGGAGATTTTAACCACTCAGTTGCTGCAGCTGTCATGGGTGTAAAAGCAACTCTGGAGGCCAAGAAAATCTTGCATAGGCTTCGGAGAAAGTCTTTCCTCGACTCTAGCTCCAAACCTGAGTCATTTTCGATGCATAAGTTGATTCTGTCGTTTGCAAGAGGAAGAGGTCAAGATGAAATGAAAGAAACTATGCTGAACGCCAAAGCACGTTTGTCTGCATTTTACGTCTCTCTTTTCGAGAAGCTAAATAAACAGTTTTTGACAGGACAATCCATGCAAGCATTTATTGATTTCTATGAAGAGAGGCAGAATATTATTCAGAGTCTTATGGAGAGCTGCACCGATCCTAAGACATGTGACGTTGCATTTGGTGTCCTGACAAAGGCGGAAATCTTTCTAGATTCCCTTTTCTGGTGCGAGGGAAAAATTATCGACAAAATTTATGATCACGCAACTGAAAAAGCTCAGGCGTTTGGAAAGAGCGTGTTCTATAGTCAGTTACTGTTGTCCTTGGCATTCACCGAAGTGACTTGGGGGATACATGGAAGATCGATGACGCTACTCTCTAAAGCCGAGGGCTTTTCTTTGTCGGTAGATGATAAAAGAAAACTCCTTTGTTATAAAGGCATCTGTCAACTGGTTTCAGGGAAAATAGATGACGGAGCTGAGAACTTACAAAAAGCTCTTTGCATGGTGAGTGATAGCCCCGAACAGCGAATTCTCACAGTATTTGCACTGCAAATTCTTGTTACTTACTTTCTTTTCAAGAAAAAGAAAGCAACTTCTCTGGAGCTTTACACCACAGCCTTACATGAATGCAGAGCATTAGGAGACACAAGTCTCCTTGTTATTCCTCCAGTGAATAACAAAGAATTGAGAATAATCGAGGCAGATATGCCAAAGGCAGATGTTACAACCATTCAACCACTTAGATTAGAAATGATATGCGTTGTTAGCAAAGCGACAGAAATGTTCTATGACTATGAAACAAAGCAAGCAATAAGCAAATCTGTACTAAGGATGTCAAATGAAATAGATAAACAGATCCTCCCACATTTCATTGGTTCATGGACCTTCCAGCGCAACGTCAATTCGACACTTAAAAATGTACTGAATAATCCCGAGGAAGCAACAAAGTTGTGGGACACATGGATAAATTATCATAAAATGACCTTAAAACAAAGTGCAAAAGTTAATGCAGGAGATAAAGCTAAACCCAACAATCATCTTGATTTAAATTGGCATCAAGAAGGACTACTAAGAAGCTATTTGGACCGTGGCTGCGCTATTCATCAGATGCAAAACTATCCTGGTGCCATTCACTCCTTTCAACTTGCCCTCGACATTGCAATAGGACTCTTTGGGGAAGAACACCCAGACACAGCTCAAAGTTACTTTTCTCTCGGAGAAACACAACATGCCTCAAGCGACTTCTCGTCAGCAGTTGCGTCTTTTCAGCGTGCTCTCAAAATTAGAACTAAACTCTTCGGGAAAGAACATCCAGATACAGCTCAGAGTTACTTTTCTCTCGGAGTAACCCAACATGCCGCAGGCGACTTTTTGTCAGCACTTCAGTCCAAACAGTGTGCTCTTGACATAAGAGTTAAACTCCTAGGGGAAGAACACCCAGACACAGCGAAGAGTTACTTGTCTCTCGGAAAAACCCAGCACGCCTCAGGCGACGTTTTGTCAGCCTTTAAGTCCAAACAGCGTGCTCTTGACATTAGAGTGAAACTGTTTGAAAAAGAACACCCAGAGGAAGCTAAGAGTTACTTTGACCTCGGAGTAGCACAACATGCCTCAGAAGACTTTTTGTCAGCACTTCAGTCCAAAAAGCGTGCTCTTGACATAAGAGTGAAACTCTTTGGGGAAGAACACTCAGACACAGCTCAGAGTTACTTTTCTCTTGGAATAACCCAACATGCCTTAGGCGACTTTTTGTCAGCATTTCAGTCCAAACAGCGTGCTCTTGACATAAGAGTTAAACTTTTTGGGGAGGAACACCCAGACACAGCTAAGAGTTACTTTGACCTCGGAGTAACACAACATGCCTCAGGCGACTTTTTGCCAGCACTTCAGTCCAAACAGCGAGCTCTTGACATAAGAGTTAGACTCTTTGGGGAAGAACACCCAGACACAGCTAAAAGTTACCTTGACCTCGGTGTAACCCAACATGCCTTAGACGACTTTTTGTCAGCACTTAAGTCCAAACAGCGTGCTCTTGACATAAGAGTGAAACTCTTTGGGGAAGAACACCCAGACTCAGCTCAGAGTTACTTTTCTCTCGGAGTAACCCAACATGCCCTAGGCGACTTCTTGACAGCACTTCAGTCCAAACAGTGTGCTCTTGATATAAGAGTTAAACTTTTTGGGGAAGAACACCCAGACACAGCTAAGAGTTACTTTGACCTCGGTGTAACCCAACACGGCTTAGGCCACTTTTTGTCAGCACTTCAGTCCAAACAGCGTGCTCTTGACATAAGAGTTAAACTCTTCGGGGAAGAACACCCAGATACAGCCGAGTATTACTTCTCTCTCGGAGTAACCCAGTTTACCTCAGGCGACGTTTTGTCAGCACTTCAGTCTTTTCAGCGTGCCCTTGAAATCAGAATTAAGCTCTTAGCGGAAGAACCAAACAAAGCTTAGTGTTACTTTTCTCTCTTAGAAACACAACATGCTTTAAGCGACTTCTCGTCTGGCGTTCAGTCTTTTCAGCCTGCTCTTGAAATTAGAGCTAGACGATAGTTACTTTACTCTCGAAGTAACCCATCATGCCCCACGCGACTTTTTGTCAGCACTTGAGTCCAAACAGCGTGCTATTGACATTAGAGACTATTCGGGGAAAACACTCAGACACACCTCAGCGTTACGTTTATCTCGAAGAAACACAAAGTGCTTAGGCAATTTCTTGTCAGCACTTCAGTTCGATCAGCGCGCTCTTACAGTTTTACAATTCAAATGAAAGATTTTTCGCTTCATTTCAACGTTTCATTGCAGAAACTCGATTAAAAACATTTCACGTCTCAATATGAGTTTATTTGAGATGAAGACAAGTTTACATTCACTCTATAATATGAAAAAATAAATAAATTCCCACAGAATCAAGGTCACAATATCCCTGACTTCTCTGCTTTTTGTTTTTGTTTACACCATAGTCTTGTTAATGTTCGTGTATCCAGCCCCTACACATGATAGCAAGATTTTACTCTTTCCTCCTGCTACACTGTTGTCATCATCACTCTGTTGTGCTTGTATTTTGAACATCACTCCAAAAAATTCTTTTAGATGCCTCAAAAATTGAATGCTGTAAAAGAGTTGATGATAGTATTGAGGAAATTAAAAAAATTACTGAGTAGAAGGAAAACAATAACATTAATAATGAACCTGCCACCACCAAGCCGTCTCTCCCCTCTCTCCCCACTTACTTTTCTCCATTTCTCCTTCCTTCCAACACTTTCCTTTCTTCCTGTCTATCTCACCTCTCTTTCATCTCCTTCTATTCTTCATCATCTCCCTTTCTTCCCTCTCTTCCTATTATCCATTCGACCTTTCCTCTCTATCTGAGCTGCACTCGTCTTCATCTCCCATCATCCTCTACACCTCACCTCCCTGCCACCCTGTCCCTCTCCTTCTTCCTATCTCCCCTCTCTTCTTTATCTTTTCCTTCCTCATCATCTCCTCTCCTTCTCTCTTTCCCTCTCCACCCCTCTGTCTCCCTCCATTTCCCCTCCCTCCCTCATTCCCCCCCCTGTCCTCCTCTAAATTTCCCTCCCCCTACAATGCCTCTATCCTCTCTCCATTCCCCCTCCCTCCCTGTCCTCCTCTAAATTTCTCTACCTCCTCCTGCCCCCCTGCTACCTCATTCCCCTCCACTGTGCCCTCCATATACCCCCTACAATGCTTCTATCCTCTCTCCATTCCCACTCCCCCTCTGTCTCCTCCTTTGTGTCCTCCATCATACTCCCTAACACTGCCTCTTCCCACTTTTCAATCTCTCTGTTTCTCCTCCTTCTCCCTTTTCTCCTTTTTGCAATTGAATGAGAGCCAGACTGATGCCAAGCAGTTAAAAAAATCGTTCCAAATAACACACAACAGATCATAACTCCAGCAAACAGAAAATTGTGTGAATTTATTTACTCTTTTCACTGAGAGACATTATCAACTACTTACATAAATGGAGTCAGTGGACCAGTGAGAATTTTAGAAACATCCCTTTGTCCCAGAATCATGTAAAGGAGAACAACACTCTGATGGCGAGAGTCAACACAGCCTCCCTATCAAAGGAGAAAGATAAATAATAATGGTAAGTCTCATTTCAGAATATAAAGATATACTTTAATCATTTTAAAAGCTAGTATGAGTGTAAGCCTGATCACCAGCTGCCAAGAGTTCTTAATGAAGTGCATTTTGATTGAGTGTCGTACATCCAAAACTGAAAAGCAATCACAGTAGCCAACCAGAATAAAGGAACATATCATGAGCCAATGAAGGATCCAAGTATAAACAAGAAAACTGACCAAAGCAGGAAAAACCTTACCTTGTAAATTTCTTCAAGTAACATTTCAGCTGCCTGTTTGCCAAGATCCTCAGGGACAACTGCCTGACCCTCCCCTACTGGGGTAGATGATGTCTGAACACTTAGCATGGCACCAGTTGTTGATTCTGCAACTAATGAGATCCCAAACCCTGGTGACCTGGAGGAAGACATTTTTAATCATGATTATCATTAATCTGATGACTAATGGTGTACCATGCTTATGACAAAAGAACACATTGCATCTCTGGTATTAAGAGACTCTGAAAAGCTTACTTATCGTAATATCACCAGCACAACAGAAGTGCACTGACTCAGTTGCATTAGCAAATCTGAGCACGAGAACTAGCAAGCGTTATAACTTTGCCTTCTTGGACAAGACACCTTACCCTCACAGTTCCTCTCTCTGCTCAGGAGTATGAATGGGTACTGATAACTTCTTAAATAAATCTAAAAAAATGCCAAGGACAATTTACAATGGACGGTCACCCTTTACAGGGGAGGGGGAGGAGTAGTAAACCTTCTCATAAATTTTGCCACTTTGGATATTAAGAAATATGGTTGTCATCTTCTCATGAGCACAGAACAAAGAAAAAAATTCTGAGTCCCCATGAGGAATTGAACCTCAAACCTTCAGATTCCACACTCTCATGCTCTACTACTGAGCCACAGAGACTCTAAGGGCCCATTATGAATTTCATATATGACAAATATCCTGCACTCTGCTAGGATCAGCAATGTTGATAGCACCACATTTTGTAAATAGAAGAAGAAACATGGTAAGCTTTAAGCTAAATAAGGGCAGTAAATATCCACAGCAAGACAAAAAATTATCTTTCTATATTTAATATAGAAAGATAATTTTTTGTCTTGCTGTGGATATTTACTGCATGAATTGTGGTGAAACATGCTGATTCCCTGGTAAAAAAGTTAAAGGTTTGTTGTAAAATGACATACTTTCCAGATTGACCTCCTTTGCAGTGATCTGTATAAATGTAGATATCGGACACAAACTGGTTCAATACACCACGCACTGCGTCAACCACCCTATTACAAATAGCTGGAGAAACTCTCATAGCATACCTGTTTAAGGTTTGGTTAAGGCAAATCAACTTTTTTCAAAAAAAAAATAGTGGTCTATGTGTAATGGCCTCTGTAACAGCAAAAATGTTATCACAAAAACTTGAAATATCTTTTATTGAGACAGCAACAATACTAGTTGTAGAAGTAGTAGGTTGAAGCTAATAACATAAATTATTTAAGAGAACTGCGCCAAGAGTAACTTTTGGTAAACTGACTTAAAAGTGATAACACATACAAGAAACTGGCTTTAAATACAAGAGGACTATGAAATAACATGCAGTATGGAAATGTGAGAAAAGGTGTGCCTGACAAGGAAAAACGCTAACAAATTTAACAAAAAACACTTACAAGGAGGTATGGAAAATACAAAGAATGAAATAAATGAGTCCAAACAAATTACATGAAAAATAATCAGCAAGCACTTTGATCTTGCAGTCCCTGTAATATAGCTATAACACTTATACCAAGGGGAAAAGTAAAGGATACGCAAGGCCTCTTATTCTTTTTATCTTACCAGGATCTGTGAATTGTAATGGCCGCAAGTTTCTCCTCACAGGACAAGAGAATACCACCTCCCCTCCTCCCTCTGGAGGTGCTCCCCTTTTCACAATCTGTGACAAAAAAGTCAATGAAATGATAATACATGTATTTCATCATTTTCTGAACAGCTATTTACATCAATTGCAACAAATTATAAAAATTGATTAAAAAGGAAAAGAGTTCAAATCCCACAGGATTGTTTTGGACACCAACTTTGCCCCAATTCAATTGTTTTGGTAAAAAATACGGCCCCTGTAATGTTCAGTAAGAATGATCTATTGCAGTCCTCTTTCCTCTACTAACCAGAAAAAAGCACTTTAACATTACTTTTTAACTCAATATTAATTATTCAAAGACACTTACCTCATCTATTACCTTCATATAGTGAATAACTTTTTATCCTAAATTAAGGGGCACTATATGAGGTATCTAGATGTGCCTCTCCCCTCTGCTCTAATATTTAAATGTACAGAATTAGAATTGCTTAGCTATTATGGTGACCTTGTTGATTACATGACTTAAATTACTACTTCATGGAGTAGAGATTTATTTAACCATGTTGAAAGGGGCAGCTGAGTCATATTATTTAACTTTCTTTCCAGCTAAGTTCACTAATGGTACAATTAATGCATGACTCAATCTTTTGCAGGTGTTAAAATTCTACTTGGAAATCATTAATAATGATAATAATAATAATAATAATAATAATAATAATTAAATTCATTAATAATAGCTAATGATACCTTTAAATCTAAGCCTTCATCATCCACCACAAACTTCTTTACCAGAGGGAGAGTAACTGTTTTAATGATGTCAACCTAAAATAACATCATTCAGCAATCATCAAATTCTAGGAAAGGCACATTTCTCAGAAGTAATCTAATTATGCACCTCTATACAAGCTCATTTTCCATCTTATTTTTGTCTACACTGTTAGATATGAAATGAGAGTTTTTACAAAACAGAGAGAAACTGGAAAATATCAACACAAAATTTGAATTAACATTTGATCTTTTTTGTATTTAACTCTTTACAACCTCACATCAGTATCCATATTTGACGTACTGTTTTATTCTTTATATATTTGCTTTGGTGATGACAAGGAACATTTGTCCAACAGTCAAAGCTTCTTGTGTTGGTGATCATTTCTGTTATTCTCATGATGTTCTTGAATTATACAGCAGTGTACTTTAAGGAGAAGTTAGAAGCTCATCACTCTGAGGGCTTAAAGGGTCAATTCTCCACAATAAAAAAATATGATATTATTTCTGGCTTACTGTTGGATCATGTCTGTCATTTGTTATTCCTTTCAGAGTAAGTCTGATAGGTTTCTTGCAAAATGGTGCCAGCAGCACCACTGCTTCTAGGTAATAACCAATGGATCTTTGAGGATTACAGTCATGGTCAATGGTTCCTCCAGTTAACAGGCCAGGTTTATAAAACAGCATTGTACCTTTGGAAAAGGAAACAGAGTAACCAAACATAAGAATAATATAGCTTTAATAATGAGGTCCCATTAGGAAGGGGGGGGGTCCAGGTGTCCCCTATAGTATTAATGTTTGGCTTAAACATCCTGTATCCTGTTACTTCCTGTAGTTTCTATCCTAAAATTCAAGTTTACATCCTGGAATATCTATTTTAAATATCCCTTTCATTTTTTCCTTAAGTATCCCGTATCCCTATAACCTTTTAGCCAAATATTCCGTATCCCGATAATCCCTAATAGGACCTCTTTAATGGACATTACCTGGCCGGGCAGTGCTATCATTCATTAAAATCTTATAAACAAATAACAAAAATTATCTGATAAATTATCTGAAGACTTACCTGTTTCATTAATTTCTATTCGTGATCCGTTTGTTACCTTGTCCAGGAGCCGTATAAAACTTGCTTCAAAGTCTTTAAAGGGTTACATAGACAGCAAAAATTCTCAAATTAGACAACAAAACACGAAGCATATTTTATATAAGTTTTTTACAGCCGAAGTCAGCAGCTGAAAGGGCTGTGATTTCTTAATCAGTTCGATAATGGACGCACCTTTCAGCCCAGGATCGTCTTCAACAGCTCTTATGTTTTTTATTTTCACCGATTTACCGCTAAGCGTCGCCAAAACAAGTCTTTGTCGGAAAAAATTACAACCTTCGTATGTCAAATCAGCCGCCATGTTGAAAAACGCACGTGGGTGACCTTTCCACTTGTCATATATCAAGTACTCTTTTACTTTGTATTTTGCTGCTGGACCGGTAACTTACGTTTTCGTTCAAAATGGCGGACGACGATTTGGAAGGGTGAGTGACAATGACATTCCAAATCAGCGAATCTTGAGATCTTTTCCGCAGAGATTCACTTGTAGACAACTTAATACCGAATTAAAGTTTTTTCGCATTTTATATGTCGATCAAAAGTCATTTCTTGTCGCAGTGGTTGATAACAGTGGAAACGAAGCAATCGTTGTCTAATTTACTTTCTAAGAGCAAAAGTCGCGATGGAGAACTTTCTCGATTTTCTTCCAGGTATGATGATGACCTCGATGAGGTCGAAGAAGAAGACCACTTTGAAGATGTGGATGACTTAGAGGTAAGCTTTCTAGCCATTATTTTCTGAATAAGTTAATTTAGTGGATCTACCATAATTTTGACAACGCACGTGTAATTTCGGTTACATTTGAGTCAAACATCACTTACTGATTATCAGAATCAAATAAATGGAAATTTTTAGTTTGATATAGTAACGATACTCTCAGAGAGGATAGTAATGATCTTTTTCCCGACAATGTAGAATGACGTCCCAGTTTGAAGGCACTTACATTTCTTTCAAACTCAGAAAACCATCGTGTCCGGAATAATAATTTGTCATGACCAATCATATGTGAGATCAGGATGTGTAGGTAAAATTAAATACTAGAGTACAAGCTAATCAGCGCTTACTGCGTGAGGCTGAGATTTCTCACACCTGACTGATGGCTAGCTGCCATGTTTTCTTGCATAGATCAAATTTTATAAAGTAATATTCACTCTGAAGTTCATGGTTTTCTGAGTTTCACAGTAATCAAAAGTGGTAAAATACTTCTTTATAGCTATTTTCCTTTCCTGGTGGAGGTTGTATCTAATATCCTATTGTGTTTTTTTTTCAGCCAACAGAAGACACAGATAATATTGATATTTTACCCACAACAGGTATGGTTTACAATAATTTTTGAACAGTGTTCTATAAAATCTCAGTTAAATAAGGTACCGTAATTTCCGGTCGATTACCCGCACGGCCGATTACCCGCACCGGCCGATTATTGCATACGGCGAAAAAAAAAGTCAACGGATTACCCGCACCGGTGGATAACCCGCACGTTGTTATTCAACTTTTTCGGTGGCGAAAACGTGACATTAAGGCGATACATTTCAGTCTTTCGATTCAGACATGTGCACAATTCTGTGTCAATATTAGCTTATACTTTATTGATAAAATTATACAGTGAAAATTGAACAGTAAAATTATACAGGGCGAGTGTTAAAAACTTGAATGATAAAGTAAGTTCAGTTCAAAATCCATTAAAATCTTCATCCTCAGTGTCACTATTAAATAAGTCCATTAACTGCGCATCGAGTACAGGATCCAGAATTGCGGTAGATGTTATTTGTTCATCGTCACTGATGTCGGATGTCTGAGATGCATCATCGTCGGTGCCACTTGCAATTCCTGCTTTTCTAAAACCATTCTTGATGGATGAAACTTTTACAGCCTTTACATTAGTTAAGTTTCGCACCTATTATTTTCAACATTCTGGTGATGCATTTGGGATTTAAAATTACTGTCGGCAATTTCTCAAAAAAATCGATATCTCCTGTTCTACTGGGCCTAACAAGTCCCTTAAAACGGGAAAATTCTCTTTAGCTCAAGCTAGTGAAAACTGGAAATTTGTTACTGATGCGCCGGATATCCTTGGATTATTTTTGTCACCATCAAGGTTTTGTTTTCACGCGTGCCGATAAAAATTTGTTTGTCACGCAACTAATTATGCGTGAAATAAACTCGAGTTGGCATCATGTTTTCGTGCCGCTTTGTGGCACTTTTGATACAATAAAATTCATTTGAGAGGTGGAAACGCAGGTAGGTGAGAAATTTTTTCAATTCAACTTCCAGAAGAATTTAAAATTGTCACATAACCCGCACCTCCCTATTACCCGCAGTGGCGCGGATTTAATGCAAAATCAACAGATTACCCGCGGGTAATCGACCAGAAATTACGGTAATCCATGAGAACAAAACCAAAAACTCCAGAAGTTGTGGCCACTTGGCCTCAAAGTGTTAACCATGTTAAGTATAAGACAAAAGATGAGAAAATGTTTTTTGCATTTTATTTTCATTTTATTAAAGTAGGGAAGTTGCATGATCCTTCAAAGTTGCTACTACAACCCTTATGAGTGAATGTCTCACAATGTCAGGCTGAAGAACATTTTATAACAGTTACTGGACAAATTTAATTGCTTAAATGTAATATTAGTTCGCACTTTTTATGTCAATTTGCAGAAGAAAGCCAAGAACCAACAAAAAGAATCACAACACCATATATGACAAAATATGAGAGAGCAAGAGTATTAGGAACTAGAGCACTGCAGATAAGGTACTTGACCCTTTAACTCTCAGAAGTGATTAATATGTAACTTCTCCCTGTAATGTCTACAAATTATTCGGCAAACAGGTCATGAGAATACTCAAACTCATCAGGTACAAGATATTATATTACCTTGATTGAACACCAAATTCTTGTAACCAATTAACAAGGAAATGTGTTGCAGCTAGAGGGGAGAATTAACAATCAGATCTTGGGAGTTAAAGGGTTAGTTAACTCAACAAATAAAGAATGTTAAAGCCCTAATGGTAGAGATTGCAATCTTAATTTATTTAGCTTTGCCTAATTATCTCAGGCAGGGAGACCACTACAGCTTTAGCCAATTACAGAGGATCCCACATTACCAATGACAAGGCCAGACCCCCCCCCCCCCAATTCCCAGTAAACAGGCCAGACTACATCACAGTAATCTCGTTAGTGGGTTCTTTAACGTCCCCTGCCTAACCAAATAGACTAATTAATAGAAAAAGGAGACAGGACCTACGGTTTATTCGTCCTCATCCGAGAAGACTAGAATGTCTATCCATTTCTTGACATTATAGAAAGGTAGCACATTCTCCTCAGTTATTTTAAGACCTTGGTGTTGGTCCGGCTGGGGCTCGAACCCTCAATCTCCCGCACAACAGTCCAGTGCTCTAACCAATTGAGCTAACTGGGAGGCGGTCTAAGATTTTAAGTTATACTTTGGCTACAGACTATTTCAGTCCATTCTGGCAAGACCACAATTTTTATCTGTTGTGTTTTGATAACCAGTATGGGTGCCCCAGTTATGGTGGAACTTGAAGGTCAGACAGATCCTCTACAGATAGCCATGAAGGAACTCAAGTAAGAATTTTAATGAATTTTTTTTTAACAGAGTATTTAAGGTAAAACTTACAGCGTAATTAGTTTAACAGCCCGTACCAAGTTGTCTCAGCAATGTAATCCAAAGAGAGTTTTTAATATCTCTACTTAGATCTCTGTTTTGTGATAGTTGATGTGTGCTAAGCCAGAATAAACTACTACATGGAAATCAAGGCTTAATTATCTACATGTACAGTGGGCAGCATAGCCAATGGGATTGCAGCATCTATGATATAATTCATACAGATTTATGATAATATTTATTAGACTATATGACAAATGACCCTGGAAAAATAGTTGCAGAAGTTGCAAACCTCTTAATTCTTTTTCAATATTATTTCAGAGCAAGAAAAATCCCCATTATTATTCGGCGATATCTTCCAGACGGAAGCCATGAAGACTGGGGGATAGATGAACTGATCATCACTGAATAAAACTGCATTGGTGGTAGTTTAGTTGTCAGCATTTGTTTGATGTTTTGATGGCTTACTTATGTGTGCTTCTTAGTTCATTTTATGTCCATATTTACTAATCAAAAATACTACCCATTCCTTTTTTTTAACCATACCCATGAGAGTTCTGTATATCCTCAAGAGATTTTCAATTATTTCACACCTGCAGTGTATTTATGTAGTATGTTAATAATGTATTTTGTCATGTTTGGAAAATGCTTTTGATAAACAGTAAAAAGAGATCAGTCTCTGGTTTTACTTCAGTTCTGTGCAAAATTATCATTCTGTGTTTCAAAATAATCATATACCTCCTGCTAAACTCACTTTCTCAGTCCATACTGTATGCTATGGATCAAGATTTTTCACCTTGGATATATGGCCAGTGCATGAAGCCAATAATTCATAAATCTGTGTGTAAAAAATTAGGATCTGTAACTTACAGTACAGACTGAGAAAATGAGGTTAGCAAGATATATATTGTATCTCCAGGTTCAAATGGAGGGTGAAGATTTACATTTAAACAGATTTTGAATTTACTGGGTGGTACCATGAAATACAGCCCCCTAAACTGACCAATCATAGCACACACATACCAACTAAGAGATATAGTAATACAACATAGACCTCTGTCATAATGTCATGCAAGATTGTTATTCTTTTATTTGCATGCAGATATGCTTTCTTGGCCTCACTTGCAATGATAATTATTGTTTTTACCCAAGTTGCCTCCTGCCTAAGCCAGAAGGGCTACTTTATAGGAATACAAAAGACCTGAAATAAGGCCAGGAATTCTTTACTTTTCAAATTACAGGCCTCTCAGAAAGGGGTCGTTTTGGTTTCCTCTTAATATATCTTTTGCTTGAGTGGAGACTAGTGACCAGTGTGGGTGGGGTAAGGTTTTCTTTGCGGTTAACACTTGAGTGGAGGAACAAAATTATCTGAGAGAAAAAAAGTTTTTCTTTAATCATTTACATCCAATATTCCTCTAATGTTGTGACATTTTACACAATTATACAATGCCTGTACAGTCAAACATTTAATGCTAACTCTTGTTCAAGTCCAGCCACTGAACCCTTAAAGTTTAAGTTTTAAATTAAAAAAAAAACGTTTCACATCCAACACTTTTTTTTCCTTTTACAAAATATTTTCCTTAAAATACATTAAATAAAAAGTTTACATAACCATTAATCATATCTTGATAACCAAGTATAGAACTATTGTGCAATATTTGTCATAATTCCAAAAGTAGGAATTTGGAATTGGATACCTTTTTTTTTTTTTTTTCAATAAACCATTTTTAAAAAAATTCATTTTCTAAAAAAAACAATGATGGATTCGTAATAATGTGGTGCTCTTTGGTAAACTTATCATTCTGTTAAAGTGCTTCCTTTGCAATATCTGAAATTTTATTTCATTTGCTCAGATATCTTCAAAATTTAAAGAAAAATACTAGAATAATTGATGCATTTCAACAGATATTTATGTAAACAAAGGGGATATAATTTACTGTGTGTAAATTCAATTGTTTAAATAATTTCTTTTAATCGTTAGCCTAATATATTTACATGATAACACATCAGTTAACTGTAGAATAAATAAATAAGTAGTGTACCTTATTGAAGTTACATTTAATAGTGGTATTTGAAGTACTATTTGCTTCGATGGAGATAACCGCTGAGAACCGTGAATACCTGTGAGAAGTAAACATTAATCACAGCGGTCAAACGTTGCGCATGCACACCTCGCGTCAATTTCCCGTGCAAATTTTCAAAGAAAAAGGAAAACGGAAGAAACAACCCTGTCACGCAAAAAATGCAAAAAAAAAAATCCTCATAGAAAAAGAGTGAGGTCGCCATTGTTAATATACAAAGGGAAGTTTAGCACATGTTGAAGCAAAAAAACCCAAGGTAATGAAAGATCAGTTATTTTAGAATCTTGTATGGAAAGGACAGAATTACCACACCTTGTACAGTCCATTGGTATATTTTTGTATTACATAACATCTTATATGATGGTGGTAATAACAACACACTGAAGTGAAATTTTAGGAAGGGCTTTAAAAATATCTCCAGCGTCTAAATCTAAAAAACTTGAAAATGATTTTTCCCAGCGCTCGCGCCTTGAAACGAAACGTGAGGACCGTGAGCACTGGGACGAGTAATCTATAGTTAGTAGTCAGTCGCGGCTTCCAAATCACGTCGAGGTGGTCTTCTGGTATATTGATGGTATGCTAACTAATTAAACTTTTTACGTCAAAATTTGACATCATCCAGCTCATGCTGACGCGGTCCTTCAATCGTCGCCATGTCTGAATTCCTTGGTTCTTTATCATACGTCGGTTCCACTTGTGCCCAATGTTTAATCATCGGATTGGTCCTTTCGAGAGGTTTCTCGTTTCCTTTAGTTTCACTGCTTGGCTCATGTTCTTCTAGTTCCAAATCATTTATCGCTGAACCAGCAGAGGAAGGAGCGGTTGCCTGGTTTTGAATGGCCAATGAATTTGATAGGCTGGGAGTTGGGACTTCAGTTGCCTGAAAAAATACGAACACGATCCGGATAAAATTAAAAAAAGGCTTGAAATATAACAAAATTGTCCTTCTGTTTGCTTTTAAGTGTACTTTTCGAATTTTATGGGCTGAAAACTGCAAAGCATTCAAACTGTTTCATATCATGTCCGAAACAAGTACCGAAAATTCATCTAGCCATTCAGGTTTAATAAATTATCTAATCAGCCAATCAAATTCTGTCGTTACTTGAAGAGTGTGAATTTTCCCGAGCTTATCTCCGGCTGCACTAACTCTTGCGTTCGACTCTATTTGCAAGATATATTCCCGCTCATTTAAAACATTTTTTTCGTTTTTTGATATATTTTATCTAAACTATCATTTGTATTAATTCGTGGGTTAAACCATGGGTTATCAGGTTTCAAAAATTACAAACTTTCAATCGATAACTGAATATGACAAAGTCTCTTCGATAGAAAAATCTATACAGCTTACCATTGCTCCAGGCCCGGCCAGAGACAAGAAGACTGGTAGAAATAGGAGGCCATTAAATGTGCCAATACATATCAATGCTAGGAGAAGGTTAAAGAAGTATCTGAAAGACAAATTAGTTATAAATGTAATAATGTACATGAAAAAAATTGGCTGAAAACGAGTGTATTCTCATGTAATACGAGTGCAAATCACAAACAGCGCGCGCGCTGCCAAAATTTCGTCCGTCGCGACTTTCTGTGATGCGTTCTTCCTGAAAATTATTTACAAGTAACAACATGATTTTTCGTGCAATTTGGTGTTGATAAGCCCCAGTAAATATTTCAAAGACAGCAAAATTTGTTGTAACATGCCCTAACTTGCCTTACGGGCATTTGAAATTTTGTTGTCTTTGAAGAATTGCTCGTAGACAGAATCCTTATTACAATTACATTCTGTGCAAATGTAACTTGAAAATTAAGAGTTCAAGTGAATTTCAAATTTACGTAGCTCCTACGCAACGTTCAGGCGTGAAGTATGGGATTTCTCAGGTCCAACACAACGGGTAAAGAAAGAGCATTTGTGCACTTAATGCTTTCAGATAGAGGACTTGAAGTGAGTGACCATTCTCGTAAAAATTTGAATCAGCAAATTTGTCTCACCTGACTATGAATTCGAATTCGGATCCTGCCAGCATCACAACGCCAAGAAGCGTCGAGATGGCACCGTCCACGATTGGTACAAAAACATGTTCTATTGCCTTCTGCATCCTCTGGTTTCTATCACCGACGGCCTGCATAAATGCCTAGGAAAATGACGTACACAGTAATCATACGTGTTCAACAAAGTTCTTGCCCAGCAAATTTCTCTGGTTCCAAAAAGCCGTAGGTAAATTTTCCAACCAATCATATTCATAATACAGTTTTCTCGTAGCCAATCAGCTACAACGATAAACGCAACAGTGCCTTGGCTTGAATGAGTTTTCCCGCCCTTGACATTTAGCAGGGCCTTTTGCTTTCCCGGCCTTTGTACCGGTTGCTTTTTTCCCGCGCTTAACACGCATTGTCATTTTTCGCGCCCTTGGTGTAAGAATTCGTTCTGAAATTTCTTTATCTGCACTTTCTGAGATTCCAGTGGAACGACTTAGGACAATCTGAAATTCAACCTGTTTGTGCTCAATGTGTTTTTCAGTTGCATGCAATCAAAAAGCCAAAACCACAAAAATTCGTGTATAACAGCTGGTCAGAAGAAAGGAAAACTCGACAAAAGGAGCCACTAGAAAACCTAAAGCACGGGAAACACAGCCATCAATGACGCTGCAACTATTAGTCGAAAAGATGGAGTGAGTTTCCCAGACCAATCATAGCAAAGTAAGCCAAGACTAATGAAGTCTCGGATTGCTCACGACTTTCACTTTAAAATTGCTTTACTATATTAGAGAATTCTGAAAACATACGCGTTCTGTAATGTAAAGCAAAAGCTATTACATACCATGCACATGTGTACAGTAAACTCCACTCCAACTCCAACAGACAGAATTAGTGTCACTGCAGGTACAGCACTAAGTTTTATTCCAGCCAAGCCCATGAAGCCATACACTTCAACTGTTATCATCACCAAGACAAGTACGATGACTGCTGCAGCCCAGATGTTGAACAACAACACTGCCATTGCTAAAAAGCTCACCGCCAACGATATGGAAATTGCGATGATAATTTGCCGCCTTAGCCAAATGTACTGCTCCCAAAACGTAAAGGGGACCCCACTGGGGTAGTTAGGGAGTCCTTCTTCGGCATATTTGTCGCAAATCTCTCGAACATCCTGGAAAGAATAAAAAGGCATATTTTGAAAAAGCTCTAGGTCACTGACTTGCTAACAAAACTTTTCTGGAAATATTTCCATACCCAAAAAGGGGTTTAATTACCTTGATCAACTTTACAAAGTCTTTTGTTTCTTGAAGACCAATGACGTTAAAGTTGATCTTTGCGAACGTGGTCGGTTGAGCTGCAGCCACTAAAAATAACAATACGATGAAGAGCAGGAAAAGTTAAAAAAAGGTAACACGCTAGGCTTCTCTGAGTGTGATGATTCGGTCCCAGTCGTCTGAATGACGCGCACAGCTTGAAAATACATTTTGAAGAAGATATGGATGGTAGAATGGAAAGAATCTCTACCCACCAATCTTTGCGCAACTTCTTCCTCCATGTTGCCCGTCTATGTTTAGTATTCCGTTTCGGAATAGCAGTTGATCAAGTCTGACTATTGTAAGCCCTGCTCAACAACGCTATAAAGCGTAAACTCTAAATTTTCAGAGTATTTTTCCTACCTATCATTGCTTTATCATCTTGGGAGGATCTTGTATTTGAAAAGTCAACAGTCTTTGGCTTAATGTCGGCCTGCAAAAAAAAGAAAAGCTCAACACGTTGTTGCCTATCACTTTGTTGTTTCTTCAACAAATTTTTTTTCTTCAAAAAATATTTAACATACTTGTGAATCTTAAATCTTTCTTACGTAAGCCCAACACGTTGTTGTCTATATTTTTTTATTAACATACTTGTGAAAATGCATATCCTAATACGTCCCTATCGATCCAAACTGTGAGAGCTTTGTAGAATATTTCAGGACGGATGATTCCATTGCTCACAAGCTTGTAGTTTCGAACCTGTAAAGAAATAACACAATAAATACACGCGATGCATGATAAGGAACTGTAAACAGCACGTGACCTTGTTGTGAATAACGTTTGCTTGACATCTGATTGGTTGATGAATAGCACGAGTCACTTCCACCAATCAGACAACGAGGTTATGAAGCAATTACGTTTCAGTCACTCAGTGGAATCACTAAATTATTTTAGTTTTAATCTCCTCTGGGGTCACTTAACCTGGACCTAGTCACCCTAAAATGAGCATGCAAATTCTCCATACTGCCTTGGAAACATTTCCCGTGGTACTGTTAAGGAGACTTTGATTAACAATCAAGAGCTAGAGGTAGCTTTCCTTTTCTTCCTGTTTGATTCAGTGATGATACAATGAGGAGAAATAAGATGCTTGTCACTCTCAGAGGTTGACCCTTTAACTCCCAAGATTTCATTGGTAATTCTCCTTGCTGTCTGCCATACAATTTATGTGATGTTAGTTTGGAGAATTTGGAATTGGATCAACCAATAATCCCTTAATTGATATTTTTCTTTATTCTCATTACTTGTCTGCTTGATATCGTACTAATAGTGTAAGGAGAAATTCTGTCTAAGTCACTAGTGGGACTTTAAGGGTTAAAGGGTTGAACTCACTAAATATTTAATCCCAGCTGTATCAAAGCAGCTGTTCAAGTAATAGACCGCACTTTGGATTATTTACTAGCGTAATAACCCACGCAAGATTTTGGAAGAATACGAGGTAGAAAAGTACCGTATTTTCTCGATTAAACTCCTGTCTCTTATTAAACACCGACCTCGATCGAGAAAACGGCGGGTCCGAACTGCCGATTATTAAATAAACGCCGAGGGCGTTTAATCGAGAAGATATTGTTAATCACGAACCGGAGGCGAGTGGTCTACAAAGTTTTCGAAATAACCTTCAAATTTTGCATCGGCGCAATAAACGATAGATTTTGATCAATCAGGGCGATCATAGTATCCCAGTTATTTTATGAAGGGAGAGAATCAAACTTCAAAACACTGCATTAACAGAGGTTGAAGTTCTTACCTGTGTTCGATCAATGTCATCTGATTCATCTGTCTGAGATAGTAGTTTGTAAGCCATTACCCCAGTACTGGATGCTGCTTCAGTCCAGCCAGCGTCGGTTATGGTTTTATTGGCCCAGTCTTGGTCAAATGACGTCTGTGCATCTAAAAGAATGATGATTATCATACAAAGATATTTTATTGTCTTGTTACGAGCTAGGAACTAAGAATCAATTCTGATTCCCCTAGAATAATTGAACCTCGGACCTACAATCCGCTGTCCAGTGCATTCGGCAGTACACCTTATGACTTTCCTGTCAGTACTTGCGAGCTCCGTCACAAAGATATTTTGAGATTACGGCTCATTAGGAAGTTCACATGAAAATATTAAATTTTCAGTCTCAACTTATTACACTTTTATCCGACTATTACAAGGTATTGGGCCGAGACCTAATCATGCTCCATCACGGTTTAATTTTACTCAGAAAATACAAATAAAATTTATAAGTTACAATCCTTACCATTGAGCCAGTCTCGAAAGTACATAAGCCAAAATTTGGGAATTTCTTCTGAACCAGGAATTCTAATAACATTTGGTATCTGTTGACAGGGAAAAAAGATAGCTCAAATTCGTTTCCTTGTGTAACAGTTACTTCCAATTTATAACCTCGCCCCTTTAAAAAATAAACTCTTATGTAACATAGTATGATTTCTCTAGCTGACATTGAAGTATTTAATATTATATATTTTTACACTGTAGTACCCTAATATGAAGCAGTTTTCAATTCAGGGTCGCTTTCATTAGGCTTTATTCACCACACTGCGATTGGTCTACAAATCTCCCGCCACCATTTCAGCCAATCAGAAGCAAAATTAAAATCGTCAACTGCGACCGTGTCACTGTGGTTTCCCGCGCTCCGCGCAGTCTGTTTATTTTTACTTCGAGTTCTCATTGGCTCGTTGTAATATTCACCTTTGTTCTGATTGGGTATTGTAATGACATTTGTATCAGTGTTACAGAAGCCTATCGAAATTAAATAAACAATTGACTATCAAGATCAGTGGGTAAGAAATGTTTAAAGCTAGAGTGGACAAAAACGTGTCTCTATCAACCCACCTGTTTAAATGCTTCGTGGTAGGATAATAAAGTGTTCTGTTTGTTGGCGTAGTCAAAGTTATCTTGTGTAACAAGAGTCATGGGATAAAATGAGAAATACTTGAATTGAGCTTCCACAAATTTGTGCGCTACGCTGTTGTGTGGAACTACTTCGGTGAGTTCTAAACCGTCTTCCACTTGAAAGGCACCGTAGATCCCCACAGCAAGAAGACCAAGAAAGAAGAAAATCACTGCAACCTAAAAAACCAATATGTATACAGTCGGTGGTTAAAAACACTTGGTGGAGACGAGAGAAAACAAACATACTCTCTCATCGTCACTCTCACGCGAAATCTCTTTCCGTCCAAAACCCACTTTCTATTGGAAGAGAAACAGACTTCTGACATTAAATTTATACCCAGAGTTTCAATATTCTTGGTAAAACATGAGAAAAAGACTTGAGCTCCCTCGCTTGTAGAAAACGCGGTGGTCTGATGGCGAGTACGCTGAAAAACGAATTGGAGGGTCTGGATTCGAGCCTTAGCTGAGTCTTGGGCGAGCCACTTACCGCTCACAGAGTATCTATCTGTGCACCTAAGAGTAGAATTGGGTATCGGTAAGCTGTCAGAGGTGCCAGGGGGAAGAGAAGAGGGGGCTTTTCAATCGACTAGAAAATCCACGGAGAGTAGCAATACTCTTCTGGTCGCTTCGCGCCCCGAAGTCGGGAATTACCTCTGATAATTATGAAAATCAGTTTGTATACTGAATCTTATGCAGACCCATAACCTTTTGCTGTAATTCTAGTTATAAAACTAATGGTTGCTTAAAACGTCACGGGCCAATGCTTACCTTAACCGGCGTTTTCTGCAGTGCAGGGCCATAATAAACTGTGGCAAAATTTTGAAGCGATATAGGTGCGCATTTGTACCGGAAAGATCCATCATCTTTACCATTTACTGAGGAATCAACTACGCTAGTCGGAGTACCATGCTGTGATGCATTAGGACTGAGGTGATTTCTCATCATACTTGCTTCGCTATCGTAAGACAGTTTAGACTGCTTGTCCAAGTTATTTGTATACTCGTTTACCAGGACCTCGCCGATAGAAGAATCTGATTTTCCATTGCTCATGACCATGGTGTTGGAGGGTTTAGACACAGCGTGATTATCGGAGTGCTCAAGTTCATGTTGATTTTTTTCTCTTTCAGTTGTTGATGGAAACTCGCTTCTTGTTTTAGACAACACTTCTTCACTACCTTGATTCTTGGACGAGCTGCAAGATATTGATGTTGAAAAAGTTTTCCTCTTTTAATTCATTTATTAAGTTATTATTATCTATTTATTTATTATTAATGTGACACACTTGACCTATCTTTGATTAGTTACTAGTTCTGAGAGAGAATGACGCTCACTTACTCTACGTGCATGGCGGCCTTATTTGGAACATTCGTCACGCAACGCTATCTAACACGTGACGCTAAGATCAGTACATTGGACAAATCACAGCTGACCTTTTCAAACAGCAGATGATGTCGTATCGATGATGTCTCATTCTTTGCACATCGACTCCCAGAATGGCGGGAAAAATGATGATGACTCCGATGAAATTAAAGATAACAACAACAGCAGCCTGACAATTGACAATCATTAGATGAGTTTAAGCGTGATATCAAGGCCGAGTTTAGTGGTAATTGCCAAAGCCGATGGCTGAGGCAGGTAACACCAAGCAATACCCTTAGAGTTCTATTTATTATGCAAAACAGAATACAATAGGTTTTTTATTATTTAACAGAAATACTTATATAGATGAATATGGCTTCACTTCTGCATATATTGAACTATGGTTTGAGAACAGTTTTAGCAAGAATTTCCCGGGTGCCTGTAGCCACTCAACATGGATTTTGAATAAGTTTTCTAAAGAAACTGTGGTTCTGCGTCGGTGGGAGAGTATAACAGGATAATTAAGTATTATCAACTGATTTGATAACGTAAATTGGCCACCGTAAAGAGTTTTAAAGCTGAATTTTCGAGAGTTAGCCCTTCGCCATTCGCTCTGACGAAGGACCAACGCTCAAAATGTCAGCTTTGACACTCTTTAAGGTGGCCAATTTAATTTATCAACTCAGTTTATAATACTTAGTAACAGTAATTTTGACCGTTCTAACACACCTTGTGATTGGTTATAGAAAAAGGCTGGTGCGATCTTCCTAAACAACCCGAAAGGGTCCCTGTTCGCAATCATCAACTGTGCACTCCTCGTCAAATATTAACCAGACTACCCTCGTACCCTTTGACTGAAGTCACACCACGACAACCGCAACCCGTTTTGCAAAATATCTTATAGCAGTCGATTTTTTGATGTTACTCAACGAACACATCATGTGACGTCCAAAATAGACTTATGGAGAAGGAGACTTTAGTTCTACCTGTAGCGCAAAATATCTCAGGGCTGGTATAGGAATCAACGCCGCCATGAAGAACGCTAACATGTTGTTGAATGACGTCAGAAACACGCTAACCCCAGTGGTTCCTAGACAGTAGCCAACTTCTTCCTGTCAGAAAATAAGAAGTGGATGAGATGATTTAATTGACGGAAATTACCAGCTCTTGTTTGCCATTACTAATCAGCCTGCGGGAAAAGTGTTAAGAGAGAGAGCAAAGGCTAAGACACGCGCTCCTCGTCTTGTGCTCCTCTACACGCGCGTGTCTCACCCATCGCGCTCTCCTCGCTCTTGCTTCTGCGCAAAAAAGAACAAAAAAATCAATTTCACTTCTGCGGCTAATTGGCTGATTGAGTTTCACCAACGCATCGAATGAGTATTCTCGTTCAAGTTTAAAGTAGGTTTGCTCTCCCACCTTTCCCTAAATATCATAACGTGGTTCTATTATCCTCTCTCTCTCTCACTGTGATTTACAAAACTTACCACATGGCGGACGTCTCCACCCCGTATTAAGCTGGAATACGAGTGAGCCAGAAGAAACATGTCATCCACGCCCAGACCGAGGGCAAGAAACGGTAACACCTGAGAAAAAAACCAGTATCCACGTTACTCATCAACAGCTGCTTTTACTGCTATCGGTGCAAAACCCGAATTTTGATTCTACACGATAAATTGCATTGGTTTTCTGTTCTTCTTATTTCGTTGAGGAGTACCTGAATGTTATTATTCTTACCTGAGTTGATGCAGCGTTGAATGTTATCCCGCACAATGCACTAAAACCAAACCCAGCAGCCACCGAGAGCGTAACCAAGAGCACACCCACAAACCCCAGGGCACCATGAGATCTGATTGGCTCACACCAGCGCTTCAGAGTTATGCACGCATAAATGAGCTGAAATAAGATTAGAAAATTTAGTCTCAAGCTGAGCTTGCGCTCTTTTTACCCGGCGGTTCTTAACTGTGACCGCTGGTCAGGAGAGTTGAATGTTATGTATACTCCGTGTGTGCTTTTTGTGTTCTGCCGTGGGGTGGGTGAGTGAGATCGATTATAACTTGGAATGGTCTGTTAAGTTTAAAGTGAGGCAAGGAAATACGAGAAAGGGAACCAAAGAGAATGGTGGTCGGGGAGATTGGGGTGGCGCAGACAAACTTAGCCTCAACTGGAATGAGAGAAGCTGGATTGGGAGCGAGATAAAAGTGCAAAGAGCTTACACAATCTCCACTTACAGAGGACTTCGAAAAAGAATCGGGTAGAAGAGAGCTTAAGCGCGGGAAGCTTTAAATGTGGGAAAACTAAAGTTTTTATTTGATCACACGTGAAATGAAGTAAGAAAGGTACACAGGGCGGTATATTTGTAATTCACCCAGAGAGGACAGTCTTCCTCACTTCCAAGGGGAGTTTATTTTATTCCCCAATACGGGGAGAGGAGGTGAGGGCTGGTTTGTTAAATTGTATCTCTGGAAAATAATATTTCTTGTTATTCAAATGATCAAATTAAATGGGTTATTGGAAGATGTTATTTTACAAACAGCAGTGTTTACCATGAGTACGTATCCTATAGCAATTCTTGACACGCTGGTCTCTGAGAACTCCTTCAATAAGTCAGTGACAGAGGTTGAGTCAAAAGCTAGGATACTAAACTCGTCAGTTTCTTTGACGTCTTCATTGATTTCCTACGGAGGTAGAGAAAGTCAGGTTATGTCTGACTACGAAACAAACTCAAATAGATGTCAGAGCCAGTTCCCGTCTTTGCAACATGCATATGGAGCAACATAGAGTACTGGGACTCCGTCTGGAAGTTTTCTCTGTCTGTGTGCAAGTGCCCCCTTCCTCACAATCCTGTGTGGATAGGCACTGTGAGCGTTAAGTGTCGCTCCCGAGGAAAATGACTCGAGCATTTTGATGCAGCATCAAGCGCGTTTAGATAATTTTTTATGCCTATATATATATAAATGTTTTTCTGTCATCATATGGCCGGTGGGGCCAAGTGAGAAACCAGTGAATAAGTGGCCTTTTCGGTTACACACAGCATGCCCTAACATGCAGGATATATCTGGCAGGATCAGTGGAAACTTTTACCTCTGTAAAGCGCCGTTGCCATGCCTCTAGGACTTGTTTCGCAGTATCCAAGCTCCAACGCACATTCAACTCCTGAGATCTGTCTGCCCATCGTTTGTACAGACCTTGTGGACCCGCGAGAACGAGAATTGTTTGAAGCGCTTTGGCACTGAAAAAAATGTCCACAAGTTTCAACATACAATTCTTTTCTTTAAACTAAGAGAGAAAACTGCGTACGTTTTTTAATACTTTATATCGTTATTCTATCGATCGGGAATACGCAAATATAATGTTGATCCGCGATTGAATTGGTTTTTTATTATAGGTTTCTGCCATTCATCAACAAAAGTTGCGCCTCTCTCCCTCTCTCTCTTTCTCTCTCGACCAATCAGATGCAAAACTTAACCCAATCGCGACTTCTTTAACTGAGTTTTCTCGCATATCAGGTACGTTTACTTAAATGTAAATGTGGTATTTACTTTTGTTTTTAATGCCTTTTTTCTTACTTTGGGTTTGACATGGACCACTTGATCCAAATACCGTTAACTTTTCTTTCCAGTCACACTAACGACGAAATGAAACCATTTCAACTTCGGCGTGCAGATCTTACCAATCAATGGAATACGTTCTAGAGTTTCAGATAAAGATATATTTTTTAAATCTATCAATAATAACTAACCTCGTCAACGTAGTATTGTGTTTTGTTACTCCACCAACAATTAGCTCTTCAGCCCACTGCATAAATTCTGTTGCAAAACCTTTGCAACCTCCATTTAGCTCTGACTTTACGTCTGGTGCCTACAAGAATAATTATAAGACACAAAATAAGTAAATCTTACTGCCCAGAAGTGCTTATCTCGTGAAAATGAAAGCGATCCTCGCAGTAATGAACACTACTTAAGCAGTAGTGAAAACAAGGCCTGGAAAAAATTCAGGCCTGAACCGGAATTGAATTCATGACCTCTGCGATATCAGTGCAGTGCTCTATCAGCTGAGCTAACAAGCCAACTAGGAGCTGGTCGCTATGTTGGTTCCAAATAGACCCGTGAAGTGATGAATAAACTGATGACTGTGGATATATGAAAATAATGTATGTGAACTGCGATGTGAACCACTTCCCAGTCGCCTTCATATTCACATTTTTATCCGCAGTTCACATAAATGATTTTCAAATATTCACAGTCAGTACTTATCGCATTGATCACAGACTATGGTGTCTTACACGGAGATAAAGGTTAAAATCACCTTTCAAAGCATATTGAACGGCATCATATGAAAGTATTGCTCAGTAGCTTTCACTTGCATCGTAACTGGATATTCAACTGACCAGGCAAAAAGGGCCACGTACGCGCATTCCGCCCCCAGGGAAAACAGCGGTCAAACGATTACGCATGTGTGAACGTTGGGTGGCGCATAGACTCATGTTGTCTTACAGGAATTATACGCAACCACGCAAGCCAAAGAATCAAGTTATTTTGAAGTTATTCAAGTTTTAATTTTCTTTACTTTTGTTTCTTTTCCCTGATGTATCGAAATGCTTCTTTTTTCCTCCACGTCATGTATAACAGGAGTTGTTTCTTATGTTTTCCTTGAAATTTTTGGGCGGGAAATCGGCACGCGGCCGGCGAAAATACATATCACTTACATACATACCCTACGTTTCACTGCTGTGATGCTGTTATCAAGGGAGAATCACCCTATACGTTTCTATCTTATTTTATAAGAAAGGGGCAAAATTACCTTTCCTGTTTTTGAGGGAGAGTTAGGAGCTGTGCTCGGGCATTTAGGCTCTGTCGGATCAAGGCAAGGCTTTTCTTGATATCCTTTGGTGATACCAGCCTAACAAACGAATCAATACCAAAATTAAAGTTTGAATAACAATAATAATCAAAGTTGGGCTGTAAAGTTAATGACAAGAATTTTAAAAAAATCGCTTTACTGCCTACCTTGACAAACAGATCTTTAATTTCCTCTTTGCCTTCAATATTAAACTGATCTAACAGTGTTAACAGAAAATTCGGGTTGCTTTCTGTCCATTCTAAGGGAAACACTCTAAAAACAGACAAACAAAACAAAAGAAAGCAATTTAAAGCCTCAAAGAAATTTAAGGAAACAATTGGGACGAAGGATTTTTCTTTGGGGAGGGGGGTATCAGTCGTCGCCGACAGAGTATAAAAAGTAGAGACTATACAAAATTGACTGCCGATTAACTGCCAATGAGGTGGGGTGGGGAGTGAGGGGGGTCATAGGAACATCACAGCGCCTTTTAGGGGGGGTGGGGGGAAATCAGGTAAATTTCAACGTAACAATCAAAATCCTCTGAACTCCCAAGCAAATTTAAGGGACGAATTCGCCGCATTTAAACAAAGCGCTAAATCAAAGGTAATATATTGCAGTTAAAGATACTTACTTGGCAACGGATGGTAGCTCGGCTCTAAGTTTAAGATTCTTAGCTCCATCCCAGAAGCAGTCTAGTGGAGATATAACGAGGCAGGGAATAATGGCTGCTATGATCTAAAAGAGAAGAGAGAAGTCGGGAGGTGAACGCAGGACGATCCACCATGCACCCGCCAGAACATTTGTCGAAAAAATATCTTTCTCTTCATGAATTCAAATTGCGCTTTCACAAGAAAATAGAAGCTACGACATAGGGTAGAAATAGATATTTGAGTAGATCAATTTGTGAACAATAATTTCGTCACCTACCCCGTCCACTAAAGAATTATTAAATGATGGAACCTCTGGTACGTAACAGAGGTCTGTATGAGACCAAGTCCTAAAAATAAACAAACAAAACAAAATAAACAGTAGAAATTAGTTAAAATCCCGTTTGTTTTCATCTTTGTTGTTTTGTTAGTTAGTGTCAGTAAAAAGGTTTATATTTTTGTGGATTTTTTTGTGGAGTTTTTTTGTGGAGTTTTACGCCACATGTACAATAAAGTGGTCCTGGGAAAAATCAATTTCTTATTTAGGATTCGTAGTCAGCTAACAGCTGCAATGAAATCCTTGCAAATTGTTTCGATAATTCAACTAAAGGTAGAAAAATCCCAGAACTACTTCTGACACACAATTCAAAATTCAAACAACCAATCAGACATCGCTAACGTCTCTGTCTGTCATCGCTAACGTCTCAGGTCAATGCGAGGCAAGAATTGGACGATGAATCGAAAGAAAGCTGGCCAGTAAAATGAACTGACATTTCATGAATATTTAAACTTACTTGCCGAATATGTCGACCTTAATTTCTATAGCTTTTTGAACTGCTTTAAGATGCTTCTGCATCGAATCCACCGACAAAATATTATCGCCACCTTCATTGGCAGCGTGGATTATGAGTTCATTAGTTGTTCCCGCTCCTTCTCCAACTGAATCTTTTGTGTACTGCAATTCCTTTTCAAGCCTTCCATCAACTGTAGAGTAAAAACGCAGTGACTTTCAATACAAAATATAACTAGCATTTATCTTAAACCAGTAGATAAACATCTTTCACAGACGAGTTCTCTGTGTCTCAGTTAATGGAACATTTCCCGAAAAATAAGAGAGGAGGGGGTTTGAATTCTTACCGCGCCCTCAGATTTCTTTCTGTCCCGACCACTGCTGACAGTTAAACACTTTCTTTATGAAGAGATGTGTCCCGTAACATGACTTGTTAAAACGATCTACAGTAGGTTCCTAACGGAAACATTTTGCGTTGCTTTTGTATCAAACCGATTTTTTTTCGCTGCAGCGAAAAGCTTACACACTAACTCTGTTACCGCTAGTGACAAGCTTTTAACACTTTTCTCTATCCCCAGATTCGTCATTTAATTGGACTAACTAAAACGATCTACAGTAGGTTCCTAACAAAAATATTATGCGTTACTTTTCTTTTAAGTTTAAATTTTCCTCGGTAAAGTACAGCCCTGTAACCGCGAGGAAAACAAGACTGTGAAGAAGTCGATGTTTTCTTGACGAGGCACAGCCTATCAATTTTCATCTCGTCAAACAAGCTAATTTGTTCAAATGGGGAAACGCCTCCCCTTGAAACATATCGATTTTTTCCTTTTTATTTATTTATTTTTAAAATTTTTTCTGCTCGTTGTTTTGTTTTGTTTTAGTTATTGTTGTTGTTGTAAGGTGATATTAGGAACATCGAGAAAGACCGGAAAGCGACTTATGTGAAAAGGAGTTGAAAACGTGCCTCTCGAATGCCGACGTATTTCCCGTTGTTGAGCGGAGATGAGGTAGCAGAAAACGAAGGACTTTTGCACAAATCGTGCTGTTTCCCTTAAGAAGCAACTCGAAAGTACATACTGTGACCATTACCTTCTCATCAAATTTTGTGTTTACGGGTGACGAATTTAATTAGTCTTGAAGTTAGGAATGCGAAATCAAATAAAGTGAAGTTTCATAACGAACTCTACGATTGTTCAGTGTCAACAATCTGACACAGTGTGCAGGTAATTTTGACTCAAAATTTAAAAAAATGAAGTCTACATCTAGCGGTTGCTTCATTGTATAATCAACCTATTCACATGAGCCTCAAGCTAAAGTTTTGTTACTAGTTTTTTATGCTAATTTGGTTTTTTCCTTAACGCTCGAAATCTGCATTTTCACGTATATCAGAGCTCATTCGATAAATGTTATTTTTTTTAATAACGATTTTTTTTCTAGTATCTACTTTTTGTACATGTATACAAATCCACGTCCTCTTTCCGAATTTTTCTCCACGTGATCTTTGCTTTAATATTTTTTGAAGTAGAGCGAAATTTTGCCGCGTCATTTTGTGTTGAACTTACCAACAACATTCAACACAGTTGGAAATTTCGAGTTTCTTCGTGTACGAAGATTTTTCCACTGACAGTGAGGGAAAGTTACAGCGGAGTTGGTTGAAAAGTGAAAATAATGATTATTTCTCACCCAATCAAATAGAGGTTGCAATATCAGCTGCTAAAAGCTGATCACAAGGGCAACGTGGTAACTTCATGTTACCACGCATCACGCCACCACTTGTGGCTCATTTGTATGCATAAACGCAGTTTCCGGTTACGCTTGATCTTCCAAAACAGCCATTAAATGGAAAGGTTTTCGAATTGCTGAAAACAGTTTTGACTATGAAACGAAAATAATGAGATAAATGGTGCAAATTCTAATATGGCTCTTGTATTTTTGACACAAGTTTACGGCTTAAATCACTTTTATTTCTTGTTTCAACACATCTTACGTGATTTTTGCCGATACTGACTTGGCCGAAACAAGATAACAATAACATTGAATTTTTCAGTCATTGAACCACGACCAATGCTTGATTTGAATTTTCCGTAAATTTCTACACCGACCGCTTTGATTTATAATCACATGAGCTAGCCTGTAAATACACATAATTTTTGTTGAAATACTACTTTGCAAAGTTAGACTTGAAACACCACTTGTCATACTGATGGAGTAAACTTTCACAAAGGCCGGAGGGTGGAAGGCTGCGACATTTTATATATGTACCTCGTTCGCCGATTTGAGAAGGCATTTTGGTGAGAGAATCAACGACAGATGAGAGCTTATTTCGAATAGAATACATTTTTTTAAAACGTAAAATCTACTTCCAGAGTACGAATTGCTGTAAACACTGAAGTGAATGAGATTGGTACACCTAACTTATTTCTCCAACCTGCCGCAAAGACAAATAGACATCTCACACAACTTACCTTCCATCCATAATTTCTCCACATCTGTCTCAATTTTTGCTGTTATGATCCCAATAGAGAGCCCGATAAGAATAAAAAATCCAACAGTGAGAACAGCCCAACAGTTTCTTTGGCAGAAACACCCTAACTTGAAGAAGATCGCTTGCAGTTTTGAACGTAACCTTAATGCAGTTCGTTGACCCATGGAATCGATCTTAACCACGATCGCTTGAAGAAAATTCACCCACGACTAGCATTCAGTCACGGAGATTCCACCTTGGAGAGAATTCAACCGTGAAAAAATTCCTACTTAAAACCTAAAACACCTCTACTACTATACTAAATTGTTCTACATGTCATGGTTAAATTTGTTGTGTTTGACATTTTCCACAGAACATTTTATTTATTCGCATGAATATCGGACATGCGATCGAGGCTGAACGGAAATCCACTGGAATTGGAAATGAGGCCCTCTACGAATATTTTACTGAAGTCGAATAAACAAATTTCGTAGCCACGGTCTTTCATAAAGCGCTCTTGTTTTAAGAAATAAAAATTGCACGCGTCATATTTTTGGCGAGTGGCTAAGGAGATTTTAAACTGTGAAAAAATCATTCGGCAACAAAGTCAATAAATAACAATAATAAAAAACAAAATCGCAGCCAATATCACTCAGCCCACTTGAAAAAGGGCCGCATAACATTCTCCAAATGGCGAGCATGTCAAGGCGTATGCAGTTTTAAATTTACTTAAGCTGAGTTCTTGGGCGGGAGATAGAGTGACTTGAAGGAAACCTCCACTGGCAAAACAAGGTGTCGTTGAAATATCTAAATTGTATTCATCTCTGAATTTTTTGGCATACGAATGAACCAGTGAAAATACCAAACCCCTTGTACACTTCCCGTATGCTCGTTTCGCTTGCCAGCTCGCATGTTGTGGGCTTTGCCGCTAGTGCCACAGCATTAGTGAACGTCTGCACGCAGGCTAAGAGTAGCACAGCGCTCCGGCTGACGTCGGGCATGCACGAGGGGGTCACTCCTGGTGGCCTGTACTTAAATTTCCCGCGCAAAATTTCAAAGGAAACATGAAAAACAACCGCTGCTCTGCAAAATAAGCCAAAGATGAAACGTCCGTGGAGAAGGGAAAAATTCTTGACAAGTCGATCGCAAAGCTTATTCCAATGCGGATATCCTGATTATTTAAGTTTTGGGGTTTTACCGAAAAAGATATACGCTTTTGAAATACCGTGACTGACTGGCTTATGTTGTTGTTTGCAACTCGTGTGGGACACAACTTGATTCTAAGGGCCTGTTTACATGGAGGTGGGGGACCCCAGGTAGGTGAGGTAACCCGCCTAGCCGTGGTCGAAAAATAATATGCGTTTACATGCAATCTTACAACCCCGAGGTGTGAGGTTTCTTGAGGTTGTTGTTGCGTTTAAGCAGAGACAGCCAAGCTCACATCTCGAAAAAGACGAAAGATTAATTCTCGGACACATATGTATTTACTCATGAAAGCGAAAGTGACCCATGGCATCGACCTTAACCACGATCGCTTGAAGAAAATTATGAAATGAAAAATATGCCACCTCGTCTTTCAAACGTTCGCACGTGCAAGCTTGCCTGCATTGTAAACTTAAGTGAGGGTAAGATTCAACGAAACTTTATTCATTAAATATCCAACAGTGTTTATCAGTGATAATAATTTAACATTTGTTCGTTGGCCCATGACTCAGTACTCTTGGCCAGCGACTAGAATGACGAACGGGATAATACTTCGTGTATATACCGGTATATCAGATTATGCCGTCTGGAGTCCTAAACAATCGACCTAAGTGTTAGCTTTAGTAAACAGTAGTTCTATGTTCTTTGTTCAACTCTTTTCTCCCTTAGAGTAACCTCATTCGCAGCTTTCGTTTATGCCGATTACGCTAGGAGTTCTCTGCACCAGCGTCACGCAAGTATTCGTGATGCAACCAAACAGGTGCTGCAATGAGGACTGCCGAGGAACTTCTGCTTACACTTCATGGGCAGTACGTTCTGATAACGTCACATAATAGCGGGGAGTCCCTGATGTCACTTTAGGGGTCAAATCCCGTATGTCCCTCGAGTACGAACGCCTCAAGAAGCAAGACTGATTACTAAAGCTATTCCAATGTAATAAGGATTAAATAAATAACTTACGGGCTACTGCTTTAAAAAAAGATATACAACTGATACGGGATTGACTATATCATAGGGCTAATCCACCCCTTATCACAAAATTGCATGTAACCTACGTAAACGACCCTATAGAGCGCTTTTCGATTGAACGTCATAAGACTAAACCCATCGTAATCACAACAGCCAATTAAAGCAAAGGAAACTATCGCAGTGAGCATATAAGTGTTCAGGATTGGAATAAGCAAACTGCCTTGTGCGCGAGAAAAAGGCGAGTAACGGGTTTAAGATGGCGGCTCGAGTTTCCAGACCAATCACGGCACAAAGCAAAGCAAAATCAATGCAATTCCAGATTACTTTGGACACTTCATTGAAAATCGCTCTATATCTGGATCCTCACCATCAAACTGTAGGCACTTAACTTTGTGCTATCTTAATGAAAGCAAACAACTCGAAGACATTGTAAGGTGCGACATCTAAATTAAGAAAATCACACGAAGGAGAACACCGCTTTGTCAACACAGCCGTCGCCAAGGCAACCAGCCTCTGTTCGGAAAAGGAGGTATTGATCCTACTTCGAGAAGAAAGGTATTTGAGAAGATCGGACCCGATAAAACCACGGTTATCAAACTTAAGACAACCACCGCAGGTTTCAATCACATCTCCTCCAGTGTAGTATACTTAGATTTACTAACACACTAAAATCTCACCCATAAACTAACAAGTTGGAGCCACATCCACACCCCCAACAGCGAATATCCCCAGATGGGGGCATTTAGCTGCTGAAATGATGGTGACCAACGTCTACAGTATGACGAACACATCAAACCCTCCACTGATGTAACGAAAAAGAAGTCTTTAATCCACTGAATATAACGTTTCCTGGGTTCATACTGCTCCAGTAGATACAGAACATAGCGGGCTAAATTAACCAAACATCTCTTTATAAGTCGAGGTTGTAGCGAGTGACCGCTTCTTCTCCACTTTTCTACTATAAATACTGCAAACTCTACACAAGACGTAGATTACACGATACAATAGGATAACATGGGCCCAGTTGGCACGTAAATGCATAATTACACCTTCGAACTTTGTACACCAAATATAAATAATTCGAATAATGTTTGTATTCGGTTCTAAATTAGAATAATTAAGACTGAGATCTCCAACGTAAAGCTAACCCTTTCTTGTCCAATAACAGTTTGGTACAATCCAGTAAAATCCGGTTTTACTGGTTTTATCTTTACAAAAAATGTCACGAAGTTCTTGGTGAATAACTGCACCAACTTCTCGTTCTTGGTCAATGCTGCTGCAGGTTACTCGCGCCGCGCGCACTCTTCACCCACGCACGCACGTCTCGCGTGTTTTCCTATGGAAGGAGTTTAGATAATACCTTCATCTGACATTTCCAATGGTTTTCTGACGCCTATCTTTTCACATCATCCTCGTACTCTTCCAGATTTGTTACTTGCAAATCCTCCTCATCAATCTCCCTTTCACTACGGATCGGCCCGACTTGGGCACCGCCACTTCGGAAATTCTGGTACGCCGATCTCTCAGTGGAAACCTGCTCGGTATGTACTTCGACTGTGACCGTGGCCCGAGCTGTAACGCGAGTCACAGTCGAGCTTGACGAATCAGAATCCACAGTGGGAGTCCTGCTCCGATTTGAACGCCTGTTGCTCTTATGCGGAACCCTCTTATGACGCGTACGTCTCCCCCCGGAACTTGATGACTTCTCCTGTTGTTTAGGGATAGTTTCCATGATACAAACCTCGGAATCGGAGCGGGGAGTTCTCTGCCTACACGTGGAGCTTGGTAGTAACTCTCCGTTGGAAGCAGTAGATGAAGCCGTACCTGGAGGGCGAACCTCTTCAATCTGTATTGATATAAAACAAAGAGAGTGGTCAACATTGATGCGAGGACATAGTCAGGTCCAACCTCGACTAAACATGCTTTCTATTAACACATAACAGCGGCTTTGTCGAAAGCAACATCAAATTGGTTTTACTATTGGCTTCACGCAGTGATTGGTTTGGAAAACTCACACCACCCACTCAACCAATGAGATGCAAAGCAAAGAAATTGAGACTAAGTCACTCGCGTTCTACGCGCCTCAGGCAATTTGCTCGTTTGTGAGTTCTCGGCGGCTACTGGAGATATTTGCTACTCTCTGATTGGCTTTTCTAATTGCTTCGGTTTTGCATCTTCGTTCCCTTTAAAGCGCACAATGAACTTGGAAGAGATTTGGCTCGACGTTTTTTAAAGAGTCATCTGTAAGGCTTCAGTATGTCTTGAGTTGGTTATTTATCTTTTTTCTAGTTCCTGCATCGCATACAACTGCTTAAAACCCAAATACACCTCATTTCCACCCATGACACTTACCTCGGGCCCAGGCCCTGCCAAGGACAACAACACAGGCAGAAATACCAAACCGTTGAGAGTTCCAATGACGATAAGTGCCGCCAACAGGTTGAAGAAATATCTAAATAAATGCAAAAAAAATGATGATAAAAAATAAACAAACGAAGATAAAAGAATGGCTCATATTAAAAAAATATTTACAATTGTGTTTCTTTTCTTTCGGAAACGTGCTATACTCGCGCTGAGAAAAATTATTGACCAGATTAGGGAAACTTGTGTCCAATAGCTAGCATTTAAGACTCTAAGCGAGAAATATCGTTTCGGCAAATATCATCAACTACAATAATTGCTGTCGTGAATGACTTGAAAAGAAATATCGAAGAAATTGTAAAGGGATTTAGGATAACTCTACCAAAACAAGTTGAGAAATTTTCCCTCGAGGAAAAAAATGATTAGAAATACCTTACTGAGTGAATAGGGCTTCACATACGGGAAATCTGACATAAGAACATTCGCAAGGTGTGACGGGAATAAATCTGATTTTGATATTTACCGCCATTTTTCAAACCACGCACATGGTTGTGTTTGTTGTTGTTTATACAGCATAATTTTCTGCGTTCCTGCTCTTTAGTTATAATTACCTGACTATGAAATCGAAGTCTGATCCTGCAAGCATAATGACGCCCAGAAGCGTGGAGACGGCGCCATCCACAACAGGAGAAAAAACATATTCAACAGCTCTCTGCATTCGCTGATTACGATCGCCCGTACTGGTCAAAAATTTCTGCAAGAACAACGCAGTATAACGTGTAAGTAAAAGGCTTCTTCGCTTCATTTTCACTTATCTCGTTTTTAAATAGAAATAATTTATTGTAATTATTTTGGACATTAACACCAATCCAAACCTACGACGCAGTAATACCAAACGTAACAGCAATAAAAAGTAAGCAAATTCTTAGATTCAAATCGGGCAAGGTCAAGTCTCAAAGCCTTCGGCCAAACTGGTCTCAAAACGCAACATTCTACACAATTTAGTCAAAAGAAAATTGGTGCAACTCGAAACTCTTGTCTGCCTTTTACTTGTTAAATTACAGTCCCTCTCCTGTTCCTCCATCGTTAGCCACTTGGAGAAAATTGTCATTAAAACCCCCAGAAACGTCTTAAAGAAAGATTCTAGTGCTTTTTATACATACCATACACATGTGTACAGTAAACTCCACTCCAACTCCAACAGACAGAATAAGTGTCACTGCAGGTACAGCACTGAGTTTTATACCAGCCAAACCCATGAAGCCGTACACTTCAACTGTTATCATCACCAAGACAATTACCTGTGAAATGTGAAAATGCGGAGTGTGAGTTTGAAAAAAGACCCTTACTCTTCTGGGATGGAGGGTGGAACTAATGTAGTCAAGACTTGTACAGATCAACAACAAGGGGTTTTAACTGCCAAGGATGAATACAAGATACTTCATTAAAATGTCGCCATTATTCAAACAACTCGACCAAACAAACTTGGTTAGGAAATTATTTTCATGACGGCAAAATCGAGAACATGCAAACTGTGATCAATATTTTTTAAACATGCCATCACACCGACTTTTATCGATTTTTTAAACACATTTCCAAGAAAATAATAGTGGCCCATCTCCCTCAAACAGCCTGGCACATCTTAAATGCCCTCACAAACTGTTATTTCTCTATAACCCCTTCCGGATGTACCAAATAATGAGCAAGTGTACTTACAATCAGCATCGCAGCCCAGAAGTTACACAGAATAACAGCCATAACCACGAAACTTGCAGACAGAACAATGGCAACTGCAGTCATGAGGTGCTTCCCAAGCCAAATGTACTGCTCCCAGAATATGAACGGAATGCCACTTGGGTAATTAGGCAAACCAGCTTTTTCAAATTCTTCACACAAGGCACGAACACTCTGCAAAAAGGGAATTTTACCTTAGCTGAAGAAAAACCGAAAACTTCAAATGCTCCTGACAAGTTGAAGTACACACTAATGGGTTTGTAATATTTGTAGCTTTAAAACTTCCAGACAAAATTAATATTCCAGATTGTTGGTATGGTTTTGATACCATATTGTACGACATCAAGCTGAAATGGTAGATGTCTAACGAACTTAAAACCATGTGAAGTGAGAGTTGTGTTGTTGAGGTCTCTGAGATAAGACTATATTTTCATTTCTAAACTTTCATGAATTTTACACCTTGATAAATCTTTCAGTTGAAATCGGTTGATAATGGACCAACACAAAACCATAGTTGCATGTTGTAAAGAAGTTGTACCTTGATAATATGAATGAAGTCTTTTGTCTCTCGGAGATTGATCAGCTTGAATGGAATGTAAGAGAAGTTGATCGTTGGTGCTGGTGGCTCAACTGTTGCAAAAAAAAAAACTCACTTACACACAAGAAAATTTACCATTTTCTCTCCTTTAATGTAACTGTAAGTATCTGAACATCAACAGAGTGAGTGAACTGAAACACTAACTTGTGAGCATACACACACTAAGGAAAACTGCTGTGTTTTAGTCAGCCTAGAGATTCTGGAAGTTTTCATACCCTGAGCGGTTTATCATGCTGAGTTCCTGGGCAAGACACCATGCTCTCACAGTAATCCTCCCCCTTCACCCCAGAGAACAAATAGGTGGTGTACCAGAGACGAAAAAGATGGGAAAGGGGAGGGGGGGGATTATCCTGCAGTGAACCAGCATATCATCCAGGGGAGAGTAGAAATGCTCTTTGTCCCTTCATGCTATAGAAACTGGTATGGACTCTAGTACCACTACACCGAAGTAGACACCTTTTGTATTTCATACATTTATAATTTCGAAGATAACAATAGTTTATAACAAGCACACTGTACCTCGCATTGCACTGTAGTCTTGTGTGCTTCTCTTGTTGTACCAAGACTCTTCTGGTTCTGGTCTGATATTTGCCTGCATAAAGAGGACTTGTGAAGTCAAGTCTTCATAGAGTTATCATACTGGTACAATTGAAAGTCATGATAATGTGCCTCAAATCTTTAGTAAAACTATTGTCAGCTCAATGATGATTTTAGATATATGAAATTCATATATTTGCACTGCGGTGAAGAGATGAAATTAAGAGATCCTCGCAGCTAAGAACACTACTGAAACGAGTAGTTGAAAATAGGACCTGAAAAAAATTCAGGCACGTATGGGATTTGAACCCATGACCTCTGTGATACTGGTGCAGCTCAGTTAAAGAGATTGGAAAAAATTAATGATAAGCTTGAAAATTCAGCCTGAATTTTCCAAACCATGTAAACTGTATATAAAGGAAGATTGTGAACCTTTGCAAAGACCAAAGAGAGTTTGATGTAAATGTCTCTCAGAGTAATACGTTCCTATCACGTCAACTAACCTGTGAGTAAGTGTACCCAATGGGGTCCATGTTATACCAGACCATCAGGTACTTGTAAAAGGTCTCTGGTCTAATGATTCCATCTTCGTTGACCAACCTGACACTTCGAACCTGTTGATTTGGAGGAGCAACAAAAAGGCAGTCAAACTCAATGAGAGTAGATTCTTGAAACCTTTGCAATCAAAACTCTGCTATCAGTTAGAATAAACATCCCTTCTGGGTGTAGAAGTCCTACAAACTTTTGACAAGCACAAACTACTTTGGGGAGTGAGTTCACCAGCTTAGAAGACTCCCATCAGCAGATACCCACCTTACAACAAACCCACTCACTTAGCAAAACAACAACAAAAAAATGACCAATCATAGAGCCAATGGAATTATTGCAAATTCAGTGATCAGTCTCCATGATCAGCCTAATACCACAATGCCAACACACAACTCTTCCCATGACTCTGACCATAACTTCCACAATGGTTGTTGAAATTTCTGCCACAGCCAAAGGCAACAAGTTTTTTTCAGGGCTACCCTCACCCAGAGCATCCAATATTACATTAAAAGATATTAGAGGCTAAAACATACTATGGACTTGTTTGCCATCTCTTTTTCGCCAGTTTGTGCTAACAACTTGAATGCCATCACGCCATAGTCAGATGCATTTTCGTGCCATCCTGCATAAGTTATCCTCCCTTCCTCCCAGTCTTTGTCAAATGCCTTCTGCAGATCTGAACAATATAAAAGATCTCTTCAGAAGAACAAAAATAATAGCACTACCAACACCAGAATGTTGCACACACAATACTAAAGTGATTCATGCCCAATTTTAACACTGAAGGTGGATTTCCTTGTAACATACCTTTGAGCCAGTCTCTAAAATACATGAGCCAGAATAGTGGTAATTCTCCCTCTGGGGTTTTTATGATGTTGTCAATCTGTGAGAAATAATTAAAAACAAGTTAAGCTATTATTTCTTGTGCTGGTAAGCCTCACAGAAAACTGAAACCTCTTCCATCTTCCTGCCCTGGGAAATGGTGCCACACAGGACAAATTCCCAGATTTTAATTAATTAAAGGCCTTTGGTTTGGAGGAAACAGAGAGAATACTTTGAATGCCAAAACAACAAGAAATATTGTATTTTCCACACCCTTATTTAAAAGTGAAAGAACCTCAAGGAATCATAAACAAACCCTTTATTCCTTACTGCATATTAAAAGTGAAAGAACCTAAGAAATCATAAACTAGAGTTTCCCAAACTGCTCACTAAGAGGAAAAAGTCCCCATGTTTTTTCTTTAAGAAAATTGTAGCAACAAACTTACACGGTTTTCATTCAGAAATTTAATAAAAATCTTATTTACAAGAATCTTACTTGTCACCTGAAGGTGTTAAAAGGCTAATATTTCTACATCACACCAAACAAAAATGTGGCCACTACTGGAGAAACTACACTTGAGGAAGAGTTTTTACCTTCTTGAAGGCCTCATGAAATTTGAGCAAGAGCTCCTGTCCATTAGGATAATCATAGCCTCCTTTGGTCACAATTTGCATCTGGTAGAAGGAGAAGTACTCAAACTGCGCTTTCACAAACTTGTGTTCAGGGCTCTTCCGTGGAACCACATCAGTCAAATCCAGGCCCTCCTCTACTTTCATACAGCCATACACACCAGCAGCAAAGACACAGGCAAACACAAAAAGGACAGAAATCTGAGAAAGGACAGAATATGAATAATATGAGTAAAACAGATTGAACTTTGACAGGGGTGATCATAAATACTCTTCAGGTCTAAGTTATTTCAAAACAGTCTTCGTTAAAAGGCTAATTATTATTTTACTTAAGCCCCAAGACATTCATTCAAGGATTAAAGGATTCTTCAGGAGCATTATTCTCCTTAACCCTTCAACTCACATGAGTGACCAAGACAGAATTTCTCCCTACAATGGTAATACAATATCAAGCAGACAAGTGATGAGAATAAAGAACAAATTTAAATTAGGGAATTTAAAAGTTCATCCAACACCAAATTCTCCCAACTAACATCAGAAGAACTGTATGGCAGACAGTAAGGAAAATTACTGATGAGATCTTGGTTAAACAAGTTAGGTATCAGTATTGTGTAAGGAGCATTCAACTATACCTAGTATAGCTTTCCATTATGCAAATTAAGTAAGTCTAAGTATTGTATTATCAGCAGCTTTGCTTTTTTAAATGTTAGTTGAGCCCTCTGACTCCCAAGATCTCATCAGTAATTCTGCCTATTGTCTGTTATACAATTATTATGATATTAGTTGGGAGAAATGGTATTGTATCAACTAACAATTCCTCGATTAAATCTTTTCTCTATTCTCCTCACTTCTCTGCTTAGTATTGTACTGATACTGTAAAGAGAAATTCTCTCTTGCTCACCCATGTGAATTAGGGAGTTAACAGCTTCAGGCAAAGAGTGTTAGTGAGGTAATATATTGAGAAGCTTTACTATTACAGTTTAAAGTCATTACATGCAAATGGCATAAAATCTTGAAAGTACACTGTAGGTGAAAGTACACTGTAGGTGGTGCTCTGCTAGATCAAGATGCCTATTATTGTATTTATATTGTAAGGAGAAATTCTGTCTTGGTCACCCATGGCAGTTAAAGGGTTAACATCTTCACGCAAGGAATGTGGTAATATAAGAAGCTATACTGTTGCAGTTTAAAATAGAAATATAAAATAGAAATATAAAATGCAAGTGGAATTATTTCTTAAAAGTACACTGTAGGTGGTGTAACTTTAGCTGTGTCAGTGGCAGTCTGTAGTTCTTTATTGAAGTCAGTTTGTATTAATAAGCTGCTATCACCTTGACTGGCATTTTTTGTAACCATGGACCATAGTACTCTTTGGCAAAGTAAGACAACGACAGAACCTGGAGCTTCTCTTTCACCATATTCCACCTGTTTGACTCTAAATCTGGGTCTGACATGCTTCGATTGGTTGAGGCCCTCCACATTGAATCAAGCCCTGGGGATGATCTTGAGTTTGAGCTCCTTGTCCTCATTAAGTCTTGGACTGAAGAACATTCAGCAGTAGCCACTGTGGATTCTCCATTTGCTGCAGCATTAGCTGACACCTGAAACTGAACATTTCTTGGTGTATTTGTTGGTAGTAGTGTTCGGATCTTGCTTTCCCCTCTGGAAGCTAACACAACAGCATTTTCATCAATGGTGTCCTTTGACTGTCCCTTGTAAGTGCGTCTTCTACCTCGCAGATCAGGGCCAGCCTCTCCACAGGTGCAACTGTCAGCTGGTGTTTGTTCTGAGTAGATTGCAAATGATTTATTATGACCTTGGTGACTGGAAGGCCTGGTGTTAAAATCATGACCATCCTGCTGCTCTGTATCCAAGGATCTGCCCAACTGAACTTGCACAACATTTGCTGAAGCACCAGCTTTAGCCTTTGCATTACCCACCCCATTACTACTGCGTATATTACCCAAAGCTGACAGTTCAAAATCACTTGATTCTGTCATTTGTCTATCTCTACTGGGACAACCCCTCTTGTGTCGCAGACGTTCTGTCAAAGGGGTGTTACCCACTTCAGCTGATGCTGATGCTTGAACTGTCACCACATTAGGGAAATGCAGTGTCTGTGACGCCGTGGCCTGGATATTACCAGGAAGTATAACAGTCCCACTGAGACCTTGCAGCACAGAAATGTCTGACATAGAGTTGCAGGAGTTGTGATACCGGTGAAGCACAAGATCACTGTCATGCCCTGTTGTACTGGGTGTTATCGAAATTCTCTGAGGCTCTGTCCTCCTATAAAAGAACAAATAAATATGCAAGGATATGACTTAACTTCATGAAGTCATTACATCCAAGGTTCAAGTATTGTGGCTCTTCAGAGCTGGGATATTTCACAACAGGAAACCCAACCCCTTGCCCACCACACTGAACAGCAGCAGTGTAAAGTGTTACAAAATCTGAAATGAAGCTTCAGAACACCTTTAATTGTTGAGTAGAAAAGGTGAGTCTAAATTACTGAACAGGCTCAAGAACATTTTTTTGCAGAAATGAGTTTTGCTGAAGCATTCTTTGGTAAAGCTGACAATTTTACAACTATAATGAATACATGAACCAACCTTTCAATACAGCAGAGCAGATCATATTTGCCACTTTTCCTTCTGCTTCTGTCAATCACTATCATAGCAGGAAATATTACTATGACAGCAAAAAAATTGAACAGGACCACAATGCCAGCCTGCAATTTAAACAAATTTAGTGAAATTCAAAAGCATGGTTCTCTAAGTCACTTTCATTTGTACAAAGAGGACAAACAAAACCAGAGAGAATCTGCACACAAACCTGTAAAGAAAATGACCTCAGGGCTGGAATCGGTATCAGTGCCGCCATAAAAAAAGCAAACATATTGTTAAAAGAGGTCAAGAATACACTGACCCCTGTGCTTCCAAGGCAATATGCTGCTGGTTCCTATAAGAGAAAAACATTAATTTAAAGTTATGTCTTTAAAATTGTTCAGCTGATTTGCAAAATAAGATCCCCTAATATGCACAAGACTGTAAACAATGCAGTGTTCCAAGCTGCTACCATTTCAGCTACCATGGGGGGGCACCTGTGTTATTGTTGCAAGCTGTAGCATTCTAATTAGTAAGTGTTGGTGTCTATAGTGCTAACTCTTTCTCTTTGATGAAAATTTACCTCTTCTTCTCTAATGACCAAGTAATGGGCCTAACCTATGTCCTGTGAACTGCCAAAAATGATTAACAGCTGTATTACTTAATTTTTAGACAAATAGTAAGGTCACATGGCAACTTTAACTTCCAAGCACTCATGCTTGGAATGTGAGAACTTTGGTTGTTAGAGATCACTGCAACAACTCAATTAGTTACCACTTACTTTGGTTTTATCTCTTGTAGATGCATATGTGTGAGCCAGCAGGAACATGTCATCCACTCCCAGACCCAAAGCAAGATATGGCAAGATCTATTTTTCAAAGAAAATTAAGTAAGTAATAACAGGATATGAAAAGATAAGGAGCTGTTAGATGCCATCTAAATGTAATCATTTGAGAGTCCACAGCCTACCTGGGTGGAGGCAGCGTTAAATTTGATATTGACAAAAGAACAAAATCCAAGCCCTGATGCAACAGCCACAGTCACTAAAAGGACACCAGCAAAACCAAGAGCACCATGAGAGTCTACTGCATTGGTCCAGTGTTTCAGGGTTACACATGCATATAAGAGCTGGCAAGAAGACAAAAAGTTGTTTTGATCATGTTTTACTACATAAATTACAGTATTTATTCCCCAAGACCCCTCTTATCTGCACTTTTGGTTTGTCAAAATCACTCTTTGTCATTACAAGAGGTAATTATCACATTTAAGTCTAACAATTCCATTATCTTACCATAAGTGCATAGCCAATTGCCATTTTGGAGTAGCTTGTCTTGGAAAAGTCCTTCAGGAGATCATTAAACGAAGTGGAAGAAAAAGCTAGGACCTCTGAGTCTTCTCCGCTCTGATCAACCAAGTTGACTGTCTGTAAGAGTTCAAAAAAACAAAGTCTTTTATACAACAAAGCAAAACAGGTGTAGCTGATCAAGTGATGAAAATGGAATAAATACTGGACTCCTAGTGGAAATGTTTAAGTTCGATACCTAGCTGGGTCACTGTGCATTGTTCTTGGGCATGAGGATTTACCCCCCAAAAAACACCTCTCCACTGGGGTATACATGGGTACCCCTCCCCTACCAGGGAAGCCTCAGGGGAGGGTTGGAACCTGCTATAGACTAGCACCCAATCCAAGGGGGGAGCAAAATCACTGGTTACTTCATGCCATGGAGACTGGGAAAAGTTTCAGCACCTTAACCCTTTAACTCTCAAGATCTGACTGTTAATTCTCCCCTCAAGCTGCTACACATTACCTTGTAAATCAGTTATGAGAATTTAGTGTTAGATCAAGATGACAACTTCTGCCTGATAAGTTGGAGTTTTCTCAATACCTGTTTGTAGGATAATGTATGGATATTATAGAGAGAAGTTCTATGTTAATCACCTCCGAGAGTTAAAGGTTAATAGCCACTCAGCTCAAGTGTAGACTTTCCCTTCACCCCTAGATATGAAAGTTGTAGTTATCTTTACCTTTGTGAACTCACGCTTCCACGCTTCCAAAACTTGAGAAGCTTCATCTTCTGACCACTGCTGTTCTAAGTGCTGGACTTTTGCTGCTCCATGCCAGTGAGTGTACATTTGTTGTTTACCCATCAACAAAACAATACTCTGCAATGCCTCTGCACTGAAATAGAAATGGTGCAAAGAATTAATATTAAGATTAGCATCACCATTATGATCTCATCATCATTGCTATTATTATACACTAGACTAAGCTTACTGTGAACACTCTGATTGGTCAAGAGCATACAGCCAATAAACAATAGCATGTGACATGACTTGCAGATATTGGGTTGTCATGTTGAGTTTAAACTCTGCCTTATTTCCATGCCTCTTGTTTGTATTGTGTACTCAAGCTTTTGCAAACTCAGAGAGAAGTGTCTTCTTTTGCAGATTGTTTGAAAATATGTATAATAAAACTACTAAATTTTTGGTTTTTACATTATATCACAAATTATCAAACCTTGCAAACTATGGAATTACTACAGTCTAAGACTATTTGAGAATTATATCCAAAAAACTTAGCAAAACAGGCTGATCAGTGTTCATGAACCAAACTTAAAACATTCTGCAGACAAAGAAATCTCAACTAACTTAAGGTATAAATATTTACAATCATGTGGTGGAAAAAAAGAAACAGGAAGTACAATTACAAGAAGTAATTGAACTATCAAACTATGCTACCATTTATCCAAAATCTGTTGCACAATTATGGGTTGATCATATGTTTTCAAAGAAAGCCTAACCTTCTGACAAAATCAGTTCTATTCTTTGTCACCCCTCCTATGATGAGCTCTTCAGGCCAATCAAGATACTTTGTTGCAAATCCCTGGCAGCCGTCAGTCACCTCTACACCTATATCTGGTTTCTATAGATAACAACATTGAATACATAAATGAGTTATTAATGCTCTTTAAAGTATAGAATTCAATGACTTTTCTGGACTTTTCACACTCCATTACTTTCACTTTTTAGTCTACAATTCAAATCACAAAATCTGAGTAAAGATGCTTAGAGTTTGTCCCAAAATTGAACTTTTCCGACCATGCCTATTTCAACTTTCTGGCCAATACTACTCTTCTTTCCAATACTACATCTAGCAATTGTTACAGCCAAGTGAAGAACAACCCACTGTTACTCCCACTTTCTCAAGAATAAGTCAATTCCCTTTCTGTGCTTTTCCAAGTCTAGATAATCAGGTTGCAAATTTTAATGCTTAACAGACAATCAAGACTTCGTACAAACCAGTTCAAGGTTCTTACATGCATGTCATATGTTGCTAACAAGAAGTAACTTAGGTGTAACTTTGATCTAAAAGGCTTGGTTACACCAATACTTGGTACTTACACAAAAGCTGTTTTTCAATCAGTTTCCTTACCTCCTTCCTGTAATTTGGTGCTGTATCGGGACACTCTGGATCAAATGGGTCAAGGCAGGGTTTCTTCATATAACCACTTGATATTCCAGCCTAAACAACAATAATACCTTTTTTTAAATGAACTTGAACTCAAAAAGAGAAAGGAAGAATAATTTCTGAAGTAAGAATTAGAAGAGGTGTTGGCTTCTTAAAACATCTAAAGAAATAGAGAAAAAAAATTTTAAAAATAGGCAGGAAATACAGTGAAACCACCATCAAGCTGACACCCTTAGGACTTTCCCAAGTGTTTGCTTAATGGAGGGTAGCTATCTTATAGAGGTTTGTAAAAATTGCACAATGTTTGCTTAAGATTAACACTCAATTGTTACTCTGTACTTTGATCAAGCTTGATGTTGTTAACAAAGCTATCCAGAGTTCAAGTTCATTCCCAACTCTAATTCGTTAGTGATGATATCCATCTGATCGACAGTTTATTGACAGCTACGTGGACTGATTACATTTAATCAACTATTTCAAGGACCTCGTACTGTACACTACATTGTCAATTCAGTCCAGTGTCCCCTTAACCCTTTACTCCCCAACATCAGTAGGCAAATTCTCCATACTATACTCCCACATTTCTTACAATTCTGACAAGGAGAATTTGTTCAACAATCAAGAGCTTCTTTAGTCGGTGATCATCTCCTTTATTCTCATGACCTTAATGTTTGATTCAAAGGTGATATTGTAAAGAGAAACTAGATGTTCATCACTCTTAGTGGTTAACAGGTTGATAGAAGTTTTTAACAATAGAAATTAGCCAATTATAGTTTATTTTAGTGTCCACGTCTGCTTTATGGAAAGTGTCTGCTTAATTGGGGGTCTGCTTAATAAAGGTTTCTCTGTACATTTAAGTTCTTGGTTCATACCTCATTCAGCAGTCCCATCAACTTCTCATTCATTGCTGGATAAAACTCATATATATGTTCTACCATTTCAATGGGATTCAAACTTTTCCACTTGATGTCAGGGAATGCTGACCTTTTATAAAAATACAAAAAGAGACTGATGAGAAGTGGACATACATTCCAAAGGGCAGTGGCTTAAGCATTGCGATCTTTTTCAAAAAGAAGCATGTGCAGTTTCGTACCAGTCAAATGATGATACGTATTATTAAATATGTGACTTCACTCAAATGAAAATATGCTTCAAGTTAATTGGCTCAAAATTGTTAGAGCACTTTTTCTACAATGCATCAGTGCTTTGCCAAAGAAAAATGTTGCTAAAAGAGAATTAATCTTTGGGTTATTACTATACTGGTCTACTTTTGCCTTAAAATGTTTTCTTTAATGTATGTTTCTTACCCAAGGTTCACTTTGTTGTGTGGACCAAGTGGTTTTGCTCCTTCCCAGAAACAATCCAGAGGTGTTATTATGACACAGGGCAGAAGCTGCTGAATAATCTATAAAAGACAGGGTTTATTTGTCAAAAAATGTGTTGAGAAACAGGAGAATGTTTTCCACATCTCCAAAAAAAAAAAAAAATTATGGCTCAAAAATTCTGTATAGTAACCACAGAGTTTGCTAATGATCACCTAAGAGGAGTCAGAGAAGTAGAGATTTATTCACAATTTAATGGTTCGAGTCAATTGGAAAATTGCACAAAATTTACTTGAAAAGATGTAAGGCACATAATCTTCACCATATCTGTTTGGTGGAATGCTGGTCACTGTGTGAGCCACTACAGCTGTAGCTGATGTTCATTTGTAACCATTTAACTTTTAAGATTGATCATGGAATTTCCCCTCTGACTGTTACACCCTTCTTTGTAAATTATATACGAGAATTTAGTGTTGGATCAAGATAAAAACCCCTACCTGATAACAATGAACATTCTCATTACCCGTTTGCTGGATAATGTATAGATATTTAAGGGAGAAGTTACATATTAATCACTTCCAGGAGTCTACAAGCTAATTTTACATGCATGACACCCCTACTAAAGTAACTGCCGAACATCTGAAAGATAAGATCCAAGTTAAAATCAAATGCTTAGCTATATAACTGAGATATTGGATAAATACACCAAAAAAAAACCAAAAAAAACCTTACACTGTCAAGTCCCATATTATCATCTAATGATGGAAGACTTAGAGTATAACAAATATCCTTCAGTGTCCATGTCCTAGAAAAATAAAATCAGAAATTATTTGTAATCCATGGTGAGTCCTTATGACTCACTTGGCTTCCTTCTGAGTAACCATATGCTTGGCCAAGATGGCCGACTTCTCTTGAAGTGCAAAAAAAAAAGGGTTCTCAGTTAATGGAGATTAATTATACACTGCTCTTGGCCCTAAATATGTCAATCACACAAAAGCTGACGAAGTGAGAGAAATAAAGCCTTTAGTGAGTTTAATGCAATGTCAACTTCTCCATATCAGCATCACGTACTGCAGTGCTACCTTAAGCCTAAATGAGTGACAGTATAACTCTTATCTAACAATTTTACTGGTTGGGAAAGGCAAGGACGAGAGAGTCATTTAAAAGGTATGGCACATGTGAAGGCATTTGAAGTATTTTTGGATTTAAACCTGTGAGTGTTGGTCAGGTCACAAACCAGTGCTTAAAATCTTTTTATCCCACGAGTCTTACACAATTGAAATTTCCTGTTTATCAGATGACCCAGGAGATTCAAAACTGGTTACATAAACACACAGTCATGCTATATATAACTCACTGGTCAAACAATTCCACGGATATATTTGTAACTCTCATCAAAACATCCAAGTGTCGTTTCATGGCCTGCACAGAAAGGATATTTGTCCCTTTGATATTTGGCGTTTGAATCAGCAGTTCCTGTGTGCCACCATAGCCTTCTCCAAGGGCTTTTTTAGTGTACAATAGCTCTTTTTCCAGGCGACCATCCACTGAAATTACAAAGAATGGATAAATCAACCCTTTAACCCCCATGAGTAACCAAGACAGAATTTCTCCTTACAATATCAATACAAAATCAAGCAGACAAGCGATGAGAACATAGAGATTATTAGTTGATTCAATACCAAATTCTCCAAAGAATGGATAAATCAACCCTTTAACTCCCATGAGTAACCAAGACAGAATTTCTCCTTACAATATCAATACAAAATCAAGCAGACAAGCGATGAGAACATGAGATTATTAGTTGATTCAATACCAAATTCTCCAAACTTGCAAAAATGTTATTGTAGACAGTAAGGAGAATTACACATGAGCCCTTAGGAGCGAAAAGGTTTAGAGACACTGTTCTCATCATCTTTTGGATAAAAATACAACATACAGACAGTAACAATGATTTTGTTTTGTCTAGTAGGAAGTAAAAAAATCAAAGAAGTCCAGATTGTGATGATGCAATCTGTGGACTTTGAAGCCTTCATGTAAAAATCTGCTGCCTAACTCTAAGAACAATATTCTGTACTTTAATCACTAATAACACATCTTCCCCATTGGATTTACCCCACTTTTGTCTTTATTTCAAAGTTATTGTTACCTTGCATTATAAATTAGATTGTTAACAACAACATTGTACAGTTGACTTCAAAGAACTCATGATGCAGAGATAAAGCACTGTGGTTAGAAGTCAACTTGTCTTGAGTTGCTACTCATTGACAAACATAGTATGTCTCAGGGAAACAGATATTTGCCCAAGAATGAGGAATATTCAAGTTATTGAAGATTTAGTAGCTGATGGTCAGAGAATACTCTCATACGTTATCCAAACCAAGGGGAAATAGCTTATGGATCAAAGTTCACTGCAGCAAGGGTTTGAATTCAAAGTCTGACTGACTTAAAAGTATCTCCATTACATACGGAACTTCATCAAGCCTTCAGGATTTTGAAAAATTTAGCATACATTTTTTTCAATTGTCATTAGCAATTTACATTTTTCATCTTTCTGTTCTTTAGCTTTTCTCATGCAATAAATCCCTTCAGTACTTACTTACTGGCTTATGCACTTATTCACTTACTTATCTCTCTGTGCTCAGAAGGACACATGTGGCTATAATCTTACTAAGCTAATAATTCCCAGATTCCTTCACCTCGAAAGCAATTTGAAACATTCACAAAGACAAATTAGGCATTAATTTTTGGTTAGTTACTGAATTCCATTTCTGGCTGACAAATTAGTTGATAGTAATTGATGACGAACCCGGTATAAAAAATATCCACTGACTTAAATTACTTTTAAACTTTTTTTTTCCAGTGGGAGCAAGTATCGAAGATCAAGAAGATGGCTGTCTTTGTGTTTTCCTTTATTTCTAACAATCTTGCTGGTATCTAAATTCCTGGTGCTCGTTCTTACATGTTTGTTACTGGTATCTGTGTGTGCTATGATCTGTATCTTCAAAGATTTCCCCGTGACAGCTCTCCATGCTGAGACCATTTTCGTTGCCATGATGACTACAACCTGTGTTTGCTGCTTAAGTAGCAAGTTGTCACTTTTCAAATAAAAAAAATTACAACCCAAAATTTAAGAATGACAAACATTTGCACACAAAATCATTTGTGCTCTTCTCCTTTTTCTTCATTTGCACATGTGTCAAGTTCTGAAATGTTCCAAAACCTTTAAAAAACTATTGCTTGTGAATACTAACAGATCTTTTATTTCTGACAACCAGTTTTTTTTTTTCTGGGCAGCTAAATGGCCAACACAAAAAACCCTGACTGTGACCACTGCATAGAATCTATAGAAATTTTCTTTGATCATGAAACAAGTAAAACTTTTTTTGTGTGTAAAGATCATCATGGCTAAAAGCCATCTTTTTAATCATGACAGTGTTTGTAACCTCTGATGCCATCTGCTTTTGTTACAGATCATTTTTAACATTTAAAGCAACTTCAGCTGAAGTTAGCCAAAACCACTGAAATTATAGACAGAATACAGAAACATTTTGAGTCTTTCTGGGTGGGCTCCTAAGAAGATATAGCAATTAGCAAGATTTCCTAATCCGTAGATCAGTTTAAGGTGCTGGGAAGTGTTCAGAATCCTTTAAGTGGTATTGACAATAATCCATGCTCACTCAGTTAAGTTTTAAAAGTTTCATTCTGCAGAAGTAAGGGATACCTACATGTACTTGACATTTTTGTCTCTCGACACAATCAGTCTTCAGTGTACCGACTCACACTGCTTTATAGCTTTTACAACTTCTGGACACCATGAAATCAACTTATTTGAGATTCTGACATAAACGGCTCACTGTTTTTTATTGAAACTGTACCCTTGTTTAGGTCATTGACACATGATAAAAATCTTGCTCTATTTCTTCAGACATAACATCCCATGTTGAGGATCAAGCGAAGTCTTTTCAAGCTGATGGGTTTTGGCATCTGCCATGATCCCTGGGCTGTGTGTTTTGGTACCAAATCTTTTAATTCCCAATGAAGCAGAAAATTACGTCATTTGTTGAATGCAAATTGGTAACAACATATTCAAGTTTGACATTTGGGGGAGAAGTCACTGGGGCTAACAACAGCTTAATGTAACATAGTGAAAGAGTTTGCCAATAGAAAATATAAACATACTAGTTGGGGTACCACCAACATCTTTAAACCAACTCTTTAAATAAAAGCTCTAATTCTTATATTTCTTTGGACAAAGAAAGTTAACAAATCTGGAGAATAATTGTTACAAGTTAAAAATGACCCTTAAACTGTTTCCAAAGAGATCTCACATTTCCAGCAAAAATTCTAGCAGGTTATGACAATTAGGAGATGAAAAACTTTGAAGTAAAGGTTTGTCAGTCTTAAAACAATGCTGCATATTTGAACAATTCAAAATTACATTTCTGAATGACAAAATACAATCAAATTCTACTGAAAGGAATTAGCACAAAGGAGTTGTAGCTGACTTTGGCACAACAGTACAAGGTTTTTTTGTTTTTTTTTTAACTGCAATAGGAATTTGGATGATGTACACCTTAAAAAGTGGAATTTAAGTTCGGATTTAGCTACTTAAATTGTAGGACAGCTGACACCTGTTCAACATGTCTGAATATCACCCTTACCTAGATGCCCCAGCTAATGAAGAGGAAGATTCAAATACAAAATGATGTCATTGCTGTATTGCATTAGCAACTAGTGAAGGTACAAGCAAATACAATGGCAATATAGCAGCAATCTACACCACATGCAGATTGCATATTGCATGAAATTGGCTTCCATAAGAATGCTCCGATCTCAATGGAGTGTGCCATATGGGTTGACCCTTAGATTAATTTTTAATTTTGTAATTACCATACATGACTTTCAAATTGGTTTTCTTGTCACTAAAGAAATCTCGCCCAGGCTGTAACCTCGCAAGCGGACAGGAAATGCGCAAAACAATACGTCCGCTATGTGACTGTATAACATTTCTAAAGTATGTTGGAGCAAGGAAATAATTGTAATCTACCAAATCACATCGATTGACAGCCGATATCCACGTAGGATGTTTGCAAAAAAAATAATTACTTACCTTCAATCCACAGATTCTCAGCATTTGTTTCCAATTCTGCTTTGATCAATCCGATCGCTGATATGATCAATAGAAGGAAACCAAGCATAATTACAGTTCCACATCTTCGCTGTATAAAGCGGCCAAGGCCTCTGAGGAAAGACTGCAGCAAGGAGCGAACGACCAAAGCCGGTCTATTCCCCTTCGCATGGCCCTGTTGAAAAAATATACATATCTATAACCACTGCATTTGTTAAATCTACTGCGGAAAGCCGCTAACAAAAACAATCGAGTTACTGGGATTTCGCGTAACTGCGAGAAGGGAAATGGGCAGCTTGAAGGGAAATGGCTTTGCCGGTATCAAGTAAGCGCGAAGTTGGAGCTTGCGATGTTCCATTGTACATAATGAACTTACGACTTAAACATGAAAGAATAGTACATTCCATCTTAAGTATAGTCAGTTAATTCTTGTTAAGCTCTAAGTTCGTGATCAACCACGAAGATCAAAAAGATATGGATCAAACCAATTTAACTTATTGACGTAGGTCTTTCCGCTGAATTTCAACCATCTTTGTGTAAATATTTCTACATAGAATCGTTATCAAGCTCTTGAGATTCTTACTGAAGTTTTTATTGTGTCTCTTGTATAACAGCACGTGTTTTACCGGTCGGTTGGACCACCACGATCGACAACCTTACCAAAGCCTTTGATAACTTAACAAGCCTCACTAGGCTGCGAGGGCGAGGTCTTCCGAGTTAAATTTTTAAAACGATTGAGCTCGCCAAACATTGCATGTTTCTCTTCTTACATTAGTTCTTCTTGCATCTGTCAATGTTGCCATCTCGAACCGATATAAAGGGGAAATTCCAGAGGATCAAAAGTACCGGAATTTTAAACAGATTTATCGATACACGTCTAGTATACATAGTCGTAAGATGGAGAACGATCGTTAAATTTGATCAGGCGTCAAAATCAACAGCGAAGAAGAAGCCGCCAACAGATTCGAAATTGCTTCGGCGCCTTTCATAAACAATGTGAGGTCACACACAACTTCATCTGGCGAAATAATAGCGGAGGAAATGGAAAGGATGTGATCACGAATTGCTAAAGTTTATATCTGGCAATCAAAACAGTTGGTGGGCTGCGGGACGGAGATTAAAAAAAAGTCAAAGCCTCAGAACTGTTGCAATGTGTCCAAGATAAACGAACGTAGAAGGTGTCATGTTTTAACTGTCCTACAACGTAGTTTGTGTTTGTTCTACTCTGTTGTCCGCCATCACAACTTTTGTTAAGTCGTACGACAACATGAGGTCAAAATGCCTTTAAAAAAATTAGTTCCTGACAATCGCGACCTCCCTCGTAGCTGATCCTACCGAAACTCCACAGAGAGAAAATATACGGAGGGCTCCACCATCCCCTCCAAAGTAAATATTTTGAGCGACTACTAAACACAAAAACTTTCCATTAAATTACAAATAATGTTTCAAGACCTTCGCCAAGCTCAAAAAGGCTCTCGATGACCCGATTTCAGAGAACATGGTCCAGCTCGAGCAGAACTTGACGAGAATTCGATGCGGAGTAATGTAAACAATACACTAGACGTTAGTTTGAAGAGAAACTGCGACTTGTCCACAATATGGATGCAAACTGCCCCATTGAGTAGCTCTGGATTATTAATATTCTCTCACCTGGTCGATCTCTCGTAGCCTCTCAGCTGCCCAACCGGAGTTTCTTGACGGAAAAGTGCTCATTTTTCAGCTGGATGGTTAAAAATTTAACGACCACGCGGTGTTGAACTTCAACGGTGTGAAACGTTTTCAAAGCGCGAACGCTCTACACTCACGGCAAGGCGACTGAGACAGAGTCTCTACCATGAACAGTAACTCAAGTGTAAGACAGAAACCACAGAGCGAAAAACATCGTTTTCTAAAAGTCATAATCCGTGCTTAGAGTCATTCAGTTCGTCGCAACTGTACATTCCCTCAGTAATGAAAGCCGATCCGTCGGTGTCATTCCTGCGTGAAAACTAATCTCCGCAACACCACTCTTGTCTAACGTCACCAATGCACGCCGCTGATTGGTCAAAACAGTCTATCTTACAAGTAGTACCTCCATTAGGCGATCGAAGACCACACATGACGACCAAGACACACATTACTTACTATCTTCTTTATCTCTGACCGTCCAAATCACAGAACAACAATGCCACTAAAAGGTTTCTCTTAAAGGAGCCCGGCATAAGTTGTCTCTCAAAATAAATCGCGCTCACGAACGCTAATCCAGAACTTATGAAACGTAAAGAAGAAAAAGACCTTGTGATAGAGAACACGGAGGAATGTTTTCATACCACAAAATTTTTAAATCTCGAGTGGCGGTTTCCACATTTTCGTCAGGGGTTTTTCCTGCGGCGAAATCTCGCGCGAAGGACTTAGACGAGCATTTTATGAGATTAAATTAGTTTTACTAAATGGAAAAATTTTGACGGAAAAATAAGGTGACATTGGACAGAATTTCTCTCTCTTGCGCGGCGTAATCGGAGTCACGTGCATTACCATTTCTGCCTCGAAGGCAACAATTTCCGGGGCTATCAATTAACGTCGGCCATTTTCCATATACGAGGTTTGACATTTAGATAATCGCTCCAAGATGATTTTACATTGTCTCTAAAGACCTTCGTTGTTCAAGAACCGCATGCAGGCCTTCATGTTCTTGGTGGGTTTAACATCTATTACGGCTCAATTTCCGCTCCGAAAAAGGTTCTCGATGGAATAACGGTGATCACGGGCTTTGATCGCCAGATAATTGGCGCTTTGTGTTTAAGTATATGGCGCCCGGTAGACTTCGAATGTGTTGCCTTTTTGCCCCCTTCAGACGTAAAAATTTTATCTGGCCCTTAAATTTCGTGCAACAGGCCACCGGGTATATCGACTATAGTGTCACTCAAATAATAACGCACAGACTTCCTGGCGTCGACCGAGCCATTCATTTGCAGCTTGATGAAATTTTGCTGAAGAATTCTGTTATTTGTGTTAATATTTTGATTGGAGTTTGCCTTGTGCATTGTAAACAGTTCTCAAAATTTCAAAAGAATGGCAGCGTGCACCATGCTGTTTTCATAATACTCTCGTAACTGTGGGTGTGCCGCGAAATTAAAAGTTTTTTTTTTGTGCACGAGTCGATCGGTTCCAATTTATCTGATCTGTTACACCATAATTAATGTTACCAGATTTTGTTGATCTGCCAATCGCTAATCCGCAGCGTGGGAAGCCCGAAATTTGCTGCTATTAATTTAGCTTAGCCTGAAAAGAGGTCTGTTTTGGGGGTTATCGATGAAACTTCACGTGATGGGGATCTCTAGGGATGAATTCTCTGCCCCATTCCCCTCACGACTCGCGTGAGGCTCTACAAACAAGAAGAGAGATATTGTATAAAATGAGGGGAAAGGAATTCGAACGGTAAAGGTCTTGAGGATTAAAAGGGGACTGAGATAATAAAAAGAAAATAAGAATACCAAATTCCTATCGCCTGTAGAAGTTGGAAAATGTAAATGGGGAGCATTTTACTCGCTCCGTTAACCAAAAATTCACCCGTCGCTTGTGTAAATGGTAAAACCTTGAGCTAAACTTGTTGATGTTCCATCGAACACAAAGACGATTGGAGCCCTATGTTGTTGAAAAAAAGTTGCGGTTGTAGATCGAAGAGAATTCTAATAAATGACGGTATTTTTTTCTTAATATAAAGGAGAAAATGTTGATCATTTGCCTACAATATACTGCTGTCTTTCATCACGCAATTCAGTCCTGTAAAAGAATTTCAATGTTACGATTCATTAATGGTCGGATCCCGAAGATCCCTACGTGAAGCCTGTCAGGTTCGCAAGAGACGAAAGCGGAAACTCAGAGAACTAAGAGTTACACGAGTAAGCATTTAGATTCCATAATCAACATAAGAAGGTCTATTTTGAAGTATGTGCACGTGGCAGATACTTCAGTAATTGACATTCGAACCATATGTAACTTCCTTCATTGAAAAAGAATTTGCACTTCATTACTGGAATTTTTATCAGCTCAGAATCGTAGGTTATCAACAAATAGAACATTATCCGTCGTTAAACCTTTTTTTTACTCTTCCTCCTGTTTTGTGTTCGACTCTTATGACAACAACCTTGTTGCTTTTCAGGCGAAAGTCACGACTTGTTTGTCTTGTAACTGGATGTTGTTTTTAATGAACTGGTGTACATTAAATATCTATGGCTATTTTCACAGCCAATTTACTGAAAGACGTTGACCATTCATTAAAAAAATTGTGCGGAGGAACTCTTTCCGGAGTCACGTAACCTCATCTCCATGAAGGGATTCTCCCCTCCCCCTTCCCCCCGCCCTCGCCGACCGAGCCACTAAAAGAACTTAGTTCATAGAGGTGTTGCAAATGTTGCCCATAGCATTTGGATAGCCCTCGCTAGTGTGTGAGCATTCCAAATCAAAAGTTAGGGGTTCGGGAGTCCGTCTCCTCCAGTCCACTCTTACCGCGTCAAATCTTTCTTTTAACTCGTTCGCACTTGCCCCCCTCACCCGACTTTACTCGCGCTGCCCCACCGCAAAAGTTGTTTACTTTAAAACAACATTCTTGATGCTAAAACCAGAGAAAAAACGAAATAGCGAAAATGTTGGTTGTTTACGATAAACGAAAAATTCCGAAAATGTTGTTTGGAATGTAAATTGTCTGAGAACTATTATTTTCCAGACCGGAAGATTTTCAAACAAATGAAATGTCTTTAAAGGTGGTCCGAAACCTAAAACCGTTATTCGGGGGTTTTGCAAGAACACGAGTTATCACACATCCGTGTTCTACAGCCAATTTCGACGCTTTTGCGCGCCTGCTCGATAAATTCGAGCTGGCACTGGGTTCATTGACCTTCCCCGCAAAACTCGACGAAAAAAGGTTCCTAGGCTGAGGCATACCCTCAGGTATTCCGAGATTTTACGACTTTTTCTTTGAGTCTTCTGTTTCTCACTGCAAGAACGAATTTCCATTTATTGCGACCCTTGGGGGCTTGTGCAGGCGCTCAGTTGTTAAAACGACGTCCAAGAGTAAGCAGCTCTTCACGATATTGTAGAAGCGGTGGAGTGAAAAAACAAGGAGGCTTGGTGTGGGTTACCTAATAAGCCCGACTCGACCCAAGCCTCCCTCACTTTTTTCATCGCGACGTTTCCTAATTCGCTCCGTTTTGTTAAATGAAGAATGCTGCGACCCTTAAGTCTCAATAAATCCAATGAGAAACCTCTTTACGGTAAAAAAAAAAAGCTCTTAGTTCTTTATAGAGGGTTTAATATTTATGCGATTGAACGTCTAAGATTGACTACAACTGGTTTTACATTCCGACTCGTAATTTAACAAATTTTTTTTGTCGCTCGCGTTCTATGGGTTGAAACGTATCACATGGGCGTCCATGCCTCGGCTTTATACTGAGGAATATCAGGTGATATCGCCGGATTGATATTTCCTAAGTTCCAAACCATACAAAGGTCTTCCTTTAAAATTTGATTTGTTGGGAAACCATTTCGTTGTTGTTTCACAAAGAGAGACAATCTTGAAGCTGTTTCATAAAGTTTCGCCCTGCGCCCGCTGAAAAATATCTGAGTTTTTTTTTTCGGTCAGGCTCGAGTGGAAATCCTTTTTAATGCCCTACGTAAGCGGAAAATGGCGGTTGTGGTGCGCCGATCAATTTCCGGAAATTCCTTAAAAATTAATACTTTAACACAGGCAAATCCTTCGAATTACAAATTGCACCTAAAAGAAACAACTTTGAACCTTCGACTCGCAGTCAAACTGATCGGTTTTACAAAGGTCTGTGCATTTTCAAGCAAGTTGTGTTATATTACTGAAATCAAAAGGAAAGCTCCAAGATTTTAATAGTCAACTTAGGTTAGTTGTCATCTGAAGAGTGCAACGTCTTCAGAGCAAGACCCCACAAACACCGAGACCGCCCGGCGCCTACTTATAGATAAAAAAAAATTAATTTCTTATTATCAAAATCAGATAAAATGGACCCATTATTCAACCATTCAACATGAAAATGGTCTCAGAATTACGCTTTAGAAATGCGTCATGTTTTCCTAAACTTATACCTCAATTTTTTTCTCCTAAATTTAGCGTAAAACATCTAATTTTCATTGAGGAGTTATGCACATGCATCTGACCAAAAATACTTTAAAAGTTTCTGATCAAATTACTAAGAAATCTGTAATTACACAACTTGTGACCCTGTAGAGGATTTTGTTAGCGAGTTGAGGAATTCATCAGTCAACCCTGGTATAAATTTCAAACATTTCTTATTTTCTTTTAATCTATATTTAGACGAGCAACCTAGAGTTCCTGGCGTGCCGATATCATTTTCGCGCTGATTGCATGATCTTACTCGAAACTTGCTCAAGTTTAGCTGTTTTCGGGACGAAATTTGAAAGTTCGCGCCTGGTTTCTCGAATGAACGGTCAATATTGGCGAGAAATTCTAGCTCGATAACGGGTTTATATTTGCTCATATGAAGATACGCCAAAATTAGTTGCGCTAGCTTAGCCAGCTTGGTTGCTAGGCTCTAAGTTCAACTGTCCCACGAAAAAGGGTGGTAAAGCGAAGTCTGGGAACGAGAGAAGGCGCGCAGCCACGCCCCCAGTCTTTCTTAGCGCTATTTTTTTCGTGTTTGCTTGCCAATGTGTTCTTTTGTTCTTCTTTTTTAAATCGCTTGACAGAATAATCAATCAGCAGACGTAAATATCGGTTTCGTCCTGAACGCAGAAGTGTTAAGAAAACTCGGGGTCAACAATGACCTCTTAGTTGTGATCGTAACAAAAATGAAAGAACACGATTATGTAACAGAGGCAAATTGGACTTTCAATATCGGATAATATCTTGACAGTGAAGCCTGTTTTAGCAAAACCACATTTACAGGAATCAGACATCGCAAATGAACCTTATTAAATGGACAATCCAAAAGCCTATGAGATCGATGTTTTCTTTCATAATAACACAGCTAGCTTTCGAAATAGCTTGTTTAAATGTTTTGTATCACGGTACGGTAGGCTTGAAAACACAGACTAAACTTAAGTCCTATGATTCCTATAGAGTTGCTGATGAAGACCGCGATGCTGGCGGCATGGTGCATTGAAAGAAAAATCCATTGATTCTCGACAAAGGTGAGTTTGCTCCGGCATCTCGCTGACACGCTTAACAGATTTCTATGCACTAGGTAACTTATTTACTGCTCAGTTATAGAGATTCAATTGAAATTAGCTCAAAAACAGTTTTTGTTTTTAAAGAAAGTCGATTTCAAAACAGTGAGAATGTGGATTTTCCTTCCTTTCGTCGCCAACGTGAATATAGCGTGATCACGCGCGAAAAGAGTGGATGCGATTTATATCTCGTGTGCAGGCGGGATCGATGGACGCGTAAATGTAATTCACTGACGCTTGAATTTTGCTGCCTTTAGTTGCCAGCAAAAACGAGACGAAAGTCCGTCTTCATTGTTCAAATACAAAGAATCTTTATTTCATCAAAAGAAAGAAAGGTTCTTTCAAAGACAATGATAATTTTTGTTTTTTCTCGGTAGAGTACATATCTTCAGAATTGCTTTTTGAACTTTTTCACAGCTGTCGTGCTTTATTCATAGCAAACTAAACTAATATTTCAGAGAAATACCCATAAAAACTTAAAATCCTAGGTAAAAGTAACATGATCGTGGATTCACATAGCGATCCTTAGGAAAGTAATGTCACACATCGGGAATTCATCACAATTTGATCACGAAGTTGGTGATGAAAACATTAAAACAACCTCCGGAAGGTCAAAATAGCCAAATCATAAACGAATGGCGCATAATTAGAGTCATTTTTTGACATACCGCCTATAGCTGTTGAACTAATCAATCTTTCCTTCAATCTAAAGCTCACTACACAAGATCGAGAGCAAAGCAAGACTGGGTAATAAGGCGAAAATTGTTCGTGTTAGGCGGCTAGTTTCATAGCGCCCACATTGAAACTCGAGATTATGATTTCCGCTTCTCGAACCAAACGCCGTGCCTGACTCTCAATCCTGTTTTCGTTATCTGATGTAGATGTTACCTCATTTTGTCCCTGGACCTGATCCGATCTTCTATCTGCCGTCGATCTGACATTAAATTTGATTCGTAACATGGAGGACGCAGTCGAAGCTTCGGCGAGACTTCGCACATGTGTCGTGACAAACAATTGAACGCTGCACCGCGCGGTTCACTCACTGAATGAAATGAGCTGTGAGCTGTTTTCTCGTTAATCGATGATATCAGGTTTAAAATGCGCGTTCTTTGAGTTTCTGTTTACTGGTTATGTCACTCTTCGAGTGAGTAAGGCAAGCTTCCTTTAGGTCACGGTTCAAAGGATAAGTGTAAATTATAAGGAGCATCCTTTTCAACGAAGAGTCGGCCAGTTTGAGCCAGTATTCGCCCACCAAAGCGAGTGAGTGAGGAAACGGGTTCAACCCGCGTGGGTTTAGAAGGTAAAGTGATCGTGAACCCCCCCCGCCTAGAAGCATGTTGACCTAAAGTAGCGTACAACTTTGTTCTCTGGAATCTTGATCCTTTTAAATTTGGAAGAGTATCAAGAAATATTCTTATCCGTGTCATAAACTCGTGAAAAATTGAACCTACTTAAAAAATGGACTTCCTTCTTCTGCAGTTTAAAAACGACCTCCTACAGCAGGACCGTTTTAAAATCTTTGAGACTGCGATGATTCCATAGTTTTTCAATGTAAAATGCTCAGTATTCATGCACTAAACGTTTTCATTTACCGGATCCAAAACCCTTTAGAATCATACAATTACATTTCTCCCTTAAGCTTTTAAATCCTCTCTTATACCCAAATATGAAATCCGAAGTAGAATCCCAATTTTTCAAGCTTTTTTTCGCTTGTCAGGTTTTTCCTGATGTACAAAGTAGCTCTTCCTCAGAGAAATACAGATCCCTTACAAAAAAACTGGGTTGTTGGTATGTTCATGGTTTTAGATAAGAATTCTATTCAAGGTTTATAAATTCAGAAAATTATTTCTAAGTCAATTTAAAGATAATAGTATTATTATCTTGTTAAAAAAAAATGGTTGTATAATGTAATATCCGGTTTTAAAAGTATTTTTCGGAGTCTGCCAAGAGAAATGCATGTTGTAGAGTGCTGGAAAAAAGCTATGCCATGTGAACAAATGGCTGAAGACGTTTCTTTAAAATGGTCACGTCGTTAGATTTAGGGATTAGCACAACACTGTAATGATGTCCCCAAAGCGCATCACTGTTTCTGATTTTTAAGAAGGTAATGAACAAATATTTTCCTGTTATTCCGACCATGCCAAAGCGACTTCCACCAAGTCTCAGAGGAGGGTTTCTCAAATTGACTGGGTTCTCTCTTTTGCGATCACATTTGATGGTTTTATCGTATTCCTGTTGCTGATCTGATATTCTGCGCATTTATGGATAATTTTTAAAAATCTTATTTTGCAGAGATAAAGCCGTACATTTTTGGCTTGCATTCTTTGAGGTGTAAAGATATACAGATGTTATGATGTTCAGTTTTTCCTTAATTAACAGGCAATCCAACACTCAAGTTCTTTTCTTTGAGAGTGTTTTTGAAGATATCCTAAAAATATGAACGTTTATTTTCTTTTTTTGTTGTTGTTTTATCGCGAATTATGACGGAGGTAGTTTGAAAACAGATCAGTGTAACCCAACTCTATGCAACTATGATGACGAATCCAAATCACCTGGCTGCTGGGCCGGGTTGTTTGAAACACGATTAAATTAAACCAGTTAGCTTAAAACTTTAATCCTGGATTTCTCTAACCGTCTTTCGAATACCCAGCCCTTAACCCTTGCATGTACGCCATCTTCGCGGCAACTTTAGTAAGACGTATACACCTGTCAACCGACTGTAAAATTTATGGCTTCCACTTCAGATGTTAATTATGAATCGCTTGTTACTTTAGATTACATGCCTATCAATTTTAAGATCCGCGCTTTACACCTCTGTAGGAAACTTAAAGTTGAGTGCTTTGCAACTTAAGCTTGCGTTAAGTTTACATTTCTGGTATGAAATTAAACGGTGTACATGTTCTTTGAAGATACAATACTTGCAAGTCTTGACTGCATATGTCATCTAACTCGAACGTACTCCTTTCTTGAATGTCTGGCATGCATTTCTGAACTCATTGCATTTAGCCCTATCGTGCAAATGCACGCCATATTCAATTGCATGACTCGACTAAACTGCTTGTCTTGTAGGTAATTCAGTAGCGTACGTTTCAGTCTACTTCCGATGTTCCCTGTTTCCTTTACTGGATCAATGCCACGGGAAACAAGCGCTTAATTAATGTGTGGCTGCATACATCAAGCATGCAACGGCGGTGCAAGCCGCGCTTAATTGATTCAGCGGGTGATGGGCTCCTAAACTAAATAATGAATTTGCAGTGCCTCCTGAGTTTTCAGATTTCCTAGGAGAGGAAAAAAAAGAGAAGCGCTCTTATATCACTTAAAACTACTACTGAATCTAGACCGGTTACTTCATTAAAAGCATCTTCTATTTCGCTCTGAAGACTAGTACATTAAACTGGTCAAACCAGTTTACATAAGAAGGTGATTAAGTACTATCAAATGAGTTAATAACGTAAATTAACCACCGTAAAGAGTTTTAAAGCTGACGTTTCGAGCGTTAGCCCTCCGTCGGAGCGATTGACTAACGCTCGAAACGTCAGCTTTTGAACTCTTCACGATGGCCGACTCGGTTGATAAAACTTAATCACCTTGTTATGCTCTCCCACCGACGTAGCACCACAGTTTCTAAAGAAACTGTAGTGCTTTATTCAGTTTGCATAAGGTTAGTAACTGAACTTACTGGCTTAATCATGCTCAACTGGTAGATCTCATAAGCGAAAAAAAAATACGATTAAGAAAGACTTTGAATGCAGATATTGAAGGAGTAATAATACATTTACTATGTAAATTTTTCAAAAAAAGAAACTCCGCCAGGGGATTGAAAACTTATAAAGCATATTTTAGTATCATGAGTAATTAATCAAACAGTTGACGTAGAAAATTAAATCAGAATTCTCAAGGGTTGCACTTGTAAACGATATCCACTCAGGATAGACTATCTGGTGAATTCTTTCGTTTGAAACCGGAGAGTCGCCTTACCAGCTGCCAAGAGAACAGAGCTGGATGGACTGACAGAATGTTAGATCAATCAGCTGTTGTCAAACATTGTCAAACAAATTGCTATAATTTGTCAGACAACGACAGGACGTTTGAAGATCAATTAAAAGAGTGGAAATTCGGGTAGAACTGTCTCGTATGTCCAGCAGACGTATTTCCCACGGGATTCCCCAAGGATTTCTCCCTCTGTTCCCATCTCACAATCCCGAGGATATTTCCTCTAAACAGATTTACATCGATCTTTATGATGGTGACCATAATAGCTGAAAATTCATCACACGCAAAAACAGTCTCGCAATAAGAAAGCATTTGATCTTAATAGAGCGCAGGTCAACGCATTTTATTCTATCAGAGAAATGGCAGTCTGAATAAGCTCATGATTACAGACGGTACAACATATGTTATTGATCACTTCCTAAAGACGCCGGATTTTTTCTTTTTTTTTAAATGTGAGGGTACATTTTTTCGGCTTAAATAATGGCTAGCCAAAATGATACATTGCAAGATTGTATCCTTCATTTGATATTCTTTTTTAGACATTGGAATGAAATTCCTGTGTGGTTGAAAATTCCTTTTTTTTATCATCATTTTCAGCCTCCCAGAGTCTGTAAATAATGAAAAAAAATTGATGTTTAAGTACGTGAGAGAGCTTTTTATTTCTTCCAATGGATTTGATTAGGACTGGTTTTCCTTGGGCGAGTTTGGTGGTTTCCTCTCAATTTTAGCCCTCTAAAAATAGCAAATGGGTTTACTGTTTTTAAAATGTTTGTTTAAGTTTTTTTTAGTGTTATTTTTATCGTGATTAAAAGAAAGGGCGGTTAATAATATGTTTTTTTGTTTTTTTTCTAATTTGTGTTTTCTTACGAAAGTCATGCTAACAATGTGCATGGGGAATGCTCACTCCTCATGAGTGAAAATTGCAAGAATACTGCATGAACGGCACTAAGAAATTATCCAAACCACGAGCAAGTATCAGAAAACAAAAAATGTTACTATATAAAGGAATGTGTGATCGTGTTCTTGATTAATGCTATCATGTATTACGTAACCTTTTCGGAAACTATTTAATGCGATCCAGGTCTTTTCTTACGCAAGGAAGGCTTTATTAATACATCTTTCTTCAAACCAAGTCATGGTGGCACTGCTTGGACGAGCAATGCAAATCGCTCGGTTCACGGAGCGATTCAGAGGTGGGAGTTTCGGAGGGAGAGGGGGTAATCAAGGTGGATTTGACATCCTTTCTGGGCAGAGACAATAGATGATTTATAACCATGGCATTGTATGTCTCAAGAGTCAATAAAACGCCATTGTGAGACCCCCTGAAAGAGAATTCTGTTTACGAGTCTGTATTTCTACTTTTGTCCGTTCCTTGTATCATCCTGTACTGTGCAGGGAAGTGATTAAGCAGCTAATCTCTTTTACGAACCACTATGACCGGAAACCAGTGGTGATTAGTTTAAAGACTTCACGTCTGTCAACACTTGATGTTAAAGCGCTGTCGAGCCAGCTCTGCGTGAGCTGTATTGCCCTCTTGTCAGAGTAAAAATCATCTGCAATCCTAAATATTTCTGGGTTCCTTTGTGGTCGCTGTGTCACGCAACGAACAGAAATAGAACGTTTTGCGTAAAGCGAAGAAACAACGGCGGCGAGATCGAATCGACCTGGTTTCATACCCGTAGGAATACCTAGGGGCATAACCCCGCGGGTTAAAGGAAAAGAAAGACAAACACACTATCAATAATGTGTTTAGTCGCGAATATTTTATGTGACAATGCAGAAAAAACTGGCTTTAGGATCACCAGAAAATGGCAAAAAGCTTCTCCTTGAAAAAAGTTCTAAAATGCGCCAAATGGCACTAGATTTTCAAAATTTAGTACCCTCTACGGACCAAAATCATAAAACTCGTTCCCAGGGGCCTGAGGTTTACTTTGTCCCGGCTACACATACGATTCCATTCTTAAATTACTAAACTTTGGAGAAGAAGTGATCTTAACAGATTTACACCTTTCTACGACACAACCCTTTAAATCTATTCTACGGGCTGAAAAGCTTATACATCAAATCATTAATCCTGCAGTTTCCTGAAATAACGATTATCTTTTCCAATAACAAATTTTCAATTTTAATCGCAATGAAAGAGATAGTCAGAGACCGCCGCCGTTTTCAGAAGCCAGGAAGCAATTAATCATGGATTTATTCAGTTCCCTCCAAAGAAAACATTGGGATTCACGATATGTAACAAGTGCCAAGATTAATAGAATTGCCCTCCTCATAAAAGTGCTTTATTTTCTTATATTTATTAAGGAGGTCGCAAGATAGTACACAAAGCAAAACATTCAACATGGTAAACCTATACGACGAACCGTGTCTCTCATTAATTAGCCTAATTTGATTTATGACCTTCTCAAAGTTGGGCAATTGCTCGTCTTTGACAAAATTAGTACAATAAAAAAAGAAATTTAATAAAGCAAACAAACATTTACTTTGGGTGACATAGGTTAAGGACGAAGGAGATATTTTGTCTCTTCGTTCTTTTACCTCTGTTCGGTGGTGGCCACGAAAATCAAGTCAGCGAGCGATGATGAATAACAAAAATTTGCGTATGGGTTATAGGACATTAAGGAGGAAGGAAAAATTGCTTTGGTGAGGCGGGTGTCCAACGCTCAGTTCAATAACAAAGGAAACTAACATACATTTGGTCTTTGCTGGGTGGAAAATTATCGAATTGTATCAGAAAAATCACTTAATTATTCAAAGTTAAGTCAAGGGGAATAACAAGGAAAGTGTTAGCACTGGTGTGTGAATACTCAGCGGAACCGAGCTCAGTACCTCGGCCCGGAACTGTTTTCCATCATAAACCAACCGCAGACTAAGGAGTGCTTGTAATTTTGCCAAATTGGCACGGTGAACCATATCTTGCTTACGATCCTTGACCAGCAATTCAATGTATTTGAAAATTGACTTACATTTGCCCCGTGTGGCTAGCTAATGTAACTATTGACATAAATTGACCGCTCATAGAGGCCACAGGCTCCTTTCACACGGTGTCTTCAATTGGTGGCATTTTTAGCCCTTAGGCAGGTTACAGGTCTGTAATTGTATAGTATTACTGTTTATACTTTAGGACTGTCATTTTCCCTCCCATGTGGTAAAGGTTCCGCACTTGTCTATTTTTAACTGCAATGAAATACTTACCTAAAACTGAACCAAATGTTTTAAATAAGCAACATTGTCAGGTAGCCGCATGCAGATAATATCGCGTAACTGTCGAAGAACGTCTTTCTCGAATAGAAAGGTCCCCTTGAAATCGAAAGGAATAAATGATTTAGCTTTACGTGACTGGAAAAACCTCAAATGATGACAGCCTCTTGCGATGTAGCTTTGAAAAATGACTTGATATTTTTTCCATCTTGATCTGTGGTGGTCGAAAAGGTTCACGTAGAGAAAATCTCCCATAATTTGCATATTTTTTCCCCCGAAATTGCTTCTTAAACGACGTTGCTGGTGACTCCATTATTGACAATGTCAGAAATAAAAGAGATGTTTTAAAATGATAGGTTAGGTTTCATCGTTCATCTGTCATGGCGCGCGCATGTTGGTGAAGTTTCCTGTCACTCAGAAAACGCCCTCTTTTCAACTCTCAATTAATTAGCTGATTGGCAATAAACTACCGAAAAATCAATTGAATGGCCTGCATGTCATATACTGTTTTTCGGTTATTCTCAAAATAAATTTTGTGTTTTGATTTCAGCTTAAAACTACTCATAACTCGTATTCGAAATCAAGCAAAGTTGAATAACGAAATTCACTTTCTTTTCTTCTTAAATGTTTGTTTTAATAGCTATTTTCATTTTTTCCTAAACATCTTAGCATTAAAACAAAAATACCATAGTGTTTTTTTGCAATAAAATTCGCAGTTTCGTCCGTGATTGCACGCCTTTGCACAATTTCATGTGATAAGCATTGATGCATTTATCGATGCATGAATTACAAACTCGCAATGTTCAAGTTATTGATCCTAAATATAGTCGTGAATCGGAAAGGTTGCCAAATATGGTAACTGATAAACCGTTCACTTGGTGCTATCTCACCAAATTTGTCAATCATCTTCAGCTGTTGCGTTTACAGTAACCACTTTCCTGTTCTGTTCTGATACAGTGTTCCGTGCTAAAAATTTTCCACTGAATGTTTATTTGAACAACAAATGTATTTCCTTTTTTATGTCTTTAGCGTGACTTAGTGGCTGATTAGTCCGACTCGGAAGAAAATATTGCCTCCGAATTAAAATAATTAAGCGTTTTATTTTTGAATGGAACGTTTTAAATCTGTGTTTACAGTTGTAACTGGGGCATTTGCACAGTAAGTCCTTGGGTCGGCGCGTGTGCCGCTCAGAAATCCTGTTTGTTAAATAAATATTTCTCGTGACCTGTGCATTTTGTAGGATTAAGATCACTAGGCCACTAACAACTCTGAACTATTCCATCCACGGTCGGTTTTTTTTTGTACCCTGCTTTAGCGACATTCCTGAAATGTTAACTTTTCAGCAACGCGTGTTACCCGAACAAGTAAATACATGGCGTCTATTGTTTCAAGGGCAGTTTAGAAGCTATTTTGGGCACACCACTTTTGGTCATGTTTGCTAATGAGTTTATCATAATGCAACAAGCTGTGATTGCACCATTTCTCGCCTTTAACAACCGCACAGGGAAGACTCCCACGGCGTTTTTACCCTACATCTCGATCTTCCTTTCGACAGATTGAAAAAGAGGAAGTCTTTGAGAAGGAATGATTTCTCTATCCGGGATGGATCGTTGTATATTATATTACACATTTGTTAATTGTCTGGTGGTGTGTGGTTTTCAAAGGGTTGCGCCTTCATCTGCCTTCTATTGTGACAAAAAACATTTGGAAAACTGTTCATGCCTAAGAAACACAGACGAAGGCATCTACATCAGTTCCAGGGTCAGGGAGATTTTAAACGGCATCAACGAAAGTTTTAACCTGTGTTAAGCTATTTAAGACAGTGGAAACGATCCGAAATAAAGACTTAGTCCTTTTATCGGAATTACGTGAATTTTGTATCTCGGATTTAGTTTTTGACCTCTAGTGATTTAAGGATTACCCCCCAACCGGATTTGAAAAATTGCCTTTTATCTGATTGAAGTTCTAGGCATAATTTCGCTCGACTTCCTCGAAATGATTCTTAAAAATGACCTAATATCAGTCAGATGGGAAAAGGAAATGAAATTTCGTAAACAAACGAAGCCCATTGCATTTGCGTGATTTTCAAAAATAGTACCAATATGTCATATCACTTTTAATTCTTTGTCAAGCGTTCGGCATCTCTTTAGGATCAAATTTTTGTGTTTGTCTGGTTCGGTTGTTTCTCCTTTTCAGAATAATATCAGTGTAGTCAAATCACAAAAGGCTGCTAACATCAACAAAGCATAGACTACGAAACGTTAAAAGACGTTTTTCAATCACTGAGAAATTCGACTGTATTACATCCTGTCATCTTAAAGTTCGTGTGCGGTTCTGTGCGAAATTCGGCCGTTTCGCGTTACTGACGTGACACGTACGTGTTAAGCGTTATTAAGATCTTTAGTGAGGTGAGCTAACGATAGGCCCCTTATGTAGTCAATTTGGTGTCATTAATTGATTGATTATGAAGATTGGCCACCGTAATAAGTTTCTCAAGACTGCCTCAGCTACGTAAGCCGAAAAAGATCCCATAGAATTCTGACTTCGTGCTCGGATTCAAAGCCTTTCGAAGGGCAGGATTGAATTAAGCGCGCTGTTACTAATGTGAAAGACAAGAGCGACGTAAGGAAATTTCTTTGTTCAGTTCGAGGGTTGACCAGGGAAATAAAAATCGCGCTGGGACAGGTGGGCCTCTTAAGGAGTTATGGCGGAGGAAAATTTAGCGCTATTGGCTACGCAGAAGGTCCCGGATATGTCGCGGCATTCTGGGCGATGGCTCCGTCAATCCTTTTTCAAATCTGCAGCTAAGATTTTTATTTCTGTTGCTCTAGCACTTTTGCTGTTTGTTGCATTCTACGTATATCGTCCTTCTCATTTGTCAAAAGTGTTTTCAGAATTTATTTTAGACTTTCAAGATTTTTCCCAAGTTATGGGCCCTGGCAATCTCTACCCAGAGTCCACCGTTCACTAAAGACTGTCCTATTTACACAATTGTCCAGAGCTTCGATTATACTTTGAATCAATATGCTTTGTTCTAAGGCCTGAACAAAGACAGACCTCAGATGAGCTAGCGTGGAGTCTGTGTTTAAAGCTCCAAGTAAGCTCGTTTCAGCCAGAAGCGCCGAACTAAAATAACGCGAGGGACTGGCACGAGAAGTAGCGGTTTATTTCACTCGGTACCAGTCTCTAAACTCTCCTATGCGCGCATAATATGTCTGCGCTTCGTATGCCACTCTTTGACGTCTATGACTGGTGTCTTCTGTGATCTATCCGTGAACAGACACTCGGCAACATGGAATATTTTTTATTATATATATATATATTATATATTTCTTAGTTTGTCACTGAAGAAATGTAAAATGGTTTCAGTGTTTACATAGCCTGATGTGAAAACGCGGGAGGTTGGGAGAACACGAGATAAGAGATAACACGAGATAATATCGGGCCTATCTTGTATAAAATAACTAAAGAAAGAGCCTCTTCTTGCAACGAAGGAAAGCGACGTGCTTGTTGTTGTTATTGTTCATTTGGCTTTTCGGCCGTTTCTTGAATACTGGGAAAATTAAACTCCAAAGAAAAATTAGGAAAATCTTCTTCTTCCATTACTGTACTCAAAACAAACTTAAAGAAACTGAGTTACTGCTAAATAAATAGCAGGGAGAACTCCGCGAGAAGATTCAGTATGAAAACTGTGTTTACATACGCTCACGTAAAATGATTCTATGGCCAATCAGAGCGCGCGTACTATTTGAATTATTTTATAATATATTTTTTAAAACTACTTAATACGCAAACGTATTTTTAATTAGGAAACTATTAACTTTGATCTACAAAACTGGTTTAGTCGCAATAACACGACAACCTCCCGTAATGCCTTTCGTGAATACACAAAGAACTTTTGAGTAAAAATATTCTAGGGAATCGAATGCATCTTGCCCTATCACCCGCACATGGCGTTCTTTCTGTTTGCAAAATTCCTGGTGTCTGTTTGAAACGAACGACAGGTAAGCTTCGGTCAGATCATCAAACTAAAAAAGAAACAGAAACAAAAATAAAACATGTCAAGAAAGAACCCCATGGAAGTATACATGTACCTCTTTTTTAAAATAAACAAAGAAACACGCTGAGAACTTCACAAGGTAAGAAAGTAAGAGTACAAACAAGATAAAAGCTTTATCACCGAGTCTTGCTGATATGTTCTCGATTTGCATCGGCTTTCATCAAGAGCATAAAAGTCTCTTATTATTATGAGCAGTCTGCGCGAAAAAATGAGTTATCGCACAGGTTTTTTAAAGAGTGTCTTTAGTGGATCCTATCATCTCTGTTTTTTTCTTGCTTAAAGTTTTAAAACTATACCGGAAGCTTTAAAAAATTATCGTATTACCCGCACCTTCCTATAACCCGCACCAAAGAACTGTTTGCGGGTAATCGGCTGGAAATTACGGTAACCGCGTAAGTTGCAGACCGAGTCTTTTCCGTCACTTACCGTACAAACCGAGGAAACGGGGTTATTAAGATAGTTATCATATCTCTGGGTTCAAGAAGAAAGGGAAGCTTTCAGTTTAAAGTAAGTTTTGAATTTAGCGGGCCGTACAATGAAACACAGCCCGCTAAATTGACCAATCATAGAGATACAATAGGAGAAGGTAGTAACATGGTTTCGATTACAATTTGGTGTTATTAAGCACCAATTCAAAGACAACAAAATTGCACCAGCTCGTAGGGTGAATGCAATTTGTAGTCTTTGAAAGATTTTACAAGTGCTTATTACACCAAATTGCAGGAGAAATCATGCTATTACTTGTTACTAATTTACGTGTAAAAACATCTCAGCAAGGCAAGACAGACAAATTTTAACATTTTTTTTGTTATTTGCACTCGTTGTCAGCCAATCAGAAACGCGTAGTTTTCTCATGTTCATCATTATGAGTTGAAGCAAGAGTTCGTAAGAATTTGCTTGAGAAGAACAAAAATTCGCGGTGCTATCACTAATAGCAAGAAAGCGGGATTTTGCAGAGAATTAAGACCTCTTTTCCATATATTTCCGATCTTTGTCGACTTTCCTCGACGTTCCCAGCCAGAAAAGAAGAAAAAACTACGGATCATGAAATTGTACGTGGTTTGAGCAAGAGAATATCAAGTATATATTCTCTTGGTTTGAGCTCGTCAATGGAGGCCTATGATGTGCGCGCGTTAGTTTAAGTCATCTGCGCATGCCATTATGCACCGCTGACAAGGATGCGAAGTGCGATACCATGGACTCATCCCATAAAGCACTCAACACCTCTACAATATTTAGTAAGTTTGTATCATCTTTTCTACACGATAAAAAGGGCGGTGGGTGAAGCCGAGTTTGGGGAGGTAAGGTAGTCGATTTTGTCTAACTATAGACGAATTTGGAAATTGACCTACCTGGACATCGGTGAACCCTGCTGCCTTCACCTGGCTTATATAAGCATCTTTTTCAGTGAGATTGCTCATGTACAAGTCTTGTTCATAAACTCTCAGGTCGTCTTCGGTTAAATCTACACCTGACTTCTGATAGAAATCTTCAATAAAACTAGAAAAGAACATAAAGAAAGATTTTTTCGTTTTGTCACGAGCGTGGGACAAAGAAAAACAAGAAAAACTTCTCAGTCCCCATGAGGAATCGAACCTCAGACCTTCGGATTCCGCGCTCCGGTGCTCTACCACTGAGCCACAGAGACTCCACAAAGAGCGAGGTAATATCTTTATTGAGCGTTATAAGCACAGCTATCATGACTAATATCCAGTTATGAAGTATTAGGGAAGGTGAACCAAGGGAAGGTGAACCAAGGAAAGGTGAACCAAGGGAAGGTAGACCAAGGGAAGGTGGACCAAGGGAAGGTGGACCAAGGGAAGGTGGACCAAGGGAGGGTGGAGCAAGAGAGGGTGGACCAAGGGAGGGTGGACCAAGAAAAACTTCTCAGTCACCATGAGGAATCGAACCTCAGACCTTTGGATTCCGCGCTCCGATGCTCTACCACTGAATCACAGAGACTCCACAAAGAGCGAGGTAATATCTTTATTAAGCGTTATAAGCACAGCTATAATGTCTAATATCCAGTTATGAAGTATTAGGGAAGGTGAACCAAGGGAAGGTGGACAAAGGGAGGGTGGAGCAAGAGAGGGTGGACCAAGGGAGGGTGGACCAAGGGAGGGTGGACCAAGGGAGGGTGGACCAAGGGAGGGTGGACCAAGGGAGGGTGGACCAAGGGAGGGTGGACCAAGGGAGGGTGGACCAAGGGAGGGTGGACCAAGGGAGGGTGGACCAAGGGAGGGTGGACCAAGAAAAACTTCTCAGTCACCATGAGGAATCGAACCTCAGACCTTTGGATTCCGCGCTCCGATGCTCTACCACTGAATCACAGAGACTCCACAAAGAGCGAGGTAATATCTTTATTAAGCGTTATAAGCACAGCTATAATGACTAATATCCAGTTATGAAGTATTAGGGAAGGTGAACCAAGGGAAGGTGGACCAAGGGAGGGTGGACCAAGGGAGGGTGGACCAAGGGAGGGTGGACCAAGGGAGGGTGGACCAAGGGAGGGTGGACCAAGGGAGGGTGGACCAAGGGAGGGTGGACCAAGGGAGGGTGGACCAAGGGAGGGTGGACCAAGGGAGGGTGGACCAAGGGGGGTTGGACCAAGGGAGGGTGGACCAAGGGAGGGTGGACCAAGGGAGGGTAGACCAAGGGAAGGTGGACCAAGGGAAGGTGGACCAAGGGAAGGTGAACCGAGGGAAGAGAGGGAAGGCAGGTGAGGTAGAAGTGGAAAGATTTACACAATACAACTTATCATCGAGGATCTTACATTTTTCCTCCTGGTTTCAAATTATGAAAACAGCGTTCAAATATACTCTTCTTATCTGGAATGTGGAGAAAAACCAGCCAAGACACTATAAAATCATAACTGCCATCACCTGAAAGAAGGGGAGAACGTTCATCAAAATATTTTCACAAATTGTGGTGAATCACTGGCTCAGCTATCAAATGATAGCTAAACTGTGCTGCATATTTGAAACGCATTTTTGCAGCATTTGGCCACAACTTGTTCTTTGAACTTAACATTTTTCATGACAAAAACTTATTATTTAACAGCCCTCTCCACTTTGCTTTTTGGTTAACGTTTTTTAGCCTACGTATTAAGTGCCATTGTACAAAAGATTAACACCATTGACGTTCTTTTGAGCGTTAGTAAATCCTGTAGTCTTACTGTGGAGGTGAAAGTAGTCCTGATAAGGACTCTTGTCAGAAAGAGTACTGCAACCGTTGTTGTGACAACCAGAGCAAACGTTAGCATCAAAGATAAGTGAGGAGCCTTTTGTCACTTGGGTGTTACATGTCTGGCTTGAAATACTTATTGGTCAGTTCTACTATGATGTTATTGACCATAATCCTCTGTGATGAAGCAATACAAGTTGCTCAAGAAACTCAGCTATATTTAAAAACTGTTCCAAAATACTTAGGCAGTCATTGAGAGCAAAATTATGAAAAGGTGATTTTCCTGGTGATTTTCCACACGTGTTAGTGACGTGAGCAAAGTAATAAAGACCACTGACCAGAAATAAACTTCTGAATAACGACAAGTGAATAAATACAGATGAAATTTATCAAAATGTTTATCATACTGTTCAGACTATTTCACACCCTCAAGTAGCATAAGTAAGTCGTGACTGGACATTTTCAATCTGCTGGCGGGGTTAGCTTGTTCTGTTCAGTTCATTTAATGTGTAAATATCACGTGTTAGTTCTCATGAGCTGCCGCTAGATATTAACATATCTTTAGAGAAGTCTATTCCAAGAAAGAAAACCAGCCTTTCAAAGTCAGTGGTTGAGGAAAGTTCATACTGTTTCATATTTATTCGCTATCAACAGCAATCATTTACTGTGAAAGACATTTAACCCTTTAACCCCTAAGAGTGAATAGCATCTAATTTCTCCCTACAAATCACCCCAAATTTAACCCTTTAACTCCCATAAGTGACCAAGAGAGAATTTCTCCTTACAATATCAATACAACATCAACCAGATAAGCGATGAGAATAAAGAAAAATATCAATTTGGGTATAAGTTGATCTAATATTAAATTCTCTGAACTAACATTATGAGAATTATATGACTGACAGTAAGGAGAATGACAAGTTTGATCTGAGAGTTAAAGGGTTAAACATTAAGATCACAAGAATTAAGAAAATGATCACCAACAGAAGAAGCTCTTGATTGCTATACAAATTCTCCTCATCAACACCTCAGGATATGTATAGAGAACAGTATGGAGAATGTGCATACTGATGTTAGGGTGTAAAGGGTAAATCATTCACTGACCTAAGTCCATTTTGAGAAAATCTCCTGATATGTGAGTTACTTTCTCCTGTAAGTTACATCTCCTTGTCAAATCTTGCCCCTCTGAGTGAAGATCCTCTTGAAGCTCAAGACAAGTGACTGAGCAATTTGTGGTGTGCGCCAAATGCCTTGCAGGACCCCCAAGACCTGAGCCTACATCAAGGATCTTATGAGATGAGCTAAGTAAAAAAAATAGGTGGATAATTCTGCACAGAACGTTCACTGTAGAGGCTAACATGGCTGGAATGTAGTTCTAGAGGGATGGGGGTGGGATTAGGTGGGGGGGGGTTTGTGAGAAGTGAGCGAAAAGTGAGGAATGGGGGATAAAGATAAAATAGCATCAGACCTGCCCACCCCTCCCTCTAAAATTCTCCAAATTTAAGGAATAATCTAAAATAAAAACCAAAGAACTGGAGCATTTACTTACTGAAGCTACACAGACCTGGAGGTTGATTATCAGTACCCCTATTTAACAAATAGTGAAGCCTTGACTGTGCTCTGTTCTGCTGTAAAGCAGGCAGGTAGCGGCTAGAGCATGGAAGAAGTGTGGGGAGAAACATGTGATAACACCTCATGTTTCTCCCTACTTCTTGAGTGCTCTAGCTGCTTCCTAAGTGCTTTATAACAGAACAGAGCACAGTCAAGGATTCTCTATTTGTTTTATAATAAAGAATCCATTAAATTTCCCATGCATTATTTTCAATTTTCAAAACAAAACTTTACTTCCAAAGCAAACAACAGTGTTGTCAGCATGCTTGATGATACTCTGATAGAGCATGCTCTTTCAACCAAAAACAGTGTATTATATCAGAACTTTATTATCATTAGATTTAGGTCATGATAATGAAATAAAAAAATTGGTACAAGAGTAAGACCAAATATGATCTTACCAAGCTGCAGTCCATTGGATATCCCAAAACCCATGTAAATAGAATATCTCTTCTCTGTACCTAGTGGATTATATTCTAAAACACTTTGTTCATTTAAGAATGTTTGGAAACCGAGAAAAAATAAATCATATGGGCTCCAATTCATAGTTGAAACATGAGGGTTGAAAAGGTCTTTAGGATCTTGCTTGCATACAATTGTTGGAGAGCCAGAAATGGCCTAAATTTTGTTTGTTACCTTATTCCTAGCATATCTATTGCCTCATTGACTGCTTTGCTTCCATAATAGTGCATCTGATCAAACTTATTGACATCCTCCACTTTCAAAGGATCTCCATGTTTGTAACCAAGCTTCAAAAAACGCAATACAGTAACACATTAACTCCCAAGATCTGATGAGTAATTCTCCCTTCTAACTTCCATAAATTTACTTATGAAGTAGTCAGGAGAATTTGGTTTAAAATCAAGATAATACCCTCAACCTGATAAGCTTATTAGTTGTCTTGAACTAAATGTTTGTAAAAGATAAAATTCTGGGATAGCAAGAAGCTATAAAGGTACACAAAGATGCCACTCATCTCTAGGATTTAGAGGACTCCCTTGAATCTGGGCAACTCAGCACAGAATCTACATGTGACACAATTTTTATAGCATCATTCATCGCCAGAAAGGTGTTTAAACTTATACAAGGGCATTATACCTTTACAACCTTACATCAGCATGCATATTCCTTATACTGCTGTCTACATATTTGCTATAGTATTGACAAGGAGAATTTATCAGACAATCAATAGCTTTTTCTGAAGGTTATCATTTCCTTTGTTCTTGTAACCTTAACCCTTAAACTCCCATATGTGACAAAGATAGAATTTCTCCTTACAATATCAATACAATATCAACCAGAGAAGTGATGAGAATAAAGAAAAATATCAATTTGGGGATAATCAGTTGATCCAATACTAAATTCTCTGAACTAACATCATAAGAATTGTATGGTTGACAGTAAGGAGAATTACAAATGTGATCTGGGAGTTAAAGGGTTAAAGTTTGATTCAGGGGTGATATATTGTTGGGAGAGATTTAATGCTAGCCATTCTAAAGGGTTAAAGGGGTTAAACCAAAGCAAAGTCCTAAGATGCGTGTGATTATCTTCTCTTTTAAGAATAAGTGATAATTAATTATTTTACAACAACCTAACCCCTGGTGGAAAAAATTTTCGATTAGATTACTTGTAACCCACCCAACTCTCCCTCCCCCTGGGTATATCAAACTTTGAGGAATTTGGTTGCACTACAGAATGATCAGTGTACACCTAATTGACCATGCATTAACACACTTAGCTTGATTGTCATATTATTAATTTTTCAGTCGTCACTATTCCACCATGATCAATGTTCTGTTAATAGGCAAGGCCTGCTCTGGAAACTTCACAACAGTTCAAGAAAAACTGACCTCTTGCAATTCCTTATTGACCCTGTCGATATGGCTATCTATGAAATTTCAAAATGAGAGATAAAACGACTCTAAGAAAAGTTCAAAATACATCTCTCGTAATGCTCAGTTTACACAATGAATGATCTTGATATAATGCTATGCTTTAATCCTATGCCATAATCCTATACCTCGGCATTCAAAGAAGGAGCCTATGATTTTCTGATCAGAGGTGTAACCTTATAAGCTCTGAAATTGTTTTGAGCTCAATCACATGATCGATCGATCGATCGTTCGTACGATCGATATCATAATTTAAATTTAGACCGCAATTTTCGATCACATCTTGGTATTAGCAAAGAATCGAACTAAACTTACATAATTTCATCGTCTTGATTTCCTTTGCGTTAGAAGAAGCCATTTTGACGACAAGAGCGAGCAAAAGTTATGATCGACCGATCCACTTAGTTCTGCTCGTACTTGGTTTTGTTACACCACACTTATTACATAGCTAATAAATTTGTCCAATCAAATATAATTCACTTTTTTTGGGCTTTAGAGGTCACGTGTAGTATCACGTGAATTTTGATGTAAACAAACCCCGAAAGTTTGGACATTGAGTCGAGCTGGCGGCTCATGTGTCCGAACTTCGGCTTTGGAAATTTTTCTTAAATAACTTCCCACTTTCAAGAAGCGTCTCTTCGCTCAAAATTGACATCGTTCTTTTGTCATTTATTTGATCGTTTTTAAGCAAGTTGTCATTTCGTTGCCGTTGAAGCAGATGCGAATAATGTTACAGGAAGCGTTGCGGCATGGAATAATCGAACTAGTTCTGCGTACAGTGATGTATCTGATCAAGTATTTTCAGGGTGTTTAGTGCGTAGATTGTCAGATAAATCCCCGTCCGACAGGAAATTAGTGCCCACGAATCGCTGTAGAACGTGAGGAGGCCTTGATTCCCAAAAATAAAACTGACTTCAATTCTCTGAAAGTGTACGATTGCAGTTGTTTAGTAAGTGTATGCCTAAACATAATGGTTATGACAAAGAGATGAGCTTATGGCACCTGAAAAACGATTCACGATACTTCAACTCCTGGGTAAGAAACGCTAACGGCGACCCAGTCAAGTTTTTCCATTTTCCGGGGGCAGTTAGACAAAATGAGAGAAGGCAAAGGTGGATAAGGTTATGTCATCGAGGTCACTCGTTTGTGTGCACGAAGGACAGCTACGTTTGTAGTCTACATTTCGTCGGTGGAAATGGTCCAATAGAAGAGGATCCTGATCCCATATCTGCTGTAGCTAGTAGAGAAAGGGTAAGTTAATTCAGTCATTCTCTCATATCACCATGCCTAGGTGTCGCGACTCGTAAACGGAAGGCATCTTGCGAACGAGGAGCAGACAAAGAGAGGTGTATGAAAGTTTGCCTTGAACGATCACTGGCAAAAACCCTTCTGACACTTGATCGTCAAACTGGTGAATCGACAGAGGAACACGCAGCAGTTAAAGCCCTTTTAGATCTGAGCGTAGAGCCAGTGATGAGCAAGATTAAACTCGAGAGGTCGGCGCAAGAAAAAAGCTTACGATAATACCATTAGGCATTTCTTGAAGCAACCGTCACTCGTAATCCATGTGTAAGTGGGATTTCCTATGTGGGATTTCCTATGATACGATCTTTGATTGGTCAAGAAAGCGCGCGTAACACTCTCTACCAATCAGATACCAAACTCCCACCAATCGCAACTTTCCCGCTTTTGAGTCGCTTTGAGTTCTCATTGGCTCTTTGTGATATTTTTCTTTTTGATATTTTGTGATATTTTTCTTTTTTCTTATTGGCCGTTGGAAGACAATTAGTCGAAGATTATCCCGACTACTCGAGCGCAATGCGCTTTGAGTATTAAACGAATATATGTATAAAAAAAAGAACACGGCCATTTGTTATATAATTTAATATTCATCATTCAGGTATCACCAAAATTTCACCGAAAAATCAGTAGTTTAAGGGAAAAAAAATTATAACAGTTACTTATTCTGAGAGATATAACACACACGAACAAATAAAATAGTAAAGTTTGCAAGTTCTCCTCGGCAAAGTATTGACGCATTACATCGAATTACATATAACCTTTTCACCCTTAGAACTAAATAGTAACTCTCCCTTACTGTTTCTTAAAATTTCAGTTCTGAGAACTTATAGTTAAATCACATAATATCCCCAAGTTAGAAATTTTCTCTTCTCTCTTCTTCCTTCATTAAAAGGTAATGATGTAATAAGGAAAATTTCCTTAAGTTTGTGGTAACTCTCAGAGATGAAATCTTCTATCTTTGGTTTCTCACTAAATAAATCCCAACATGACGGTTGTTCATCTCTTTCGAGGGAACAGTTCCCTCCAGATGTTTATAGCAGAAAAGGTAAAATTGCCTTTCGTCCTTTAGGATAATCTTTAAATTCTTTTCGATAGTTTCGATGTTTGCCAATAGCCCAGACGGACATCTGATAGAATCCGGCCAAGAGGAAAAGGACAACTGCAACGGAAGAAAAACGCGTTAAAAAGGAGTCTCCACTCGACTAGGGCTCGAACCCAGACCTCTCAAACGTTTTCTCCACGGGGAGGTACACAGTTACACTTAGGCAAGAGCTCATACCAATTTCCAAAATGTTACCCGACTAAGAGAACTGCTACTACTCTCCCAGGATGGGATGTGTACCCATCGTATGTTACCCCCCCACCCCATTACCCGAATTCCGTTCAGTTTGTCTCAAAGTTCACCGGTACAAATGTACACTCCTGGGTAGACAGAGGTATTATGAGAGTAACATGACTAGAATAAGGCTCATACCCAGACCTCTTGATATTTTGATACTTGAAATTTTTCGTGACTTTAGTTTCCTCGACCAAAACAAACTTATTTTCACCATGGATATAACATCTCTTTACACTGTCATTCCCAATGACGAAGGTCTCCGGGCCCTCAAACATTTTTTCGATCAACGCACTTTTAAGGAACCTAGCTCTGAAACACTACTCCGTCTGGCCGAACTAGTACTCACACTCAATTGCTTTTCATTCGGTGGTAACTACTACAAACAAACTAATGGCGTGGCCATGGGTACTAAAATGGGACCCAGCTACGCCAATCTTTTTGTAGGTTTTATCGAACATCAATTTTTTAGCCGATACCACGGCCCAAAACCTCAACTCTACGGCCGCTACATTGACGATTGCATCGGCGCTACCTCCTCTACCAAAGAGGAGCTCACTCAATTTATAACCGCCGTCAATTCCTTTCATCCGGCTCTTAAATATACCTGGGAAATTTCCGACACTTCTTTGGCTTTTCTAGACATCAAAATTTCAATTGAAGGCAACGGTTTATGTACTAGTGTTCACTACAAACCTACAGATTCTCATAGTTACTTGTTGTATTCATCCTCACATCCATCACACGTCAAGAACTCCATACCTTTTTCACAGTTTCTCAGACTTCGTCGTTTATGTAGTGACGACTCTGATTTTTCCGAAAAATCAGAGGCAATGTGCCAGTTTTTCGATAAACGCGGCTATCCTGTTTCTGTCGTTCAAGCGGGCTACCACCGTGCCCAACAAATCGATCGACAGGCAGCACTACAAACGGCCGAGAAGGAAAACACTGACCGCATTCCATTTACTCTTACATTTCACCCTCACAACCACGCAGTTAAATCTATCATTCTTAAAAAATTTAAATTACTCCAAAACGATTCAGAGACTGGCACTATCTTTTCGCAACCCCCACTTATTTCATTCAAACGTGACAAAAACATAGGCAACTTTTTAGTCAGGAGTTCATTTCAAACCAATTTAAATGCGCTCGCTCACGATGCAAAACTTGTCCTTTCATTCATAACGTAGAGAAAATATCGGGACCCAAAAGATCCATTAAGATCATTGATCACTTTACGTGTACCTCCGCCAATGTTATTTACTGCATAACTTGCACTTATTGCAATAAGTTATACATCGGCGAGACAGGAAGACGACTGGGTGACCGATTCCGAGAACACCTTCGCGATGTGTAAAGAAATGACAAGAACGCATCCAAGCCAGTCGCTAGACACTTTAATCTTCCTTATCATTCTAAACAGCATATGGCAGTTTGCGGCCTTTCCTTACATCTAGGCAGTTCGGAAAGCCGTAAAACACTAGAACAAAAATTTATATTCCAAATCGGCACCCTTGATCCCCACGGAATCAACGAGCGCTTTTCATTCAACTAATTTATTCCTGTTTTCTCGTCACCATATTCCCACCAATGGCGTAGCTCCACTTTCTACATATAAATCCACACACAACCCACAATTCCTCTAATCGCTCTGACGAAGGGCTAACGCTCGAAACGTCAGCTTTTTTACCCTTTACGGTGGCTAATTTACGTTTTCAACCCAGTTGTTAACACTAAATTACCTGCTATACTCTCCCACCGACGCAGCACCACAGTTTCTTTAGAAACTTACCCCTTTATTCTCTTGATACAGAGTCTCGCGCGCAAGCCACGAAACCACAGTGACCCCTTTGTTAAACAATGCTAATGGTAAATTTTGAAGTAAACGGGATCAGAGGAAATGCGCGTGCACACGCAGTTCCCGTTGGCAAACGTGTTTGCTCGAAACTTGATTCTAAACCATATTATCGAAACATTCAAGTCTTCTGGATAGAGAAAAAGATACTGCCAGTGCCACACAAGTCGGTCACCTACCTGACAAGGTCTGAGTCATCACAGCAAATGACGTCCAAGCACCAACCTGGGTGAGAAACACCATAACCGTTATCGTTATTTTTATCGTTATTGTTGCGTGATCGTTATTGTTAGCGTTATCATCGAGGTAAAATCATATTGCAAACTGCTGCTCACCGAAAATTTTGAAGTAGACGGGAAAAAAGCAAGAGTTCTAAAGTGTAAGTTACAGCATCTTTTGAGTACCAGTAGTGTGATTCAATAGCGTTATATTTCGTGGTGAAAGGGGAAAAGATCACCACCTCCATTTTGGCAAAAAACATATTTTCCTACGTAGGCTTCTTTCGATACATCAGAAGAGACTCCGTAAAAACGAAAGCCTCGCTATCTAGAAGAATTTGACGACATAGCAACAGATTAAGCGTCTGGGAATCAAACCTGAGGTGATCTAGATATAGCACACTATCCACACTAATGCTCTAATGCGCTTTACAACACTTTGCGGGGGACTTTCGCTTAACTGCATTAAGCAGTTTCCAATTAATTTTTTTTAAAGGAAACTTTGCAGATGCCCCCAATTTTGGAAACAAGGTCAGATCTCAAAATCAGAGGTTAAGTTCCCTACCCTTTGCGAGAAATTAAAGGCTTGGAGTCCTCTGCCGACCTTAGACGGTAACCACAACGACCAAACAGAACAAAGGAAAAACTCACATGGAGCCAAAGGGAATTTAAAGTAGGCACCCGTGGTGAAGGTCAAGAAAGAGAGGTCAGGATTGGTTTCAGTGTAAGTCTTACGGATTAAAAGGGTAGCGCGGTCGCAATCTAAACCAATTTAAACAATTCTGCTAAATTAGCTTTAGAGCATTCAGCACTCTGGGTTAGCTCACGTTGTAGAGCGCCGAACTGCCCTGCTGGAGGTTGAGGGTTCATGCCCCAGACCGGACGAACACTGTAGATCCTAAAATAAGTACAGATAATTGAAGCCAAAGGGGATTTAAATTAAACACACGTGGTGAAGGTCAAGCAAGAGATGTCAAGATTGGTTTCGGTGCAAGTCTTATGGATTTAGAGGGTGGCGCGGTCGCAGTCAAAACTAATTTTAAAAATTCTGTTAAATTAGCTTTAAAGCATTCAGCACTTAGTTCACTCACGTTGTAGTGCGCCGGACTGCCTAGCTGAAGGTTGATGGTTCAAACCACAGACCGGACCAACACTCAGAGTCATAAAACAAGAGAGGAGAATATGCTGCCTTTGCTCTGTGTTAGTTTTCAGGGGATGTTAAAGAACCCACACACTTCTCGCAAAGAGAAGGAAACAAAGCTCCCGGTGTTGTGGTCTAACCTTGTCATTGTTTATACAGGCCCCCATTTCAACCAGCTCTGAGCTGAACTGAGCCAGCCTGTCTACATATCACAATTACAAACATAAATTACACTACTCACCTCGTAAGTATAGTTTGGACAGGAGACGAATCTGAACAGTTTGGTGAAGGGGTTGGAGGTTGGGAAGGGAATTTTCCTCTCTCTAGTGCCTGTAGCATAGGAACAGGGGAACAAAACTTAAAACTCTAAGTCTTACAGGTAAAATCTTCCCTTTTACTTCTATGAGTGACCAAGACATAACTTCTCACTGCATTATTGATACAATATCAAGCAGACAAGTGATGAGAATAGAGAAAAATATCAGTTAAGGGTTGTTAGCTGATCCAATACCAAATTCTCCAAACTAACATCACAAGAATTGTATAGCAGACAGTAAGGAGAATTACTCATGGGATCTTGGGAGTAAAAGGGTTAAAGAAGCTGGCCTGCAAGCCAGCAGCTTCAAAAATCAGAACAATTAACCTCCTGACAGGAAGTGTGACTAGGATCTAATTTCTCCTTACAATATCATCCCTGAATTGCACCTTAAGGTCACAAAAATAAAGGGAATGATTACCAACTAGAGAAGCTCTGGATCGTTTCACAAATTCTCCTTGTCAGGGCCTAAGCAATTTTATAGTTAACAGTAGAGAGAATATGTATACTGATGTTAAGGTGTATAGGGAAATCATGGTTAAACTCAGAAAAATGCTGGCTAAGTGTTTTCTGTACCAAATTATGTAGGATAGTCTCAAGACTTTCTAGATCTAACCAGTAATTAAACAGCTTTTCTGCTGGGTTCATGCTTTTTTTGCTCATTGAAAGAAACAACATCTTTCTCCAAATACCAATCAGATATTGATTGTACTAAGTGTACTTAAAAAACCAATACTGCCTACGAATCCAGGGAACATCTTTACAACAATGCAATAACACATCATGTCATACTTCAAACTTACCTGCAGGCCTCAAATCCCTCAATGCACAATGGATGACAAAATTTCCATACTCATTGAACTAGAAATGATTGGGAAAAAAAAGGTGCAACCATGATGAATCTGAGAGAATGCTATATTAGTTAGACAGGCCTACTGACTGTTAAAGGATCAGAAAGGTTTTTAATTTGAAATTTGTGAAATAAATTACTCAACCCTCTAATCAAAACAACAAACTATAGAGCAAATGCAATTAAAGAGAGAACAGAACTCACCAGGAACATAACGAGTCCAGTATAAATCTGGGCATCCCCAAACACTAATAAGCAAATGAAAAAATTCATTTGTTGCATGATGTGATAATGAGCACTGAAATGCAATCACATGCTTAATTTGCTACATCCTAGCACATTAGCAGGCACCTGCAATCACGCTGTTTTTAGATCACAGAGCTTGGAGTTTGTGTAACAACACTACTTTATCTATCTCAAAGCCAGGTGAGACAATGACATGTAAGTTTGAGTGGTGGGATCAACAATTCCCCTCTGCTTACTGTGCAAGTGTCCTCACAGGAGGCAGTCTTTGCAGATGTTCAACTGTGTCTGGTATCAAATCAGACATTCATGGAAATACTGTAATTTATCTAACAGTCAGTATGGCTGTTAGAAGACTAGCATAATAAAAAATATTTGAACTATGGCAATATATTGTCTGTAACCTTCAGCTTTTTACAAGAGCTACAGATGCACACACTGGGTAAGTCAAAAGGCTGAAAAAAAGACATCTGCTCTAACAAGCTATTGCATTCAGGATGCTCAAAAAAATTTAATAAAGTCAAAAATTAGAGCATTTTCAAGTATTGTCTAACTCACTTGGTGACGTATACAATGGATGGTTCACAAAATAACCAACCAAGGCTCCATATCCCCTAAGGAAAGATACATAAATTTGGCTAGTAAAAATTAATAATTGCACAAAAAAAGTATTGCTTAGAGGTCCTCATAACAACAGACATTCATAGATGATATGATTAACAGCCATAAAATACTATGTTTGGTCACATTCTTCCAATAATACCAGCACGCTTATAATTCTATTGTTACTTGTTAACAGCAACTTTTGATTCCTATTTCTTTCCTGGGATGCTTAATTTTACATGTGTGGGTCAATCAACCCTACTCTACCCTCCTCTCCTACCCTTCCCTCCCCTCCCCTAACCCCAGAGGATGACCATTTTTGAGGTATGCAAACTCAACAACACTTGACACAAACCACAGTTGTGGCAACATACTCTTGAATAATATTACTCTTGACTTACCAATAGTAACCAGAGTTCTTCATAATCACCACGAGTTAAAAACAAAAATATTAAAAACATATTAGAAAATACAATCACCATAAAAAGTTTAACCCCTAGAATGGGCTACAACAATTGAACTAAAACAAAACCACTGATCTGTGTACAATTATGTGTACCACAGTAAAAAACCTTATGCCCCCAATTTAAGACACCTAAAGTTCTGTTTATCAATACATAGTTGAAAAGTGCTCGTGTTTACCTTAAAAATGTTGAACAATGGCATGGTTGCTTTGGAAAACCGGTGAACAAAAAGTGTTTCTAACAAACGTTTTGCATAATGTCCTGACCAACAAGCAGCTGCTATACTGTGAGAGTCAAAACAAAAAGTTAATTTTGGTGTTAAAATACATTATTTTTATGTCTTAACAACTGTTCAGTTTGACAAGAAAAAGATCAAAGGAAAAATGAAAGATTGAAAGACAAAAATAAACAAAACAAGAATGAATGGATAAGTGAATGAAACACAAAGATAGATTATGTGAAAGAAAAAGAATTCTAAATACATGAAAGATAGAAATGAAAGACAAAAAGAAAAAATGAGTAAAAGAATAACAGCAAGAAGTAAATACCAGTAAATGTCAGAATAAATACACTCTATATACACTCTAAGATCAGTATGAATATTCTCCATACTGTTCTTTATACATTTCCTAAGGTGCTGACAAGGAGAATTTGTTTATCAATCAAAAGCTTCTTATGTTGCTGATCATTTCTTTTATTCTCATGACTTTAATGTGTGATTCAGGGATGATATTGTAAGGAGAAATTAGATGCTAGTCACTCTTGAGGGTTAAAGGTTTGTAATGAATGTCTGAAAGAAGAAATCAATGAATGAACAGAGACATGAAAAATGAATCAAAAAATAAACAAGTACACAGATCAGGTAGGAGTTGAAAGAATAATGAAGAGATAGAGAGAGGCAGGAGTCAAATATTAAGTAATAAAGAAGCAAATCCAAGCAATGGAAGTCAGAAAAATAAAGTAATATTCAAAAATACTTACTGTACAACAGGGGCATAAGGCTTGTTAGCTGCACCAGCTCCATACACAATAGCAGGTCGCAGATAGAGAAGCATATAGACAATTAGTGGACCAGCATATTCCACTAAAAATACCTGCAAATCACATTTAATAGTACGACAATATTTTCAAAATTTAATCACAGCTGAACAATATCACTCTGGCATTTCCTGGATATACAATGTTCTAACCAGATATAGATGCAAAGTACGTGTACCTCCAGTCTACACCACAAATCAAAAAAAAAATTAACCAACAAAAATTCTCTCCTCTAGCTACTACACATTTCCTTGTACATAAGCTACGTGTAAGAATTGGGACTTAGATCAGAACCTTTGCCTCTGATAGGTCTGAATATTCTCATTACATGTTTGCTAAATGTATGTATGGATATTTTAGGGAGAAGTTTATTATTAATCACTTCAGGGAGTTTAAGGGTTAAATTGAAAGCTCATAGATGGCCAAGTTACTCACCGTTGTCCAACTAATTTGCGGACCTACAAAGAGAGCAAAAGATTCACTCATAAGTTGTAAAATGGATAAAATTAGTTACAATACTGTTATTATAAAAACTGAAGGAAAGACTCAGGTTGAAAATCTGTTTTATACCTAGATCTTTGAAGTACAATTTGCATCCATTGTTAATCTCCAAGGAGCCCAAAGTTTCTTCATCCTTTAATGACTTTCCCTCTTCAATCAAATGCAATTAAAATAAATTAACAAAATTGTAGAGTTACCACAAACTTTTTGCTATTCAAAGGGCAAAAGATGAAAAAATTACTCACTTGGCTCGAGGCGGAATGATTGCCTCTCAGGATAAAACTTGGGAACTAAGAAATAAAACAATCTCTTGATACTCAATTTTTCAATATTTTTAAGTTCTTAGAAGCAAAAACCAAATATGAAATTGTGGATGATGTGTTAAGTATAAAATAAAAAAAATGTTTACTTAAATGCTCTAGTTTAGCAATAAACTGCATTAACATATTAAAACACAAACAAGTAAATCCAAAGTAACAACAAAAAACGCAACACACCCAAACCAAATATTCTCGACATTATTAAATTTCACCACTAACACTAAGGATTGACAGACAAAACATTCAGAGCTACTTACATTTCTTGTGATATGCATTCTTCACATCAGCAATTGTAGATGAAGGAGTCAACTAGATTATACATATAGGCAAAGCAATCAGTACTTGGTTTTTTACTTAAATCTTTCCATAGCAGCCTGATACATAAATTTAATTATGCAAAAAGTAAAGTGCTGTAAGCTTACATATTGGGTAAGTTTTATTGTACAGATACAGATAAAACTGTTGTGAGTCCCATAAAAACTAAGAAAAAAAAAACCAATATTGTGAACTGTCTGCTTGAAAACATAACAGCAATTTCTATTGTATGCCAGTATATGGTTTTAATGCAATGTATCATGCTTTGTATAAATCATATTTTGTAATGTAAATATCTGACTCACTTCACTCAGGGTGTGTAAAACCCTTCGGCTTCTGATATCCAGAATTTCAACCTTTAGAAGTTAAACAAAGAAGTTTAGTTGATGTGTCAAAATTTCTAGTACCACCTTATCTGAGTAAGAGACTTAAGATAACTATATATATTAACTCTAATTTTAATTGTACAGTTGTATTATTGCAATGTCTTAATCATAAATGCTCAAAACCCAGCAATAGAAAACAGATATCCAGCAGATCTCTGTCAAGGTAGTTTTACATGTTTACTAACATGTTAATTTTTTTGCTTATTGTTCTGTAATTTCTTCTCAATAAATTTATAAACTTAATGTTTTGAAGGGGTAAGGATTTCTTCTTTCTGGTATCATTTTAGCCATTTCTGGGTGAATGTATCTACCATCATACCATTTCAGAAAATGTCTCCTAATATTTTTATAAAAATAAAATACAGCTCCTCAAGGTAAATGCCTGCGTGTAGTAGCCCTTGCTATGTATGCCCATGCCCAAATTAAGTTATTATGATGATCAGCTTTTCATGACTCACGTGACTTCAGTTTCTATCAACTGAAAACAATGTCTTCATGGCGATTGTAAAAGAACATTTCTGGAATCTCGTGACTAATAACAGCTGATCATGTGGCTAAACTAAATGCTCCACGAGCTTAAGATCTGCTCAAGTTTAGTTGATGTCACAAAGAAGCAAAAAATTTAACAACCTTTGCAACTGGGTGTCGCCAACTTGAAAAAAAACCAACTAAAATTTGTACAAAGTCTAAAATTTACCTATACTTAAAATTTAGCCCCGAAAAAAAGGTTGCAGCTGATAATATACGTGGCAGATACTTCTTTAGAATTTAACCGTTGAGATATCAAAACATAAAATGCAGAAATGTTAAGCCTGGAGATTTACGAGGACTTCTTATCAGCGTTATTGCCAGATGTGTTTCGCGTCGCGTCGCATGATTGCACAACCAGCAGTCTCGAAAACTCGCCGGTGAACTTCAAACAATAAATAAATTACCGAACTAACATAGATTATAAAATTTTAGAGGCTACTCATACCTCCATGATGGTTGGATCAGCAAGCTTTTGGTTATTTCCTTGGAAAATTGCAGCTCTCACAGTTACAGCTTTCAATCGAGATGATGCCCGTCCAATGGTGGCTATTAGTCACCAGCTCTTCGCAACTTTTGACTTGGCGCGGTAGCGAAGTTCTAGGACAAGAAATGGCAGGAGCCATTAGCAACGGGCTCCTAGAGATGATTCGTTTCGTGACTTCTCGAAACAGTAGCGTCAATGAACTGTACTTCTGGAGAACATCAACTGAATGACAGATTTTCATGTGCTTCTGTATTCTTCTCCCTCTCCTTGTGTCATGGTTCATTTTATTTTTAAAGTACTCGACTTCGACTTGGATGAGGGATTCACACCACGCTCAACCTCCAACCTGGAAAACCGGGTTTTTTTTCCGGTTATTTGAAAGCACCGGACATTCGCCTTTCGCCTCTCTCTCAGCTGCTGAACAATGGGATTACTGTCGACGACGATATCAAGGCCTACCAGAAATGATTTACTAGCTAGCAGCCCCCATTCTTTTGTCAACATCAGAAAACCCTACCCTACAGATTAAGCTCAAATCTGGAAATTAGAATCTGTCTGGCAGAGCCTGAATCAAAGATAATGACTCTCCCCCTCCCCTTGGAAGCGATCGTAAACGAGAATATCGGCCTGGTACTAAGTCTCCCTCAGGGCCATTCTTAGGATTACACGCAACGTTTTATTCTTCCCAGCCCCTCCCCATATAAATAGCTTAAGGGGTGGGGGAGGGGGGGTGAAAAATATTTCCAGTGGAGGAGACGAACCACAGCTTTGTGACGCGATGAATGATGGGACCAGCAGTCTGACATATTTCTTCCAAAACATAACCGATGCAAACTTGGAGCTTCTCAGAAAAACACATCGCAGTGTGTCTATATTCTAAGAAAAGCGGCCAGTGTGAATTAAAAAAGATTACGTTCCAAGTTCAATGAAGAATTGTCCAAGATTAGTCAACATTCTATATAACATTTTTTTTAATGGACTGAAAATTACTCTTTCATTTCCGTAATTTAATTGTCCTAAAATGGACCCGTTAGAATATTAACTTGGTTACAGTCGACCATTGGGAATTAGGCTAAAATTATAAGTTGAAAATGGTGTAATAGGAAACATGTGCAATTCGAAATTCTGCTTCTAAAATTTTCGAGGTGGAATCGCAAAAGCATAAGATCAGTATTACAGAGCAGGCAAAGTTATGTCTTTCAGGGAAATAATTTTTCAAGGATTTATCATATCTGATCTGGTCAGTATCATGTTGTGACGGCCTTTTTGCGTTCGCAAAGATGAAAGGGAAGGGTTCTTATACTATTTGAGTCAAGAACTATAACACTTATAGACAAAAATGTAGCTATCTTTTGTAATCAGGCGGCTTTGTTTGTGTTTAGAATATTGAAACATGAATAACACTCAAGGGTACTTTTCAGACATATTGCTAGACATGTGCCAGTGTCCGGGTGTTATCAAATTAATTGGCTAGGTTTTATTTTTAACAGGAAAGTAATATAAGCCGGTTTTAAGTTGCCCATCATAACAGTATCACAGGCTCATAGAGAGCTGATTGCGAAGAAACAAAGAAGTTAAGCGCAGTTGACGACTGAACTGCAGGTAAGAATTCAACCACGAAAAAAGCTATCAATTTTAAAAGTTTTCGAGTAATGAGATAGCCCTGAGAGTGCTATTGGGCTGATATTCATACCATTTGAACGGACACATTATGATGTAAATTGGAAGGATTTATTTCAAGTATATTGCTATTTATCTGAATGCTTTAAGTGTTTATTGCTGCAGCATCAAACCCTCTATTTTAATCGACGTTCTCTTGATTTGATGCCGTGAAATCTAATCAATAATTTTTAAACCTTGGTTCTTTATGCGACTTCGCGCGGCGGGCGCTTTATCGACTTGTAAACGTCGATAAACGAGGAGGCTAATATCTGGGGTGGGAGGGGAGGGGACTGGGGTATGGAGAATGGCAAGCTTGTAAAGGGCATGAGAACGTTTTTTTTCTTAGACTGGATGGCTAACTTTAAATGGCAATTTTTTTATCAAATTTCACTTTAATTGCTAAAGTAGAAAAAAAAAATAAATGTCACTAAATCACGTGGATAAATTAAGGGAAAAGTGTCATTAGCACAAACAACAGACGAATCGGGGGTGGGCGGGAGTTGTCTCGTGTTCTTATGTTGTTGTGAAAACTGATATCAAACTTCCCTTCAACGCTATGCCGTCCCTTTTTTTCATGTGGTAAAAAAAAGAGTGTCGCATATTCTTTGCCTCCACTTCAAGGTTATGAAGTGTGCATGCACCACGTTTAACTCAAACCACAGAAGAGCTTTTTAGCGCGTGCAATGGAACAACAATCCTGAATTTAAATCATGGACAGTGACAGGAGCCCATTACTCGCGATTAAAATTTCGACAGGCAAAAATCCTGCAATGACGTCATCGGTGCATGTGATTTTGTTGTCGTGGTTCTCGTGATGTGGCGACAGCTTTTTATCACATGATATTATACATTCAGAAATCGAGAGATAAAGATTCTCGGCCGAATTTAGTCTTCTAATGAGAAGTGTTTGCATGAAATGGTAATCTTGTACCCAGATCCAACTGGTATTTTTTTAATGCATATTTAGGGAGGTCTGAGTACGAGAGCAGGAAAGCACTTCGTCTAAAATTTCTCTACTTACCAAACTAATATTTTGTTGTTAGGTACAAATCCTCGTCAATCGTCTCCATCCTTCACTACCCTTCTTCTGTCCGTTTTTATCTCATTTGAGTTTTTCTTACTTACCAATCTAACATTTGTATTTTCCATACATTTTTAGGTTGTATTTTTTCACGAAACAAATAAAAAACTTAAAATAAAATAAAGTAGTTGCCATAAATTACCCGTTTTCTTTTATTATTCCCGTATATTAAAAATAAAAATAGCAGATAGGAGAGAGGAACGGAAATGCTTAGCCCTTGTGGTTATATAACTATGATTGAAATGTTTGCTTGGCAAAAAGTGTATTTCTCTTCGAGTCAATGCTGATATCAGAACAGCGGGAATGAATGACCACTGACCTTTCAAATCTCCGTTACAATTCGGCAATTGTCGTAAAACAATATACATGCCCCGAAGCCACGAAGTTGGCGTTTAGTAGTTTGCGGTTATAAATCCTTTCAATGAGTGACCATCTTTTCAAAAACATCACATCTGTTGGCTTTTAGCAGCTACTATCAATCACTTTATTTTTCATTTTCCAAGAAGGTAAGTGTTAACATACTGGCGAGAGGTATTTTTGTGTACAATTCGCCAATTAAGCTTTTTCTTTTACAAATCATTTGGTTTCAGCGAATTTGAGGGAAAGAATTGGATGCACCATCGTGCACTGTATTTAGGAGAACTGTTTGCGATTTACAAATATCTACACTCACTTTGCGTTGAATGTGTCGCGTCTGTTTGAATATTATTTTTCATTTCATAAAATTACCAATTAATACCAGAATCCCTGTATTCCAGACACTTCCAATCGAATTGATGTCAATAGATTTTCACCCGTTTCATTTTCATACCTTTGATGTTTTGAAAATCTGTTCACTGGAAGGTATGTCATATCAAAGGTAATAAAGACTTTCAATTCTGTATTTCTGACATATATGATCGAGAATGAGTTGAATGAAAGTTTCGATTGCCTTTGTTCATGGCAGGTCGCTCGAAAACCACCTATATGCAAATTTATTTCGCTTTTCGAATTTTGTGACTCGTGCTTCAGTTTTCAGATATTCATGTTGTTATTCCTTCAAGCCACCGCACGGTATTTCCTGGCGCAAACGTGAGTTTTTTTGTTTTTTTTTTTAAACCAAAGTTGTACCTCCAAGATCTTTGTTTCTCTTCACAGTAGGTTAAGAAAATGCTGCATTTAAATTCTTCGCAAAAGGTGAACTTTTCACTGCCACTATTCATCTATGCCATTGTATTTGTTTTGGCTTTATTCAAAAGATCTACGTGCCGACGCAAACTTGACTGATAATTCAGTTACATTGTATACTGACATGTTTAGTCTATAAGATCTGTGTTTCTAATAACATGATAACTTATACGGTGCAGTACAGTTAAGATAAGTTCTTTTACAAGAACGCGGAAACACACTTAGTGGTTTTTCTTTATGGCGCAAAATGGTTTCTAGCGATGCCCGTGTACTCGAATCTTTGATCATGTAATTCTCGTATTCTTGATCGAGAACTTTCTTTTACAAACTTTGTGAGAGTCTTTTGTCGCTCCAGAGATTAGGGTAGACGAGCGTAACAAATATCACAGCAGGATAAACGAAAACATCAACACATTTTCCTCTTTTGTTTCGGTTCAAAATATCATATTTAAGGTATCATATGAAAGTAACATAATGTGAGTTTATTTTTTTTGGCGCAAGACTGCAGTGGCTTTTATGTTTCGTGTTACTGCTCCGGAAGAAAGCCATGTCGCCGAAACAAAACTTTTCGCTGGTAATAAACGTAGTCCAGAATGATCTTAAGTTTAAATCCCGTTGTGATATAGCACTGAGATTTGCTGCGAAACCGAGATTAAGTTTGTGGTAGCTGTGTTTCAAATTTCATTGCTTTTTTAAGCACAACTTAAAAGGAGTGGCGTCACGGTAACATAAACAAGACATCTCAAGACACAATTACACATATCTACGAAAAGTTCAAGAATGCAGATGACAAAATGTGCCAGAGTTTACGAGTCTTCGACGCCCCGTAGATCCAACAGAAAATATAAAATATCTGTTAACAACCAAGATGCTATGTTTCCACGTTATTGAATTAATTAACCGTTGACATAAAGGCACCTGTTTCTGTTTCTCTCCACACAAACTTGGTTCTAAATTTCTCAATGATTTATCTTTGGTACAAAGCACTTCTAAATTCTTTCGATTTCATTTCAACAGATCCGAATGTGTTGATCGGTAACTAGGATTAAAATTCGATAAGGCCGAGAAACATTGCTACATAATGAGTTAAGAATTATTCAAACAGCACGTAACACCTCATCTGCTACGTACCATGAGCTAAGCAAACAAAACGCTCCCTTCCCTTCTCCCCACACCTGCTGTATTTGAGAGTCATCCCTGCCGGGTGATTGAAGTCTATGCTTCGTGACATGTTCAAATATCTGTGAAGCGTTTGCATTCTTTGGGTAAAAATACGTTAATGCCTAAATTTCGCAGATGCAAAAAAATAGAGCTGGGAAAGATGTAAGTGATGGCAGTTTCCCAAAAAAACTGTCTTTTTTTCCTTTTCTAGAGGACAAAAAATTAACATTTACAACATCGATGCAAACCTTCGCCGAAACGTTTGTTGTTCTTTCATTATATTTTCCCGAACTATAAAAGCAATTCGTTGAAGCCAAAAAAACTCTACAGATTTGGAAAATTTTTCACAGAATGAGGCCCGCTGGCTTAGTGGTTCAAATTTGGCTGGCTTTTCAGGCATTGCTGTTTTACTACTGGGATTCTTAAAGGGAGACATTATGATTGATGCGGTTACTCCGTATGGGGAGGATTGGGCTCGAACCATTCTGGGGTCATTGTGTTGTGTTTGTATAGAGGACACTTAACTCTCACAGTGTCTCTCTCCCTCCACCCATGAGTGTAAATTGATACCAGCAAACGTTAAGAGAAACTTTAAGAATTTTAATGGGGGGGGGGGAGGGAGGGGGGTGCTTGTTAGGAATTAGCCTTGCGTTTCTTCGTGCGGTCGAAACTTAGAAAAGTTCCAACAGACATTCGAGCATGTCTCATAAACAGACGTTGAGACGTATTTTTCTTTTTTCCTTCTATAGACCAGCGTTAATCAATGGAAACAAAAAAGAACAGACCACCAAACCTCTCATTAAAACCAGAAAAAGACGGAAAGAAGGACGAAAGTTCAGGATCACCAGATTGCAACGCCAATATTCAATCGTTAAAGGAAATGGATAAACTCGGAAATCTCAAAGTACCAGTAAGCCCTTTATCCAAGAGATGGTTCAGGAAGCAATTTGGTATACGCAAAGATGGAGCACGACTTCAAGATGATGGGGCGAAACTGCAAGCACCAATAAATAATGCAACGTTCCAGAAAAGTCGTCGTCGGTCAAGCTCGCTACCAGACCTCGCCGCGATGTTGGATGCTGCAAGTTTGAAGAGGCATGCGTCGCTAAGAACGCGGTCACCTGATCCCACAAGGATGGTGCCATTCAGAAAGGAGCCTATTCTTACTAAGTAATAAACTGTAGGATTGAATGATTTTTCATCTATTAAGATGCTCTTATTTTTTTAGATGCTCTTAAAAATAATCTTGGAAAATTTTGGAAACTGGACGTACCATAAATTTAATTTTTTCTACTTTACTCGCAAATCCCAAGCAGAACGATTGCTCATGCTAGATCATCTGTCTCCGTTCTAAAATTCACGAGCGACACGGTTGGTCAGTTCAAATCACCTGAGAGTGCCTTAAATATTAGGGGCGACAAGATTGGTCGATTAAAATTTCTTGCCTTTACCTTACCGGGAGCCCTCCTAACCTTACATACCACGAGCGACGGGATTGGTCGATCACATTTAAGCGACCACTCCTTAAATGTTACGAAAGACATGATTGGTTACATCAGCTAACCTGACTGCGCCTTAGATATTACTAACCCTGAGAAATTTGAATAATTTTGCTTGTGTGTGTGTTTAAATATTACGAATGACTCAGTTGGTCAATTCAAATTACTTGCCTGTGCTCAAATACTACATTTGACATGATTGCTTAAACATGATAGAGTGCAAAGTATGTTACTAGTCGAAGGGATTAAACACACGGACGTTTTTTAAAAGGTAATCGTAAATCTATATCTTACGGTAAAAATTTGTGATTACGCAAGGAATTTTGAAATTCAATACACCTGTCTTGAATATCATTACCAAGACTTAAAATTTCAATCTTTAATCCAAATGTGAGACGTACAAGAAGTAATACTGTCAGTCATTAAAACGTTTGGTACAAATGTTTATGATAATAAAGCTCGGATATGACGCGCGCTGTCATTGGTTGAAAGAGTGTTCTCTATGAGAGTACAGAGCATAGAGCTGAGCTAAAGCTGTCACGCCACCTGTCAAATTGTACTATGTTCGACCTTTTCCGAGACTTCTTTCTAGCTTTTTTTCGATAATTGAAAGTGAAATTTCTGAACAAGCGAGCCGGCAAGTAGCAACAGGAGAACCAAACAAAGGTTTGTAAACATACCAGGCGTCTCCTGTTTCTCCCCACAGTTCTTTCGTGCCCTAGCCGCTTCCTGCGTGCTTTATAACAGAGGATAGTCATGTCTTCTTTATTTGTTAAACAGAACGCAATTTTTTTACTTTTTATTTTAAATATGTTTCAATCTAACAATTTTGTAATCTTGACACGTTTAATGCTTAAAGACGTGTACTCTTACGTGATGTTCGTGATTTGACTTATCTCTGCATGAATAAACTCAACAGGACTAAAATATGTTCTTACGAACGCGTTTTCGATCATATCCACATGATGCAAATAATTAAGACTACCTCTCATCGAATTAACCAAAATTAGTGTGAGATGCGTTGACTTAGTGCTCACCTTTTTTAGAATTTTGGTCCATATGGGAGTCCGATCCCTAGTTATTGTTTGCTTTGTGTTTGAGGCAAGCCAATCAACACACTTAGAGCCTCTTTTCACCCAAGATTTGAACAAGCTAGCGAACTATAAGGAAAATCCTGAGAAAATGCGTTGGGAGGATGGTCACTGGCGATAGACTGGCACCTCATCCAGAGGATATATAATTACTCCTAGTTGCTTTTATATGCTACAGAAGCTGGGATAAGCTCAGGCAGAAGGAGCCTTTTGGATAAATAAATAAATGGGATTTAGTAGTGGACATTCCACGAGCTGGATCTTCTTGTCCACTCTTTCCAGGTCGATTTGGAATTAGATCTCTTTTGGACCTGATGCTGTTTTGCACAGTCATACATTTATGTTCCACGCTCATATGCTTGAAGTAGCGAGACTTCCTTAATCCAAATTTAATACATTCTTGCAAGAATTATGTCGTTGTCATATATCGTGTTCGATTCCTTGGAATCGGCCCGTTTTCTTTTCATCCCAAGTTGGAGTAGTCGTATTTGTCTTTCGCGCAGTCGATGATATGTTTGAGAAAAACTATGATAAAATATTTCCAATGATTCAGAGATGTCCTGCTTCATGATTTTACATCTGCAGGTTCCTGAAATAAGTGATATTGTTGAGAAGGTTGATGGTCTAACCAGTCTGTCAGTCAGTTTATGGATCGCTCAGCTTGCCAGTCAGCGAGTCAATAAGTCAGTTATTCAGTCAGTCTATCAGCCAGTCAGTCGTTCATAATTTGCCAAGTCAATATACCGGTAATTCAGTTTGTCACATGGTATAACGTTAGGTGCGTTAGTTACATTATCATAATTCACGAATTCTATAGTCTGTCTGTCTCTCCGTCTGTAGGAACGATCGTCCCAACTCCTCTATCCCATCAGTCATTTCCCTGTCGATTGGTCTATCGAACACCGAAGATACTGCTGACTTACTTTGAAAAAAGACATACCTTTGCTTTTTCTTTTACAGCATGACCTATAACAAAAGGCCTGGTAAAACAAACCACACGTAACAGCGAGTAATAGGAGTCCAACACTGACCACCATCGTGTTCAGGAAGTAAGGACTGCTGGGTTCAAAGAACACGACTGATGTAGACTCAGTCTAGAAAATGAAATAAAAAGAGGAGTGTCAACAATGTGATTGTGTAGGCTTTGGTTTCACAAAACTCCTTTAGACTGCGCTCCTTTTTATCTTGTTTTAAAATCCCTAAATTAGAATCTAAAGTTAATAGTAGGAATAGAGCTGTTTCCTGTGGAGTGTCAACAGTAATCCATTCGCTCTCATGAAGGACTAACGCTCGAAACGCCAGCTCTGTAACTTTTTACGGTGGCCAATTTACGTTATCAACATATTTGATAATACTAAATTACACTGTTATACTCTCCCAACGACGCAACACCACAATTTTTTCGGAAACTTACCCCCTTTATTCATGATTGTTTTGGTTTTTCTATACTTATGTCGCTCCGTGATTGGTCCGCGCCACCCTCTCAACCAATCAAACTCAAGCCTAAAACCAATCTTGATTGGTACACTCGTATTTTTCCGCGTTTCATGCAGTCTACCTATTTTTAATCAGAGTTCTGATTGGCTAATGATGGTGTCAGCCTTCGCCTAGGTTGACTGTTCTGATTACTTGTGGTTTTTTTTTTTGAAACTCAAATGAAAACTGTTCCACTTACGATTATTACCTCTTCCTCTTCAGATTGCTCTGTAACCTCGTCATCCTGTTTTAAGAATTCTGCCTCTACGTTGTTCACTCCCATCACATTTTTCAATTGTTTTGCAAGACTGACTCCTTCATCTTGTAGAAGAATACCATGCGCTATTTCACCCTCTAGAAAGTCCGAGACATGAAACCAGGAGCCGTTAAAGAGATCTTTTCTCTTGACTGGAACGTACATGTCAAGTAACATTGAACTTATGTTGCCATTTCTCAAAGCTTCAACCATGGAGTTTAAATCTGGGAAAGTAGATCCTGCAAGAATAAAATTCTAGTCATGTAGTTTGTGATTTAAACGGTCGATTATCTGGGTCATGAAGTCTGTTACTCACCGATGGCTAGCTTGTTGGGAAATTTTTTAACGGCCACTTGATGTGAGGACGAGTTGGCAACTACTGCAACCTGAGGTAGAAACATTTTCACATCATCTGACAGTTAATTGTTGTACTATGAAGCGTAAGTCTAGTCTTAAATTAACCATTTTTAAACATGTCACGCAATTCTCCGATCAAAACTGACTAGAAACGTGACATGTCAAGTCTCCTAACTTATAAAACCTTTACAACATCATATCAGTATGCATATTTCTTAACGAGAATTTGTTTAACAATCAAGAGCTTCTTTAGTTAATACTCTTGACCTTAATGTTTAAATTACGGATGAAAGTGTTAATGACAGAAAATCAATTACCTTGCCATCACCAGACGAGCTCGGACTATTTGCATCCGTGCGAATCCTAACCACTGTCACAGTTAGCAATGATGTCAAAGTTCCGAGGAACAGAGCAAAAATTACAAGTCCGACTAGAAACCAGACTATCGCGAATAACTTGGCTGGGACGGACTGAGGACAGCGGTCACCATATCTGTTCAAAGAAGGTTAAGTAATAGATGACCAGAACGAACAAGAAAAGAAATAATTCGTAAGTGATAAGACTAAAATGTGCCTCATGAGCCTCAAGCAAGTGGTTCAATAATGGTGTCACCATGTTTTGAGCTCTTATGTGATCTGAATGAAGGGTACAAGGCGTGATGGAATCAATTGAACAGAAAAGAAACCTGAAAAAATCGCAAAATTTCGTCTACTTCCTCAATTGATCGAGCTCTTGTCGAGGATTTTTTAAGACATTAGGAACTCGGTTTCTTTCCTCTCACATCTTTTCTCTCGTAGAAAGCTACTGTTATTTTTTTCGAGGCTTTAACTTTCTAAATCTTTAGAACTTTCTGCAAACATTTTGAAAACCGAGCACCATGTTGAACAAAGTTTTGGATGACCCCTCTACTATTATAGATCATATGCAACGAACCATCGTAATGAGCAGAGTAATCTGTTTATAGTTAAAATCATTAATTATTATCTCCCGTAAACTCTGCATTGTGCGTGATGTTATGATCGAGAAAAAGACAACTTCTAAGCAAACTCACCCAACAGTTGACATGGTGATAAAAGACCACCAGAAGCCAGCACCAGCTCCCTTAAAAAACGTCCTCGGGAAGTGCTCCGGGTTTGCTTTCGAGTCCTAAATGGTAGGAGACGCGTAAATCCATACGAGAGTACAAAATTTCGATTACTGAAGCTGCATTTACTGGGATTTTGGGTCAGCTCTATTTAAGGGGCGTTTAGGAGAAGTGTTTAGTTCATTAAACCCCAATCTGGTGTCAAGCCCTAGAAGGGTCGTTGTTTTGTGTAACCGGGCGCAAATATTAACTGACACACTGTCTTCATTTAGAAATAGAAATGGGTACTGTAAAACTGCTAGGGACGCTATTCTACAAGGTAATTATAGTGTTCGCGTGACATCCGGGAGTTATGCAACGCGGGAACTTGGGTCATGTGACCAAGAGAGCGTGTGTGCGGTTGTGTAATCAAGTGTGCAAAGCGATTTGGTGTTGCTTAAGTTCGGGCTTCGGGGGATGTTAAGGGGGTATGCATAAGACGGTGCTGCAACCTTTTAGCGGAGACCAACAAAATACCTAAACCTCTCGAAAAATCAGGAAAGCATCACCACGATGGGACATCTGGTTCCTCGCCTTACCTTCATGAATTAAACAGCAAGACTGAAGAATCTTACCAAAATCCAAATGATTATCCCCGCTAAAAGAGACGTCAGCAAAGCCAATACGCAAACAGGCCAAGACTCAAAGATAGAGTTTGTTAGAAGTTTTGTAAGTGTAGGAATGGGAGAGTTTCTTCTTTTAACAACAACAAACCCAGGTACAGATATCACTGGAACAAACTTGCTATAGGCCGTGTCACCAATAGCCTGGGTCCTTGTCACTGGAAAGAAAATTTGGCCTTCCCGTGTGATGTTAGAAGATGTCAAATAGTTGTGCCTGTACGCATCGCATCTGCCACACGTGCTGTTTACCAGATCACGGATGACTCGACTGAGAGAGACCGTTCCTAATGTGTCTAAGGAGTTTGGAACAATGGAGATACTCAAGTTCTCGTTGCATCGACAAGTCTCTGTAAAGACAGGAAATTTTTCAGAATTGCAGTGAATAATATTGAAGGTAATAAAAGAAAGAAGATGAAAGAAGATGATATAATATAATTCTTGTCCTAGAACCGATCCAAAATGGAGAAGATGATTTAATGTATTAGATATCAGCCTTCTCATAAGACGTTATGTATAGTCCACTGTACAACCACTGAAAAGTGTTGAGCAAGAGGAATTATGGGTAAAAGAAAGAATAACGCATGCGCTTTGTGCATTTTATTTCACGTTCCAATCCTTTGGTACGGGCCAACTTTTTTTCTTAGGAAAAGACCTTTCAGCAAATAAGAAATATATTTTTACAAATACCTGCGTATAAGGGCTCGCTGAACTTTCCCGTGCCCTTGGATGTTATCAAGGCCACCTCAATCTTATACGTGGTGTAAATCGTTAGGCCAGTGAGAATCACTGTCGTAGCACTAGCACAGACCGTCATTGTATGATTTGGCTCTGAAAGTAAGTCAGGAACTGGTTCACCTCCTCTTCTGACAGCATGATAATTGATGTAAAAACCTTCCAATAGTCCATTTGTTTGTTTTTCTGTGTCGTTCTGCAGGTTAAGTTGAATCGAAGATGAACTCATTGTCTTTGTAGTATAAGTCCAAACTGGGATTTTTCTCTTACCTCTCCATGAACCTGCAAGGATACGGAAAGATGAAAGGGGATATGCAACATTATCTAAAATTTTAGTGAAGAGAGGAAATTCCCCATTTGGTCCCAGCTCTAAATGCAACTTCTAACATGTTATTGCAAGAATCAAGTATTTCAGTTTCCCAGCCGGAATAATTCTGTAGGTATCGCGCAAATTGGCTTAGTATTTATTAGAGGAGAATTATAGAGAGGATATACTTTGTCCATCTATGAAAAGAGTCGACATACTGCATACGATTAACTATTTACAGTAACGAATGTGATCATCATTGATACAAGGAGATGTTTTGCACATTGCTTCGTTGTCTTGACCCCGCATGGTCTTCAGCAGTGCCTACTTTTGCGGTACAATTAGCCCATAAAACTACTCACCAGTTGCACAATCACTTAAAATGCCAGATCCATCTATGCTTAATGCAGCCATTTGGATGCATGTGTCGTCGGAGAAGCTAACATTCTTTAGCAGAAGAGACGAGGCACACGGAGCTACAAACTTGATGGCGCCACTATGAGAACCGCTCATAAATATTGCGTATCCTACAATCGGGACCTCCTCTTCTCTTTCCGGTACTAAGTGCCAAGATAAATTGACAGTGCTACCATCGGAGATGAAGAAGGAGAGATTGGAAGGAGCCAGTGACGGTACTGCAAGTTGAGAACGTTGTAAATCAACGTTACATTAAAAAAAGCTCATCGTCATAAATAACACGATTACCATTTGTCTTTTAGTACCTGATCATAACTGGATTAAGATTATTGCGCGTTTTACGGTATCCCTCACATTAAAAAGAAAAATGGATAGATAGTCCAGTCTTAGTCAACACAATGACTTTTCTGACTCCCCTCTCAAAAGGAACAAGAGAAGTGGAAAATCTGCTACCATTGCAGTATAGTTTTACTTACCACCCATATTAGTCAAAACGTACAGACAGTCACTCATTTTCCCATCGCCATTTTTCGTGAAAGCCAAAGCTTGCACACAATAATTAGTGAACCTCATCAAACCATATCCTTCGAGTGCAGAGATATTGAAATGTACGGTAAAGTTATGTTTTGCGTTAGGCTTAGCTGCGGCAGCAAACAGAACTCTGTACCCCAGTACCACGCCGTTCACATAACCCTGAGGGACTGGTTTCCAGCTCACTGTGATTGAGGTAGGAGATGAAACGTTTGCTGTTATTCCTGCAGGTGGTAGGTCGGGTACTGTAATAATAATGCTTTTTAATTAACATGAGTACGCATTGTGTAATTATTATCATTTATTATCATTAATTGTTTTCTTTTAGTAACTGTGTCGCGGTTACGAATTCAGCCTGAGTCCCCTCATTTTCACAGTACTGACATATAGAAGATTTTGCAGTTAGCATTATTCTAAAAAGCTTTGTTCTTTATAATCGTGGTATTCCTCCTTGTTCCTATTCCTGTACTACTCCGGATCCATAATTCCCACTTTTTAAACTTGCAGGTATATTCTGTCTGTCAGTGTTGAATGCTGTTTCAGTATCTCTCCACAAGTCAATTATGGTGTCAGGAGTGGGATCATAACTAGGTTAAGGTCATTGCTCGTGTTATGGTATCCCGCTCATTCAAAAGAAAAATAGATACATAGTCTCAGCTTACTTAACACAATTCACTCCTGCCTAAGTTTTGTTCCTCACTGCGAAGATCGCTTTTACATTCACATTTTTATCGGCAGCTCACATATATGATTTTCATATATTCACAGTCACTTACAATGACTTTTCTGACATCCTCTAAAGGAAATGAAACAAGCAGAGAATCTGCTACCAATGCAATATAGTTTTTACTTACCATCCATATCAGTCAGAGCGTACAGACAGTCACTCATTTTTCCATAGCCCTTTTTCGTGAAAGCCAAAACTTGCACACAATAATTAGTGAACTTCATCAAACCATTTATTTCGAAAGCAGAGAAGTTGAAATGCACGGTAAAGTTATGATTTACTTGAGGCTCAGCTGCGGCAGCAAACAGAACTCTGTAACCCAGTACCGCTCCGTTCTCGTGGCCCTGAGGGACTGGTTTCCAGCTTACTGTGATTGAGGTAGAAGATGAAACGTTTGCTGTTATTCCTGCAGGTGGTAGGTCGGGTACTGTAATGATAATGCGGTTTTAATCAACATGAGTACATATTACATATGATCATTTGTTATCAGTAATTGTTTTTTTTTTTTAGTAACTGTCGCGGTTACCAATTCAGCCTCAATCCCCTCACTCTCAAAGTACTGACACGTGATCTGTGTTAGTTTTTCAAACCATAGCCATCTTTATCCTTGTTCGTTGTCCATTACTATATTTTTTTAGTTTTTCAATATCTTGACTTTCCGGATATTTTCCACTTACTTCAAGATAGAATTGTCTACTCCTTGTTAAAAGAAGCGCCAGCTTCTAGTAATTGATACGTTGTTAATTGCACGAAAACTGGAGTAAAATATTATCATAGTAATTAATTTTTAATAATGTTTTTTTTCTGATTTACCTCCTTTCCCGATCATCACAGTCGTGCATGGACCGTAGATTCCAGGCCCTTTACTAGTGATTGCCAGCGCAGACAGGCAATAGGTTCCGTAACCATCCAATCCCGTCAAGTTTGCTGTCATAGTTCCCGCTGGAAACTCTTTCGTTTGATATAGTTCATTAGCGACTCCCAAGTTCTTGTAACGTATTCTATACCCAGTCACTTCGTACGCGGCGTAATATGGATGCGGGGGACTGAGAAGAAATTGTATCGATGTTGAACCTAAGCCCAGGGCTTCAAGAATTGTAGGAGGCATTGTTGGCGCTGAAATGATGGTAACAATAAAATAATACGTTCATGCTGGGTGCAGGATCACATGGCTATTGCTGTAGTACACACTTTTATCGGTTAGAAACCTCGTATCAACCCCTCAAACGATCAGATGCAAATTTAAACAAAATCACGACTTGGGCAATCCAACTTTCTTGTGTTTGAGGTCGACGCCTTTTTATTGGTTCTTTTCTGATATTTTCTTTTTTCGATTGACAGATTTATATATGATATCAAGACAACTTTCATCTGTTCCTATTACCTGGAAATGGTTGGGCTCGAGTGCCGTAGATCTCCACTCTCAACATGGCAACCGATGCCATGTTTCCGGTAGGAAACGAACAAACTGCGCCACGACACCGCTATTCAAGTTGTTCTTTGTCACTTGATAATGTTGGCCAGCATTGTCAAATTTCTGCAAAGTGAAAAAAGGAAAGATAGCTCAAGTTTCTTTAAACTTTTTAAACTCGGCACCTTTTGAGTCTTCTCAAATGATTCAGCTAACAAAACTTCAGTGAAGAGATGAAAGATGCGCGTGGAATCTTTGCAAGAGTAGAGGAAATATGCATTCTGCATTTTCCCTCATTCCGTATTTCATGCTCCATTTGTCTTTCATGTCTTCGAGTGTGCCGTACTTTTTTTTCTTTCTAAAGAATTCCCCGGGGATTGTTTAGAAAGGCAACAGAGTGCCACGAGGGTAGCCTGTGAATTAGTCTGAGTGACAGAACTCTCCCGAGGGGAGGGGGGGACACAACAGTCACAAGAGTGGTAGACAGCACTGGCCATATAGCCATTAGGCCTACGAATATTAATTTTCTGGCGTATTGAATCGATATAATTAGTAACCTTCACCGAGTGGTTATGTTGTCATTCCTGTTGTTATGAGTTGCTTGTCATTACCTGCTCGTATTCAGTCCAGTTCTTTCCATTTAATGATAACAAGATGGCGTAACGGGCCAAACGACCGAAACCTTGTTCAAAGTGACCTTGAGTTGCTACTGCGCAGATGTAATATGCACTTCCCAGGTCAACTTGTAGGAAGACTTCACTTAGATTCAGTGGGCACCAGCCCACGTGCGAGCCCAGCCGAGCGGCCGATGGAGGATTGGAGTCTAAATATGATGATGCTGTTATGTCTCTATCAGGAACAGTCCCTGTTTCCAGTCCAATTGGACTGTCCGAGCAATAAATGTTCGGGTGCAATCCTAGGAAATCAGTCAGAAAGTTCATCAAATTCTTTGTTTTTTTATTTTCTCTTTTGTTCACCGACCTCATCGCTTATAGAAATGCAGGAGGATAAAAGTTGGGCATTACTGAAGAAACTTTGTCCATCCTGGCGAGGCACGGGTTCGAATCCCGTCTAAGCCTGAATTTTTTGCGGGCTTCTTTTCTGCGAAACTTTAGATTGCAGGACACCTGCAAGGATCATAGCTTTAGTTGAGCCACTGCTGGTAAATGCTAACCTTTGACTATTTTTAAAAGTCATACCTTTCCGTTTGCAGATGTAAGGAAGACGCTTCGAACATGCACCATTCCTCCACTTGCCGTTAAATCCGACATCCTTTATCGCGCAAGCATCTCCATCGGAAGATGTAATGATTGAAATGTTATCCGCATCATTTTCTGGACCATCTTCCCAGTTTGTATAAGTAACCTCGTGTCCGCTACTCCAAACTGAAAACCTTTCATGTTCACCACCATTGTGTTTGATTCCGATATAGATCACTTCAATATTTGATGATGAGTTTATCATTTGTGAGTAAAGAAACTCTTCTTCCCCCGCGCTGAGTATATAGAGCAAGTTTGCATTATGATTCAGGCAGTCAATCTCGGCATCGGACCAACTTTTGAGATCATCTTTAAACAGAAGATAGCAATGTGATTCGAAAAGAGTCCAGCCTGGTAAACAGTCGCCTTGCAAAGAAAAAAGTAAAACAAATTTTTATTAGTTCTAAAATAAGGTTCAAGGCAGCTTTTAAAAGTTTTTGATCACTCCGTATTGAATACTAAGCTCCTTGTTTCCAACGTTTACCCTTTCGTCTTCATACTTTGAATGCAAATTCTTTCTGTCTGATAACCATGTACCGATGACCAACCTTTTACCAAAGTCACCTTTTTAAGTTCTTATACAGCATACCGACGGCGTTTGAAATGTGCCTTTCCAGGAAAAGTATCCCCATAAGTTCTATTTTATTTTCTATGAAATAACCGAGATGCTAAAAGCATCTGATTTGTCAAAAGTCCATCATTCATTGCACTAGTAAACCCATTGGAGGTTATTCTATAAAAGGAAAATACCGCTATTTCTACCGGCTCACCTGCGTAATAACCAACTTGGGATACTGGGGAGCCGGGGGAGAGTGATTTACAAAATTTACTGTTGCCGAACATCCCACGAGACTTATTACACCGGTAAACCAATCAGCAGAAAGAGTGGTCCACTGCCTAATTTAAGTGTTTTCGAGGGCACTTCAGGCCTAACAATTAAAATTGTTATTTTAAAACCTTACAAAATTTCTCCAGATTTCCCAAGAAGAAATATAATATCCTTATTACCGATGAACTCGTTAAGGTAAAGACGCGATGGTAGCAGTCATTAACAGCTGTTAAAAACTTTCCGTTATCACAATAAGCTTCCAAGCGTTACCTGAAGCCGTTTTTACCAGCGTGCAGTTTTTAATTTCACCATTACCATATTTGTTGTAAGCGAGGACACTAACGCAATAGGTTGTATTCATCCGCAGACTATCGGCCTTAATATTTGTGATGTTGCTGTTAACTTTCAGTGTAACATTGCCCTCAGAAGATTTCCTTTGGTTTGTCACTAGCTGATAAGTAATTTGGTATCCCATTACTTCGGGAAATGACTGGTAGGAAAGCAGGCCGTTCCAAGTGACATTCCAGGAATGGAATCCAATGCTGAGGAATCTAATGTTTGTCACCGCCGCAGGTGGACCTTCTATTAACAATAACAATTTAGAAACTATAAGTGACGGTGGTATATAATAATTATTCGCCGAAGGCGAAGTAAATATTGTTGAATAATTGCTAAGGTGAAGTCGAGGGGACTGTCTTACAATGTTTACTGAGCCTGAGGTGAATTAAAATATTTGTACAGTTGCTCAGGTGCTCTCGGATTCTGTAGTAAATTCTGTAAATAAAGGTAATTACTTCTATCAAGACAAGTGAAGAATTTTGGCTGGTAGAAAATATAAATTTTTTTGGAAGTGTTCCGCCAAATTCAATAGCATCTTTTGTGCTCTTCGCAGTTGAATTTCCTCTTATCACGTTTACCACTTCCGCGCAACATTGACAAAACGCGATGCAGCCATTTTGAAATTTAGCGCCCCGGCTTTGATCACCTCGCGTGAGGTGATTATTGCGAGATATGACGCAATCCTCCATTAATCAGAGCGCGCGCATCTCTATAATCACCCTAATGCAGGACGCCGGTCACCCTAGTAACCTTGTGCAGGACGCTGGTCAAATATGAACCTAGTATATAACTTAGCTTTCAAAGGAATTTTTGGCAACTCAGTGGTATAGACAGTAAGACAGTATGATAAGCGAGAGTCACTGAAGATCCAAGTTTCCAATCCTTTTCGGGACTCACACTTTTTTCAAGTTTTACGTCCATGCAAAATAAATGATTAGCATCTTTCTTTGAGACCTCACCTCTCATGCCACAATAACGAACATAGCATACATCTGGGGATTTTAACTTATAGACGTAGTAGCCGCTACAGTTCCGTATATCGACGGGGTACGACTTGAAGCAGCAAATATCTTGCATATGCACACAGACATTCCTCGACACCAATTGGTAATCATTTGCTGGGTGAGTACCATTGATCCATCCAGGCGCAAATGTGTTGCAACTCCCCATGGGGACGCATTCGGGCGCCATGAGCGTTCCAGCGTCTCCGGTAAAGCGGTACCACTGGTCACTGGTGATAGTGTTGTTGTCGCAGTTGAGGGTACCGTCACTGCTGTTCCAGTATCTGTTGGACTCATTTAGCTCATGATACACGTTAGAGCTGCATTCAGCTGGTATAGAAACTTTGGGAGAAACTGAAAGCAAAAAAAAATTAATTTCAAGCTCTAAGTGTCGAGATAAGTCTCGCTAAGTAGGAAGAGTGACGTATTAGGTGATAAAAGACACTGTTGAAAGGAATTGGTTTGACAAAAAAAAATTTCTTGTGGCCGTGGGTCTGTTCCGTAATTTACTTATTCATTGTGCTACACTACAAAAAAAATTTACTGAGAAGCATGATAAGATAAGTCAAACACAACAGTATACATAGCGAGGAAACCTTAACCCTTTAGCTCCCAGAAGTGATTAAAATGTAACTTCTCCCTACAATATTTAAACACTATCCAGCAAATAGGTGATGCGAATACTCAAACTTATCAGGTAGAAGTTCTTATCTTGATCTAACACCAAATTCTTGTAACGTGTTTACAAGGAAATGTCTAGCAGCTAGAGGGGAGAAGTAACAATCTGATCTTGGGAGTTAAAGGGTTACTGAAACCGCGAGGTTTAAAGCCAAGAGCGAGGAATACCGGGTAAAACTCAACATACTTAGTTGTGGGCTCGAAGGTCGTTCGTATTCTATTGTTATACTCACTTACTCACTCATTAAAAAGAACAACATTGTGACTTTGCCTCCATCGGAGGCAGTAGCCGAAAAAAGCGTACATACCAACACTAGTGCATATGCGCAGTTGGCACTGTAAGATGTCGGGTGGCTTATAAACATAAAATGTCCCGCAGTTTCGAATTGATACATTATATCTGAAATGACAGTATTTGTGATTAAGACGAAAGCAAAGCTCGCGTTGGACAATCCCTTCAGCCACGGCAGGATGATCACCTTGGACCCAGCCCGGGTTTTCCGTTCCACAGTGGTCAGGCTCTGGTGCATATTCTGGAATTGTGGTCCCACCGCTTCCTGTGAAGCGAATCCAGCTGTTACCGGTGAAAACGCCTTCGTCACAGAGTGAAGATTTGGCGCTCTTAGTGTCGACTGACCGAGTCGGTTCTGTTATGTTGGTATAGTTGTTGCACCCTGTAATGTAAGAAGATTTACGTTTTGGAGTAGTTTAGAGTTATCATCAGACAAGAACCATATATAGGCAACCAGCATCCGCTATGTAGAGGAGGGAGAAGATTGAAATGAATCGTCTTTCACTGGCAATATCATACGTGCTATGAGGGGAATTAAGGATAGAAAGCCGCTGTGCATGTTGCTCATATCTAATCCATTATCTCTACTATGCACACACGAGTTTACATCACTGTTAGTATTTAATGTTATTGAAACAACTTTCTTTGCTGAGAAAAAAATCGATAGGAAAGCCCAGAGGAGACCTAAAAAATGCTCGATTAGAGCCACGCTCTTTGCTTTTTTTGATAGCTATTTGAAAGTTGCGCGAAAATTATACTTTGATTTTTCAGAATTCTCATTATATTCTCTCATACGAAGGTTCTGCCGTTGCTGATGTTAGCAGCATGCGGAATGGCTGTTACAGATGATATTATGTGCGGCCTAGCCCACTACAGGGGTTTCTGTAAATCAAGTCGCATAACATTGCAGTGCAGAATCCAAAGATGTGTGGTCCGATCGCCATGGAAACTTGGCTTTTTCTTTGTTTCACGCTCGTGGAACATTTCCCTCATTTCATTCAGTTCAAATCATTCAAAGATAGACTTTGAGGCATAACTTTAAGATTTCCATTAGCGAGTTTACCTTCTCCGCAAGGCATGACTTCGGTGTTACATGCCCGTGACTGGGCTAATATAAAACCATCAGCTGAATAATTGAACATGACAGGATGTGTGAGGCACGAGCGGCTACGGTTTTGACTTCCATTTGGTCCACATGGTGTGCTGCAAGGTGACCAGGCCTCCCACTCACCCGGATGTAAAGTATCGTAATGCCCGTCTAATGAAATGGTGAAGCAGTGAATTAGTTCACTAAAACTAATTACATAAAACTAAATATAAGATTGGAAATATCCGGTTGAGCAACACATTTCTGTACGGTAAGAATTCATCAAGGACTGAGTTGAAAAACAGCCTGTGTGTGTCACGAAATTTCCCGTGCGGACTAGGGGAAACCATAAATGACAGTCCTTGCAAAAATGTAAAGTGGCCAAATTTTCTTCGCTGGTTAAGACGTGGGTAGAGCAGTTTAGCCCATAGTTTTTTATTACCTTTTTTTTTTATATCAGAAGCATAAAACATAGTTTAAACACTACAGTTTTATTAATTAATGGCCTCTTGCTGAAGATTGAAGCAAAAAAAAAAAAAAAAAACCACATGTATCCCAAGTTCTCTGATTCTGTGACATATGCAAACGTTTTCCATCTCTTTTTTACACGGGACATATTTTTTACTCGCCTTCTCTATACGCAACTAAATGTGAACCGCGTAATTCCGACGATCGTTCTTCACCAGGACCTTTCGTCCTAAATACCAGGTGACCTTCATCATCTAAGTAATGAAGAACTTCAAAGTAGTAGGCTCTTCCTTCGGTGAGGTTTACTGACATCTCAGATCTGAATTAAGAGCAAAAAAAGTATTACATGTAATTTATTAATAGATCGTAGCGGAGAATGTAAATATTTGAGTTTACTTCTGAGTATTATAAATATGCGGTGCTTGGTAAAAGCCACAGCGATGACTCAAGACTTTCATCGAGAAAATACTAAATCTGTTACGGTCACCATTTTTCTAAACGCGAACCTCCGAGAAAACCAACGCTTGAGCAGTTGTAAAGTGGGAGGGCGGTTTGGGTGATGTGGAATGGGGTGGGGTGGTGAGTTGTTTTGTCACTAGTATCCAGTTCCCGTGCGGCAATCAGAAGTTACTGACTTACTTGATAAATTGTTGTATTGACATTCCAACGCTGGAATTTCCTCCAATCAAGTGAGTTGAGCTATTGTCCCCAAATTCCATGAGAAACCATTCACAGGCCTCTTTGCACGAGAAATAAAGCTCATATTCCCCCGTCATGGAACACACAAAGAAGGCTCGCCAGCGTCGACCGGCGCTCTTGCCGTTTGTTTTTAAAGTTGAAGACGTTGGAGTCACAACCTTGCTAGAATCGGGTTTTATATGTTCCAATATGGCCAACTTTACGTCCTCTAACGAATCTATGCTGAAATTATCGCTATCAATCCATTTTTCATTTAAGATCCCTTTAGTAGCTGTTCATCCAAGAAAACAAATACGAAAAGAAAATGATCATGTTTAGGCTTGGTCACTGAAGATGTTAGACATTTGTAAAAAAAACTGGGACATATGGTCAGGGGTGAAGTTAATTGGGACTCGACTAAACAAACACTCAATTGCAAAAACGTAGACACTTGAAAAGCATGATCCATGAACGATGAAACTCAACGGCTTCATGGGAAAGGATCGCAAACTTACATAATCAAAGCTTTAAACTTTTATCAGGAACAATTGAGTAAGATAAAAAATCTAAAAATTTAAGAAATAATTGAGAAAAATATATTTTATAATAAATAATATCCTTTCTGGAAAGAGTGGATGGCTTCGGTCATTCACCACTTGCAACTATATGTAATTGCCAATTACCGGATGAGGTTGAGCATAACATCATGAATTATCAGTGTCGAGGTCTTAGTTATCTGCCGAAGCCGAAGGCTGAGATAGATAATACAATTACTAGGTTTGATAATTCATGATATCATGCAAAAACCGAATTCAACAACTGTTTTATTTAACATTTTTAGACCTTCTAAAAAAATTTAAGAACGCTGCAAACTCTCTGAGTTTGCAAAAGTTTGAGAACACCGCAATGACGAGGGACTTGGAGACTATGCAGACTTTAAACTCGACATGATAACCCAGTATCTGCAGCAGATATTGGGTTATAACGACTGTATGCTCTCGAACAATCCAAGTTTTCACAGTAAGTTATACATATAATAAATTTGGTTACCATGTACATATGTATCCTTAAACCCATTGGGTCTCATCGCTCACTTTTTTGCGATCGAGTGTAGAAACTAATGAATGATAATACGATCATCTGATACTACAGGTATGCAATTGTTATAAAAATGAATATCCTGATGTAAAGATACCTACAATTTGGTAAACATGAGACGTTATAGAATGCATAACAGCTTGGTCCATTTAATACCAACATAAACACCACCTGAAAACAAATATAATTTTCTTTTGACTCTGTTGAATTTTAGCATAAATCCACCAGCGATCTATCATAAATGCTATAATCTGATCGACAAACAAAATTGAACAATTTAGTAGTATCAACTGAGTCGATAACGTGAATTAGCCATCGTGAAGAGTTTTAAAGCTTACGCTTCGAGCCTTAGACCTTCGTCATTCCCTCTGACGAAGGGCTAACGTTCGAAACATCGGCTTTGAAACTCTTTACGGTGTCAACTCGTTAATGATACTAAATTACCCTGTTATACTCTCCCACCGACGCAGCACCACAGTTTTTTGAGAAACTTACTCCTTTAAACAAAATTGAGCCTGTCTTGTTACTAAGGCTTAAGGTTTAAACCCTAACAACTAGACAGTAGATTTATATAAAAATGATCAGATTATTCGCTCTCGATTTCCTTCCGTGATAGTTTATTCGAGCTTCGCCTTTATTAGCTATTCCGCGATCGAAATCTCGAGCATATAATCTAATTGTTAAACAATCATTCTAATATCAATAGAAAGTCAATTGTTAAACTAACACACAGCAGAAATATTACTTGTAAAATTACTTATAATATCATTGGAAAGGCGAATTACAGCTGCTCGTTGCTTAGTGATGTCTTTCCGATTTTTTGCATAATCATTGTACATATTTTCTCGAAGCTTTTGTAAACAAAGAATTAAAACCTCTGGGATGAAAAACTTTGAAATGTGGTGTGACTTAGAAAATTAAAACTTTTTCAACACCGTCATACTCTATAAAACTGAGATTCATTTTGACTTCCTATCCACCGACTTGTATAAAACTAATACACAAGGTTTGTGTTTCTGCTACGTGGAAGTTTCCTTTTCAAGTATTTAATAAACGCAAAAAAAGAAAACTTACCAGAATCGCAAGGTCTTTCATGGCATTTCCCCTTCAACACTTTTCAGCTTTTAGATATTAGTGTCCAGCGAGTTTTTTTACAAGTCTTGACATATATATCACTACGCTGATACGACGAAGGAAGGAGTTAAAAATTCCAGAATTTGGTTTTTGATTCAAAATATTTAACTGCGCTTGAATTAGAATATTTTGTCCCCATTCAACTTACTTGTTTTGCTGGCCTAGAACTCAAATGATATTGTTTCAAATCAAATATTGACATCTAGATAATAGGATATCCTCATTGCAACTTCATTTGTCATCCGACTTCACTTAAATATTTATGATTCTGTTATTCCCGCTCTTTGAAAGCACTGTTATGAAAATAGTTTGTTGTTATAGAAAAATTGAGAACAATACAACTTCAACTGTGAAGAAAATTAAAATTTTACAGTCTTCATTGTTTTTCAGTTTTCTTTTAGTACTTTTGTTTGGATAAACAAATTTCTTCAGGGTGTAGCTGACAAATCTTTTTATTTCCTCTTAGTTTTTGCGAAAAAAATTGTTTCAGTTCTAAAACTCATAGAAGCAGAAAGAAACCTAACTTTACTAAACCTGCTGTTAGTCGAAGAAAGATCTTCACGACCCGTGCCAGACCTTTCTGGCGCACTTTCGTCATCTTCGGCTCCAGACTTCCAATGCCCGCATGTTTTAAAATTCAAGATGACCGCTAAAGAATACATTTCTTTTGGGACAATAATTTCAAGGTAAAATTATATTTCAGACTCCATCTGTCTCTAATTTAATATGTATCTCTTTCGGTGCGGCTTGCCTCGAGTCTCACTTAATTTGTAATTTTATCTTAAGTAAATAAATGCTTGCAGCGGTTGTAAAATCCGACCCGGCGTAATTTGAAATTCTAATTTTACCAGAGGAATCAAGTATTATTTATTTAGTTGTCCCTTTTAATCCTGTCGCCAAATAGAACCTTGACACTTCGTCAACGTGAAGGTTTCAATGGCTTTAAAACTCGTGTAGTGATAATTACCAACGAAATATTCATCAAGAAAGTTCTGAAAAGTTCCCGGCCGAATGCATATTTTATCTCCCAGTCAGAAATGCACTGTAGCTCATCAGGAGCTCCTTGAGTTCGATAATTAGTTTCTGAATTTTTATCAGTGTGGGTTGTACCATTTCTAGGCAACTGAAATTAATGGATGGCATAAAGCTATATCATATGTAAATACAGTTAATGACTAACACCTCACATTTTGGCGACTTTTTTGGCATTTTTTAAGCGCACCAAGTTTTAAAAGTTCTTATCACGTTTCTCGGAAAATATCAATAAAATTGAGAATTTTAAAAAAAGTAGAAAAGTATTCTCAAACCCGAACATGCACCGATAAAACTTTTAAAATGGAGATAAACCACCATTTATTTATGAAAGATTGATGGACCCAAATGTCTTATTTCTTTTATTTGTCTTTGAACTTCGTGTGGCAAACACGAGGAAAAGAAACAGGAAATATCATACTAATCTTGAATAACACTACCATCATGGTTTTCATTGTGATTAACGGAAAACACAGGGAAGGTAAATTCATTCAGCAAAGCCGAATCCGCTTTTCCAAGAGGCGCATACAGAAGTAATTAACACAAAATAAATTTGAACCAATCGTGGCTTCTACAATTGAACAAACAGATTACAGATAGAACTGAAAAACATATATAGCGTTAGTCAATATCTTTGACAAATGAGCTTTTCCTGGGTAGCTTAAAAGGGTTGTTAGCTTTCATTGAAAAAACATCTGCTTCACGTTAATGGGTGTTTTGAACATTTAAAATTCATCCGACAATAACACTTGGCCAGTTTAACGTCGGTTACCATGATGAGAAATCATTGAAAACACGGGGAGCGGTTCTTTTGTAATGGATGATTACATAGCCACAAAAGTTAGCGTTTCTGTAAGAAATGCTATCAGCGTTAATTCTACCAAAAGCCATCAGCTTGAAAAGCAGGTCAGAAACTTAGAGGCCGAAAGAGATATGCGTCTGTTAAATTTGCAAATGAAGAAAGACGAAATGTTTCTCAGCTCCCCGACTTCTCAGCGGAGGAAGATTCTGGTCAAGTCTCCAAGCACTACTGACGGCATAAGAGCCGGAACACCATCTTCACAACAAGAGATTTTAGATCTAAACACAGGTTTAAGCAAAGAAGACGAAGTTACTAGGCTTCAAAAAGCCCACAGTCTTCCACCACTGTATTTAGATCGAGCTGGGATTGTGGCGACGCCACCGCGGACTAGGAAAGCTAGAAATCTTCACCCTGGATCTTCCCTGATCCCTGCTTCTCCCTCCCGTCTCGTGGAATCACCGAAACCGGAACACAAACTTTTAACAAGACAGTCGAGTTCTCCGCAAATGCTGTCAGGCTCTAATTCAACAACAAACGTGAACGAAGCACGGCGTGAAGAAAATTTGGAAAGTAAACAACAGTTTTCACCCGGGTTACAGCGAGCAAATCTTGTCGATTCATCTGTCCCGTTGAATTCACCTACCAGCCCGAAAGCTTTTAACTTTGATCTACCGAATAATCTTTCTCAGATCCCTCGACGACCTGCTACGGCTGCTTCTGTCAGAGATAGCGCTAGCAACAGTGGCGAAGTTCATCGAGGGTTGATATTGCTGCCTGTTTCTTCATCGAAAGAGCAAACAAAGAATAGGGAACAGAAAAAGGCCAGCGTTTTTAATCGGCTTTATTCCAGTACTAAGAAACGGGATCGAAAACGGATAGGCTCGGATGATGCAGCGCCTCAAGCACTCCATCTTCCGAAAGGGAAATTGAATGCGAAGTTAGAAACGAGACGACGGTCGGTATCGCTGTCAGATTTATCCGAAATCTGCGACAAACTGAAAACGTGTCGTTATTTGAGATCGAATAGTCAAAATGAAGACTTCTAATACGTCTGAACTTTCAATATAAGCAATTCATTTCATTAATGCATGTACCACAATTTCGCTTTCGCAACCCAAGTAGAAGTTACATCTCAAGTTATGTTTTTAAAGAATACAAATTCTTTTAAAACCAAAACGAACTTTTTCAAATATAAAAATCGATTTTGCTATAATTTCGCTTTTCCGAACAAATTGCATAGAACTTGATGAGACAAACACTGGAGTGAAATTTCACCCCTTTGACCTCAGTCCTGTCTTAATCACTACCAGCAAACAAGCCCGTCAAGCTTTGTGTTTTGTTAATTAAACCTTCGAGCACTTCATTTTAATCTATTGTTTATAGATTGTTATCCTTCTATCGAACTCGCTAATTATAAACACTATAACTGAAATGATAGACTATTCATGTAAAAGACAATGAAATATTAAATTCAATGATAAATAAATTGTTAACTTCGAGGAGGTCCGGTTTAAAATCAGCGGCAGAAGGTTTTCCAATTACATGCAGTACCTGATCGTATTATTTTTTTTTTCGCGCTTTTCGAGAAATGAGCAGATATGATTGACAGATTACACTCCATATGATTGGTTTCAAAGTGTTTGCATATCAAAGGCATGTTTACACAAGCGGATGCAAGTAGAATCCTTTTGTAATAATATTTGAACAAAATGACCTTTACATCAAAAACATGAAAAGGAAGAAGTTTGTTGGAGTAGATAACTTGACAGGCTCGTGTCGAATAAAAATAGTGAGCACCTATTTCTTAAGAAATGTATATTTACAACTAAAGTTTTGCCGCAAGACTCACTCAACCATGAGCCGAGGTGCGACTCAATTAACCATGATGAAAACCAATTTGAAATACTCCGCTGTAAAGGAGAGAAAAATAAACAATTAGAAATGGAGAACAAAGGAAGTTTAGGTTTATTAGTGAAACTAGAGCAGTGAGAATTTATTTTGTCTTACCATTGCTGTTCAATACGCCTGAGTTTGCAACCTCGATGTCGCACGGAGAGGGTTGGTGTATTTATTGAGATCACAAGTCAGCCATTCTTCCCTTTTGTGAAATCGTGAATGTTTTCACATGGCAGGCTAATTTAAAATCCTTGTTGAAAACTCAAACTGATCATGTCTGAATCTTCACATGAAAATTTCATCTTTGACGGGGCTTATCAAGTATCCCGTATCTTATCTCGAACCCAGATCCTTCCGTGTAACTGTAACTAAAATCGCTTGGTCGTGATGGACTAAATCGATAGCTGACACATTGACAAGCTGACTAACTGATTTGCTTACAAGCGGACTTGTGGAATAGTGGACCAGCGGACTTGCAATCATTGTCTTAATGAGAAGACAATCAAAACATCGCTGCTTTTAAACTTTTAATGCGCTCTCATTGATATTTCATGAAAGTTTCCAACACTTGTTGGTGAGATTCACTTGTTATTTATCAAACTTCCTATTACAGACCAGGTTATTTATATAACAGTTTGTGTAGTTTCTCAGAAATTAGGGCGTAAAACAACACACGTTCCAGACCTCAACTTGTTCCGCAAACTTCTGCTCTCTTATTTATCGGTTTATTTATTTGTTTATTTGCAAGTCATAGATATCCTAGATTGTCCAAAGCTTTCTTTAACAAGCGTTTAAGTGTAACCGACTGAATTGCATCGAAGTACATGTATTACTGAAAATTTATTAACTACATCTGTCTGTATCTTTATGCAAATTTTGAATTTATGGTATTACAATCGTTTTCTTTACGCTTCATTTCCAGCTTGATCAACAAAACAAACGAACAAAAAGATAATTAACAAGTAGCATTCACATAGTTTTCTTATCATGCAGGAAAGTCCAAAGGGTGTTCTATGTAAACAAGGGCTAACTTTAATTATTTTATTATTCTACCGGGGGTCTGAGTTTAAAGTTACTACCGCAAAGACGTCATGACGAATCGACATTAGTTTCATGGCTGCACCCTCGTTCCTTCCGGGCAAGTGGCGCTCGCTATGCTCTTTCCATTTTTCTTGCCGATAGCTTTTATTTTTCCTACTGATACATATTTTTACTTACGTATTATTTTATGTTTTAATATTCTTTCCTTGTCCTCCAATTCCTCAGATTGCAATGGATTCTAGCATGAATGGCCACTTACCTCAAGAGAGATTTGGTGATGAAGAAGTACCTTTAATACTTTTGAGTTCAGACCTTGATCGCCGCCAGCGAGCCAAAGCACTGAGTCAGCTGTCTCACCAGTCGCAAGGCAGTAATGTCTATGACATAGGACATGATGAGGTATCCGTAACTATGACAACGACGTCTAAACAAAAAATGTACTTTTCTTTTCTACTTTCGTGTGCATGCACTAAAATGGGAAATAAGATAAATAATTTAAAGTCATGAAGGAGTTATCTCCACGGATCTATTCTACAACCTGAACGAATCTTAAAATTAGGGACATCTTGCAGTCAGGACGTCAACGCCAAGGGAGACATCGAATCAATAAATGAATTGATATTTTTAGAATTTCGCGAATGGCTGGACTTGTTAATTTTCTCGAGAGGGAGCAGAGTTGAGTTTCAAATAAAAACTTTCGCTATCGTGCTCAGAATACGCAAATTTTAGTGATTTCACATCACCTGGGTTAGCAAATGCCTTCTTTGCAAGTCTTTCCTCGACAATTCTCCAACTTTAAGAACTGCTGTCCGTTTCTGTAAATAAGCCTTGTGAACAGGTCAAGATCAAATTTTTTTAACGGAAAGGCCTTTAGCATAAAGCAGCCATAGAATTTCGCCTCCATTTCTTTGTACTAAAGCCTTGGTTTTATTGTTTTGCTTTGTTTTGTTATTTGTTTATTTATTTGTTTATCTGCTATGTTGTTCTGAAGATATTAATCTGTTGGATAAGTTAGGAAGAAGTCCACTTCACAATGCCATATTGGGACGTCACGTGAAGATCATGGAAATGCTCTTTGGGGCTGGGGCCAAAATATATCTTCTGGATGAGAGCCAAGATTCACCGCTTCACACCGCAGTTCGAACTGGAGACGAGAACTTTGTCAGAGTACGTCTTGTCACTTTATAAGTCGATCAGTCAAACAAAGCACAATCAAATCAAATCAGTTAATTAAACACAAGGCAGATGGGTTAATTTTAAATTGCTTAATCAGTAAAGCCTACCTCGATTTACGATTAAAATTTCAGACTTTACTCCGATTTGGTCGATGTGATGCAAACATCAGAGGACATAGTTCAGGAACCGCTCTTCACATCGCTGCTGATATGGTGAAAGTGGCCATATGCAGGATATTGGTTAGTATTATTAATTATCTCACACATATTGAACGAACGACTGTGAAAATACATCGTTTGTCCAATCAGAAACACGAGCCATAGTACTTCATAAAAGAGGGCAACAAATGGCCTCCAATCTTTGAAATGTGTCGGTCAGCAGCACGAATGAAATAAAAGGATCATACTATGGAAAGAACATGGACGATTTTTAAATTTTTTTTCATGCGCTACAATCTCTATTTCTCCCTTAAATTTTTCTTTCATGAAAGCCCTTCTACAATGACGCACACCTTGCGGACCTCAATATCTAAACGTTTTATCCTCTCTGCTTGAGAGGGACTTTAAAGAATCGATGGCAATGTTTGAGAAGAAGTCAGTCTCCCTGATCTGTTTGTCCAGGCAAGTCAACTTCTCGAAGCGAATAAGATTTTTTTAATATTCGACGAGCTATCTCAAAAAAAACTCACCATCTTTCTTATTGTGCGTATAAAGTTGATGAAGGTATTTTGGACGTCTCGAGTCTGACCTTGACAGTACAAAGTCTTCAATTATGTCCTAAAGTTTAGGTTTTAAAAATTTTAAATCGTCATGCTTCAGGTTGTACAACTTTGTCTGGACAGCGGGGCCATCATTCGGCAACCAAAGGTAGAGTATATGTTATCCCACAATTAGCCATGAAAATCTGAAAAACACTTAGGAACAGGCAGAATCTAGATACTGTTGAAGAAAAGCGAACCGTTGATGTACATCCTAATATGCAGTATAATTTTACCAAAACATGTTTAAACGTAATTAATTGATACGAATGTGTACTAAAACAACGTCGGGTCGACGGACCGGGCGAACTTATTACGCATTACGCTGACGTCACGGTAAAAGATTTAGATCTACGACCATGTGTCAGAGTGGCTGTTGGACACACATCCACTATGAAGCTGTTACTACAGGTAGCTGAGTCACTATCAGTATGAAAGAATCTTTTCTCGACAGTATATAATAGAAAAAACATGATTTTGACAAAACGACAGGAAGCGCGCAGAAGTTTCTCCTTGGAGGGGAACTGTTTAAAAATTATTCTTAAAACATGCATACTGTTTAAGGTATTTAATGACTATGAAAGACCATATATTAGCCTCCCTCTCAGACCTATTAGAAACGTAACGCCTCAATGAGAAGGAGGCTTTTTAATGGATTTGTGGTAGCATCACAAGAGGGTGCTCTCAGTGGCAAATCATAAAAATGAAAAAAAATCAACCTGATCCAATCAAACTGAATAAGATGATCAAACATGATGCCTTCAAGTTTGAGAAAACCCGCTGTAGATTCTATTCTATAGAATTCTCAACAGTGGAAACCTTCTTATGATCTGCTTTATTCTAAGATGATGTCTCCGTCGTTTTGAGAATTCAACAATATTTTGAAAAGCATGCAAAGCGAGTCTTGTTCTTCTTTCAATATAGAAACGAGAGGCCTACCCGCTAGTAACTGAGAAGGACATCACAGGCTTCACGCCAGTCTATTACGCCGCCAAGTATGGTCACTTTCGGGTAAAGGATATAAATATATAAAATATTACAATAATATGACAGGTAAATTAGAGCGATCAGAGACCTCATACACATCTCTATTGTACATGCTGATGATGTGTGTATTCGCATTGAAGTATCGCGAACAAACTCCTTCTTTTAAAACATCTCAACTACCATAGTGAAATAGAATTAAAACAATTGGTTCTTAAGTTAGCTTGCACTTTGTTTTTTGTAATTGGGAACTTAGTGAAAGTTCTCTCTACTGCGCCTCCAGCAACTTTTACGCATTTTCATGGTTTCCCTAGAGGTAACGTTAGTCACTATTAATTCGAATGTTTTGAATTCAATAGAACATTTTATTGTTCATGGAACGAAACAAGGCAGCTACTAGTGTGACGTCAGATGCACTGGATACAGCTTTCCATGGCTCTGCCAGGTAAAATATCAAATGGGATGCTTGTATCTCAGGTAACTTTCACCCCCAACCCCCCGCCCACATCCTCCCTCCCCGCTGTATTTCTTCAAGTCAGGTAATTTAGTGTTAACAACTGAGTTGAAAACGTAAATTAACCACCGCAAAGGGTAAAAAAGCTGACGTTTCGAGCGTTAACCCTTCGTCAGAGCGTCGTTCGTCTATCGCTGTGACGAAGGGCTAACGCTCGAAACGTCAGCTTTTTTACCCTTTACGGTGGCTAATTTACGTTTTCAACTCAGTTGTTAACGCTAAATTACCTGCTTTACTCTCCCACCGACGCAGCACCACAGTTTCTTTAGAAACTTACCCCTTTCTTCAAGTCTAACCCTAAGAAAGACAGTTTGCTGGTACCCGTTAAAATCCCCAGGTGGAGAGATTCACAGTCAGATTGAATGTTTGCTCCAAGTTTGTTTTCATCTTCAGATACGGCTGGAAAGAAATTGTCGAGGTAGTGCTGACAGGTCGCAAAATTCGCTCCATAAACTTGAAAGGCAACCAAGGAAAAACATCTCTACAGTTCGCATGCGCAGAAGGCCATGATAAAGTGGTCGAGCTTTTGATTAAGCTTGGCGCTTGTGTGGAAAAGTAAGGTTTCAGATAACGAAAAATCTGCTCTTTTTTTTTCGAATAACACGAGTGCAGGGAACCTTTCGATAAAATCTTCGATCCTCGCCTGTGCCATCCTCGCATGCCGGGGAGAGGTCACGGGAAGGGAGAAGTTCCAAGAGACAAATGACTCCCTCTCATATAGCAACTTAATTAAAATGATCTGTAATGACAAGGCTACGTATACTGAGCACACTTTTTAAAATCACCTTGCATGCTTCCAAATTCCATCAAGAAGCTACTGTAAGATCCTATCTTAAAAAGTATCCGCCTTCCGCGTCCGTCATGAGTCCAAAAGTGCAACGAAACCACAGAAAAACTGAGAAAAACATCAGTAACTGAAGCAAGAACACTTTCGAAAGTATTGCCTGAAAATCATTCGTGAAATATCTCTGCTGAGTTTATACGACACATATTGTTCACACGGGGTCGCCTCCGAAGGTTTTGGTTTTGAACGTTGTCTTTGGAAAAAGCAGAAAGACTGAGGCAGGGAGAGTACAGTTGGCGAAAGACGAGGGTATACTTATGTTTATAAATTTGGTAATTTCGTGTGATGCATTAACTGGCACAGGAGCGCTGCATCAACAAAGAGAGAGCTTTAATTTTAACCCTGCATAAAAGTTTATCTGTGATACACTTTTAGGGATCACAATGACAGAACAGCTCTACATATTGCAGCCATGAGGGGCTCCAAGCGATGTGTGCAGTGCATTTTACAAAATCATCCTCAGTGCATTAATCTCTTCGACAAGAATCAGGTACGGTACGTAGCTCTTAGAAGTAGCAAAAATTTAACATCCTGAAAGTTTCAACCGATAAAAGGAGCCGAAAAGGTCTTTGCTGCTGGAGCGTAACATCTCTGAAGTCTTGCGTTTGTTCATCCCCGGAGACCATCACACCCTTCCCCCCACAACCACCCTCCACCTAAATGGACATTAAAGAGTTTTTGCCACAGTGAATGTCTAGTGAGTCCAAGGGAATCTCTATAGTTTTATATTATTCTTAATGCCATCCCCACAGAATGTTACCCTTTCATATTTCTTTCTTATTTCACTTTCCGTGGCAATCCATATAATCTTCTAAATTATATCCTTTCAAAGCGAGTAAGAGATGGGGTAAGTTTTGAGCTCTCTATTTTGAAAAGACGAAAAAACGTGAAAAGACGAAAAAACATATTTCTCTATATTCTTTAGTTTGTTGTTGACAGAAGAAAGTCTCGATATTCTCATCTTACACAATGGAAAAATAAAACAACGCAAGAATAAACCAAGGAAACTTATTTCCTGTCCATGCCAGACGTGAAGTAGCAGATGTTTTACTCAGGGACTCCGGATCCCATATTATTTCCCTCCACAGAGGCGTCTGAGCTCAATCCTGAAGATAAGAAAAACAAAACGAAAAAGCAAAAATGATGTTAAGAAGGAGTATGTTTGTCCTCTATTTAATTCACAGCTCATATTTTGATAGCTTTGCCTCTCTCACAGTACTGTGCTAAAGTATTATAAACGGAAATCGTCAAGTTTCCCATTTTGATCTCTTCCGATCGGTTTACTGATATATTTCAGAGTTTTCCTGCGATATCTCGCTATCTAGTGCCCTCAACAAAAACATTCCACAGCGATTTGTGGTAGATCAAGAAATATGTCATCGTGATATATCGTCCTTAGTAAATATCGCGTCAGTAGTATATCATCTAATCAAAGATTCATCACTGATCCCCGTCATCGATGAATCATTTAACATAACAGGTGCAAGTGTTACTTGTCATGGCAGTTTTATGGTTAATCTGCACATGTCTAAAAGAACAAAGAGACACACATACCATGAAATGGAGCTTTGGCGGATGTCTTTAGATAAAATTTGCCGGTTGGCTTCGTTTTGTCGGCGCCATATCCCATAGACGGGCACTCACCAACGCAAGCAGTGGTCTTTCCGTTCTCACAGTTTTTGTAATCTTTGCAAGGATATGCTTCCCAGCTGAGGGGATTTTCCACTGATGCAGTGTAGTATCTCCAAGCCCTCTGATGGTCACACTTCACTGTCTTAGTGAATGCTAAAGATATAAAGCCATTTTCGAATAAGCTCCGAAAATTTTCAGTGGTTTAATCTACCATGTTCTGAGGTTGTCTCAAACAATACGTTCGTCGCCTAAATCTTTCTGACCCTGATGAAATATGCTCATGTTTCCAAGTTCGAACAACGTAGTCCAAAGCATTTATATTCCATGTACATATTGCTTCAAGGCTAAGTGTTTCGATTTTAATCACCCTTGCAGTTAAACCTACCTAACATAGCCATATGTCGTAGACAACCAGGCTGATCAATGCCTCCGTTCGGAAAAAAGTCCGCGTGACCGGCCTCATCGCGCATACCAAAACCGACAAAACCGCTGCTCGTGTACATGTCGGTGTGTATAACGTCAACGTATTCAGCATCACTTGGGTCCAGGCGGAAGCGAGGGTCAGCAATGCCGTCAAAAGCAGGACCAGCTGGGTCCAGTCCTTGAGAGGAAACAATGGTTAAATCTGCACTGGGCCACATCAGCCGGATCTCATTCTAGTTTCTTTTTTTAAGAATGGAGCTAATTCCGCAGCTCGCCCTGGATGGAATGCTGCTAGGCGATTGCTAGGCACTAAGGTGGCAGAAACTCGCTCATCAAAGATCAGAAAAAAAATCTTTCATGATGTGGAAAGCCTTAGACCGGATGACACTAAAATATTTTGGATCGAAATTTGTTCGTCTCTATAACCTGATTGCTTATTGTTTAGGAACACAGAGAACAAACTAGCTCTTTCTCAACCGTGCACTGCATTTCACAAGCTTCTATGTCTCCTCCATTGTACCCCTTTATACACCTGGTTGGAGAAAGACTCTGAGAGAAAATTGTCTTTTCCAAAAACACATCAGAATGGCTCACCCAGGTCTCCAACCCCGGACCTCCAATCTATACTTTATAATTGTGTTTCTTTACCTGTAATACGACCAAGTGTCATTCGAGCTTTCTCCTTTAAATACTTCCCGGCAAACCCTGCGGTTTGTCCACCAAGGCTAAATCCCACAATATAGAACATTTTAGCTGAGTCAGGCGACCCTGAAGCACTCTTAATCAAGAACCTTATCAGCTCTGCTACCTGAGCCCCAACGAGCTGGGTATTGCCTACAGATTGTCCATAAAGTGTTTTTGCTCCTCCAGACCAGTCCACCAAAATCACATTGCAGTCTTCTCGTCGTAAAAGGGCGTCTTTCATTTCAATGACCCAGTCCTTGGTTGATTTTCCTAGATTTTATAAAAAATGTTGAAAAATTTGGTAGTTGAAATCTCATCTGTACATATACTTAATTTTTCATCGTAAAACGCATCAAGGGCCTGTAAACACCCTGTTTCGGACATAAGAGATTTTAAAAAGAGCGTAAGCCAATCATGGCCCCCTTCCTCGGTGCTTGAGCCGCAAACAGGCACTCACCTCTCCAGCCGTGAATCACGAAGATTGTTCGCCGCGCGATGTCAAATTTTGGGGCCTTCAATTTATCTGCATCATAATCATTTACTCTTCCACGCCCGTTCCTGGTGTACATGTCAAATGTTGTGCCAACAACACTTGGCTCTTGTGGCAGACTAGGTTTAATCGGAATCAGGCCCCACCGAACATTGGGTTGTTTATTGAAGCAGCCGTACTTTTCGTAGCAGATTTTTGAAGGGCTATTAAACAGGAAACCTTTAAATCGGAAAAATTTTAAAAGAATTACCTGTAAGTTGTCAATTCATTCCTCTCATTATTTGCTCCAATCTACGAGAGGAAAAAACGATAAAGAAAGAGAACTCTTACGTCTGACTGGGGTTTCCGTCTGATTCTTTGCAGCCCAGGAAAAAACTCTAAACTCGACCACTGTCAGTAAGCCAGCGAAGACACGCAAACTAAGTGCATTCATCCTCACTGGATCTCCCACAAAAAGGAATAATCGTTATTGGCTTCTACGTCTTCTTAGCCTTAAAACAGTTTTGCGCTGGAAGTTCTTTTATTCACGTCTGATTTGTATGAGCTCATTTATTAGCCGCAGGTGTTGTCTGAACCATTACCTGGTTTTCATTATGATAACACAATACTTTACCAGGGGCGGTCAACAACCTGCAACCCTTCTTTTCTTCTGTTCCAGAACACTGCGCTGCATCTGGCCGCCATTCATGGTCACACACACGTTGTGTTATGTTTGCTGTCGCATTCTGAACAGCAAATCCACATGAACAAGAAGAATCATAATGCATTGGATTCCACCATAAAATGCTGAGAGGAAGAATGTTGCTCTTGCGATAGCGAGTCACAACAGGTCAGGAAGAAATTAAGAAATTAAGAATTTGCGCCTCGAGCTACTCTTACGCATTTTTCGCGCTCTCCGCGTGTATCCATAACTCGATATACGCACAGCTAAAAGCATGAGCGAATTCTTTTATAACAGAACGACAACAAGGATCTGCGCGAAGAAACCTTTTATTGTGCCGGGTAGAGTGCAAAATTCTCACAACGCGCCAAAAAAAAGGAAACAAACGTCCCTATTGGCTGGTCAAAAACACGCCACATTTTATACTTTGAGTTTGAGCAAGAACATTTGATCCAGTTAACCGATAACTGTGAATGAAAAGCTCAAACTTTACGGGGAAAATGGAGAAAATTAAAGCCAAGTGAACTCAAGTTTCAATTAAAAATGTTGTAAAAGTCAAAGACCCGAAGTTATCAAGGGTTTTGATTGTTCAAAATAATGTTTACGCTGCCATGCACGGTGCAATTGGAGGAGACAGACTGCAGGAAACTTGCCAAAAAGTGCTCACGTCATCTTGTTTACGCACGGGCGTGCGTTAATAAAGATTTTGTTCATAGCGGCTCAATAGGACTTATATAGGGCAAGCACGCGCGCTATGTTATAAGGATATGTTTTTTTTTTTTTTTTAATTATTTATTGGAAAGCGCTCTAAAAACAACGAAAATATTAAGCTAAAAGGATTTTCATCGTTCCTGTCCCTTGTCATGTAATTCAGTAGGAAACAAAGTAACTGCAACCAAAAATAATACTATCTTTTTCATAGATGGCGTGAAGTGCTCACCTCTTCAGGTCATATCGCACAGATGCAGGAGCTCGTGATAAAAAATGCCAGAGGTTCGCAACAGTAAGGAACTCAAATTCGTGTGTCTTTATTTCATATAACTACGTAGTAATCTCAGTGCATCTCTGCTGTAAATATGATCCTTGGGTAACTGAATTGTGTCGGTAATATTGACTCATCAGCTTACTTGTTTATCAACTGAATCACGCCGCCTGAATTGTCATAAGAATTTTTTTCTATCCACAATGACGGAAGTTTCAGTGCAATCATGGTCCTCGTACAATACGTCGCGAAATGCTGCCCTCTGTGTCACTACATACCAGATAACCGGCCACCGTGCGGGAAAGAAGCCCGCGATCCTCCCGGAAAGGTACAACGGCTAGACGCGGAAGAACGGCAAAATCAATCCTCTGTCAAGTCAATAAAATGAAACTCGTTTACTCGTTCATGAGTTTTAAGGCAAAATATTTCAGCAGTTTGCATTAGAGAAATAACTTGCCGAGTTTCACTCAACACGGACTTATAGAAAAAAAAAACTTGTCTGTGCTGCATAAGTTGTATTTTCAAAAATTTCATTTCTAGCTCCATGAGAAGCTTTTGAGGTTCAGCCGGCCGGAAGGAGATGATGATGAAGAAAACACGCCCCCAGACCTCCCCCCTGCATTTCATCCATTACTGAAGAGAATGGAGGAGCAGAAGAATAGGTACTATATTTAAGTCAGAGATTTTCTCTTAAAATGTAGAAATGAAAAAAGTGTGGATTGAGAGATCTGGGGAACGGGGGAACCTACTTGATTGCATAGTTACAACATTCCTCTTGCTATTTTACAAATTTTAACCACCAAGTTGGAAACAAAATTAGTGAATAGAATGATAGAATATTTGCAACCTCTCTATTTTCCGGTGTCGTGGAAGTTTTCAGGGATGGAATGAACAGAAAGAAAGATTTTTATTGATACATCTATGAAATAATGTTGTGATGCGTATGATGCGCAATGTAACACAAAACATTTTGATAATGAGCAACCTCTTCTAATATTAAAACTATACAAAAAAAATATCACATGTCATAAATACATCGAATGTAAATCAAGGTATGAAAGCTTTCTTCCAAAAGTAATGAAAAAAAGCCACAACAAGGGCGTGTTTGTGCTTGTGATCCCTTCTTGTACAAAAAAATAAAATACATAACGAGAAAAAAATGAAGAAATATGGTGCACTCTTACATTTCAAAAGAACACTAGTGTAGAACCCACCTGTCCTTTGCCTCTAAAAGACATTGCTGAAAATTATAACACGATTCTCTAACCCTGTGTTCGTCTCACACACTAAGATATGCGGAATCTACGAGCTGTTGCAGGAACAATCAAAGCTTCTCAAATCAATCAATCAACAGAAAGAAACGGAGGGGTGGGGAAAAGGAAAATTAGTTTTCTAAAGATGAACTGTGGTAAACCACGGAAGAAAAACGGGTAAACGAAGTGTTTTTTTTTTCTCTGAAGTGTTATTTTTCTCCTACAACTCGACCAGGTGTCAGTAGTCACATTAAACGCTTCATTATTTCGTTCTAGGGTATAACAGGGTAACAAAGCATCTTCGTACGCCCTGATTGGTTGACAACCTATCATTTGCATCATTGTTCCATTAAAATCGCAGAAACTGACTCCCTATGGAGTGAATTAAATAGACCACAAGTCTCCCTGTTCACAAGCGTCTTTACGATTCACGCTGAACGACGTGTGGATTCGGCAGTTGGCTTTTAAAAGACATTTAGAATTTATCTGGAAACAAACGTAAACAACAATAAACGCAACATTTTATTTTTAATCTCTGTATCATCACGGTCAGTAATGGGATCCTGATCAAGTACTGACTGGATTGAACAGTCATCATTATATCTTTTTTCTTTTCATCTTTTAACATGTAATAGTACATGCGTTTACTTACACAAACAGTTCTTGAAAGTCATTATCCATAACAACGAAGCAGTTTTTTTCTAAACCAAATTTTACTTGCCAGCTTTTAGATGTTAGAGGGGTGTTGTAAAAATGCCCATTTTAAAGAATTTTTTGTTGTCATGGTGACGCGACACGGAGGAAGAAAGAAGTAACATTCGTCTTTAATTTTTTTTTTCATGATAAAGTTAATTTGGTTTTGTGTCAATAAATGAGAGTTTTTTTAAAAGAACTAGTTTCAGGCTTTGAACCAATCTCGACTGGTTCATTCATGTTTGCTCGCGCTTGAATTAATTTACGTTTTAAAAGATCTTTCAGGTCTCATCGGCTGATCGATATTATTTCTTTACTTTCACAACCTTACTCTCACGCCATTTTACTTTATATGATATAGAACTGTTCCAGGTCTTTTCACTTAATTTCCAAAAGCTCCATCGGTGCACAGAAGCTCGCATATTTTCCCAATGACTTGAAACGCAACACGGTCGAAGTATTTAGCGCAATGACGAAAACACTCCCGGGGATCCTGGACGTTCACAAACTGAATTGCATGATTTTCAAAGGTAAAGTTGTCCATTAAAATGCTGTTGATGTAGATCAGCGGTATTTCCATTTGATTGCTCGCCATATCATTTGGAGCCATCAGCAGTAAAGCTGTCGCACAGCCGAGCCATGACAAGGCGAAAAATGAATTCATTTTACTCTGAAAGAGGTATCTTTTTTTCGATGTAGAATCAAGAAGGGTCTCTCTAAACCCACAATTGACTTCTTTTATCCCCCGCTTTAAATGACTCAGATGATTTATAAAAAGCAAGAATAAGGCTCACATTAAGGACGTGAAAAGACGAAAAAACATATTTCTCTATATTCTTTCATTTGTTATTGACAGAAGAAAGTCTCGATATTCTTATCTTACACAATGTAAAAATAAAACAACGCAAGAATAAACCAAGGAAACTTACTTCCTGTCCATGCCAGACGTGAAGTAGCAGATGTTTTACTCAGGGACTCCGGATCCCATATTATTTCCCTCCACAGAGGCGTCTGAGATCAATCCTGAAGATAAGAAAAACAAAACGAAAAAGCAAAAATGATGTATTGCAGGAGTATGTTTGTCCTCTATTTAATTCACAGCTCATATTTTGATAGCTTTGCCTCTCTCACAGTACTGTGCTAGAGTATTATAAACAGAAATCGTCAAGTTTCCCATTTTGATCTCTTCCGATCGGTTTACTGATATATTTCAGAGTTTTCCTGCGATATCTTGCTATATAATGCCCTCAACAAAAACATTCCACTGCGATTTGTGGTAGACCAAGAAATATGTCATCGTGATAGGTCGTCCTTAGTAAATATCGCGTCAGTAGTTTATCATCTAATCAAGGATTCATCACTGATCCCCGTCATTATTGAATCGTTTAATGATAAATCTGCACATGTCTAAAAGAACAAAGAGACACACATACCATGAAATGGAGCTTGGGCGGATGTCACTAGATAAAATTTCCCCGTTGGTTTTGTTTTGTCGGCGCCATATCCCATAGACGGGCATTCACCAACGCAGGCCGTGATCTTTCCGTTCTCACAGTTTTTGTAATCCTTGCAAGGACGTGCTTTCCAGCTGCGGGGGTTGTTCACTGACGCAATGTAGTATCTCCAAGCCCTCTGATGGTCACACTTCACTGTCTGAATGAACTCTAAAGAATATAAAGTCATTTTCAAATGAGCTCTGAAAAACTTTAATGGTTTCACCTGCCATGTTCTGAGGTTGTCTCATACTATACGTTTTTCGCCTCAATCTTTCTAACCCTGATGAAATATACCCAAGTTTCCAAGTTCGAACAACGTATTCCAAAGCATTTGTATTCCACGTACATGTTAAGGTTAAGGTTAAGTGTTTTGATTTTAATTACCCTTGTAGTTTAACCTACCCAGCTTAACCAAATGTCGTAGACAACCACGCTGATCAATGCCTCCGTTCGGAAAAAAGTCCGCGTGACCGGCCTCATCGCGCATACCGAAACCGACCAAACCGCTGCTCTTGTGCATGTCGGTGTGTATGACGTCAACGTATTCAGCATCACTTGGGTCCAACCGGAAGCGAGGGTCAGCATTGCCGTCAAAATAAGGACCAGCTGGGTCCAGTCCTTGAGAGGAAAGAATGGTTAAATCTGCACAGCCGGATCTCATTCTAGTTTCTTTTTAAGGCGATTGCTAGGCATTAGGGTGGCAGTAACTCGCTCATCAAAGATAAAGAAAAATCTTTCATGATGCGGAAAGCCTTGCACGGGATAGCACTAAAATATTTAGGATCGAAATTTGTTCGTTTCCTAACCTGATTGCTTATCGTTTAGGGAAACAGAGAACAAACTAGCTCTTTCTCGACCGTGCACTGCATTTCACAAGCTTCTTTGTTCCCTCCATTGTACCCCTCTATACTCCTGGGTGGAGAAAGACTCTTAGAGAAAATAGTCTTTTCCAAAAACACATTAGAATGGCTCAGCCAGGTTCTGAAATTGTGTTTCATTACCTGTAATGCGACCAAGTGTCATTCGGGCTTTCTCCTTTAAATAACTCCCGGCATACCCTGCGGTCTGTCCACCAAGGCTAAATCCCACAATATAGAACATTTTAGCTGAGTGAGGTGATCCTGAAGCACTCTTAATCAAGAACCTTATCAGCTCCGCTGTCTGAGCCCCAACGAGCCGGGTATTGCCCACAGATTGTCCATAAAGTGTTTTCGCTCCTCCAGACCAGTCCACCAAAATCACATTGCAGTCTTCTCGCTGTAAAAGGGCATGTTTCAATTCAATGGTCCAGCCCTTGGTTGCTTTTTCTAGATTTTATAAAAATGTTGAAAAATTTGGTAGTTAAAATCTCATCTGTACATATGCTTTAGTTTCTCCGTAAAAACACCCTATTTCGGACAAAAAAGATTTTAAAAAGAGCGTAGGCTTATCATGATCTCCCTTCCTCGGTGCTCGAGCCACAAACAGGCACTCACCTCTCCAGCCGTGAATCACAAAGATTGTTCGCCGCGCGATATCAAACTTTGGGTCCTTCAATTTATCTGCATCATAATCATTTACTCTTCCATGCCCGTTCCTAGTGTACATGTCAAATGTTGTGCCAACAACATTTGGATTTTGCGGCAGACTTGGTTGAATCCAAATCAAGCCCCACTGAACTTTAGGTTGTTTATTAAAGCAGCCGTACTTTTCATAGCAGACCTTCGAAGGGCCATTAAAAAGGAAACCTGTAGATAGGAAAAATGTAAAAAGAATTACCTGTAATTTTTCAATTCAATTCTCTCATTATTTGCTCCAATCTACGAAAGGAAAAAACGATAAAGAAAGAGAATTCTTACGTCTGACTGGGGTTTCTGTCTGATTCTTTGCGGCCCAGGAAAAAACTCTAAACTCGACCACTGTTAGCAAGCCAGTGAAGACACGCAAACTAAGTGCATTCATCCTTACAGGATCTACCACAAAAAGGATTAATCGTTCTTGGATATTTTACTTCTACGTCTTCTCAGCCTTACAACAGTTTGCGCTGGAAGCTTTTTTATTCACGTCTGATTTGTATGAGCTCATTTATTAGCCGCAGGTGTTGTCTGAACCATTACGTGGTTTCCATTATAATAATAAAATATTTTACCAGGGGCGGTCAACAACCTGTAACACTTCTTCTCCTCTGTTCCAGAACACTGCGCTGCATCTGACCGTCATTCATGGTCACACAGACATTGTGTCATGTTTGCTGTCGCATTCTGAACAGCAAATCCTCATGAACAAGAAGAATCATAATGTATTGGATTCCACCATAAATGCTGAGAGGAAGAATGTTGCACGTGCGATAGCGAGTCACAACAGGTCAGGAAGAAAGGAAATGTTTTTTCCTTTTTTAATTATGTATTTGAAAGCGCTCTAAAAACAACGAAAATATTAAAACTAAAAGGATTTTCATCTTTCCTGTCCCTTGTCATATAACTTAGTAGGAAACAAAGTAACTGCAACTTCATGGAAATAGCTGCAGGTTTAGAAATAATATTATCTTTTTCATAAATGGCGTGAAGTGCTCACCTCGTCTTCTTCAGGCCATATTGCGCAGATGCAGAAGCCCGTGATAAAAATGCCAGAGGTTGCAACAGTAAGGAAACTTAAATTCTTGTGTCTTTGTTTCATATAACTACGTGGTAACCTCAGTGTAACTCTGCTGTAAATATTATCTTTGGGTAACTGAATGGTGTAGGTAATGTTGGGTATCACTGGAGTTATTAACTTCGCCTTAATTGTGATTACTTTTAAAACTTCTTTCTTTCTTCTTAACAAATCACTCACAGAACAAAAATCAGTACCTACTTCATCATTTCCATTTCCCATGCTTCGGACAGGTTGACCGTTTTTGACTCTGAAGTCTCAATGGCTAATAAGAAAATTTTCTTGTTTTTTGGTTGGCTGTTGTGTTTCTGTGTTTTGGGTTTATGATATTCAAGTGTTTTTACCCCTTAAATCTTTATTTTCAAAAAATGTTTAAATTTGCTACGTATAACGTTTTTGTTCCAATTTACAGCGCTTTGTGGATCAGTGTATGACAAAGGAAGGAAACCCAGGTACTCTGCACGAGTATGTACAATGAAAACATCTGAGATCCTCCTGTGGAAACAAACCGCATCCATTTCAGACTATGCAGTCAGATTTATTGGATTACGAGTTATTGCAGGAACAATCAAAGCTTCTCAAATAGATGAATCAACAGAAGTAAACAGAGGAGAAGGGAAAGGGAAATGTAGTTTTCTAGAGATGAATTGTGGTAAACCACGGAAGAAAAACGGGCACAAGAAGTGTTTCACTTTTTTCTTCTGTTGGGTTATTTTTCTCCAACAACTCGATTAGTTGTCAGTAGTTACATTGAACGCTTCATTGTTTCGTTTTATGGTATTACAGGGTAACAACAAATCTTCGTACGCGTACGCCTGATTGGTCGACAACCTATCATTTGCATTATTGTTCCAATCAAATCGTAGAAATTGACTCCATATGGAGTGAATTATATAGACCAGAACCTCACATATTTTCCCAATGACTTAAAGGCAACGTAGTCGAAGTGTTTAGCGCAGTGACGAAAACACTCCTCGGGATCCTGTACGTTCACAAACTGAATTGTATGATTTTCTATGATGAAGTTGTCCATAAAAATGTTGATGTAGATCAGCGGTATTTCCATTTGGTTGCTCGCTAGAGTAATTAGAGCGATTTGCAATAAAGCTGTCGCACAGCTTCGCCACGACAAGGCGAAATGTGAATTCATTTTACTCTGAAAGGAAGTAGAGGTATCTTTTTTTTCAATGTAGTATCAAGGACGGTCTCTCTAAACCCATGTTTAGCTTATAAAATCCGCCGTTAATTTTTAAAAAATTCAGAGGATTTGTAAAGCAAGAATATAGTTCACATTAAATATACAATTGTACTGACCAATTTCTCTAAGGCGAGTGCGTTTCTCAACAGAGAAAAAACCTTGCATACATGAGAAAAGCAAATTATAAATGACACTTCTTCGTATGTGCACTTTTTTAAAGTTTTTGACGAGAAAGAAAAAACTTACCATGTGCGAAATTATTAGTGTTGTTTTTACCGTCATGAACGGGAAAAAAGTTAATGAAAGAGGAAACGAAACCTTAAATGAATTGACTGTTGGCAAATTTAATTCATTTCAAGTGGAATGAAAGCCTATTTAAGGTTCAAAAATCCAAAATTTTGTAGCTTCCGAAATCGACGCCAGAGAAACCATAGACTGAATTTTTAGGGAGCGCGCGAGAAGACACGCGTGTCCCTTGAAACTAACTCTTCCCTTACTCAAAGGTTATGTATTTTGAATAATGATTGTTCTTGTGGAGAATTCTTTAATGAAAAATAATTCTGCTCTAGACTGTTTGGGGTAGTTGTTGCATTTCCGGCCATGTTAACCACAATGATACTAATCATCTTCTCTTGATTTCCAATTTCGCTTTTTAATTTTTTCGTTAGGCTTATTGTTCTAAGAACTTAAAAAAAGAAAACATTGAAAAAAAAAGTTTCCCTTCATTTCTTGAAAAATACAGTTTAAACTTACCTGCATTATTCGACTGTCAAAGCAAGACAACTACACCTCTCCCTTCAGTCTCACATTTGCGTCAAAATCCATTAAAGCAGTCCTCCTTCAACCCCCGTTCGCCGCTGAGAGCAACGAAACTTTCATTTTAAACAAGCAAATACAATTTAATTGTTCTTGTTCATCTCTAAGATGAACATAAAGCCGCCAACTGTTATTACCGTAAACGAATGTGAATGTATGAAAGTCATACATTTGAACTGCGGATAAAGACGTGAATATGAAAGCGATCTTCGCAGTAATGAACACTACTTGAGTAGTAGTACGAAGATCGCTTTCATATTCGAGCTATTAACTTCCTCACCAACTTATTTCTGATGAAGAAGTGTTGTTATTGTTCCTACACTGACATTCAATCGTTTTTCAAACTCCTGACGCAGGTGTGCTTAGGATAAAAATGCTATTTGGAAATTATATTATTGAAAGGAAATAAAATTCCACGAATTAGATTATGGAAAATAATCATGATAGATGTGAACGCTTAAACAATTCTGATTTATGTATGGTTTACTCCCGTAGGCTAAAGTATGCTATGATCTCGAAAGAGAAACCTTCGTACTCGTTACGGAAAAATTATAACAATTAATTGCCTGCAGTTGACAGCGTTTGCTCATGGAGGCAAGCGGAAACCCAATGATTTTCAATAATTAGCAATGTCTAGTAATTAGCAGAGCTGAAATTTGAAGGGGAAGTAAACGCGAAAAAAACTGGTCTAATTATTGCATACTAGAAATTAGCGTATCATCGACCAGGAGGAAAACTGACAAACATATTTAAAACTTTTTCCTTTTTGCAATAACAGAGAGCATCTATTCAAGTTGACTATATTTTTTCTTAGAAAACACACTGGGAACTCCTTCCTACCATCTTATTCACTTGACGGCGTCATCAAAGGCATTTCCATCCTCAGGAATACATTAGAGAGTTTGTGTACATAAAAGTGGACCCAGAAAAAGGGACAGCGGCCTCTCTTTGTTAGGTTTTCTAACGGAAAATCTTTTGTTACCAACATGAAGACGATTTTTGAGGGATTTTGCATGACTGATAAATGGACTATTACCAGGTGGAATAAACCGTGAAAAGTTGTGTCAATCTGATTGGACGTAAATTCGATTGAAACAATAAAAAACATATCAGAAAGATAATTATAAAAAAATTAAATGGGTAAAATGAGATGCATACTCCGTGGATAAGCAGATTCACGGGATTTTAGAATAATTTGCTCGAAAAGGCAACAATCAAGGCAAAACAACATTTGTTCCTCGCCGAATTCTCAATAAGAGAAGGCCTGGGTTATTTTTCATTGAGCAATGAGGCTCAAAGCGTTCGCATCAGTTTCCGTCGCGCGCAGGCACTACATAGGCACACTAATAAGCAATTATCACATGAGGCTGAGATATGATATCAGGAATTATCAAATCAGAGGTAGATAACACAGCAACGAGGTTTGAGAATTCATGACATCATGCGAAAAGTGAATTTTTTCAAACGAACCGAGAAAGAAGACATTTCATCTAAGTTTACAGAAGTTTGAGAACACTACACAGACGGGGGGCTTGGAAACTAAGCAGACTTCGAACTCGAACTGATAACTGCAATATCTGCTGCAGATATTGGGTCACCATGTCAACTGCACACGCCATTGTATAAGTGAATGCTCTCGAAAAATCATATATATATTTTTTTTTATAGTAAGTCTAATAATGTATGAGGGTTACCCGCACGCTCCACTTTTGGTGTAAAGGCACACCAAGCGCAAGCAAAATTTCAATTCAACATTTTATAACATTGTTGCATGCAACGCGTTGCACACGTTTGGCCACTTTGTAGCACAATGTTGGATCAAGGTTGAAAATGGTCAAATTTTTGAAGCAACATTTTGAGATGTTACAAGATGTTATGCGCGTTTGGCTAGCTCCTTTACAAATCTCACAACACGATTTCACAATGTTGTGAGATCCGGCGGCTATGGACCCCCCCGTCCAAATCCGTTGGCGGATTTGGACCCCCCTCCGCGGATTTGGACCCTCCAACAAAACTGAGTGAAAACATCATCCTTAACGTTCTAGTAAAAATGGATGATACTTTACGTTCCAGTGCGTACTAAAGTGCGTTTTTAATTCAAAACATGCGTATCGTTAATTCATACGAACTGGCAGCTGGAAATGACCCGTCGGATGTTTCTTTTGACCAAGGGAAAATGGGCAAGCATTTAGTTTAATGTTTGGAGGAAGGTCGTTTTTGAACCTCTTCCGCGATAGTCGAACACCGCTAGATTCAATAAGAGACAAACTTGTGACACTAATTTATTTTGTCATTGTTTAATGCCCGAGTGTTGGGACGACGTGGTACAGTGCAAGTTGTGAGAGGAATGGTTACACATGAGCTGCGAGGGATTTAAGACTGCCCTGGAGGGCGAGTGGCTCTGCATTGTCTGCAGATCATCAGACTCTGAACGTCTTCGTAATTGTTAAGGTGTTATTTCGAATCCCTCAACTGTTAATAATCGTTAAAATTAGGAAATAAGATTGATTTCGATGTAATAGTCTCCACTTTTGTTAAGACGTAGACATTAATGTTGATTTGCATCTGAAAGTAAGCTGAGAGTTCCAATAGTTCAGAATAGAAACATTTTTACTTATCATAGGCTTTACGAACGACCTATATTAGGGGTAGTTTCTTCGTTCTTGTTCAGAAACTGTATCAAGTTATTATTTTAGAAAAACAGACTAAGTTATTTCTATGACTGGACGCAATAGTCACCACTATTGTTATGACGTTTCGTATCATTGTTGATTCGCATCGGAAGAAGCAAAGATTTATTGTAAAAATTTCAATGGTTCGAATGCAGTAGTTTGTTCACATCTAATTCTTGCGTATACTGTACGACTCGCTATAATAAATGCGGCAGAATTGGAATGAAATGGCTGGTTTTTTTTTCAAAAAGCTTGCAAATAGAATTAGTCACCAAATATGATACAAACGATGCTAAAAAGGGAAAGTTTGGTGGGGGGTCCAAACCTGCAAAGGGGGGTCCAAGTCTAGCGGATTTGGACAGGGAGTCCAAATCCGCTGTGACACCGGGCTTTAACACATAAGCTACATAAGTGTGATTTCGGTTAGCCACTGAACTATTGACACCGCCATCTTTATCAAAATCAAGATGTTACGACCTTACGCTGGATGTTAATGTCTACTGTTACGGTGTAATCTGACCGACAGAAAAACACTAAAACCTTACAAACTCAACCACTTTATTAAACAGTGAGTGATAAGGAGCGACTCCTAAAGGCAGCACAGTACTTATCCTCCATAAACTTACACAAGCCCACTACAGTCTATATCTTAGCTCACCACTGAGCCAAACTCACGGTTCCCTCCAACGTTTCTAGAAATTAGCAATCTTCCTCTGTAGCTCTCTCTCACGTACAGCTTTCTGAACAGTCGGTCACTCCTAACAATAACAACTACTTCTACTTCATAAAGGAGTCCTCATATGCATTCACAAAGTGTTCTGGAACGTTCCAGAAGCTTACAAAAGAACTATTTAATTAGTAGTACGGAATAACTGCGTCACTTGATGAAATGTTCTAGAAAGTTCTATTATACGCATGTCAGCATGGCATGGCATGCCCTTCAGAGCAAATTTCAGGCTGTCTTCTTTTGTTTTCTTCTCTGTTTCCACGTATTCAACAAAGTCTCGGTTGCTGCTTGCATCCAACACTTCGATAATTTCCTAAAGCACACCTAGACGAAATTCTAGCCTTGAACGGCATCCTTTGAACCAGAAATCATAAGTTACAACTCTACTCAGCTCAGCTTCAACTTCCCTCTCTGTTTTTACATGTCCAAGAAAGCCTCGGTTGCTGCTTGCATCCAACACTCTGATATTATCCTCAAGCACACCTGGACAAAATTCTAACCCTGAACGGTATCCTTTGAACCAGGAACCACAAGTTACGACTCTAATGAACTTAAGCTTTCTTCTTTGTTATCACAATCATGTACGTACAGACTCGGTTTCCTCTTCTATCGAATAATTCGATTTCCTCTTCAAGCAAATCTGGACGAATTTGTAACACTGTATGACGCCTTTTCGACGCCTTAATAATTTTTTCTGAAACTGAACACATTCGGACACGAATTAGCTATAAAGAACGATAAAGAAGAAGCTAAATGGCTCTAGTGGGTGGTACCGTATCATTAACACAACTTTCCACTTCATGGTAATTCCCCTATAACCCCAAAACGTTTCCTAGAAATGATCACATCAGCTTGCATGCTCACGGTCCCCTAAATTTGTACAGAAGTCACAAGGAAAACGCTATTTGAATTCTCAAACCGAATTCCAAATGATGCATGATAACATCTATGCTCGACTGGATATTTAAATTTTCCCATAACTGACGGCCGGGTCTACTTGCTGTTGGCCTATTAGAGGTCTTCTACGGCTTGTAGATGATGTCATTAACTTCCTATGTTTTAACATGAATACAGAATTGGTCTGTTTTCTTTAACAATTCATTAACCCGTCTTTACAGCTCATATTAACAAATTTACATACCTGAGGTTACGGGGGTAACCTCAGGTTATTATGAAAGATACTAATTTACAAAAATAAAACACATTGACACACTTCCAGGTGCCAATAAGAGGCTAAGTTAGGACTCTCCCCACACATATCTGTTAAAATCACTTGCCTTTACCCGTGACATTAAAACAAACACAAAGATGATATACGAGATAAAAACCTTTTGCGATGTATGAAATGATCAAAAGCTACAAAAACCAATGCTTTCCATTAAACTCACCATTAAAATTGGATTGCATTCTGATGTATAATAGTAGTGGTGCTATTAAAATAGAGAGGCAAAGCAGCAGCCGATAACTAAACAGCCAAAACCTATCCAACAAAGCATCTGGGAAGCACAAGATATTCACGTCATTAACCTCAAAGAAGCAGTTACTGATCAAGTCTGCTACAAAACACATTCAATCATGCAAATCAATTGAGTTACTTCCTTGAATTGGATTAAGTACCATAGCTAGTGCTAGTAACTAAATCTTCGACTTTCTCTGCCCTAATATATCGCTGCATGAAGATTTGGTGTAAAACTTACACGTCATTACAACACTGTTGAAAAGAAGCCGTTGTGAGCCTCCTTCTAATTAATCTCTATTCTTGTGTGTTTATTGACGCCTTTTGCACACTGTTACACAGAAGCATAGAGATCTTAGGCAAATTGCGATTGAGGGAAATTCGTGGTACAGCTGAGGCGGAAATTCTACTAAGTGATAAACTTACTAAGTGATTTACTATTCCTAAAACGTGTTCAAATTCCAAACGGTTCCTCTCCTTACTTAACACCAAGTCACACAAAGCGTGACGCTTTCAAGAATTCATCGTTTACTTTTTATCAAGAAGTGAGCTTAGGAAGCATGTGGTAAATACGATAAGCAGGGCGTACCTGACTGGGGAATGGGCATCCTTCTTCTTGGCATGACAGATATGACAGTTTCTAATGAACAAAAAAGGAAACAAATTGACATACTTCCAGGTGCCAATGAGAGGCTAAGATAGCCTAAGATTATCGAGAAGTGAGCTTAGGAAGCATGTGGTAAATACGATAAACAGGGCATACCTGACAAGGGAAGGCGCTTCAATGAGGTTTTACTAACAGGTTCTAATAAACAAAAAATGAAACAAATTGATATACTTCCAGGTTCCATTGAGAGGCTAAGTTAGGACTCTCTCCACCCACATCTGTTAGTAAGTGATTAACTATTCCTACAACGTGTTCAAATTCTAAACAGTTCCTCTCCTAACTTAACACCAGGTCACACAAAGCGTGACTCTTTCGGGAATTAATCGTTTGCTTTTTATCGAAAAGTTAGCTTAGTACGCATGTGGTAAATACGGTAAACAAGGGGTACTGACTGGGGAAGGAACTTCCCTGAGATTCCACTGACAGATTTTAATAAACAAAAGATGAAACAAATTGACCTACTTCTAGGTGCCAATGAGAGGCTAAGATAGGACTCACCCCACCCACATCTGTTAGTAAGTGATGCACTATTCCTATAACGTGTTAAAATTCTAAACGCTTCCTCTCCTAACTTAAAAACAAGTCACACAAAGCATGACGCTTTGAAGAATTCATCGTTTGCTTTTAATCGAGCTGTGAGCTTAGGAAGCTTGTGGTAAATACGATAAACAGGGCGTACCTGGCTGGGGCGAACGCTTCCCTGACAATTTACTAACAGATTCTAATAAACAAAAAAGGAAACAAATTGATATACTTCCAGGTTCCAATGAGAGGCTAAGTTAGGACTCTCCCCACCCACATCTGTTAGTAAATGATTTACTATTCGTATAACATTTTCGAATTCAAAAAGAGTTCCTCTCCTAACTTAACACCGAGTCACACAAAGCGTGACTCTTTCGGGAATTAATCGTTTGCTTTTTTTCGAAAAGTAAGCTTAGTACGCATGCGGTAAATACGGTAAACAAGAGGTACCTGACTGGTGAAGGAACTTCCCTGAGATTTCACTTAATGATTCTAATAAACAAAAGATGGAACAAATTGACATACTTCCAGGTGCCAATGAGAGGCTAAGATAGGACTCTCCCCACCCACATCTTTTAGTTAATGATTTACTATTCCTATAACGTGTTCAAATTCTAAACGGTTCCTCTCCTAATTTAACACCAAGTCACACAAAACGTGACGCTTTCAAGAATTCATCGTTTACTTTTTATCGAGAAGAGAGCTTAGGATGCATGTGGTAAATACGATAAGCAGGGCGTACCTGACTGGGGAGGGCGCTTCCCTGAGATTTTACTAACAGATTGTAATAGACAAAAAATGAATCAAATTGATATACTTCCAGGTGCCAATGAGAGGCTAAGATACCTGACTGGGGAAAGAACTTCTCTGAGATTTCACTGAAAAATTCTAATAAACAAAAGATGAAACAAACTGTCATACTTCCAGGTGCCAATGAGAGTTAGGACTCTCCCCACCCACATTTGTTAAAATCAGTTGCCTTTACCCGCGACAATAAAACAAGCATAAAGATGTATGAAATGGTCTTAGGCTACAAAATAAACGCTTTCCATTATACTCACCGGATGAAAGGGATCTGAAAGGTATTTGTAAATACATTCCTCCAACAATGAGGCAAAAGAAAGCACTCACTATCAGAAATCGCTTAAACACGATGAATGACTGAAAACCTAGGAAGCATAAGATATTCACGTCATTTACCACAAAGAAGGAGTTACTAATCAACTCTCCTACTAAACACATTCCATCATGAAAATCAATTGATTTACCTCCTTGGATTGGTGTGTTTATTGACGCCTTTTTTAAGCTGCTTCACGGAGGCATGGAGATCATTAGCAAATTGCGATTGAGGGAAAATAATAGAATAGAAATTGAATAATTCCAAACACACAAAATACCCGAGCTTTTCATATGTTACACGTATTTTTTCATTCAAACAACGGTGTTTTACAAGGATTTGCAGCCCTGACAACACACGCGAAAAAATACGATATTCTTTCACGTGTGTTTGATATCGCCAATTAGCTGCTGACACGTCACTAGCCATTCGCGCCACTTGGTCAGGTTGACGAATGAACGGCCACCATTCTCAATCTATGGTTGCTTTGTCGGAATTTTCTCGGATTATGTCTGTTAAAGCTATTATGATTTAATTTCTTCTGAGTTTTAGTCTGGGTTTTTCAGAGTGTTCCGAGTGGTACTTAGTTTACGATTCTTTAAAGGAATGCAATTCCATGGTTGTGAACAGGTAACAGGTAACCGTTGACTAAAAGTTCTGCCTCAGCTTTAAAAAAGGAGTTGTATTCTGAAGCATACAGCAAGTTTAAGCTCTTACATTTATACATATCCTAACACAAAACACACTTTCCAACATGTATTGCAAGCACAATTATCGTTCAACTCCCCTTAAACGATACAAGAAATGAAGTATACACACTCGTCTTTATAAAACTCGTCTTTTCCTCGTCCTCTGGTTGGTCAAATTGGGTTGTTTCCTCAGAAGATGGTTCAACTGGGGGATTTAAGGATGAGAACTCCTTTTCTGTTGGCTTTATATCTTGTGTAAAACTTCCTGCGTCTAGAAAATTATCGTATCCTTTATGTACTACACAACAGTGCCTGCGATCTTTTGAATTTAGCAGGAAATGAGTAATAGGAAAATGATAATTCTGGGACAGCCTGAAAGACGGCTCGAGACAATTTTTGGGTTCTACCAGTTTTGACCGGTTTTTCACAGGTCTGACTAGTTCTAAGACAGCCCTACAGCAAACCACAATCTAGGTGTGTCAAGCTGTCTGTCATGCTGTCCCAGGCGGACTCAAATATTGTCTTGAGATTTTCTCTGAATTGCTATTTACTCGAACGAATCCATGCTTCAGGCCATCGTTCAGATAGTACAGGACGGGCTCGTCTTCAATCACTACCAAACTCTCGATATTGTAAACCTCCATTGACCATACTGAATCAATCGCTCTTCTTTGATCACCTTCCAGCTCACCAGGGGCGTAGAGGTATCTCACATTCTTTGAGAGGTCAAGTCTCCTTCAAGCCGACAAGTGTTGAACAAGATGTTGAACTCTTTGCGTCAACCGACTTGTCTTTGAGTGCATCAGCAGGTTTCTTTCCCATTCAGTAGATCTCTTTCCAGATGTGAAGTTCATCTTCTTACTGCACTGGTAATTCAAGAGGCGTTCACCCAAAACCCGGTTGAATCATTCGAAGATTCCTTAATCTCTGTGAACGTCTACATTCCACCTTTTTGTTCTCACATCATGCTTTTCAATCGCTCTTGTGACATCACCCATGAACTCACATGCCCAGGATCAACCTGAAGGACCTTCGGCCATCTCAGTGTTCCTCGCTCATAGATTGTTTGAAAAGCTATTGAGACTTCAGAAGCATCCTTTGAAGTGAGAGGCTTACCCACTTTGAATCTACGTCGCTCGAGTTTATGGTGAAGGTGTATGGCTCTGATCTGAGTCTATGGTCTATGTTCCTGAGGCTGAATGACTCCCACAACTCTCCCTTAGTGAGGAATAAGTAATTCTTTATCCCCCTCTTCCTCGCCATATCCATGAGCACACAATGAGTAATCTTGACTTTAGGTTTTCAATTCCCAAGGATTTGTGTCGAGCTGTCCCAGCTGATGAGCACTCTTTGTGTCAAGTTGTCTGTGGTGCTGTTCCCAGTGCCGTCTCAGAACTGGTCAAAACCAGTCAAAACTGGTAGAACCCAAAAATTGTCTCAAGCCATCTTTCAGGCTGTCCCAGAATTTTCATTTCCCTACTACTAAATAGATCTCTTGAACAATAAAGTACAAACATGTGAGAGAACGGTTCTCTCCTTACAATCTACATCATACTTTCGAGGAGTTTTGGTATAAAAAGGACAGGTTTAAGTGGGCAAGACCAAACGTTTTAGTGTATCTATAATACTCTGTCAATGCGAATGTTCCATACCATGATAACATTCTGCAGGTAAACCAGTTTAAAAGCCTGGTTCAACTTTTTGTTTTAGACTTTTCACTCTTGATTCTATATCCTCCAATGAAGCCTAAGCTTAAAGGCCAGGGCACAGTTGTATAAAGGGTGGATAACGCTACCCAACGGATAAATCGCTATCCGGCGGATAAGTGATAGCAAAACGAATAGCGTGATCCACCAGATAGAATTTTATCCAGCGGATAGCGTTATCCAACCTTCTAACAACCGAGGCTAGAGCGTAAGGCTGCATTGCAAGTAAATTCTCTCTCGGGTTCTTATCTTTTGAACCAACTGCTAAGGAACGATAACAGTATTCAACAACTTTACGCACTTTTAAGGAAAACGAGGGTGGGTCATTTAAGACATTATAGAATTAAATTACCACTTTTTAAGCCCTTTTAAACCTAACTCAAATTCATTCCTCCTTTAAACCATGTTGGGACACGACTGCAGAGTTACTTCAAGGGGAGAAATGAATACAACCTCAATAAAATAATGTACTTGAGAGACACCAGTTCTTCCTATGTTTCTTCCGTTTTACCGAAAGTTCTATGAATGAGACCAAAGGCTTGTAGGAGTCACCAATGCCATTGAGAAGCTGATAATCTCATGCAGTAAAAGTACCAAAGATAAAAATAAAGCCTTTGTGTAAAATTGTAAAAGTATCACTAAGCTGAAAGAAGTTGACATACTTACCTTCCGAATCAGACCGTTCCGAGTCAACTTCAAAAGATCCACAAGAGGAAGTGTCCGCGTCAGCTATACGATGTTCTGTTACGGAAAGAGAGTTTAGATTTACCGTTAGTACTAGGACAAAAACAGTTAAAACAGACAAACGCCCATTTGACATTCACCTTCATCCGTCAACAAAGAATCATGATACGTTACATAGCTTAAACAATAAGAGTTTAAATCAACAAAAATCAATTCTAGAAGTATCTCAAGCGGATGAACAACCCTACGACAGATGTGAAACATAAAGTGTATTGCGAATGAGTGTGGTACTACCAAAAGAAGTAGTCACAAAAGCTAATGAGAAGAGAAGAAATATCACATGGAGCTAATAACAATACAGCTTACAATACAAACAAGCACACTGCTTTAAACCTTTAACTCCCAGGATCTGATTGTTAATTCTCCCCTCTAGCTGCTACAGATTTCCTTGTAAATTAGTTGCAAGAATTTGTTGTTAGATCAAGATAACAACTTCTACCTTATACATTTAAGAACTCTCATTTCATGTTTGCTGGATAGTGGATGGATATTTTAGGGAGAAGTTACATGTGAATCACTTCTGGGAGTTAAAAGGTTAAGTGAAAGAAATTTCTAGTGACCATGTTGTGATTGGTTTTTAAGTTTTGCATCTGATTGGCAAAGAGGGTGGATTGAGTTTTCTGAACCAGTATAACAGAGCAAACTCACACCATAAGCAAAATGAGCAACATCCATATAACATTAACACATCATCCAGCAAACAAGCAACAAGTAATGACTCCCTTATAAGATGAAAGGAGTCTTGATGAAGTACACCTGCAACACCAAATTCTTCTGACAAATCAACACAGAAAAGTGTACTGTCATGAAACAGATAAAAGAGTTTTACAATCAGATTTTAGGAAATGAAGGGTTACAAACTGAATTCAGTGGAAGTATTGTATCCAGTAACAGAGAGCTCACTTACCATTTTCAACTTGTAAATCTGACCAGTAACCAACAAGGTCATGGGAACCACAAGAAGATGTTTCAGCATCAGCAAAGTAGTCACTTTGGTTATCATCATCCTTAGGTTGTATCCTTGATGATTCTTGTTCATCATTAGAAACTGTTGTAAAAATTGAGGAATAAATACATTTTTTGTACATTTCAACAATTGCAATATTGGTGGGTTTGTTATGACTGTGAACACAATTTTTCATAAAATGGCAGAATGTAAGGAAGGATGGAGTAAACCATCTCAGTGTCACAAGAAAAATCTAACCCCAAGCCTTCAGACTTGCACTCTGATGCCATACCACTGACTTGCAGAGAACTTGCAGTGAGTTAAGTTTGTAGGCCACTATAAAGTCCTGCATTCTGCTGAGATTTATATTGGCATGTAGCAAAATAGATAAAAACTGCTTGAAAACTTCCTACACACTATTGGGATGGTCATGTGTCTGAATAGCTGTAACATCTAAATGGTGAATCTAACAAGAACGGCATGTTTTATAAAATGGCATCAAACTCAGCCTAAAAGAATAAGATACTCACCAGTCTGTTTCTGAACATTACCAACTGCTTGGACTAACTCTAACCACTCACTTGTACTCAAAGTGACACTATTACTATCACTTTCTTTAGACAATCTGAAAATAAAAATCAGTCATGATAAAATTACCCACCTGTCACATTAATCAAATCAAGTGACAACATAGCAATACTAAGAACAAGACGTCATCATCATTATTATTTTGAATCACCTTTTGTTTACATCTTGTAAGAACTCCACCAATTTGTCATGGCCATTAGCCCTTGCAACATCCTCTGGCAGAGGAGTTCGATCCTTGTAACTGTTGAAGACAATTTTTCCAGCAGAGGTACTGAAGATCACTTCCAAAAACTGTTGAGCACCTTCTTGAGCAGCAGTATAAACAAGTAGCTGAAGGACTTTAAGAGACTGCACCTGTTTAGCATCAGGTAATGAGCCTGAGTGAAAAAAAGTGAATAACACATAATTTTATTTTAAAATTTGATTTAATTAAAATATACTTGACTGTGTACAGCAAGTCTCCAAATGGCTTGAGATATGTCTTTTCCAAACCCATTTACACCATGATCCCAAGATGAAAGAGGAACAGATTCTTATACTAGGTTACTAACCTTGGTCTAAACAACTGTGAATATATGAAAATCATGTAGGTGAACTGCAAATTAAGAAGTGAATATGAAAACAATCTTTGCAGTAATATAAACACTACTTGAGCAGTCATGGAAATAAGGCCTAATAAAAATTCAGGCCTGTACTGGATTTCAACCTTTGTCATACCAGTATGTGCACCCATATCTCAGAGGCCTGAACATTTTTCAGGCCTTATTTTCACTACTGCTCAAGTAGTGTTCATGTACTGCCAAGATCGCTTTCATATTCATATACCTTGGTCTGGTAAACTAAACAGACCTGGTGTCTGCGCAACATCGCTACTGCTTCCAATGATTCCATGTTCCTGGGACCACATGGTTAAGAATAATGATATTTGAGCAGGGTCCTTAATGAGCTGTTTTAAGGCCTGGCGCACCTCATCCACATATGTGAAGTAAGTAACTCCCAGCTGTCGACCAGCCTCAGTGTAGACTGTTACAAGAACACGGCCAGCTTCTTGGGCAGCTGGAATGGAATGAAAACCTTTCTTTTTTCAGGCCAAACCCCTACTCTCTTTATAGAGTAGCAGAATGACAAAGATGCATACAGATTGACACAGAGACAAACTGACCAAATGAAAGACACACAGGCAACAGATAATCAGAGGGGTGTGGGTCCATTACAGTAAGCTACACCTGTAATCTAGAAGGGGTAAAATTTTCAAACAATTAACTTACCTGGAATAAACCCAGAGAAGGTGTGAGGGCTGGTCTTCTCCAAACTGGCATCACCTACTCTTTCAAAGCGTGCCACACCTTTTGTGTCACTTTCAAGCAATGCCTCTTTTAACACTACAAGGAACTGAATTCCACCCTGAAAGCAAGATATGTATCAATAACGAAGAAAGATAGTAAATTTTCAGTTTGGTAAAGAATGGGTCAACAAGAATTTTTTTGTCTTGTCACACTCTTGAAAATGAGTATTTCATGAACCTGGTTATTGGCTGGAGATAACCTCCACTCTTCTAACAATACTATCACACAATGCAAGTTTATTATTGGTCTTAGCAACACATTTCAGCCCAGTATTGTTTTACATCCCATCCAGAGAAGAGTTAGTCTCTTCATGCTAAAGATTCAATGTAGATGTGCTCAGACAAGAAGAAACTTGGCCATATGCTAATTTTATCCTTTTTTCAACCTTCAACTCCTGAACTTGGAAAAACAGGTTTGAAAGCCAGATACCTTTCTCCTTTATTCTCCCTTAGGTGAAAATGCTTGAAAGCTTTACAAACGTATCAGCTAAATCAACAATCTTTGAAACATATCAAACCTCACTACCAGTGCAAAGAACAAAGTTAATTTTGAAGGCACACTGATAGAAAAAGAGAATCTACAGTTCACTATAACAACTTCAATTATGAAATAGCAACATTTTTCCAGATCAAAAATATAAATCAAAGCTCATTAAATGTTTTTTATTCCTCGGGATTCACTAAATTATAGACCCAGGCCTCCATGCTGTGCCTGGCTAGCAGTTGACAAACATTTGGTTGTAAAATGACCACAGACTTTGATTTGTTTTGTTCATCTGATCGTTCAATTCCAGATGTTCTTCGCCCTTCCTCCCCCCAAGAGGCTTTTCTCATGCCTGATTAAATTTGCAGATCACCATGACAATTTCTAAAATAATAAAATTACCTTCACAGAGCCTGATAGAGGGCAAATACATTGGACCACTGAAATAGATTGGAAGGAATATTTGTAGAAGTAAATCAAAGAAACAAACTTTTTTATTTTTATCAAAATAATAAATCATTTAAATTAGACCCATTTTTAAAAAAATATACCTCCAGGTTGCTGCACAACATTATCTGAGTCGGTACTGATTTCCTCCAATGCTGAGTGGAAATCTTTAGTAGAAATGCCAAATATCTGGTAGGGCAAGGATTTTTAAATAGCAGTAAACTTTCAAACCTTTTGCTATATATATCAAGACATTCTCAACTAGATGGTGATGAAAAGAACCAAAATGTCAACTAGGGGGTTACTTTTAGATAAAATAACAAATTCTCATAGCTAAAAACATGAGAAATATGAACCACAAAGTACAGAGAATAGATAACTGGATCTATGGGTTTGAAATTGTTGAAATAATTAATAAACTGTGTGTAATCATTTTAAACTTCATGGTCTTGTATTACCTTCTGTCTAAAACAATATCCAGAGTGTCTGTCTCTAAGTCATGATCACTATAAAAAACACTCTGATTTCACATGCACAGCATGTGTGTGTGGGGAGTGAGGGTGGAGGAGGGTAATTTGTCCCATTGTCATTATCCCCATTTAAATGATCCTGCACGTTTAAATTTGCTTCACCTTCAGCTTTTTGCACTAACTCATAGAATCTATCTCATAAAGATATGTCTGTAATTCCAATAACAGCTGCGGAAATTTTAATTTACCTGAGATGGACTTTCAATATTTGATGGATCAACATTATCTTCTCTATTGATGTTTTCCTGGAGTGCTGTACTAGTTGCATTCATGGTGTGTAAATCTGAGGAAAAACAGTTGATAAATTAAATAAATACTAAAAATACCATGATACCATATGCAACTGCAAAGTGCAATATCACCTAAATTGTTACATCTAGCAACGATGTTTGTTGCTACTCTTAGCTTCCTTGAGGCTTAATTATACAAGTTTAGAAACAGGACCCACCATTTGTTAAATAAATATTTTAAACTCTTTAACTCATGAGAGTGACATGCATCTAATTTCTCCTCAAAATATTACCACAGAATCAAATTAAAACATTAAGGTTCACAAACTGAGAACGCTCTTGATTGTTAAGAAAATGCTTCTTGTCAGCACCTTAGGAAACTTATAGAGAGCAGTATGGAGAATATGCATACTGATGGTAGAGTATAAAGGGTTAAACGAATGATCAAATGATAAAGCCCTGATCTAATGATTTCCCAAAACAAGCCCAAATGTGAAATCCCTTTTACCATCAGAGACATCCATAAGCTCCTCAAAGCCTGTGTCGCTTGCGTCAGGAGATGTGCCAACATCAGGAGACACTTGCAGATCCCCATCAGCCTTAGTTACCAGTGTTAAAAAAAAAGAGACATTTCAATAAAGGCAAAAAGTGTTTAAACTGATACCATGACAATATTGAAACATTGTGCCTTCTCTATGTACTATTGGATGATTTCAGTATTACCATGTACTATTCTAAAATAAAGCCATAGACCCAATGGCAAACTCTTGTTTTTCCAATTTTTTTGTTTCCAAGAACTGTATGCATTGTGAAGAACAGGGCTTTGCAGAAATTTTGCACGAAATAATTAAATAAACAAACAAACTGCTCCATCTCTGTCTAAGGCCGTGAGATAAATGATAGTTGTGATAACTTCTAGACACAGGTATCCATTTCAGGGGATACCTTTATCTAAAAACTGAGCACAAGTTTTGAGAAAACTAGGTTGCAAACACCTGTCCTAAAATGATTTAACTTCTCTTAACTTAACTTGATTTAACTATAATTATTATAGTCCTCTTAAAGAGGACTATAATAATTACTGAATTCTAAGGGTAGATGGGAGTTAAAATAATCGATATCGACTATGGTGGGGTTTGCATATTGAACATTATACACCCAGAAGACAGTAGTTGTAAAACTACAACACCATTTTTCCCCATGGATACTTTGGACAGTTGTCATCCACAACATCTGTTCATAAGATAAGGATTTACAAACCCGTCAGCAGTTTTTCACAGAGGGCATAGAAAAACTCTCATGTAAATATGAATGGAACTCAGTAAGACCACAAAAAATATTCATTTTGGCAGTACCCAACGGACAGATAATCTAGGAGAATTAACTCAAAACGTATACTACTTAACCCTTTAACCCCCAAAAGTGATTATCATGTAACTTCTCCCAATGATATCTGTTCACTGTTTAGCAAACAGGTAATGAGAATACTCAAACTAATCAGATCAAAGTTGCTATCTTAATCTAACACCAAATTCTTGTAACTTATCTACAAAGAAATGAGTAGCAGCTATAGGGGAGAATTAACAATTGGATCTTGGGAGTTGAAGGGTCAACAGAGGTTGTAAAGATTTCTTAATTGCTGCTGTCTGGAAATGTTTATAGGCAGACTATTAACAATTCAAAGGGGACTGAACAATTTAAACCAAGGTATTAAACTTCAAAATAATGTCTGAAATATACTTAAAACGTGACAATTCAATGGCGGTCCGCTACAAATTACCTGATCACCGGGAAGTTCTTCACTTGATCCAAAAAGTGAATGAAACACTCTGGAAGGCAATTGAAACTCTCTCTCAACAACTTTGTTATTTTCACTAAACTTTCGGCATTCTTTGTACTCTTTTGCTCCGTCATCACGATAGCAACGAAGAAGAAGAGCCTCTCTAAAGCTGTTGCTTGCCCTACTTCGATCGATGCTTGTGTCAAACCCGGGGTTCTTCTTAGCTCTGTACTCGATGTGACGTTCTACAGCAGCCACCCAATTGATACGGAACCGACCCTCCTGATTGACAAACCATGCATACTCCTCTTCTAGGATCAATTCTCGGAGGAAGTGGTACACTGTATTCTTGTTCCCTAGGCGAATATAACGCATTGATCATTAATGTTTTAATTCGAAAAGTTCTTGTTAGAGAGACAGGGGGTTAGACGTAACCACAAGACTGTGCAAAGTTGATGTTTTCATCTTTTGGTACCTTCTTAAGTAAAGTGGGCTTGGATAAGAAAGAAATGAACCGTAGGAAATAAAAATTCCCGTCCTGATTCAATCAAGGTATAGAGGAGCAAACACAAGAGAGTCTCTTTTTCTGGGCGACACAAATGTTCGTAGAATTCGATGTCAGTTTGTTAAATTGCTTACCTTCCCCAAAATTCGCTGCTAGTTTCGACATGTCAGTTGTGAAGGTATCTTGCTTGAGTGTTATCCCAACTGCATTAAAAATCAACAGCACTACAAATGCATGATACTTCCTTGTACTAGGTGAGGAAGTGCACTCCGTCCAAGTGGTTTCTAGGTTGTGATTGGTTAAAAAATTTCGATACTCCCTTCTGATTGGCAGAGCGTTTTGGTCCCGGTTGGAAAGATTCAACTTGAGCACTGCTCGCGTTGGATGCATCCAACGTGGACATTATTTATCTTGGGTGATTAATTATTATCAACTGAGTTGCTAACGTGGAGAGGCCACCGTAAAGAGTTCCAAAGCTGACGTTTCGAGCGTTAGCCATTCGCCCTGACGAAGGGGTGACACTCGAAACGTCAGCTTTGAAACTCCTTACGGTGGTCACTTTACGTTGTCAACTCAGTGTCTTTAGTAACTTACCTCCTTTATTCATTATTCATCTTGACAACTTCCAAGAACTAAAACGTTGTTTTTTGTTTTGTTTTTGTCTTTGTTTATTTTTTACCGGGAACTTATGTGGCAAGAATGATAAGCATTTTTCCCTTTTCAAGGTTGTCTTGCACGAGCGTTACGAAACCAATTTACGATATCTGTCACGCATTGCGTAACGAGTGATGAAAATACTTTTATTTTTTCGCGTGACTCTTGTTCTTCCACGCGCCGCTGATTAAAACACGCCGCTTTCTCCTCGAGCTGGCTTAATTCTGACTGAATTTTTCTACGAATAAAATTCTAATTTTACACAGCCGTGAAGCTTGAATTATTGGTTTTGTATTTTTTCAGGCGGTACTTGGTAAGACAACATTTTAGATACAAAAAACATTTCAATTCCGAAGCAACAATCGATCTTTTAGTCTTATTGACCTAATCTACGGGAGAGGTTTGTTCGTCAACCCTTTAACTCGCAAGATTTGATTTTTAATTTTCCTCTCGAGCTGTTACAAGGATCTGGTGTTAGATCAAGATAACAACTTCCTGATAAGTTTGAATATTCTTATTACCGTTTGCTGGATAATTTGTGGGCATCAGAGAGAGAATTTTCACTTTTTGTATTTAAAGGGATTAAAAGATGATTGTCACAGACAACGACAGACGTTCCAAAAACAAGAACGGACGCTATACTCTCAATTCTTATCGAATTCTTTCTCTTCAATTCGACTAGTACCACTCCAGAATTCATGAAAATTCGCCGTACTGAAGAAAAATTGTGATTGTCGTGACTGAGATGTCGTGACATCACGTAAACCATCGATGAAACCTTAGAACTTCTCTTGTAATGATGCGTTTTCGATTAGTACAATCCACAGAAGAACACCCGGAAATGCAGACGGAACCGTCTTTATGTGACACATTTTTCGCGCTCGCTTTCGAAAGCTTCCGTTTCCAGGTGTCCACTCAAGGAAACGAAGCGTTTTAAAACAAAGCGTCCACTGAAGACCGCGTTTTCTCCTGGCAGTGTTTTCGCGCGTTTGAGTGCGCATGATAGGCTAACAAGCTGATACAAACAAACGCGCAAATCTGACACTTTAATTTCTAACAATTCTGAAAAACAAAGATAACAACAATCTATTATGATTTGCGACGACATATCGATCATATTTGAGGCGTTACTAAAGAAAATTCACCAAAATGGAATAGGAACTACCCCAAGACAGAAATCGATAGTTTGAAATTGAAAGGAAAGAAAAATACAACTGATAGTAAACTGTTGTAACTGAAGAGTAGATCCTCGTGCAGAAAATAGAGTTAAACTTTATGTGTAAACCAACCGCGTGTCGATTCGAAAAAGTAGAGAACATGCTATGTAAGTCAAATGCGAGCGCGTTTGATCTGAAGTCTTGTTAAATCATTAAACAGTTTGTGGAAAAGTATAAATAAGTTGACAAGAAGTCATCCAAAATAAAGGTATCAAAAAATATCTCGCTGTTTTCGCACGAAAACATTTGTTGTGGGCCCTAGTCTTCAAGCTCTCTTTTAGCTCTTTGAATTTCGGGAAAATATCGTTTTAGTTTCATGCTTTTGGTTTCATCAGTCATCGCATCAAGACAACAAATACCACATTTTCAGTTCTCCAAAAATATAAATTTAACTGTCCGTACCTCAATAATTATTCTACATAGTTACCGCCTAATTGTTACATTTGATTCAATCATGTAAAAATATCCGAGAAAGTGCGAGGTTAAACATTGTTTATTCGAATTCATGTAATTCCACCCAGTTCCTCTCCATCTGTACTCAATTCGTTGTATTTATGAGTATTTTGCAAGTTGTGGAGTATTTCGACAGTATGAAGAGTATTTCATTCTTCCTCACCCAGAAATGATGAACAGTCAACTTCCCCTTGCAACATCGGTACATTATTCAGCAAACTGGTAACGAGAAAAAAAGATTTTATCAACTTCAGAGTGTCGTATCGATATAACAAAAGATTTACCAGATTTACCGAGAAATGCGCCTCTCGTCAGTGCTTTGCATCCGCTGCAGCTCAAGCCGTTTTGGAGTTCTGTATGTCACGACGGTTGATTGACAAATGATCCGGGGGTGCCTAAGGCACCTCTCCTTTTATAGCGCGCCCTCGTGTTTAACTGTTTTAGTTCGGAAGAAAGTATGTTGCAGTTGAAATAGCTAATTTTGAGCGCTATATGAGTACAATGAAGGAATTTGAGACACATTCGGAGGATTTCTGAAGTCACCTTCTATCCCCTTGTCTTGTGCTTTTCTGAATTTGTCGAAAATTTTTTCAGCTAAATAACGAAAATTATTTCAGTTTACTTTTCTCTTTAGGGATGTTTTATTTATAACAAAATGACATTGGTTTTTTGTGCTTTTTGATGGGAGAGGTGTTCAAGAAAATCAAATTTAAACACTTCGAACGACACTTCGTGAAGAATTTCGAATAGAGGGAGGAATTTAGCATATTTGTCCGGGCAAAAGCAGCCACATTTCCTGTAAAACTCATTTCTGTAAGCTGAGTTAATAATATGATTACGTTGCCTTGCACGTGTATGATTAGTAGCTTTCAGGCTTTTGGTCGTTGAAATACTGACCCGGGTCTGAATCTAAGAAAACCACATATGAAAAGGAACAAGATATTTAAATCTCTTAATAAAAGCTAATGCATGGGCAGGCGCAGATTAGGAATTTTGCTTCGAGTGTTCATTGCGATATCTCCGCAAGTGAGCCGACATGTGAGATATCAAGTTGAACATGAGAAGAGAAATTCCATATCTAAAAGCCACTAATTATCATTTGTTTAACATCTAAACGCCACAGGCCTTTGCTGAAATGAAAAAGTCGATTATTTTAATGAATGAAATGCGTGAAAGTCGAGTTACGTGTCAGCAGTTGTTTGGCTATATCAAACACGCGTAATCAGTGATCGTCATTTTTCAAATTTTTTTTTGGTATTTATTTTTTCCTCCATTTCAACAGATTAGAGTCTAATGAATAATTACAAGTAAGAAAAGAGGATGGAGAGGGGCATAATATGACAAGCTAATTAGATGCCCTTTTCCTTAAATTACACTTTTTCATACAGTAAAAAGAAGCGATACAGTAAGATATAGGATGTAAGATACAGATATAAGATACAAATATAAGAGAGGGAATAGGAATCACACCTTAAACAACAAATATTTAAATAAGACATTGTCAGAGGAAGACATTAATCAGTACTGGAAAAGGTAATATGAGATAAGTGCTCTTTTAAAAAGTTTTTTAGTGGGCTTCTCCCGTATAAACATAGGAATATCATTCCAATAACTGTTGGAAAGAATTTCCTTATATTTATTCTGAAGGGGCTATGGTTCAGGTGATGCAAAGATGTACTTCTAGTGGCATAATCATGGATCTCAGATACAAAAGAAAGTGCAAAATTAGAAGATTTTTTGTCAACAAGATGATCGTAGAATAGTTGACACGTACTCGATTTAATTATGTCAGGAAGCTTAATTAGGCCAATGCCTACATAATGGGGAGTAACATGGTCACAAATTGGTACATTGTTGATGATTCTTGTAGCTTTGTTTTGTAGCTTTACCAACTGAGACAATGGAGCTTCGTAATTATTACCCCACAATATGCAGTCGTATGTTAAACCAACAGATGAAAACAGATGAAAACTAATAACCCCACAAAACTGACGAACATCTCTCTTTTTGCCTAAGTTTCCCATTATTGGTTCACTTTTTACCAACTGCAAAACTTTCCAGGTGTAAGGCTCGACGAGAAAATAACACCAAACCATAACCACCTCAATTATTTGCCGACGTAAAACTGAACTGACCGTCATCAATATTTTCCAGGTCCTGCTCCTGTTTTTCATGTTTGTCATGGCTTTTAGCAGCACATTTTAACCTGCTCTTAGACGAAGAAACGGTAAGATTCAAAGACTGGACTCATTTTTCACGATGCATTTTAACGAAGAAGTGCTGTAGTCCGTCAGTCCATGAGCTGGTTAGTTAGCCCATTGATTAGACATTCATTAAGTTGATAAGTAAGTTAGCCGATCTCTCGAACAGTCAATGAGTCAGTCAGTAAGCCAGTGTAACAGTCAGTCAGCCACTCCAAAATCAATCAGTCAGCCAATTTTCAATCAAGTAGTCGGTCATTCAGCATATCAGTCATCCTTCGGCAACAGCTCACTCAATCAGTCAATCATACAATCTTCACACAAACCGGTGTTCATTTACAAATAACACCCATATCATTTACTCAATCGAAAGTCGATTTTCTTTTTCCAGGAGCCTTATGCTCCATACTCCATGATGACCCTCGGTGAACTCAACTACACTGACGTGTTCATGCCTTGGGACAAACTGGAATATGCCACAGGGATGCCTATCATTCTTATTAACATGCTGGTGAGTAGCGCCTCGATAACACGAAATTAAAGAAGGGAAAACCTCTTCAAACCGTATTTACGCGACTAAGCTTTCCTAGCAGTTGATTCGGCCATAACGCCAGGGAGACAGGTCCGAGAGCTCGAATTCGAAAACTTCCCTGGGAGGAACTCGTCTCACCTAACCGCTATTTTAATAAAGTTTTATCGTGTAACAAAAAAAATGATTGTAATCGACAGTCTAGTAGTATCGATCACGAACCAGTGCTAACTTAGAGTGGTTTTGTTTTTTAAGTGTCGTGCCATTTAAACATCGACACAGATCGCTCTCCTCACAGCATATGTTCAGACTTCCTCAAGTCAGATAGCACGTAAATTTAAAGCCGAAAAAATTTCAACGGCCATTCAGAATAAGGGATAATACTAGATGTCTCACGAGCTACGACACTTAAGAAAGACTGGGGTGCAATAAGCAACGAGTTTATTTACTTAGCAGGGAATATGTTTCGATACTAGATCGGCCTTGCAGTGGGAGATATCGACAAGATCCAAGTAAATGCTTTAATTGACCGCTATGTGATGCAGCTTAGAATTAGACTCGAAAGAGCAGATTCAATGAGCAAGCCATTTTTACAGGAGTGACGCTTAAGTTGGTTTTACCTTATCAAAACCTTGTCTCAAGCGTTTTCATGTCGACACTTTCCTCACTACCCTCGAGAGGCTTGATAAGACCAAGAATTTATATCTTGGCGGCTAACTAGATACCAGTCTCCCCTCACTAACGGCATTTGCTCGTTCCATCCTCTTTCGGTCGAGTTAGTTTTGGATATGGAGGAAACAGTGCCTAAATCTCTTGTCAAACATGCCCACGTGGATAAACACATTGAATATCCTAACAGGAGCGCATTCAAGGTATTGCACGTGTTCACAACACAAAATTCTCACTGAAACCTTTCGCTTGTTATTAGTTACAAAACTCTTACCTTCTTAGATGTTTTCCTTCTGCAACTCATTTTTCGTCTTCATCTGCACAAATTTTCTGATGTAATCACATCAAAATACGTGAGAGGTTAGGCTTGAATTGTCATTGAATTGAATTTTTTTTAATTCAAAATGAGTTTCAGCGCGATCGTGGTCCTCGTGCAAGACGTCGTGAAATGTTACTTTCTGTGTCCCATCACATACCTGATAACTGGTGGCCACCGTGCGGGAAACGAGCCCGCGATCCTCCCGGAAAGGTATGACGACCAGACGCAGAAGAACGGCAAAATTAATCCTCTGTCAAGTCAGTGAAATGAAACTCGTTCACTCGTTCATGAGTTTAAGGCAAATATAAAATTGAACTTTTCGCGGCGTACTTTCAGCAGTATGCAATAACTTGCGGAGTTTCACTTAGCACGGACATTCAAAAAAAAAAAAAAAAAAAAAAAAAAAAAAACTTGTCTATGCCGCCTAAGTTGTATTCTCAAAAATTTCATTTCCAGCTCTATGAGAAGCTTTTGGAATTCAGCCGGCCGGAAGGAGATGATGATGAAGAAAACACATCCCCAGACCTACCCCCTGCATTTCATCCATTACTGAAGAGAATGGAGGAGCAGGAGAATAGGTACTATATTTAAGTCGGAGATTTTTTCTTAAATGTAGGAATGAAAAAGTGTGGAACGAGAGAACTGGGGAACGGGGGAACCTACTTGATTGCACAATTACAACTTTCCTCTTGCTATTTTACAAACTTCAACTATCTAGTTGGAAACAAAATTAGTGAATAGAATGATAGAATGAAGATTTTAGATATATGAAAATTCATATATTTGCACTGCGGTGGAGAGATGAAATTAAGAGATCCTCACAGCTAAGAACACTACTGAAACGAGTAGTTGTAAATAGGACCTGAAAAAAAAAATGATAGAATGTTTACAACTTCTCCTTTTTCCGGTGTCGTGGAAGATTTCGGGGAAGTATACGCAAAAGAAATATTTTTTTATATCGATACATCTATGAACTAATGTTATAACATAGCCAGTAAATTTGTGTAATCAAATTCAACTGCGCGAGCGTGCTTCATTGAAGAAATGTAAAATGGTTTCCGTGTTTACATAGCCTGATGTAAACACGCGGGAGGTTAGGAGAACACGAGATAAGCGTAGGAAACCACGACGCGAAGCGGAGTGGTTTCCAGCTTATCGAGTTGTCATCAGGCCATCAGGTCATCAGGCTATGTAAACACGGAAACCATTTTACGTTTCTTCTATAAAATAACTAATGAAAGAGGAACGAAAACCGTGTTTACATACGCTCATGTAAAATGGTTTTATGGCTAATCAGAGCGCGCGTACTATTTGAATTATTTTATAAATTCCTATTGTACACGCTCATGACGTCAGCAAACAAATCCCTCGAAAAAAAAATTTTCCATCGAGTTGAAAATGTTATAAAACAATTGGTTCATACGTCAGCTGTGCGTTCATCGAGATATGGAGTACTTGGGAAGTTTGGAGAGCACTCAAGAAGCTAGAGTTGCTCTCGGCTACGCCTCGAGCAACTCTTACGTATCTTTCGTGCTCTCCAAACTTCCCGCGTGCTTCATATCTCGATGAACGCACGCTGATGTATGAACCAATTGTTAATTATGATGCGTATGATGCGCAATGTAACATAAAGCATTTTGATAATAAGCAACTTCTTCTAGTATTAATACTATACCAAAAAATATCACGTCATAAATACATCGAATGTATATCAAGGTGTGAAAGCTTTCTCCCAAGAGTAATGAAAAAAAAACAAAGACGTGTTTGTGCCTGTGATCCCTTCTCTTGAAAGGAAATAAAATTCCATGAATAAGGATATGGGAAATAAACATGATAGATTTGAACGCTTAAACAATTCTGATTTATGTATGGTTCACTCCCGTAGGCTTAAGTATGCTATGATCTTGAGAGAGAAACCTCCGTATCCGTTACGGAAAAAATATAACAATTAATTGCCTGCAGTCGACAGCTTTACCTCATAGAGGCAAGCGGAAACCCAATGATTTTCATTAATTAGCAATGTCAAGTAGGTAGCAGAGCTGAAATTTGATGGGGACACAAAATAAAACTGGTCCAATTATTGCGTACTAGAAATTAGTACAGAATCGATCAGGAGGAAACCTGACAAACATCGGCCACATATGGTTTCGCAACATCTTTATCATAATGGGAATATCGTGGTGACGATGGTTCGTAAAAATTTTTCCTTTTCGTAGTTACAGAGGGCATCTGCTCAAGTTGATTCTACTTTGTTCTTAGAAAACATATCGGGAACTCGTTCCTACCACCTCAGTCTCTTGACGTCGTTACCAAAGGCATTTTCACCCTTAACAATACATTAGAGACTTTATGTACACAAAAGTGGATCCAGAAAAAGGCCAGCGGCCTCTCTTTGTTAGGTTTTTGGACGGAAAATCTTTTTTTATCAACATGAAAACGTTTTTTTAAGGGATCTGAATTATTCTACGGATACCTCGATTTCCCCGCGAAGGCTGAGCGAATAATTTCCAGGATGACTTCATAAGGTGACAACAGAGCATGACCGATAAATAGCATATTACCAGGTGGACGTAAACCCGATTAAGACAATTAAGAACAAAATAATGCTATTGAGAACAAAGGATTGGAGGCGGTAGAGGGCCAACCCCATCAGATGACGGGGCGTACCTTAAGTTACACCCTTTTTTAATTTAATAGCAAGGTAGGCGCGAATATAGGAGTTATAAATTCAGTGCGGAAGATAGAAAGTAAACGTTCTTTACTTGTACGGCCACCTCGAAAACAGCTGTAAAATCTGAGTGTATCAAAATTGGAGATTAAGGAAATTCTACTCTTATCGTGAACTAGGATCAGAAATAACTCAAGCTATGAAATGGAAAAATAAAAAATATGTATCAGAAAGGTAATTATCAAAAAATTGACTTAAGTAAAATTAGATGCGTACTCCATGAATAAACAGATTTACAGGTTTTTAGATTAACTTGGTAAAAAACACCGCAGTCAAGGCAAGGACAATATCTTTTCCAGGCCCATTTCTCGATAAGAGAAGGCCTGAGTTATTGTTCATTGTGCGAGAGGCTTAAAGCGCTCGCATCAGTGTCCGTCGCGCGCGAGCACTAAATGAGCATACTAATAAGCAATTATTACACCGGGTTGAGGCATCATATCAGGAATTATCAAAACAGAGGTCCGAGTTATCAGCTGAGGCCGAGGCTGATGTAGATAACATAGACACGAGGCTTTATAATTTATGACATCATGCGAAAAGTGGATTTTTTCAAACAATCTGAGAAAGAAGACACTTTCAACTAAGTTTACAGAAGTTTGAAAACACTACACGGACGAGGGGCTTGGAAACTAGGCAGACTTTGAACTCGAACTGATAACTGCAATATCCACTGCAGATATTGTGTTATAGTGTCAACTTCACACGCCATTGTATAATTGAATGCTCTCGACAATGTATAAGGTTACCCGCAAGCTCCACTTTTGGTGTAAAGGCCACACTAAACGAACGCAAAATTTCACTGCAACATTTTGCAACTTTGTTGCACGCAACGTGTTGCACAAGTTTAGCCACCCTGTAGCACAATGTTACAACATGTTTCACGATGTTAGATCAAGTTTAAAAATGGTCTAATTTTTGTTGCAACATGTTCGGATGTTACAAGATGCTGCGCGCGTTTAGCCAGCTCCTTCACAAATCTCACAACACAATCTCACAATGTTGCAAGTTGTGGCGTTGAAATGTTGCGTAAGTTGGACCGGGCTTTAACACGTAAGCCAACCAGTTGGGGTTCAAATGTGTGGTTTCGATAAACAAATAAACTAGTAACACCGCCATCAAAATTCAAGATGTTACGTCCTTACGCTGGAAGTTAATGTCTACTGTTACGATATAATCTAACCGACACAAAAACACTACAATCCTACAAACTCAACTACTTTATTAAACGAGTGATTGTCTTAATAAGGAGCGACTTCTAAAGGCTGTACAGTTCTTAAGTTCGATAAACTTACTTAAACCCACTACGGTCTATATCTTAGCTCACAACTGAACCCAAACTCACAAATTCCTCCTACGTTTGTTGAAATTATCAACCTTCCACTGCAGCTCTCTCTCACGGTATAGCTTACTAAACAGTCTGTCACTACCGATAACAACAACTACTACTACGACATAACCGAGTCCTTATTTACATTCACAAAGTTTTCTGGAACATTCCAGAAGCTTACAAAAGAACTATTTTTGTAGTATTACGTAATAACTGCGTGACATAATGAAACTTCTATAATACGCATTTCAGCATGACTAAGCAGTCTGGAGATTTCTAGAAGCTTATATGTACAACAACAATTACTCATAACACTACAGAACTTCACTGTGACACTATTATTGGAAACGGTTGTCTCCCTCTTTGGCAGATGACTTCAATAAACTTTCAATTAGAGTGGGAATGAAATATCTTAACAGACACCGTAAAATTTAAACAGAGCCATTACAGCCTGTGAGTGCTTTAGTGAGGATTTAACGTTACATCTTCTTCTTGACCTCATTCAGTAACAAACATGTGATCTCCATCAGGTTGGTTGTACATTTATACCTAAAACTTTTACTATGGCAACACTCTTGTGTTGTGACGATAAAATAGACCTCAACTCGCGTTCACTTGACAGTAATCCTAGATATTATTATTAATAGATATTTCATATCCTCGTTTTTCAAAGTGATACGTATAACCAAGAACTGGGAAGTGAAACTCTGCCGTACCACTAACCAACTAGTAAGCGATTGTTCTTGCTACCAAAAATTATAATCTTCTGTGTAAAAATCGGACTGAAACATGTCCTACTAAAGATTACATTTGGATATTTATAGATTTATTTTCGTGGGAAGCAAGTCCTTCCATTTCCTGTTAACTTCTTACTTTCCCTCGTAGTTCCTCCTTATTGTCACCACCTGCAATAAAAAAAAATTATTAATACTCTTTAATCCTCGTTAACATTGATTATTGTAAAGTATTATTTCTTAGTGAAACCGCTTTTATCCCGACACTCCCCCGTATTATCGATAAAGTAGTTAGAGAGTGATCTTGTTATTACACTAAGAAAAAATAAGTACTTTGCAATAGTGCGTAAAAAAACCTTGAACATCAGAGTTAAAAATACTATTATCAACGATGATACTAAAGTTGAGGAAGTCAGGTGGAAGTTTCCAGTGCGGCAATAAGTTATAAAATAACTCTTATTGGCTCAACAAATACTTGCGGAGCATTCCTAGAAGGAGTTATAAGATTCTGGAGGATAAAACACTCTGTTTTCGTGGTGCAGTTGAGGCGGAAAAAAAAACCATCGAATACCCCACGAGTAACTTGCATGCGGTATATGTACTCGTTGTGCAACGCTTTCCATTCGTATACCGAGGAGAACCGACATGACGCAAAAATAAAGCCGTACGACGTATTTCGAAAACAAGAAGTGAAAACGGTATAGCCTCTGTGTAGCCTTACCCTCCCCCGCAAGATGAAACGGAAGCGAGGGAACGTCTATGCAAAACTGACACTAATCGTGTTTCGTGACGTCACCCTTTTGCTAGAAAATATAATGACTTTTTAATCGTTAACCCCTTTCGTCGATTCTTTCGTATATTCTGATCGACGAAAGAATCGACAAGTTGGTAGATTATTTTTATACTAACGAACGTGATAGCGAAAAAAATAATTACATGCTCAACTTTTCAGACAACAGCGATCTGCAGAAACTCATAGATATGTTTTTCGAAGGTAACGATGTCTCCGGTTCGTTACCAACTGGCTACGGAAAATCTCTAATTTATCAAGCAGGGCCCGTGATCGATCGCCTCTCTTTTCTAGAAGAAACCGGTCACCATATTTATTGCGCAGCCAGTTAAAGCTCTCATAGAAGGCCAGGTTCCCTATATATGTACTTGGGCCAAGAGCATTTTTCGCCTTCAACTTTCGTTCTCTATGCGAACGGTGCTGCGAAGCCATTAAATCAATGCTTGCTTTTTCTTGCGGCGATTCTTTCGACTGAGAAAAGAGTCGCTCTTTCTTCACGCTTGTAGCTTAACCCTCTTAAAGAAATCTGTAAAAAACCTTGAGATGTGGGGAATTAACCGTCCCAAAACCCCGCAAATCATTCGAGACAAGACAGGAAACCGAAGCTAAGTGAACTTTGTTTATCTGACTGTCGTTAAGCGGATTTTGGGGATGAAATGTTACGATTTGCGTAATTTATGAAACATTTTAGGGATCACTTGCGCCTTGCCGAGATCGACTGTTGCAAATTACAAACCGTGTAGGAGTTCAAATAGCGTATCAAATAACTGACGTCACGCGGCCTCAAACCCACAGGGTTGTCTGCCAGTGGTATAACTTGGTGTTAAGTTGCGAGGGGAACTGTTAAGAGTTTGGTTTTGATTTTGATAGATTTACAACGATAAATGTATCGAAACATGAACATTTTACGCGTAAAGTCAACAGAATTTACTTACATCTTGTGTGTCTGTTGCGATTTCTGGCCTTCTCTGCCGTTTTAAGCTTGCTTTGCCGGTAGTTACGAAAACGAAGACTTAAGACTCCCTACGAAAACGAAGACCCATTACGAAAACGAAGACCCATTACGAAAACGAAGACCCATTACGAAAACGAAGACCCCCCCTACGAAAACGAAGACCTATCACGAAAACAAAGACACATTACTAAAACAAGTTCAAAAGAGGTTGGTATTACCTTTGTGGACAACGATTATGTTCATGAGAAACACTACGAAAACGAAGATACTTACGGAAATCTTGAATTTTTAATTTGGCACGTCTGTAATTTAGTACGGAATATTTCAACAGAAGAGCCCCATGGAGAAACGAGATTTAATAGAAGAGACGTGACATGCATATGGAAGATGCGTTGCGTGACGCTTTGAGCGCTGGAGGTAAAGGCAACATTACATTCAGAGAGTCTGAGTCATCCCATCAGCACTGACCCTACTTTAAACATGGGTCAATATGAAGTTACACCAGTAGTGTATGAGCAATTGTTCCTGAGGACAAAAAGATACGGTCAAAATGCAGTCTTCCTTAGTCCAACAATGCTGCATCACAAGAAGAACTTCGACACGTACAAAGTATTGGCATCAACTTGTGTAAGTAGTTGTGTAGGATTAACTGCAGCAAAAGGTTTTATCACAGACGGAAAAGAAGAGCTATCCCGTGCCTGGAAGACAGAGCTTCCAAAAGCAACCCATTTGAGGTGTATCCATCATTTCCAAAGCAACTGTAATAAAAAAACTCCGCGAGACAGGTATAAGAGAAGCCAAGTCACAAAAAGTTTTTCTTGAAAAAATTTTCGGTATTCCAGAGAAAATGGATGGCATCGTGGATGTAGAGAACAAGACCGAAGTAAACGAATAGCTTCGAAATGCAAAAGAAGTGCTTGACGCGAAAGGAAAGGAAGTGCTGAATAAGGAATCTTCCTATCGGCCGCTGTTTTCTAAATTCCTTGACGAAAGACGAAGAATGATTGCGAAAAAAATGAGTTTGAAAGCAAGACGAAAGGCTGGAATGCCTACTGGCTCAAATGGCAAACCTGCTAGACCATATACCAACGGTTCGGAAGCAATTAACAATGTGTTGCTTCAAAAAAAAGAAAGCTGTCTTCGAGAGCAAAAGAGGCTAGAAACGACGCAGCTCTCTGAACTAGAATTCACAAAAAACATTTTTGAAGAGGTACACCGGAAACAACAAGAGGAACTAACATTGACAGTCATCGGTTTAAGTGACCAATATGAATTATCAAAGATAGCGGCGCACCTAGCTGTTCCCGCGGAAGTCTGGTTTGAATGGAATGTGGCGCAAAGAAAAGAGTACATCGCAAAGTTCAACTCGATGTCAGTCAATGACGCTCTTTCCAGGAAAACCATCACGGTTAATGACACAATTGCCGAGAGATGTACAGACAGGGAGTTTCATGAGTTATCCGAGGAATTATGTAAAATTTTGGTATCCGAGCGAGGACACAAGGAAGAAGTAGCTCTTGCAGTAAAAGAAAGGGCACTCCTGCTACTCAATTGTCCATAGGCAATCCAAAGACTACCTACTCTTGACAAAAGGAAGGCCCAGAATAAGTTTGAAGTCAAGTCCGCTAAGCACGGAAGAGTAGAGTGCACTGTTCACGCTAACCACGTATCGTGTCGGTGCCTAAGTTTCAAGGCCAATAAAGTTTGCAAGCACTCCGTTGCTGTAGCGGAGAAAAACGAAATGCTTTGCAAACACCTTGAACAAATTTGCAAGGGTCAAGGTAAAAAAAAAGGTCTCGCGAATTGCTTTAGCAGAAGCGTTTGTGAAAAAATTTGTTGCCGGAAAGAAAGGGTCTAGAAACAAGTTCCATTACCGCCCCTTTAACGCAAATGATTCTGCAGCAAATGCCATGTAGTCAGAAGAATTGTCTAACAATGCCACATACGTTTACAATGACCATCCATTCGTCTTATGCATGCTGCCTTCTTATGCGAAAACATGCAAGGGGTGCAAGAACGACTTTTGTCACAGGCAGAAAATAATACCGTTCGATCTCGTGTTTTCGCACAAGGAACGGCACTACTTTCCTCTGCATGGAGACTGGAAAAACAAACAAGCTTCATACAAGGAGTCAACGCGTTACCACCACGCTGACCCGAAGTGTATCATGCCACGATTCCTTTACTTCACTAACGACTATATCGAGATCCCTAGCGAGGTTCGCAACTCATTCCAAGAATCGCACAAAGTTTACTTGGAGAATCTATTCTCGCTATCTATCTAGTGGCAAATTTCCAAGTTCCTTTGTTTCGTGAGATTTGGATAATAAAATGATATCCAGGTGATCGATTTCGAATCCAACCATGTTTTTTATAATCTCTAAGAGGGTGACAAAGGGTTTTTGCGTGACGCGTGATGGCCCCAAAATTTGCAGAGTGACATGATTGCTTAATTACTAAGTCTTAATTAAAGTGAAGACTATTACATCGAACTCAATCTTATTTTCTAATTTTAACGATTATTAACTGTTGAGGGATCCGAAATAACACCTTAACAATTACGAAGACGTCTAGAGTCTGGCGACCTACAGACAATGCAGAGTCACTCGCCCTCCGGGGCAGTCTTAAATCTCTCGAAGCTCATGTGTAATCATTCCTCGCACTACTCGCACTGTACCATGTCGTCCCAACACTCGGGCATTGAACGATGACAAAATAAATAAGTGTCACAAGTTTATCTCTAATTGAATCTAGCAGTGTTCGACTATCGCGGAAAAGGTTCAAAAACGACCTCTCTCCTGACATTAAACTAAATTCTTGCCCATTTTCCCTTGGTCAAAAGAAACATCCGACGGGATGCCACTTCGTATGCATTGACAATACGCATGTTTTGAATTAAAAACATACTTGAGTACGCATTGGAACGTTCAGTATCATTCATTTTTACTAGAACGTTAAGGATGATGTTTTCACTCAGTTTTGTTGGGGGGTCCAAATCCGCTGGGACCCCGGCTCGCGACAAAATAAGATCAACTTCAGTTTCTGGATCTCCGCAAGTAACTTGAAATGTCTTTTTTATAACTACTCAAGGGAACGACCTGAGTTATGCAACGTCGGTCTTCTCGATAACTATACCCAAAAGTCCCACCAGCGAACGATTTAAATGAATAGCAAATCTCCTTGTTAGCATGTAAGATGAGACGCTTATACAACAGATTAATTAGCTAAATCGGTATGTAGCTTGTCAATCGAATTGACGTTTGTAAACATTATTTGACTTCGCCGGTAAAGGAATCATTGATGGATCTGGACACATTAGTTTTCTGAATACAGTAATTCTTGGAAGGTTTTTATAGATATGAAAGAGGGGAAAAAACCCATCTTTTGGTAATTCGGAGGTTGATTCATCTTTGAATTTATATGTGTCACGCTTGTCATGCAACTGATATATTAATGTGGAGAAGATTTAAAAATGCAAATTAAATCTGGCTAAAATGTGATAGAGCATAACTTGATCATCGAAACAGCTAATAAAATCATAAATAAACAAGGTAAGAGTGTAATGTTAGATTTATTTACAAACTGTAGTGATTTACACCTGTAAAGAGTGGCGGCAAGTAGACACACCATGTATATAAGTGCTAGCAAGTAAATTTTGCCAGACTTTGAGTTCATCTCACGATAGAACAACACAATTACACAAGGAATTTTTACAGTAACTTTATAACTATCCTTTTGTCTTTTAAAAGCTAGACAAAAATATTCACCAAAATATAAATATTTTCTTTGTCAGCTTCAATAATGACAAAGGATTAAGTTTAGATCATAAAGCAAAGGATTATGCCAAAAGAAATACCGGAGGTCAAGTAAATTCGTTACATGGGGTCACACAACTCGGGTAATATTCGGGGTGAAAATTTGCATATTTGAGCGTTCGCACGAAAAAAATTTCTCAAAAACTAAAATACATTTTCTCCAATATAAAACATATTAAATGTATGAAAGTAGGAGAGAAACGAATTTTGGGCGACTTCCACAATATTTCAAATTTGTTCGACGGATGCTGAAATCCACCCTTAAATTCCTCTCGGATTTCGTATCTCTCAGAGGCTCCAAATAGGGCTACTATGACTTCTGCCTCTTGGTCGTCCTCAATCATTTCTTTGACTGTTTTGGCGAATGTTTTTTACCCATTTCTTTGCCCTGTGTTGTATGTCGATGTCTGGCATTCGTGTTTCGCGGTCATTTGTATAAAAAATTTATCTGGAGGAGAACCAAGGCCCGCCTTCGCTCGCTCGAGCCTGGGTGAGAAAAAAGTGAATAATACATAATTTTATTTTAAAATTTGATTGAATCAAAATATACTCAACTGTGTACAGGAAGTCTCCAAATGGCTTGAGATGTCTTTTCCAAATCCATTAACCACGATCCCACGATGAAAGAGGGACAGATTCCTATACTAGGTTACTTACCTTGGTCTAAACAACTGTGAATATATGAAAATCATGTAAGTGAACTGCAAATTGAGAGGTGAATATGAAAACAATCTTTGCAGTAATAAACACTATTTGAGCAGTAATGGAAGTAAGGCCTAACAAAAATTCAGGCCTGTACTGGATTTCAACCCGTGACCTTTGCCATACCAGTGCACCCGTATCACAGAGGCCTGAATATTTTTGAGGCCTGAATATTTTTCAGGCCTTGTTTTCACAACTGCTCAATTAGTGTTCATTACTGTCAATATCGCTTTCATATTCTTATACCTAAGTCTGGTAAACTAAACAGACCTGGAGTCTGCGCAACATCGCTACTGCTTACAGTGATTTCATGTTCCTGGACCACATAGTCAAGAACGATTTGTGAGCAGGGCTTCATGGATCTTTTCTATGATCTGGCACACCCCATCCACATATGTAAAGTAAGTACCTCCCAGCTCTCGACCAGCCTCAGTGTAGACTGTTACAAGAACAGGGCCAGTTTCTTGGGCAGCTGGAATGGAATGAAAACTTTTTTTTTTCAAGCCAAACCCCTACTCTCCTTATAGAGTAAGAGAATGACGAAGATGCATACAGATTGACATAGAGACACATTAACCAAATGAAAGACAGACAGAGAATCATAAGAGAGTGGGTTCATTACAATAAGCTACACTAGTCATCTACAAGGAGTAAAATTGACAAACAATTAACTTACCTGGAATAAACCCAGAGAAAGTGTAGGGATTGATCTTCTCCAAACTGGCATTACCAACTCCTTCAAAGCTTGCCACACCTTTGGAGTCGCTTCCAGGCAACGCCTCTTTTAACAGTACGTGGAACGGAAGTCCACCCTAAAAGCAAGACATGTATCAATAACGAAGAAAGATGGTAAATTTTCAGTTTGGTAAAGAATGGGTAAACAAGAATTTTTTGTCTTGTCACACTCATGAAAATGAGTATTTCATGAACCTGGTTATTGGCTGGAGATAACCTCCACTCTTCTAACAATACTATCACACAATGCAAGTTTATTGTTGGTCTTAGTGACACAATTTTCCGTCCAGTATTGTTTTACATCCCATCCAGGGAAGTGTAGAAATACTTTTAATCTCTTCATGCCAAAGATTCAATGGAGACAAGAAGAGACCTGGCCATATCCTAATTTTATCCTTCAACTCCTGAACTTGGCAAAACAAGTTTGAAAGCCGGATACCTTTCTCCTTTATTCTCCCTTACATTAAAATGCATGAAAGCTTTACAAACATATCAGCCAAATCAACAATCTTTGAAACAAACCAAACCTCACTACCAGTGCAAAGAACAAAGTAATGAGTGGGCACATTGATAGAAAAAGAGAATCTATAGCTCACCATAACAACTTTAACTTTGAAATAGCAATCATTTTTCCAAAACAAAAATATAAATCAAAGCTCATTAAATGTTTCATATTCTTAGGGATTAACTTAATTAACCCAAAACCTCCATGCTGCACCTAGCTAGCAGTTGACAAACACTTGGTTGTCAGATGACCACAGACTTTGTTTTGTTTCGTTCATCTAATCATTCCAGTCGTTCGTTGCCCTTCTTTCCCCCAAAAGGCTTAATCCTTATGCCTGATTAAATTTGCAGATCATCATGATAATCTCTAAAATAATAAAATTACCTTCAAAAAGAATGATTTGGGGGAAATATCTTGAACCACTGCAATAGAATGGAGGGAAAATTTGTAAAAGTAAATCAAAGACATAAACTTTTATTTTTATAAAAATAATAATGCATTTAAACTAGACCCATTTAAAAGATATACCTCCAGGTCGCTGCACAACGTAACCTGAGCTAGTACTGATTTCCTTCCTTATTGAGTGGATAGCTTTAGCTAAAACGTCAAATATCTGTAAAGGCATTGAAGGATTATTTAATAGTAGTAAACTTTCAAACCTTCTACTATAAATATCAAGACATTCTTAACCAGATGGTGATGAGAAGAACCAAAATGTTAACTAGGGGGTTACTTTTAGATTAAACGTAAAAATTCTCATGGCTAAAAATATGAGAAATATAAGCTACAAAGTACAGAGAATAGATAACTGGATCTTTGGGTTTGAAATAGTTCAAATAATTAATAAACCCTGTGTAATTTTTTTAAAACTTCATGGAAAAAAATTTATTTTCTTGTGCTACTCTCTCTCTAAAATAATATCCACTGAGTGCCTGTCTCTAAGTCATGATCACTATAAAAAAATATTCTGATCTCACATGTGCAGCATGTGTGTGTGGGGAGTGGGGGTGGGGGGGGGTTGAGTTTTTCCCATTGTCATTATCCCCATTTAAATGATCCTACATTTAAATTTGCTTCACCTTCACCTTTTTACACTAACTCATAGAATCTATTTCATAAAGTAATGTTTGTAATTTAATAAACATGTCAATAACAGCTGTTCCAATTTTAATTAACCTGAGTTTTGACATTTGATGGATCAACAGTATCTTTTCTCTTGAAGGGTGCTGTACCAGCTGCATTCAAGTTGAATAAATCTAAGGAAAAAACAGTTGATAAATTTAATTAATACTAAAAGTACCATGACATCATATGTAACTGCAAAGTGCAATATCACCTGATTTGTTCCATCGGGTAACAGTGTCTGTTGCTACTCTTAGCCTCCTTAAAGGCTAAATTCTACAAGTTTAGGGACAGGACCCACTATGTGATAAATATATATTTCAAACTCTTTAATTAACCCATTGTAACGAAGTCTCCAGAAATTAATAGAACATTGATTTACCACAACCCTACTGCATAAGCTGAGCTAGAAACTTCTCCATATTCCAGAACATTCTATTGAGTTATTTTAAGGATGTGTCATCATTAGCGTCTAGAATAATAATAAGTATGATGTAATCGGCTACTATAAATAAGGTTCGAGATCATAAGGTTTTCAGAAATTTAAGATAAATAATTAAGTGTTTAAAAAGGAAAACAAGAATCATCTCCTGACTTCGTGACACCCATAAGAGTGACAAGTATCTAATTTCTCCTTAAAATATCATCACAGAATCAAATTAAAACATTAAGGTCACAAGAACATATGAAATGATCACAAACTGAGAATGCTCTAGATTGCTAAGAAAATTCTCTTTATCAGCACCTTAGGAAATTTATGGAGAACAGTATGGAGAATATCCACACTGGTGGTAGAGTGTAAAGGATTATTATAAATGAATGATCAAATGATAAAGCTCTGATCAAATCATTTCCCAAAACGAGACCAAACTGTGAAAGCACTTTTACCATCAGAGATATCCATAGCTATCTCAAAACCTGTGTTGCTTGCGTCAGGAGCCACGCCTTCATCAGGAGACACTTGCAGTTCCCTGTCAGCCTTAATTGCCAGTGTTTAAAAAAAGAGACTTTACATTAAAGGCAAGAAGTGTTCAAACTGATGCTGTAACAATATTAAACATTGCACCTTTTCTATGTGCTATTGGATGATTTCAGTATTACCCAGTACTATTCTACAATAAAGCTATAGTCATGAGGGCAAACTCTTGTTTTTCCAATTTTTTTGTTTTCCAGGAACTGTATGCATTATGAAGTACAGGGCTGTGCAGAAGTTTTTTGTGAAATAATTTAGTAAAACAAACAAACTGTTCCATCTCTGTCTAGGGCAGTAAGATAAATGATAGCTGCAGAAATTTATAGACACAGGTATCCATTTCAGTGCATATAAAGTGTTCAAGAAAAGAAAAAGAAATCAAATTCCATCCTAATATTACTACATGTTGATGTTAATATACCATTGAAAATATCTTACACATAAACCTGAGTTAAGCATGTAAATAAATTGCATTGAATACTTGAATTTTTGGAAGGAAATTTTTGAATTTTTAGTATTTATTTCACATTAGTTGCCTAAAATTTTTGCTTAAAAATTCCCAGTGATACTTAAACATTCCTAGCATTGAATACTTGAATTTTAAATACAAATTTTTGAATTTTTAGTATTTATTTCATGTTAGTTGCCTCAAATTTTTGCTTAAAATTCCCAGTGATACTTAAACATTCCTAGCATTGAATACTTGAATTTTTAGTAGGGATTTTTGAATTTTTAGTATTTATTTCACATAAGTTGCCTAAAATTTTTGCTTAAAATTCTCAGTGATACTTAAACATTCCTAGCATTGAATACTTGAATTTTTAGTATGAATTTTTGAATTTTTAGTATTTATTTCATGTTAGTTGCCTCAAATTTTTGCTTAAAATTCCCAGTGATACTTAAACATTCCTAGCATTAAATACTTCAATTTTTAGTAGGGATTTTTGAATTTTTAGTATTTATTTCATGTTAGTTGCCTCAAATTTTTGCTTAAAATTCCCAGTAAGTCTTAAACATTCCTAGAAATTCCTGAAAATTCCTAGGAATTTTTGGCAAGTTTTTTTTTCCAAGTCCTGTTGGCTATTAACTTGAAATTTCTGAAAATTTCTAGGTTTTTAGAACCAGAGTTGTTACAGTTGGGAATTCCTAGTCCGAATTTACCATGAAAATTCACACCTCTTATTCCCAGGAATTCCTAGGAATCCTTAGGCATTCTTAAGAAAAAAATACCTGGGAGTTCCTCGGATAATCCTAGAAATTCCTAGGAATCCCAAAATCCATTTTGTAAGGGCTCCATTTTGACATTTATATCATGATTGTAAAATTGCAAAGAAGTACTCAAGACATACTCGTAATCTACGGGTTTTAATACTTTGAGCAAAGGATTGTTGAAAAAGAATTCAGAAGTCCGTTCCTGAGTCTCCCAAAAATTTGACACTTAATTGCATTTAAAGCCTCTGTGCCTCTCAGTCAAAAATAGGTCCCTCAAGGGATGAATTGTTTAAATTTGAAGAGAAGGTTGGTTATTTGGAAATCATTTCTAAGAAAAGAGGGAAAGTTTTTACCTCAACAGGACCCTGAGTGGAAAGGAATCCTACAATATGAAAAAAAGAAACACAAGTTAGACTTGTCCAAAATAAAATGCTTCAATTGAAAAACAAGTAAACAAACACACATAAAAGTCAAAATGTTTACATGAAAAGAAGGGATTTTCAATCAATTGTCAAGAGTAATCCACAATTGCACTAAAAATATTTCACAAAACCTACAATTCACCTTTAAAAAAAAAAACATGCATACCAAGTTTGAATGTAGAACTATAACCAAAAGAGACTTGATCATGCAGGTTTCCAGTACCTGAGGTTGTATGTATGTTCTAAGATTTATTCTCAGCTCCTTTACACATCTACTTATATTTGGATTGACCTTTGAGAATATTTTGGTTTTGGTTTCAGGACACTCAAAGAGAAATTACTATCTTTTAAGTGTACCTACCTGAGTCCTTGTTGACCCCCTCTTGTTCCTGTAACAGGAGAAGAAAACAAGTTAGCTAACAGTCAGCTTCGAGCATATCTGCATTCTGTGTTATGTAACTCATGTCAAAGACATACATGTACTTGTAATTCAACAGGTTTTTGTGCTTCAAGGTCGGGATGATTAGGAAAACATTTGAAAGGGCACATCTCTCAAACACTTCAGATTTATTCATATTGAGTTATAAGCTTCTGTAAACTTCACACAAGAGAAAACAGGCTTCCAATTTTTACATTAAGTGGATGTCTACTGAAACATAAGGACAAACAATGTACCTGAATCTCCTCCATAACAATGTAAAGGGCTGAATTACCCTTTAGGATTCTTCTTATTGTTTTTCCATTCCATACACAAGGATCCCCATGAAATTGAAGAGTACTATCCGTGTTACTGATCGATGCACAAGAAAACCTGCCCAATGAAAAAAAAACAGTATTTCTAAAGGTAAATTTTAGTGCTAAGGAATTTATTCTTTTTCTTTCTTTGCCTTCTAGATCATAACCCTGGAACTGGCCATTAAAAAATCAAAGCTTGAACTGCACATCAACAAAATCTTCAGTTTCCTTTGAAAATACTGGATCAATCTGTTATCAGTTGTGGAGTCAGTTTTACAATTACCTCTGACCTTGATGAATAAACTTTTATTTAACTAAAATTCCTACTTTAAATTTCCTTTACCTTCCACTTAAGTCAAAGACAGGAAATGTTTCTTGAATTGTTTTCCTCACTGCATCTTCTGACATGCTTTTGGAAAATTGGACATGTTTTTTATACTGTCCAGTCTTTCTCATTCTTGCCATCTCAGTAGTGGTTGGCCTAATTATTTTACCATCCCTTTGTGCTAAGTCCTTTTTCTTCAACAACATCAAATTTTTAGCATAAGTGTCCCCTGTCGTGGCTGCACCAGCTGGAGCTATAAGTATGTCCTGAAGAATGTTTTCTGAAAAACAAATAACGTGTAATCTCAGATAATACCATTTCATTGCATTACCCAACTTCAATGCACTCAAATTTTACGAGTTTTTATAAAAAAATGTTTTACAGACACTACAAATCACAATTGATATGGGTTAACAAAGATTAAGATTAAAGTGAAAAATTCATCCTGGGGATAACCCAAGGACTAGAAAAAGAGTCCCTTAGAGAGAAGTGCTCCCTCAGCAAAGGAACAGATTCAGTGGAACCTTAACTCAGGGGACAAATAAAAACCACAAAAAGTGTCCCCAAAAGGTGGGCCTTACTTCAGTGAAGGTAACAAATACAGAGGTACTTCCATTCAAGGAATAAGCTGAAGACCTGAGAAAATTTTCCCTGAATAGAGGTGTTCCTCCAGTGATGGTAACAGATACAAAGTTTAAAGAAAAGTTTATTTCATTACATCTGGATCCAAGGTGGCTTCCCTTGATGAGGGTTTCGCTTAAATACAAGTTTCCCACATAAAAGCTTTGAATTATTAGAATACTTTTAAATTGAGAAAGTGAAATAATCTTGCAGGTCAGCTCAGGTACAATATACATGCACGTACCTTCTGACTTTTCAGATGTTCCAAATCCTGTATCTTCTGATAACAGTGGCTGTAGAATAAAAATTTGTAATGAATTGAATATGGTTAAAATTTCTATTTTTAGCATAGATAAAATGCAATTTAGAGGTAAACTGTTTTCTAATATCATAATCATGAAGAAGCAATAATTTACTGGAGATTGGAAAAGGGCTAATAAGTAATACCATTACCTGTTGTTTCAGCACTTGTTCAATAAAATAGAGGGAGGGACTGAGATGTTTTTAAGGAGTGTTGAGCACCAATTTTAAATTTTGGCTAGGAGGAGGGGTACTTCATCAAAAGGGGTGCTCACTTGAGGGGAGGTGCTTACTTAAGGATTTAAGATTTAATTATCAGACCCATACTAGACATTTCTTAATCTATAGCTTTATACCTCAATATCAGAAATTTGAAGAGTGGAAAGTCCACTACTTTCTTGGTCTCCAGCCAGAGCAATTGCTTCTGCTGACTCTTTCTCTTGAACTTGAGAAGAGTTAGTTTTCTCAACATTAGGCTCTTCCTGATCAGGAGATTTGAAGTTTTCTGTTTCCTGCTGGCCCCCTTCTACATCAATTCTGTCACCTGCTCCTGTCAAAGACAACTGCTGAGAAATTTCAGTGGTGACCACAGTTGTTAGGGCCTCGGAACTTCCTAAAAGCAATGCCTCTGAAATAACTATGTTCTGTGGCTGAGGGGTAAGTGTTGAAGCTTGTAGTGCTGTTTGCAACCCTGGATTGTTAGAGGTAGGCAAAATTGGCATCTCCAAGCTTTGTTGAGCAGGTACTGTGTTTAAGGCATTATTTCCAGTTGTTGGTGCTGGAGCAACAGGAATCCCTCCAGCAGTAGGAAACACAATAAACGGGATTCCTCCTGAATATCAGAAGAATAACTTAAGCTAAAACAGGGTTTTCTCTTTCTTAAATCAAGATTACAAAAAAATTATGTAAAAAAGATGCTTTCCTTAGACGGTGCACCATTGACAACATAGTTAAATTTCTTATACATTAATCTTTTAATTAGGAATTCTTTATTAATGAATTGCATATGTTCAACAGTAGAGGTAAGATGTGTATAGTAGACTGGTTTGTAAAGCTACACAAAATCAGCAGTCTTGAAGCCTTTTGTAACAATGCTACTCCCCTTTGACAGAAGAATCTAAGACAATTTGCTGCCACCTATAATTGTACAGACCAAAATTATTCATAAATGCAAACAGGAAACATTGTTTTGTTAACACCTTACCCATTGGAAGAGACTGTTGTAATGGATTATGCAGGAATAATATTGTATTACTTGGTGCCACAAGTTCTTGCTGCACATTCATGAACGGTCTTTCATTTGATAACTCAACATCACTTTTCTCAGCACTTTTTTCAGCCAGCCCTGATACCAAATTTGAATAACTTGAAATGTTTTCAGATCAGCTATCATGTGTAGAAATTACAACAGGAAGCTTTTCAGGGCTTGGTTGAGCAGGACCATCTATTGATGATAGTGACATTTTCACTGGGCTCTCACTGCTTGTCAACTCTCCACATGTTGTAATCTGGTCAAATGAACGTTTCATTCCTAACCGCTCTCTAATGGAAGATTCATGTCCCAAATTCTCCACCACCTCTGATACTCCAAAATCCCCATCCTAAAGGAAATAATACACATGTCTTGCCATGACATCCAAAATTGGTGATGGCCAAGATATTTGTAATTAATCCCTTCTTTAATTTCTGTAAGAGAACCATTCCATGACCAACACACTTGTCTCTAGTCAAGACTGACACACTACCAACTTAAATAGTGTGAGGGGATTATCCCAACACCCTGGATTTAATGCTACTCAGCCACAGATAACCCTAAGAATTTATTTTTTGGGCTTCCCTGTCAAGTTGCTAGTACACATTTACACCCTTGTATGAGTGGAAGGGACAGGGAATTGGGATGGTGCAGCTTTGAATGCACTTGCCTCCCATTTCTGGGGTACAAGTTCATTTCATAAACCCAGTGTCATTTATGGGTAGAATTTTATGTCGGTACTGGTCCTTGCTCCAAGGTTTTTTCCCTGAGTTTTCTGTTTTTCCTCCTTACACAAAAACTAACACTTAACAAATTCCAATAAGACCTAAAGATGATGGATTGGGAGCTAATTTGTGGAATCACCACCATCTACAATCCTACTCACTATCTCATGTTGCTCATGTTGAATCTTTTCTATATCATGAACAATACCCCATCTACACCAAAGTTAAACAAGTTTTAAAGGTGTTTTGTTAAAACACTGTTTAGACTCTTTTTCTTTAGAGAAGCTGCTTAAACCAATGTTTCTCGTCTTCAAAATTAGCACAGTGAAAATACATGTCATTGAAAGTTAGGGCTCAAACTAGGATGTTTCCATTTGCAGTCTGATGCATTCAAACACTAGACCATCACATGGGGCCCAGTATGGCAACCTTGTCCTTATCACTCCCAAGATTAAAGATCAATTTTCTGCACTGTTTCCCATACATTTCCCAAACTTCTACACTTAAAAATTTGGTGTTAAATCAAGCAATATCTCTTAGTTTATATTGTTCTCTCTTCTCAACAATTTTATGCTTGAACTGTACAGATACTACTGTATAAGAAGAAATTCCTTTGAGGTCACTCTTGGGAAGAAAAGGGTTCAGGGATCCACATTGCCACCTTACAATCAAAACACAATCATCAGTAAACTTCTACTGATGCCCCTGCTACCATACCTCTTCTACAAAGACATAAAGAGCTGAGTTTCCTTTAATCACTTTCTTGATGAAGCGTCCATCCCAAATGCGACGTTCACCATGAAATTCCAATCTTGTTCGATAGTTAACCACTGAAGCACAGTAAAACCTGGGAGAATTAGAATTAGTATTAACACATAGAACTTTGACAAAGTATTTGGACATATTGACAGACTGACTAGATGACCAACTGACTGATTTATTTCTTTTTCTAGCAGCAATGTCTTGGCTTAAGTTGCATCAGGCTTATTCTGAAGATAATTATAGGTCTTACATGCATATAGCACCTAGTGTAAGCAATTTTCTAATAACTAAACAAATTACACAAAAAAATTTTTTACCTCCTGTCTCTCAAAATTGGAAAGTTTTCCATTAATATGGATTTTACATCAGTTTCTGTCATGTTTGAAGAAAAGTTTATGTTTGTTTTGAATTGCCCTTTATCTGGTTTTTTGAGTATAGCCATTTCAATGGTGTTTGGCATAAACACCATACCATCCCGAAGTCCAACATTTCCCCTCGTTAGAACCACAACGCTTTTTCTTGTAGTTGCATCAGGGTCTTTCCTCATGCGTTTTGCCAAGAGAGGTTCAATAGTAACATTCTCCGTATGATTCTCAACAGAATTTGCAGCCATTGTTAGTAGAAATATGTTCTGTTCAGAGATACAAGAAGGAGAGAACCACAGTCAGTGTCCCCTTGGAATCATGTTATCTTTAAAATCCAAGATTCAGCTAGTGATTTTCTCCTCCTACTGGCTAAAATTCCTATGTAAATCTCCTGTGCATGATTAATTTCAATCACTTCCTTAACTCCAAACGTCTGTTTAGTAATTCTTAAAACTTAAAACTTGGGTAACAGTACTTGGCGTTCAATCAGGGAACACCTTCAATTGACTAGTAAGTCTACTCTTTTCCACTATTTGCTTGGTAATGTTATGGTATTATACAGGGAAGTTACAAATAAATCAAAAGGCCTTGAGCCTGTTTGTCAAAAATACTAATGACTTAATGAGCCTGCTGCCATATTTAAAAATCAGAATCAAAAGTTATCATTTAAATATCTGTTATAGGGATCAGGACATAGCTTCCCTTTCACATTCCCTCTTTCCTTTTGTTTTTGTTTTAAATTTTACTTCTTGTAACTGCATTTTACTTAGCACACATACATACACACATGGAAATTATTTAGTCCCCAATTTGCAGAGTAGTGTCATATACCATAGAATAGTAGAAGTAAGGAAGTTTAAATGCCTTGTAAAGACATAACATGGTTTCAGTAGACATCTGTTTGCTCTATCTTGTCATAGTGATGAACTGACAATTTACTCTTTTATACACAAAGGGCGCATGTTGCTTAAAAGTAAGATATTTATCAACTGTAACGCCAAAGAGATCTACTGACTAATTTACTGAGAACTTAAACTGATGGTCTGTGTTCCCTAATGGCATCCCTTGGTGTTTGCCAGTGATGAAGGGCCTACATAATAAACTCGCTTAACTTAGCCCTAATTTTTCGTCTTAATTATTGCAATCCTCTCCAATTTTTGTCAACCTTGGATTTTTTGTGCTAATTATTATCTCCTTGTTATTCATTTTTTTCGTACAAGTTTTACACCTTTCAGTGTCTATATTTCATCGTTCCTTCTAGTACAAGGAAGAAAAGGTGAAATATCACAACTTAACTCCCCAAAGGAATATCCAGTCACTAAATCCCTTACCAAAAATTAAATGGGGGTTTAATACTGGCTTAGCGAGGTTTATGAAAGGCGAAATCGAAAGAGGAAGTCATCTCAAAAACCGTTGGAAGGTAGCTCGAGGGAGACCGTTTGATTGTATGAACGTTCGTAAAGACGACTTTTTAGAAAGATATTATAGCCATGCGATTTGACAAAAAAGGAAGTAACTAAAATACCAAGAGATCTTAAGATTTGATTAGTTTTCAAAGCGTTCATTCCAAAGATTGAGTTAGCGCGGACGTAAGAAACCATCACGTCAACAAGATACATCAAGGGACCAGCCTATTGTTCCTGACTTGGTTAAAACAGAGCGACCCTACCGATGTTTTGATAAAAAAAAAGGGTCTTTTATAAAAATGTTTGTCTTTTGACTAATTTAAATGAACATCTCGTAGAAAAGGGTACTAAAAAATGGTATAACTCTTACCTGAACCGATGGTAACGACAGGTAATTTAGTGTTCACAACTGAGTTGAAAACGTAAATTAGCCACTGTAAAGGGTACAACGATGTTTCAATTGTGAAGTCATATGACTGTTCTATGGCGCCGCTAAGATTGCTGGGCCAAGATTTTGAAATTTTTTCGAGTGTTTTCTGTTCCATGTTTGTTAATTTTACGTCAGACTATGAGGTTTAGGTATTGACTCCCTCGTTCACTCACTCCATTCTAAGCTGTTCGACAATTAATTTATGCATGTAACGAGCTTTCCCCTGCCTCCCCTACTAATGTTTGCCTTTTTCCCCCAGCTCGTCCTATTGTATTCTGTAGGGACCCAGGAAAGGTCAACTTGATCATCGAAATAGCGTCTGCCGGTGTGCGAACGTGAAAATTATCAAAGTGGTTTTCCTTCCTTTCGCTTCATCCTTGATCAAAATACACCCTTGTACACCTCACAAACGAAGAGGAAATGTGCGAAAGAATACTCTAGTTGAAAGAAATGAGCTTCAAAGTCTTAAGAGCGACGATGACACAGTCCCAACTATAGATAGCTGTTTGATCAGATACATCAGTTCATTTTTTTCGACGACGAATCGATCATGCGCATTAAAGAATGCAGAACACGGAATTAACGTTTTATCATCTGGGAGAAAAGGTGAGCCTTCCTCCATCTATTCTGATGTCTTTTTTTACAAATTTGCAGAACATATAGTTTGAAACTAAATGCACTTCAAGATTTAATTTCGTTCGGAAGCTGTTCGGAAAATGTCACACCGTGACAACCCAGAGTGCATGAGGGAAATTAACAAACAGTCCGTTAAACAAAAAGCTGAGAACCCAAAGCACATAAGGGAAATTAACAAACAGTCTGTGAGAAGCAGTTTATTCAAAAGTGAAGGCATAGAAGTGCAAAACGCATGGGTAGATAACATCAGTTCACAATCAATTGCCCATGAAGACTGGACTGAATTTGTTCAAAACCTTGACACATCGAGTGCTGGTGAGCAAAGCAATAAAATTGTCACAAATTGCTAATTGAAAACAATATTTTCACTGTTGTTGTTGATAATCAGGACAATAAAAAAATATGAAAGTGACAGTTGGTGTTAAGTTGACAAATGCCCTTCAGGAGTAACAGATACATTACTGCAGGAACCAGATATAACAGAAACTGGAGATAGAATTATTTCTTTTGCACCTAGAGAAGGTAACAAACCATTAGGAATATTCATGGATAAAGATTCTGAATATCTTTCATTCCCTACAATATTCTGTGGAAAACGAAGACCTGACAATAGTGAAAGAAAGGTCCCAGTGTTAGTACAGTTGCTAAGTGAGAGTTAAGATGTGTGGATAAAAGAGTTGCAAAGTCTGTGCCAATCATATTCTATTAGCTTAAAAAACTGCAAATCAAGCAAGTTCAAGATAGTGCTTGCATTTCTCTATTAGAAAGTGTAAGACAAAAGGGAAGAAGTACACTGCTGGTGACTAGAAATCAGCTTGTGCACCTTGATGAAGGTTTCAGGGTTTTAAGAAATATTAGAGGCTCACCACCTTACTTTGAAAAACGCAAGACTTGAGACTTGTTTGCTATGATTTGTCAACTAGGCAACCCCACCTGGTTTTGTTCTTTCTCAGCTGCTGAAACAAGGTGGACTCATCTTCCTAAAACTGTACGCAGAATTGTAGAGAGGAAAGAGTAGACTGATGGGGAGATCAAACAAATGATATGTTATCAAAAAAGACCAAAACAATCAATCAGAAAAGTTATATTTGGCCAACTTTGTTGCATGGTTTAACTGTGTTGAAGATGACCAAATGGATAGCAGCAGTGCTAGTAATCATAATGAGTCATTATTGACAAGCATTGATGATTTTCTGCCAGAAACTAATTTTGAAGACAACACTGATGATGATCCTTTCAGTATTAATGTCACTGAATGTGAATGTGGACCAATTGAGTACAAACTAAAAGGAGGTATGAAACTAGAAAAAGAAAAAAGCCCAAAACAATCTGTTCTGTTGGGTACCATAGAGATAAGGACCCAGACAAACCATTTTAGGGAGCAGCTAATGCTCTATACACCATGGCAAAAGGAAAGCACTGATTTGACAAGACTGTCAAACTTTCCGAGAACAGTTGGAAGAAGTTAAGGATGAAGTTCTCAGCAATAGGCGCCAACATAAGTACCATTCAGAAATACTAAATACAGCAATGGACAATATGAATAATACTGAATTTGACAACTTTGATATTGTTGCTATGAATGCAGAGCATATCAATAAGCAGGACTGTGCTGTCAAGGAGAGGCATAGTGAATTATTTGGTTGCTTTGACCCAGGAAAAAACAAGCAGCATTAAGCCAGTATGATTTGCTTGATGAAATAATGATGACAAAGAACTTCTTATAAAGCGCATGTCTGATGTTGATTATTATGCACTTGTCTGCTCTTTGAATGAAAAACAAAGAAAGTTTTTTTTATCATGTGTTACATTCAATCAAAACTAAAGATGAACCTTTCAGATTATTTTTAAGTAGAGGTGCTGGTGTTGGCAAAAGTACTGTCACCAGGGCTTTGTATGAAGCATTGATAATAATACTGTCACAGGTGAAAATCCAGATGATGTGAAAGTTGTCAAAACAGCCCCCACTGGTAAAGTAGCATTGAATGTGAGAGGTAACTCATTGCATTCTGCTTTTAAGATACCTGCCAATAGAGGTTTTGAGTATTGTGCACTGGACAGTGACAGACTAAATACTATGCGGACTCAACTGAAGAAACTAAAGCTTATACTTATTGATGAAATATCTCTGGTTGGAAGTGGTATGTTCATCTTTTTAAAATTTACAATTACAACAAATAATTGGAAGCAAGGAGCCATTTGGTGCAATGTTTTATAACTGTAGGAGATCTTTTCCTGTAAGTGGATTTTTGAAAATTGTCAATCTGGCCATATTGTTTTAGCAACTAACATTTGGAGAGAATACATGTACTTCACCCTCTTTGAATAAACAGAAATAATAAGACAAAAAGATGGTATCGCAGAGGTCATGGGTTCAAATCCAACTGAGGCAAAATATGACTTGACAACTATTGTTGATGTGACTGATGGACTAACAAATGGTGCAGAGTGTGTCATAGAAAACGTAGACTTCAGAGTTTAAAATCCCATAAGACCAAGTGTTATTTGGGTATCATTTCCACATCTTGAAATAGGCAGAAAGCAGCGCAGAGAATATGCTCATTTATACAACGCACAAATAAAAACTGGACACTAGTTTTAGAAGTAACAAAACAATTCCAGATCAATAAAGAAAGTAAAGTACAAATTATTTGGCATCAATTTTTACTTAGACCTGCTGCTGCTAAAACTATTCATCGTCAAGGTGATACACTAAATGAAGCAGTTGTTGACTTTTCAACATCCCCAAGGGAGCATATGCATTATGTTGGCCTTG